TATTTTTTAGACGATCGTTACCAAGGATGGGTCTGGGGGTTTACAAAATTTATCAACATGAATAAATTTCACGAGCCGATTTTATAATAGGTGTACCTGCATTTTCTTGTCTGTTTTATTGCAGTCTGTAGGAATAAAGATGGAAAAAAGAAGATGGGCTTAGTTTTATATTTCGAGGTGTGTCTCACAGGTCTTCAACCTCTTGACGAAGGATATATTTTAAGCACATAGTTAAACGACCTGCCGATCTTATTACATTTCGTTTTCATTTTTTTTTTTTTTACTCAACTGACCTTTTTCAAAAAAGTATATCGGCCTTATTTTAAAATACAAAACTAATATGTAAAATCACGTTTTCTCGAAATACTTCTTTTAACATTAATACCACACTTTTCATACCAGAAAATTATGAATTACAATTTGTTGTGTTCTTATTGCAGTGTATATGTGGTGTACACGTTCGATTTCCATGATAACAATTAAATGATCGCTAAAAGGTCTTCTTGAACTCATTAATGTTTTGGGAAACAAAGATTTTCAGAAACAAAGGGGAAAATCTCTTTAATAAACAATACTAAAATGGATCTGATTCGATTGTGTTGGCAGTTAAACAAAAGAAACCGCTTTCTGTGTGTGTTTTTTTTTTACGTGGGTGTCTAAACTATGATATTTTCCCCCTGATCTTCGGTTAGTGCTTCAGTTAGATGGACCGTGTAGGGATAGCATTGCTGAATTGCCAATATCGCGTCTCAAATTATAAATTAATACTCCCCTAAGCGTTTGGTCATTTTTGCCTGGTTGCATATAACAGCGCCTTTTAAGCCATCCATTATTGTCACATCTAATTGAATCTGAGCCCATCTTCTTTCCACCTTTTATCCATGCTCCCTAAGGCGGTCCCTCAGCCAATCAGCAGAAAGCCTATTAGGTCTGATTTGCATACCACGCGCCCAGGGTAATGTGATTAGACGACATTAGCCCAGACTCTGCAATCAGTCACTGGGAAAGAGAAGAAAGTCTTCCCATCGTATAAGAGCTGATGATTTAAGGGTTTGATGACCCTCGGAGCTAAACCATCTACGTCCCAAGACATTCATGTCATCTTTGGGCCATCCGAAACGCATCCAGCAGAAATTCTTGGAATAAATTTGATATCGGTCTGACGGTATTCGAAAGCAAACAAATTTATAATATGTAAATAAAAAAAACACCTTTTTAAAAATTCTTTGCAAATTAAATTATCAGTCTTTAAAATAATGACACATAATTCTAATCATTAATTGAAGTGGGGGAAAGAAAAGAACAAAAATGGAAAACTTAAATTTAGAATGCCATTTTGTACTGACCGGGAAATAAAGTAAATATGCATTGAAATGAAAATGTAATTAATTCAGTATTCGAAACCGCAACCTTTTAAGAGGTCAAATTTAATATGCCTTAAAGCTGAACAGTAATTCCGCTGAGAACACTCCTTTAATTAGCATCAATAATGCATAACAATAAGCCCAGGTTTTCCATAAAATAAAACAGCGTTGAATTGTAATTGAGAGTCCTGGATATTTCACCATTGTTTCTGATTGAATTGTTACTCCCTAAGGTTAATTAGCTTCTTCTTTTTTTCCAGATGGCGCGTTTTTAATTTTCCGATCACTACTCAGCAACCCTGGGCACACGGTCCGTGCGCAGACAAACACCGCACTCAAAACTGGAGGATTAGTCATCGGAAAGTGAACAGAATAAATTGATTGAAGAGATTTCGACCTGCATTCTAAAATAGAATGGCATTCTAAAGACCTTACAATCATCTGCAAAAAAAATATGAATCTGAAAATGTCCCTTTTCAGACCAATTTATACGCAGAAATAATCGATTAAATTTATCGCTTTCCTTCCAAAAGAATAGAATAAAACTCACGACCCACCCCGAAAAAAACAACTTTACTGTCTTATTTCCAAATGTAAAAACAAAATTATTTTTCGTGTACAAATTCACTTCATCCCTCTAAAACTAGGGGCGAGGCGATTTAGAAAAAAACTATTTATCGAAAAGACCGAGTTTTCACTTGAGTGTCAGAAAAAGTGATTCTTTTTTTTTTTTTCAAAGAATTTCAAAATTGTAAAATTAGAGTAATTTTTCACCATGTTTCCACCATGCAAACCTGGCTTGCATTTATCCAGAAAATGTTCCAAATGTTTTCTTTAGCTTGTCATTTTTGTCAGCAGGCGTATTTTGTTCACACCCGCCCTAGTCGACGGGTTTGTTTGTCATGATTTACCCATTGCACGATGCGTCTGGTTATTGATGCCGAGATACCATACGGCAGATTTATTACCGAGAATCGCATATCGACTGCTCGTCGCTTTAACAGCCGGCCGTGAGCAGGCTAAAACGTACAGCCAGAAAAGACCTCATAAGATTCGGGTTCGATACCCTTAATTCAGTTTGGTTACCATTAATTACCTTTTCCTTGAAGCCCATTTATGAATTTGCTATATTGGTCTGTTTTTGATCTTAGTTGAATAAATCGGTAAGGGTTGTGATCGCTTAAGTTGCCATCTTGTGAGAATAATTTATTAGTGTCTCCTTGATCAGCACTCATTATCATAGGAAAACCAGGTTTTTATCATTTCGTGTTGGCCAGTTCAACTATAGTCTCCAGTATCATGTCCTGTAGTACTAAAAAAAAAAAACGATTATCAGATATTTTTTTCTTGGGAATGACTGAGGATACTTGAAAGGTGTTTCATGGCCAAATTATCTGAGGGTTAGGTCATCGGATATATAGATTTACTCTCTGAAGCCACTCGGGATTTTATTCAAACAAAAAGTATAAAAAGAGCTAGTTGAGTGCAGTTTCAAATGCCAGTTTGTCGTACAGACCTTATCGATCTCACGCATAAATCCATCTTATAACCGTAGCATATCGCCCTGTGACCGAGCGTACCCAGCCGATCACCACTTTACTCGTATCCAATTCTCTTCTTAGAAGATGATGAACGATCGAAACTTCTACGAAATTTGCACTTCGCGTAGCAACTAACGTTGCTTTTGTCTAATTACTTTTGCCGAGTGATTGTCGTGTTCCCTCCCCCCCCCCCATATTCATACGAATTAATAGTTATTAATTCGTATATGCATATGAAACCCATATTATGCAATCTGTTTCATAAAGTACTGAATTGCATAAAAAAAAATTTGGTTTAAATTCAAATGATCTCATTGTCACCAAGCACCCAATCATCTCTGACATTGAAATGCTGTTTTATTCAAAGTCCGCGGAATTCTAAGAAGTGCTTCTGTTTTTTTTTACTGATAAATATAGAAATAATTGACCTGTACGACCTGGATTCGCGATTTCTACGAGGCATATTATGCATATAAAATGGTCGGGCATTCCAGTGTTGGCTTGGTATTCGACAAATCTCGCGTACTTTGCACTGGTTATGGAAATACATGTACATGTATTGATATCTGACAGGTTCAAGTGTTTTTATATCGAATGCCTGAAATGGGGTTTAGAGCCTTTAGTCCTTGACAATCGCTGTATTATTGGCGCCACGTTTCTCCTATTATCTTCAGAAAATGAATATATAGAAACACACTTGGGAATTAATGAATATAGTTTGCTGGATTAGTGGTTTTTTCTCTTCAAATATAAGCTGTCTATTTACTCGTTATCGAATACACTTCGGTGTTTGTTTTATGACTTTGCCGATCAATAAATTTTGTCGCTAAAAATAAAGATTATACAAGAAAGCCTGTGAAGTCTGTGGTATATGGAAAAATGGAACCATATTAGAAAACGGTAGTTAACATACTTTTCTTAAAACCTATTTTATACGTTCATTTATATTTAATTAGTTAATTAATTATGATTATTATTATTAGATTTTTTGGGGGGGGGGATTTTATTTCCTGGCTTATTTTTCTTTAAATAAAAAAACACACTGTAGTCGCCGTGTGTATTAAATTATCCTTGAAATGCCTTCCATATCTTTTCTAAAAGATAAAATTTTAATGAAATTGCCAACTGAACGCGAGTCACCGTGAGATGTGAAACGGCTTTTTGTGAATCAATTAAATGATGGATTATTATATCCGTCTCGTTCGCTCGTGCCATTGAGCGGGCCGCACGATCCTTGAATTATCGAATCAAAAAACCTAGACAACGGAGTAAATTGCCTCACAAAATGCCCGATGATGACCATTTAAGCATGAACGTAAATGTAACCATGACAACACTTATAGACACCAAAAAGGAGTTAGGGGCTAATTTTTTTTCTCTCCCCCATATCAAATGACGCAAGACGATGCCTTGGGGAGACCAAGTCGAGATAATGACTTCCTTATTTGGTTCAAAAAAAATATCGGCGTTTGGGGGGAAAACAGATAGGGCTATCTTATGGGAAATCGCGAGTCAAAATTTAAAGGGAATATACATTTGCTTTTGCTGTAATTTTCAGAAATGGATGAATTTAGGGGTTAGTATTTCATAGGAAATATTGTTACACTGACTTGCTTGAAGTTTTGTGTTCGTAGATGCTGGAAAAACCAAGAAAAACAACTATGTCCCTGTAGTCTGGTTCCCTGACCCCACTTAAGATGAAACAGAGCAATTTATAGACGTCAGGGAATTGTACGGTTGGGGAAACAGTCTATCCGGCTTGTACCCGTTCATAGGTGTGTAATCGATTGCAAACAAATGCAACCTAACTAAATAATGGTAATTTGGGGGCAGTATTTGAAGAGAGCCAGTTTTTTCCAACACTGGTCGGGTTGGAAATGGATAAAAAAATACAATTTTTTCTTGAAAATGACGGCACATCAGGTGCCATGATTTTTACAGGATGCTTTAGACTGTCATTCACTAAAAGTCCAGGAAGGTATTTCACATTAAGTTGGTAGTTTTTTTTTTTTGATGTTTGCAAATGATGTATATCCCCTTTAATATGAGTGGAAAAACACAAAACAATCCGAGCCAAAGAATTCACGAAAACAACTTTTATGTGATGAGTTTTTACGGCTTCTGAATCTTAATCTTTAATTTTAAGCCATCACTGTTTTACACCAGAATCTGTTTGTTTTTGTACAATGAAGAAATCTCATGAATTTTTAGCTGTATGCATTAGATTTCTGCCTCAAAGTATTTTGTACACTTTAGTTTATAGGGTGAATATAATTAATATACGCTCCCTTCTGCCCCTAATTATACAACTCTATATACACCAAGAAACAGAAGATTTGCTCAGATTTTTTTTTTTTTTTGGTAGAAATAACTGTGATAACTTCTACAGCTAAAGAAATAAGTTTTCTTACAAAATAAAGAACATTTACGACATTTCTGGTATTATAACAGCACATAATACACGATTTGGAAAATGAAAATTCGATCTAAAAATTCACAATTGAGTCCTTTTGAGCTCCAATCATCAACGTTTGACTTTTCAAAGATTTGAATAGGCGGATGTTGAAAAGTTAAACAAAAAGTGAAACAAGGAAAACGGATGTTTATATTTCAGTTTCGAGTCATTGACCTTGTCCTCACAGTGACGATTTGCATATGAAAGTTCATTCAAATAAAAAGGAAAACAATGAAATGTGTATGAATGTCACATTCCAGCTGTAACGATAGCGTCATCACATTTGCGCCCTTCCCACAATGCAAAGCAAATACAATTTTAAAATCGACCTCCATTTCGGCCAAAACAAAAACAAATATAACAAAGGCAGTTCTTGGAACGCAAAATTCGGCATAAGTTTAACTGGTCGTGTTTCAAATCTCCATCAGGTGACAATCTGACAATTTCTACAAAATTTAGTAAAAGTCAACCTCGTTTCCATGGTGTATGATTCCATGTTGTGTATTTTTCTTTACCATAATTTGATTTTCGCTCGTACCCCCGCCCTGCAAACAGGGCACTGGGAAGGGCTAATCCACTTCACGGAATCTTGTGAAGGAAGTACGGATGGCATTCTGGGTAACTTATCATGACCTTCGCATGCAGCTAGCACGTGCTACGTATGATAAACAGCTGTAGCGAGTTTGTGCGCTGCATTCTATGTCACAGGTCACGCAAAATCTATCCAATGAGAGCTCAAAGAGATTAGCCCTTCCCAGCGTCCTGTTTGCAGGGCGGGGGTAAAAGCAAAATTTTGATTGTGCCTCACAAGAGCACCTATCATGTGCACATGATTGGTGGTGGGTTACCAGCTACGGTACCAGAGTACCAGTATGAAGTTCAATCAATACATATTTTTGTAAACTTTTTTCCCCCCAACATACATAACCATGGAAACGAGGTTGAATGTAGGCCTACACTTTTGAAAGGACACACTGCAAGTTTGTTAAGCATTTTTTTTTCAGGACTAGTAAAATACAAAATTGGACAAATAAAATTTGTTTAACTTGATCTGCGTGAGCAAAGTAGTTTAACATTGTTTTCTTTTAAATGATCACAACAGACAATGACTTCATCTATAAAGATTCTAGAAATTATTTGCAAATGATACAAATTAAAATAAAAGCATTATTAACATACACCAAATGTAACTAGAATAACTTAAAAGGTTTACCCGTACGTAGTAGATTATATTTTAACAAATGTTAAAGGACTTTCAAGTTGTGTACAAAATTTGCTTTTTTTTTTTAATTTATTTAGTATTTATCTAACATAAGACTAACTGAAAATCTAGTTGTGGGCAATTTGGCCATGTGTTAATTTTCAGAGTTTTAAATTGCCATTTTAAGACTAAAACAAGGGTTGACATCAGCAATAGAAAATTAAACAACTAAAACTGCCCAACATAAAATGTTGTTGTGTTTTGTGCAATGTTATTGTTAGCCATTTTTCCAAGTTTAGTTATCAGGTGCTGATCTAGAGTTGTGATACAACATAGGGGAAAGAAATTGTTATATTCTGATCCTATGGTTTTAAAAGATTTTACTCATATAGCAGAATTTGTAAGCTTTTTGACAAAAAAAAGGTTGACAACTCTGAAAATCATCTAGAAAGCTACCTTTCTTTCCCCCAACATTTTTCCAATTATCTTTTTATCAAGAATTACTTCATTGCTCTGTTCGCATCTCAAAGTACCGGACAACAGCCACATCCTTCATTCATTTCTATAGCAACCAAACATCGGATGAGGCACGGAATTCAAATCAGTGCCCCATCACCTGAGGCTAACCAAGATAATAAATAAAAGAGGATGACCACTGCTAGGCACACGGAGGCTATTTGCGTTGGCTTAATCCCCGACTTCTGAAGATTTGAGAGGATTCCGACAACCCTTACAGCGGCATTTGGTACAGGGCACCTCTGACACAAAGCAAGGGCAGCGATGACCCTGACACGTGTTGAGGCCAGGGTACTTGCTCCCCGTACCACATCGACATCCTTCTTTAATCTCCAGCTTGCGACCCGCCTTCAAGAGTTTCGCTCGGTGACCCGAAATGACGAGTTTTCTAGGCGTGTTGGATAAGGAGTGTAGATCCACCAGTCCGTTGGACGCGAGGAGGAGGTTCTTCGACCTCCGCTGGTACTTCCGCTTGACCTTTGCAATGCTCAATCCATGGAGGTTGGACTTAGGCTGTGAGTGATGCCCCAGCTCCAGTCGCTTGTTCCTCTTGATTTTAATCTTGGGCGAGGCGCTATTGTCCGAGTTCGGGGTGATGGTGACTGAGTATTCATCCACACTGCCATCAATTGATACATACGGTTCCGCTTCACTGCCGTTCAGTGCTTCTGTGTGGTTGAGAACGCCCTGTGCATTCCTGCTGACTTCCGGGTGACCGTGGTGCGGCGTTACCGCCCCCGAGGCGTGACCGTCGTGACCGTTCTGCACCGATTTACCCCCGGCTCCCGAGCTCGAGTTCATGCTCGCTTTGGCCAGGTACTCCACTATATTAAACCCTGAGATATCCTGCGACCTACTGCGTTCGTAATGGCTGTCGTTGATTGCCATGCCTTCTTGCAAAATCGATAAACCGGAGCTGTGGTTGCTCGTTCCGCCGTTTGCACCGACCAGATTCCGCGCAATCGGTGTGTCAGCGATGTACTCGCACAGCTTTTTGTAACAAGACAGTAAAATCTGTAACTGTTTCACCTCCGCAAACATGCTGTAGTCTTTACACCAACTACAGGAGGGCTTGAGGAGCATTTTACCGCCCAGGCAGCCACGGCAGACGAAGTGTTGGCAGGTCGAGTTGGACGGGCCCATCGGATCCTTGAGCAGGCCTGCGCACACACAGCAGGAAAGCGACTGTCGCAAATACGGCAGTCGTCGGTACAAATCGCTCCAAGTATTCGGGTCATTATGTTCGGCCTGAAGGATATACCGACACGTAGAGACGTAGAGAGTCGTGGCGTTCATCTTGCTTTCCCCAGCTACAAGATCAACGCCGGAATCGGTCCGCCAGACGGCCTTTTTGGCGAGAACAAACTCACGATTCCATCGAAGAACGAATTCCATTCACAAATTATTACTACATTGATCAACGACGATCGATGTTTACTGGCCACTGCTTACGTCACGCAGCTGCGACCTTCCGTACGCTGGCTGGTTACCAGTCAACGAAATCCCATAGACACATCACACACTGGTCTCCGGCACTTCTGAGTGCACCAAAAAGGTGCGGACTCGGTCTGGTTTCCGGCCGTTAGTTATGCGTGTACGTGCGGTTCTGGAGCCAGGCTACTTGATCAAAGAGGTCATTCAAGAGAAAATCACAAGTGCTGTTTTATTATTAGACGGGTCGCGTGAGTGGCGTTGGATGGCTGGTTTTGCGGCCTTGACCAGGGCCAGCCACATTATTTATGGCAGGAAAATTGGGTGTGACTTGCTGCTTTGAATATTGAATACTGTTTAAAGCTGAAATTATTTGTGTTATTGTTTGGCTTGTTTGTGACAATCAACATCGTATATCAGTGACGGTCAATTGGCAAACCGTCGCCCCTTAAATTCGTCGTGCGTGAAACGGTGACGCCACTTTCATAATTTTCGCACTTAGAATCATGGGGCTACCTGCTAGAACTTAAATCGTTATTTTCATCATGTTTTCACCATCCAGACATGCAATCATCAACATTAATGTATCACCACCCCTTTCCATCGCCAACGTTATTCATTGCCGTACGTATGATGACATCACCTCACAATATAGCCAATTAAGTTTCACCACTCGCCGTCCTCGCCAATGGTGGAAGAATCCTCACCATTTATGGTGGAAATCATTTCATCACCACAACCTCGATCACCACTGTCATCAGTGTTTATTACGTCATTGTCACCAAGATCGACCAGTGATATCAACAGCAAGATTTAACCAGTGTATTATCTTGATAAACCAGTAACCAGGCACGTTGCCCGAGCTACCGTGACGGCTGCGCATGCACTTACTGATATTTCGCCCTAGCTGCGGAACAAGCAGTTGAACTAATCCTCAAGTTTCTCTGTGAGTCGGTTGGTTGGTTGGTTGGTTAGTTAGTAACAAACGTCAGCAACAGCCTTGCATGGCTATAAATCACCTTGTCCCTCAGGCTCGGGTATATATCAACCCCTTAGGCCCAGGCCCTCTGTCGTTCACTTTATGGGTCTCCCGCTGACCGCCAACCAATTATGAAGACGTGGAAAATTGGGTCACTATAGGTCAAAAACTGATGTTTGTGCTGAAAATACTACCCATTCCAGAAATTACATGGCACAATCACGTCACACATGCATCGACACATATTTGTTGGCCCGCAGCTTCCGGCGAGATTATTAGTCGAGTTTGTTTCCATGATATCACTTTTATTAATAGCTATGACAGCTTGCCCAAAGTATTTAAAAAAAAATCTAGGCCACTTTATGATTTTTCCTCTCTGGTTGTTCGCCTTGGCGGTTAGATAAACTGGTTTTACTTAAACCACAAAAAACACAATGTAAATATGTTTAAAAATAAACTAGGGCTTACATTAACCAGCATTTATTCTATCACTTCTTTTTCCTTATAATGATAGAAATTGTAACATTAATATAAAAAAAATAATAACCGCTGTCAGCGAACAACAATGCACCATAAAGGTTAATTTTCAATGTAAAAGTTGCCCAGGCCCACGGCTTGTACTTCACAGCGTGGTGACACGATTTTAATATTGATATAAATGAATCTCAATGAAATTTGTCAAAACCCGTCGTACGTGTTCGTATTCAGAAGGCGCCGCGTAGTATACTTCTAAATATGAACCCAGTACCTCATTAATTGCTCATTATAATATACATATTCTGCCATTTACACACTAGCAAAACCGAACATTATATCATCTTCCTGCTGGCTTGTCGCCAAGCATCGCTTGATGAAATACGTCACTGTGACGTCTGACTGGTCTGAAGATAAAAAAAACAACGGGGCCGTGAAGCGTCACCTGGTGTAAAATGAGTACTCCTACGGTTGCCAATGGTTACGGAAATGAGGTTTGACACTATGTTCCAAACTGGAAGGATCTGCGAATGCAAGAGTTCACGAAGCTATATTTTAGCAGTAAACAACTTAACGAGTGTATATTACACGACACTCTTGGGTGTTTTTTTTTTTTTTTTTTTGACCGACAAGATTTTTTCCGTGTATGGCCTTCAAGCCTAAGTTTTTCCTGGTGTCAGTTTATACCATATCCACTCGTGTGTACGTGACCGTAGGATTTCCTATAGAAAGAAAGTGCCACTGTCCATGCGGGTGATTTGAACAATAAATAGTCGATCCATAATTATGATCAGTACCGACAAAACAAAACAGCTACCTTGGCCTGGAGCGGCTATTAAGAGACAAAAACGAGAAGTTGAACAATTATTACTTCTTCGTTGGTAACTATATTTGACATTAACATAATTCATTTTATTCAACTATATTTAACATTATCATAATTAAATGTAAAGTACATTATCGATTGGTAATTGTTGATTAATAGCTGGAGGTAATGATATCGAGCCACATTATTAAAGGATGAATGTGGGCAACAGAGGGCGCCATTTATGAATTAACTCGGGCAAATTTATTTCGCCACGGGCATTTTTGGGGGAAAGATCCAATAGAGGGCGCTCCACAGTTACCCTAAAGAAAACACCCAGACTACATCTTCGACTTTACTATTGTTGCTGATGCTAGTCTGGTACTGTCTTACGTGCAGAATCGCACAAACATTCGAGTTTCGACTGGGGAAAATGGGGTCCAAATTTGCCAACGTTTTCTGCAGAAATGGGTCGTATCTGCGCCCATTCGTGGCTCTCAAGATGCAGACGAGACCATGCACCATGGCCGTGCTCGCTGACGTCCAGAAGAAGATTGACCAGAAAAGACAAAAAGCCATGGAAGGAGGCGGACCGAAACGGATAGAAGCCCAACACAAACGGGTAAGGAAATTATGGGTTGGGAAGTTCATGAAGTTAGGCTTCCTGAGCAGGCTGTGGTAATACGTGCGGTAAACGGGTAGGCCCAGCTCCTTCTCAGACTATGGTTTAAAGTGCTGCAAATGACAAAGTCCTCATTAAAAATGCAAAGTCTGTTGGCCTGTGCAGATTATTTTTAAGTTAGTTAGTATTAATTTTAATTTTTTGTTTTATTTTTATAATTTTTGTTTCATTGTTTGTTCATTGTTGTCATTTTGTTATTTTAATTTTTACCATGCTTGCATGGGGGGGGGGAGGTGAATAGTAAAGCTGAACAGAATAGTAAAATGTATCGTAATCATGATATCAAATAATTATAGAATTCAACAAAACATTTAATAATTTATAGTAAAACCTAGACCCAGTATAAACTGGGGCGCTAGAAATAGAACTCCTTTTTTTTCCTTCAAATTTTGACTCATTGGTTGGTCGTACTAGCATGACTAGTGCCCCAACGCGAACATTCATAAAATTAATAGATAGTGGATATATTACCAGATGCGGATTTCTTCTGGTAAACGATATTAAGCCGGAGAGATCTTACAGCCCCCTCTTTGACGCGTAGACAAGTAGGCCTACATTGTAATGTACTAAATTACCACCATCGTTCAAGCAGCAACATTTGGTTTTGTTATTTCAGGGTAAGTTGACGGCCCGTGAGCGCGTCAATCTGCTGTTGGATCCAGGCTCCTTCGTTGAGTTTGACATGTTTGCAGAGCACAGCTGTACTGACTTTGGAATGGATGAAGAAAGCAAACAGGTACTAGTAACATATCGGTGGCACCAAGTTCAAAACATCCTGGGACATATTGAAATAGAACCTTATAAGTTGCATTATACTACGCTGCATTGGGAGTCCTGTTTATTACGTCACGATTTACTATGTTTTGTTTGCTGCCCCCAACGACAACTTTTACACAAATTGCACGTTCGGGTCGAAACAGGACCTGAAAAATATCTCTCAAAAGTACCTTTTGTACTCATTTCATGACTGACACAATAGTCGTTTTTATTTCATCACACCTTAGGCTACATATACCCGAAAAATGACGGAAATGTCTTGGAGCATTCCACAACCTCTTTAATGATTCTTAAATGTTTTTATGACGTTTTCTTTCTGGTTTGAAACAAAAGCTTCCTAACTTTTCTTGTTCATCGTTTCAGTTTCCAGGTGACGGTGTCATCACTGGACACGGTTTAATCAACGGACGCGTTGCCTACTTGTTCAGCCAGGATTTCACCGTGCACGGTGGTAGTCTGTCCAGCGCTAACGCCCGTAAGATCTGTAAGATCATGGATCAAGCAATGGAGATTGGGGCACCTGTGATCGGATTGAACGATTCGGGCGGGGCTCGGATCCAAGAAGGGGTGGATTCACTGGCTGGATATGCGGACATCTTCCAGGTAGGAAATATATGATATAATCACATTAATTTTTGTGGCACCCGTTTATGCAGTGCATAACAATAGAACTCAGAGGGAAAGGGGGTGGGGGGAGGGAGGGACGCGTAATTTTTATTCCTAGGAGGGTTAGGGGCAATGTCATGAATAATTCATGTTTATCCATGAGAACGGACAATGACATCAACAGCATTGTTATTAGTTACTCAACTAGTTACAATACATTAAAGCATTTTAAAGAACGGTTGTCGTCGAGCTACCACACAGTAGCCTAGTGGATAGCGAGATGAGCTATGGACACAAAGATCCCTGGTTCGAATCCACGTCGTCGCTGCTCATTTTCATCAGCTATTTTTCTTCTCCAAATTTATCACTGAGATAATTTTAAATTAAGGGTTAAATAGAACGAGAACCTAAGTCTTGCAATGATTCAAAGGAAAAACTGAATTATTCATGACATTGCCCCTAACCCTCCTAGGAAAAAAAATAACGCGGGAGGGACGATCCCAACTCCCAGTTTTGTTCAAATTTCCAAAGATGGTGTCTGGACAAAAGTTACAAATTGCTTCACCAATTTTGCATGTTGGGGTCAACATGCAAATTGAGGTCAAAGTTTACATCAGTATATAACCCTTTAACCATCGATTGTACAAATTCGTGCGATATGAATATATGCATGGCGAAACCACAAACATGACGACTCCAACCATTTGCGTGGCACCCATTCGCGTGGGGGACGATCCCAACTCCCAGTTTTGTTCAAATTTCCATAGACGGTGTCTGGATAAAAGTTGCAAAGTTGCTTCACCAATTTTGTCAAAGTTTACTTTAGTATATAACCCTTTAACTGTCGATGTCACAAATGCGTGCAATATGAATATGCATTTCGAAACCACAAACATGACGACTCCAACCATTCGCGTGGCACCCCACCAGTTAAAAAAAAGAAACCCCTTTCAAAATCTCAACTTAAGATCAGACCCCACCCGCCCACCTTCAAAAAATTCCAAGAACCAATTATTTCTCTTTTGTATTTGTCGCAGAGAAACGTCATGGCATCTGGAGTCGTCCCCCAAATCTCACTCATCATGGGGCCGTGTGCAGGTGAGTTGTCATGGCAACTGGCAGTAGCCATGGTAACGATCAGTTGCCATAAGTTACCTCGAGTTGCCATAGTTTCTGTAAACTAGACACAAAGAGTCTGTGTTCCCTTGTGGCATTGGTGGCAATTTCTTGGTAACATTGGTGGGGGGGGGGGGGAGAGAGAGCAGGACGGGGCGCTGTACGAAGATGCATGTATAATAATAATGATAATAGCAATATGTGTATACATGTATATAAAGTGCACATATCCACCAGTATTAGTTCTCAAGGTGCTGCATTCACACATTAGACATATGTGGATGTAACATCTACACATGCGCAACTTTCACCCATTTTTCATAAGGCCAAAAAAAAAAATCTCCGGTTTCTGGTATGCGCGCGCGTCGCCGTAGCCATGCGAGTCGGCAAATGAAAAAGTTTTTTTTTCAATGAAAGATGATGTCTCAAAACCGCCAAACTCACTGGTTTGACTGGAATCCTGCTGCTGCACAATTTTAACGTGTTTTTAGATTGGGTTATGTTGAGAATAAGCTTGATGTGGCCTCTCTGGACTCCCATATATTTGCACTAAGTTTAGTCGGGCACAATTTGCAGTCATCAGCCGACATTTGAAGCAAAAAAATCAGGTAAAAAAAAAAAAAAAAGCCGCGTCGCCGCACCACTTTTTGGGCAAGCTCCATACCAGAAACCGGAGACTTTTTTTTTTTAGCCTAATGTGTAATTTTCGTGATAAAGATGGTGAACAAGCAATATCTTAAAGTTATTAAAACCATTTTGGGAGAACAATGCGAAAAATTTTGGTACGTTGTCGTAAAATCTACATGTAGTGGGATAAATTATTAGGGGGGGGGGGGGGGGAGACATCGCCAATGACGTCCCTCGCCCAAAAATTATTAGGGGAGGGGGACATCCCCCCCCCCCCACTCCGTCTCTCCGCTGTCCATTACTAGCGGTCATTATTTGACATTTCCTGTCTCATTTTTTTTCCAGGTGGTGCTGTGTACTCCCCAGCCCTGACTGACTTTACCTTCATGGTCAAGGTAGGAAAACGCCAGGCATGATACTTGCCATCATCTAATTACTAAAGGCTGTTATTTACTTTTTTGCTGTTTACTTTTGGTCCATTTTGTTAATATTTGAATTCTTACCTTTGTTTTGAATTTAACATTGAGCTAGGGTTTGCTATCTTTTCAGGACACATCATTTCTCTTCATCACCGGACCTGACGTAGTCAAGGTAAGATAGACTCTCTGAAATTGAAAGGTTGGTTTCTGGATGTTTTGGTAGGCTGTTTGACCATGTGACTGTTTTATTTTACGAGTGTGTTTGTCTGTCTGTCTCAATCTGTCTGTTTATGCACCTAATCAATGTGTCTGCTTTAACGAAACTTTGCAAAGTACATCACTGATTTGGAAACAAAACTATATATATTTATATACCTTTTATTGTCCAAAAGGAATGTAAAAAAAAAAAGTACATTTGAAGGAAACTTAAGTTATTTTTTTTTCTGCAGGCTGTGACCCAGGAGGATGTGACATATGAGGAACTAGGAGGAGCCAAGACTCATACAACTATATCTGGTGAATATTTATCAACTAATTAGCATCTCATTATTGTTTCCTTGTGTCTAGGGCCATTTCCCAAGTCTCAGGTTCATCCATAGCCATGGTTACAGGGTGAGTCAGAATGATCTGGACCCAAATGAAAGAAAATGTTAAAAAAATATGTAGCAATTATCAAAACAAGTGCAAATGAGATATGTAGTAGGCTGGTATTTTGGACATTCTTGGTGAAAGTTTCATGTGTATCCATTGTACCATTTTGAAGAAAAGCGCTAGCACAGAACACACGCTAAAAAAAACACTCTGACCACAGTTCCATGGTTCAACAAATTTATTGAAATCGCGTACTGATGTGAAGCAGTGTAATAAATAAAAATCTAGTCATGGAGATTGAATCACTTAAAGTTATTGACACATTTAAAAAAAAAAAAAAGGCAAAACATTTAAAAAAAAAAAGAAAGGCAAAACCGATTCCGTGTGCAGACTGGAAAATTAGCTGTTTCAATGAAAATGGCATAACTCCTCACTACTGCCGCTAATTTGAAAAATTCTAAATTCCTGCAGAAGACAAGGTAATAACCATTCATATGAAACACTCGGTTTTTTTTCTCTCAATTTACTCTATTTGCCACAAAAAAATGGTGAACTTGGGTCCAGATCATCCTGACTGAATCTGTACATCTCGGCCTCAAGAATCAATTTGCAAAAAAAACACTCGTGGAACTTAAGAAAACAAGTCCAAATGTTGGCCCTATATTTGATGAATTGGTGTTATTCCTTCAGCAGAATATGGCATTACATTGAGCCAGGGTGATTAAACTAACAGACTATTAAATCATGACCCTTTCTCCAAAGCCTGCCTCCATTTAAAGAAAGTTGTTTTTTTTTTGTGGGGGGGGTGTTTGTTTTTGTTTTTATCTTATCACTTTCACTCTTCATTCCATCGTTCAGGCGTCGCTCACGGAGCCTTTGAGAATGACATCGATGCGTTGGCTAAACTGCGTGATCTCTACAACTACCTCCCACTCAGTAATCAAGACCCCGCCCCTCTTAGGGCATGTGATGACCCAGGGTAAGTAGTATAAACAAAGACATGTTTGCTTTTCCCAAAAAGATCCGTACACTATTGCTCTTTAATGTTTAATATTCCTAGTACATAATATTTTTGGAATTTGTGCATTATGTTCACATTCTTGGAAAACGACTTTAGTTTATGCACAGATGATTTGACTTGGACCTCAGACCAGTGAACTGCTAGTCCAGGGTTTTACCTACTGACTAGTCTGGATAATATGGTGGTAGGTTAAAGGCAACATCAGTATTCATTTTTAATGAAAAACACCGAATTGCCTTTGCCAATTTCTTGAAAATCTCAAAAACATCAACAAGAGTAAAAAATGAATTTTTTTGTCTGTATTTCATTTTTTGTTACAGTGACAGACTGGTTCCTGTTTTGGACACCATTGTACCCCCAGAATCTAACAAACCCTACGACATTTTGGACGTCATTCGAGCTGTAAGTAACATTCATCGTCTAATGATTATTACTTTCGAACAAGTGGATTCTTTAAGTGCTTCCTTATCCCACAGAATTCCTAGAGCAGACAAGTCCTAACAGGACTAGTTGTTCTGAACACATTTGATTGCTGTAGCTGTCGGATTTCATAATAGGCACGTTTAGATACTTGGTACTAAAGGACGAAGCAATAATGGTTAAGTGCCTTGCTCCAGGGCACAAGTGTCCAGACCCGGGCTGAAACCCACACTCTGCTGCCTCTGAAACACCAGAGCATGAGCCCGGAGCGGTGCTCTTAACCGCTAGGCCATGGCGCTCCTAAGTTGTTAAGATCTTTTTATGTTTTAATTTTCCAGATCGTGGACAATCGTGACTTCTTCGAGATTATGCCAGCTTACGCTAAGAACATGGTGATTGGTTTTGCCAGAGTCGGCGGTCGGACCGTCGGCATCGTCGGTAATCAACCAAAGGTCGCATCAGGTCAGTCAATAGGTCACTTTTCACCAACTGAGGGCGCTGTAGCACATCCATTGCCAATATCGTGATGTAGATTTTCTGATCATCATGTTGTTTTGCATCAAAACACAAATTAACTGTTTCTCCTCTAGGGAAGTTCGCAATTTGTTCCTTAAGCCCATCAATGCTTGATATTCATTTAGGTTGCCTGGACATCAACGCGTCCGTCAAAGGAGCCCGGTTTGTGCGTTTCTGCGACGCGTTCAACATCCCTCTCGTCACCTTTGTGGACGTGCCGGGATTCCTGCCCGGTACCCATCAGGAATATGGCGGTATCATCAGACACGGAGCTAAACTTCTGTATGCATTCGCTGAGGCTACTGTCCCAAAGATAACTATCATCACTAGAAAGGTAAAGAAACTACAAGCACAGTGGATACCTTTGTTGGACCTAAAGGGATTGAAATGATTGACTATCTGTGTTTTATATCCTATGTCTGTCTGTCGGTTTAGCAATGATTGACTTTCTGTGTGTTTATCTATGGATAATTTATCTATTGTATTACTAGAAAGGTAAAGAATATACAAGAACAGTGGATACCTTTTGTTGGACCTAAAGGGATTGAAATGATTGACTTTCTGTGTAACATATCCTAGGTCTATGTCTGTCTGTTTAGCAATGATTGACTTTCTGTGTGTTTATCAATAGTGATCTTTGTTTTTAGTAATGATTGACAATCTGTCTGTTTCTTATCAAAGGCCTATGTTGCTCTTTTTGTTTAACTATCAGTGACTATCTTTGTATTTGTCGGTGATGGTCTGTGTGTTAAGCAATGATTGATTTTCTGTGTGTTTGCCTGTATTAGTCTGTATGTTTAGGAATGATTAACTACATGTCTGTTTCCTTATCCAAGGGCTATGTTTGTCTGTGTGTTTAGCAATGATTGACTATCTGTTTGTTTCCTTATCCAAGGCCTGTGTTGGTCTGTGCGTTCCGCAATGATTGACTATCTGTCTGTTTCCTTATCCAAGGCCTATGTTGGTCTGTGTGTTTAGAAATGATTGACTATCTGTCTGTTTCCTTATCCAAGGCCTATGTTGGTCTGTGTGTTTAGAAATGATTGGCTATCTGTCTGTTTCCTTATCCAAGGCCTGTGTTGGTCTGTGTGTTCCGCAATGATTGACTATATGTCTGTTTCCTTATCCAAGGCCTATATTGGTCTGTGTGTTATTAAGCAATGATTGACTATCTGTCTGTTTCCTTAGCCAAGGCCTATGTTGGACTGTGTGTTTAGCAATGATTGACTTTCTGTGTGTGCTCTCATCCCAGGCCTATGGCGGTGCGTATGACGTAATGAGTTCCAAGCATCTGCGAGGTGATACTAACTATGCCTGGCCTACTGCTGAGGTAGCTGTCATGGGCGCGGCGGTAAGTGGAATTGTAGAATTGTCATAGAATTATATTTACTTAGCTCAAAAATTCAACTGTGTTTTTTTTTTCAACAAAATGGAAACTTTCTATGTAAAAATGGGTGTTTTTCACTTTGCTGTTTAAGAAATGCCTTCAAATTTTAGCATAGGGAAGGTAGATTGACTTAAGTTGTCTTCTTTTTCTCTTCATTTTGTTCAGGGAGCAGTGAAGATCATTTTCCGAGGTCAGAAAGATGTCGTGGAGAGGGAACGGGAATACGTTGAGAAGTTTGCAAATCCCTTCCCTGCAGCTGTCAGAGGTATGGACAGCCACATGCTGCAACAAATCTTCACCAGTTTTGTTTCTGTAGGCTGAGATATGGAGAGCCACATTCTACAAGAAAAAAAAAATTGCAAAATTGCGAATGTTGTCTTTTTTGTTTCTGCAGGTTTTGTGGATGACATCATCCAGCCCAGCACGACCAGACGGAGGATTTGCCGGGACTTGAACCTCCTCGCAACCAAAAAGAAGAGCAATCCTTACAAGAAGCATGCCAACATCCCTCTGTGAGAGGGTTACCTTAAGAAGGGACTCGCTGCCGCAAACGACAGATCAAGCATGTTGGTAGGCCGTGTCTAATTGGCAATTAAATCTACCGAAACTAAATTAACGCTTGTAAGATCCCATAATATGCATTACTCATACATCCTTTCAGGAAAGTGTCCGAAGTCGAAGTCATCACCTAGATCTTCAGTATCTGTTATATTATGAAGGGTGAGCTGCCATGCACTCTAGAAAATGCCAAGTTTGAGTAGTTGACCTATCGCCGTTTGCGAGTTAGCCCCGCCCCTTAGACAACCTCATTGAGTTTTTGTACACTAAGTTTTGTTTGTCTCAGATGTTGCGCATTCTGCGTCCATTTGTATATCATGTAATTGGACAATATTTCACAAGCTGCGTTGACGCGATTCTAACGCGATTCTGCCGCGGTAGGTCAATTCTTTGATAAGTGAATGAATTCCCGCAGCTATCATTTGAGGCACGTTCAAATCTCTCCTTTGAAGTCTTTACGGATCAGTATGTGTGCCCTCCACTGCTCGGTGGGTATCGGCATTTCTTGCTATGTGCCGAACCACAATGCTGTCAGAGTTTGAATGCTTTTAGGATTTAAGTCATCAATAAAAATGAAACAAATTAGGCTAGGAAAGGTTTTAACACGCAATTTGGAGAGAATTTGACTCTGTCACCCCCCCCCCCCTCAAAAAAGTCTCTAAGTAATTCATATCATCACCGTTTTCACGAACTAACACTTGCGCGCTAGTGGGTGTTAGTTTGTGAAACCGCGTAATCAACTATTTTGGTTTCTCAAACTAACACCTGGGTGTGTGTGCGCACATCGGACACTGACACGAAAAAGAATGATTTTGGTTTTCACGAACTGAATTTCAAGCATGTTGCGGAAATGCAATTCGGAGAAAACGCTTTGGAAGATTTGCCACAAGTTTAAAACATCCATGCACTTGTGGGCTAACACAAAAATTTAATTGAAAACCTTTTTACTGGTGAAATGAAGATCAGTGTTAGTTCGTGAAAACGAAAATGTACGGAGTGAAGCATGCAGTGCCGGGTGTTAGTTCGTGAAAACAAAAATAACGCGGTTCTATAAAATATGCGCGCGTGCCGGGCACTCGCGCTCAACTGAGTGTTGGTTCTTGGTGTTGGTGACAATATGTCTGGAGAATTGTTTCAAAGTTTATTGACACTTTCCTGAAATATAAACTGAATATTAAAGCACTGAAAAATATAAAGGGCTGAAAAATATAATATCTATATTTTTAGCTGTAACGATATTTAGAGTCTACAATTGTGCTTGATGTTGAAAACAAGTCATAACGTGGCATTCCACTTTTGATGTCTTGACATTTCGGGACATAACTTAAAAAATATACTACAGGGTGTTTGTGTGTTGTGACAAATAAGCAGCAAGTGTTTAGGTTAAAAAAATGGTGTTGATGTGTGAAATTGATACCTGGTTTTTATGATAATTTATTTAAGAATGTTTAAAGCTATAGTCCATCATTTGCAGCCATCCGAAAAGTAACTGGCGTAATTATTGATGAAAAACATACTTGGTTGACAGATAGTAAGTGGACTAAACTCCCTGTGAAATTAGTCTTTCTGGCAAGCTGTCATTTCGAAGTAATCAACAAATGAAGGCCTTTCCAACGGTGCGTCTTAAGACACCGTAGGAAAATTTAAATTAGTTGTTCGTTTTGTTATTCGGCGAAGCGCGCGCAAGCATTGGCACGACGCACACGCACGAGCGGTTGCTATAATTCGTCGGATCAATGCGCGACATCGCGTATAGCTGCAATCGGCTCAGTGAGAACGTGTTTCGGACGCTGAATTCAGGCCCAATTCAAAACATGATTCAGCAACTTTTGATTTGAAATTGAGATCCTAGAATGCTGTTTTTCTCGGTATATACAGCTGAAGCTGAGCTGAAACTTCATCAGGTTAGTTGTTCAGTATCCTTCATTAGATTTTAAACACTTTTGTTGCTTCAAACGAACAAAATGCACAAATTACAAATGATGGACTATATCTTTAATTGCAAAACACTTCCACCTTTTTTTTTTCCATTTGCAGAATTGCAGCCACGCTAGATACATGTAATGCATATCTTGAACCCCAAAACTTCTCTAGGAATTGGGATGAAAATAGAACCCCATGGCTTTTTTGGGGTAAGAAATTTGAAGTTGGAGTATTTGGTTTAAGATATTGTGTCAACTTTATTATCACATGATCGGATCTCCTGGTCGTTTTTTTGTTAGTCAAAGTGAAAAAACCTCAAATTACAATAATATAAGAATGAAGTATTTTATAAAGAAGCAGTATTTTTTGCGATTCTCATGGCAATATATTGTCTGCTACTTAATAGGTAGATGGCAGATAAAATACTCTTGGATTTTGCTTCAGAAAATTAGGTATCCTGCAAAATTTATTTTGTGAAAGATGCAGCATGATCGTCATGATACCCACGTCTGTAAACAATGTCCATGAAATATTAAATATATATGTTTTAAAACTGATTTCAGCTTCATTTTGTGGTGCAATTTGTTTGTTTTATAAATTCTCACTTGGGGTTATGGTTCATCAGTGTTGTTGCACATAATTTGCACAACTAATATTCATCTGAATTGCATGCACAAACCTGTTGCATCTTAAGATGAGTGCAGCGTGCACTGTAGCCTTAAGTCAAGGCCCACGCGTCTTTACCCGGACACGTGACGCGCCCCGGATGCTGGCACGTAAAAAGACTACCCCCTTAAGCGGCTATATCATGTTCATCGCAGTCGCTTGAGCATTGTGGTATTGCGTCACTGTTATGGCTGTAAGCCATGCTGGTATCGCAGTCACGTGCGCGCGCACACGCCGGTCACGTCCACAGTCGGTTCGCCGCTCGCGGGGTAGTCTTTTGACGTGCCAGCATCCGGGGTGCGTCACGTGTCCGGGTAAAGACGCGTGGGCGTTGACTAAAGGTTAGGCGCACTGGCAATACAATGTCGAAGTTTCTGGCACCTTGCCTTTTTGCACTGCTGTACTTACATGCAGTATGTAAGAAAATGATGTCTGTTATAATATGCAAAATATGCACAAAGCTGATCTTCCAACTCACAAAGGGAGTCCCATATTGACAAGATATTAAAGGGATGATTAGCCTAAAATCCACGAAAATTTGATGTTTTCCATTGTTTACTTATCCTATTTCAAAGGACTGGTTAGAAGGAAATTAACCTAATGTCTTACCCGTTCCCGAGAAAAGAAGAATAAAAACGGTTGTCTACAGTGGACATGGCAGACATTTTGTGACATACGCATACGTATTTCCAGCCGTGTACGCCTGGTACACGTTGTGTGTGACACATAATACACACAGCACCAATACACAAATGTCGTTTCTTGCACTTACGCAGAATGCATACACTGGTGGAACATGTGCCGTAGGATTCACGACTAGCACTCAGCAGCTCGATTGTTGAGAGTCAACATTTGGACCCCCAAAATTCGTTCTCGCAAGAATATAAACACAGAAACGCCCAGTTTTTAAAGGATGGTTGTGTTGACGTTTGTATCCTACTTTTTAAATACTCTTTTTCAATTAATATAATTTTGTTTAAAACGCATTTTGTAGCCCAATTGGGCACATTCCAGGAAGTAACGTCCCTTTAAAAGGTAAGTGGCACACTTCGTTCAGTCCAAAAGACAACACTATCAGAATCAGACTCGACAGGCAGAAGTTGTTTATTTGGATATTTTCCCATCCAAATTTATTTCGTTATTCTCCGGTCTTAACACACAATACCCATTCTTTCCAGCAGCTTAGCACCTGTTGTAACAATGCACACTTAATAACAATACACCCTTTGTTTTGCTAACAATAAACCCTTTGTTTTTACATTGTGCTTTTTTGTGTCTATATACCACACTGCCATATATGCAACATGCATATAGCCACTGACATCTGAGTAACAATGATACGTGTATTTAAAGCTATGCCTATGGCTACAGCTGAATAATAAGAACATTCATCACAGCAGTAACACAGAGACCCTAAGCCTTAGCCTTAGTTCATGATGTAGAAGAACTACGTTAATCTACCAAAACCCAATACTGCCATTGGAATCCTACAAAACTTAATGATGGATTTTGATAGATTTAGGCAGATATTATAATTCACAAAAGGCATAGAGTTGTTTATTTACACAAATCTGAGTGAATACTAGTCTTGGTTTCAAGCCGTTCTTAGTTGAACTTCTGCATCAACATTTTAAGAATATGACCTAGCACTTAAATAATAGTTTGCAACATTGTATTCAAACCAATAACAGTTTTGTTTACAAATAGACATACAAAAAAACACAGACATCTCAACGTAAAACTTGACAAAAGTGTATAAAAGCAGACAACAATAAATGCTTTTCTGAGACAATTTGTTGTAATACCAGTTAAGAACTGTCGGAAAACAAACGTGGTTGTTGCACAAAACTTTTTCAACGAGGTGCTGCAACACACTCATTTAGATTTCAACCCACACAAAATGTTGCAAATTATATTAAACTAATACTTGCACATAAAAGTAACCAGCCACTAAAAAGTAAATACTGCACAACATAATGATACCAGAAAACAACATTAATTTACTGTTATTCTTAAGTTAAAGACAAGGGTGATTTATTTGACAGTTTTAGGTGAAAATGTGGTGAAAGGTGAAAATGTGCTTACTTTTGTGCCTTAAACCCTAACCACCCCAACCCTTCAAAATCCAACTGCATGTTTTGTTGGATTCTGTTGGAGTAAGGACTGCACTAGTAGCTTAACATGGGGTCAGGCATACCACCATAATCAGAGGCCAACAGTTTGGGTGTTGAGTTTACCATATGGTGTTGGATTTCGCATGAGCGAGGATGGTTCCTAGTAAATCACACAAGGGGTAAGGGTTAATTGTATTAGAGTCTGTTATCAGTGACGGAAACTGTCACACGCACTAATCGTGTTTCTATACTGGCATGCAAAAATGTTAACAGTTCAAATCGTCAGGGTTTTTTTATAGCAAAATACTGTTTGTTTGACTTAGTGGAACCAAAAAAGTGTGGTTTTCTGGCCGTCATAAGAACATACCGGAACTTCCCGGTCTGACATAACATAAAATTAGAAAAACCCTGCTAGGCCTTCTTTAGCTTAATAAAAAATTAAGTATCAAAGTTTGCATTCAATTGTAAGAAAGGACGATATTGACATCTCTAAATTAAAACAAAAAAATGGGAAACTTTTAAAACGGTCTTACGAATGAAAGTTGTAGCATTATTGGACTTTGAGTTGTTTAAATATCACTGTGTTACCACCCTGCTTTGCATAATGCCGTAGTTATCTTCAATTTTCCTGAATCGTGGCACTAAACATGCTTGATATTTTAATTAACTTAAGTTTGGCATAAGTTGTGTTGCTATCACACACAATCTACCCAGCTTTTAAAACGTATAATCTACTACTATATACACAAGTGCATTTAAAAAAACAAAAACTCATATACAATGTAAATCTTTCCATTTTCAGCTCCCGTATAAAATATCTTTCAATCTTCATATAAATATCATTCACTTTCCCAACATTTTCCCAATCCATGTTGGTTTTATACTGTTCTGAGTATATATGCATCCATCATATAAAATACCATTCCGATGTTTGTGCTGAAACATTCAGGCTTTGTCTTTCTCATTTACAACATACATCGACATCTTCACTCTTTTTTTTTTCTTCATATCAATATCATTCACTTTCCCAACATTTTCCAAATCCGTGTTGGTTTTATACTGTTTTGAGTATATATGCATCCATCATATAAAATACCATTCCGATGTTTGTGCTGACACATTCAGGCTTTGTCTTTCTCATTTACAACATACATCGACATCTTCACTCTCTTTTTTCATACTAAAACAACAATTTTGTACTTTCCTCTTCAAATGTCTTCATTCACCAAATTAACCACAAAATAACAAAAACACACTTAAAAAAAAAAGACATGCATATGTGTATGTGCCAATAAGTTATTAAATTATTTTATACACAATAATTTTTGTTAACATCCTTTGACGAGCAAGTATAATTGTTCAGTACATTGAACAATGATGCGACAATTGACCTATTGCCATTTGCGAGTTAGCAATGCCCCTTCGACAACCTGATGGAATTTGTGTGCGTTAATTTTTGTTTGTCTCAGATTTTGCGCGTTCCGCGACCATTTGTATATCATGTAATTGGACAATATTTCACAAGTTGCGTTGACGTGATTCTACCGCGATAGGTCAATTGACGTAGAAACATTGCAATCTTTGTTGCGATTATTACATAGAGTAACTTCACAGTAATACAATACTTCATCCCCTAATGCTTTGTCTTTGTTCGATGCTATTTTTAGTCGAAAATAATAAAATCTCAATGTTAACCAGTTCATGTTGGATGACATGGATATACGCAAAGGTTTTGCGGTATTCGGAACGGATGACGGATAAACACGCAACGAGCGAGGTTGGAAATATCTGTCAGCGACTCGCTCGCAGCGAGCGAGGCTAGAAATATCAGGGTGTGCTACCCACAGATGACGGCCTGAACCCGTCTGACATCGAGGTTCGTGAAAAACAATGCCGCACCTGGGGCCGGTCAATGTCAAAATGATCCCGGCGAGAACTGGTTAACACCACTTAAAAAGAAAAAAAATTAAAACTAAATCGAAACTCTATCTTTGGTAACAAACAGAAATTCAGTTAAAGCTGCCTAATTAAACTTTCAAGATTGATACAATTCAAGTAATTTTTTGACAAAAAAATTGAAGTGTTGATCATCATCATTAAAAATACAGATCACTGCTTCTGCAATATAACTTTCCAACCAACTGACCAATGATTATCTTTTAAATTATATGACCCTTAATTGCTTTAGAATAAGACATTGAATTATTTTTTTATTCAAACATTTTTTTAAACATTTTTTAATCTTGAATTTTTTTATGTGATTTGATACAAAAATGCCCTTGCATTGTATGGCGCGTTCTGAATATTTTCTAACAGTTTTGTCTGAAGCATTTTTTTTTCAACGCAACAAACCTCACTACAGAGTGGAATGCTCACATTGGGTATGTACAAAAACAGTTTACAAATTTCTTTCTAACAAGCTAAATACCTCTATTTCAGAACTTTTAGATGCCTCAAAGGGTTAGGAATATGCTTAAATCTGTTCTTGTGCAGTACCCTATGTGCTTAATCTATACTGGCTGCAGAACAAGACGTGGTGTGGCACAAGACGAGTTGAAAGAACAACGGGCGGGGCATAGGATAGTTTTGACGTCAATGGGCGGGGCATTGGAGTTAAGTGGGTGAGGCAAGAGAGAAGTATGGGTGTGGCTCAAAACAAGCTGAAAAACAACACTGAGGGTTCTGTAGCTGAGTCTTGGCATCAAGGGGCGTAGCATTAGCCAAACTTGATGTCAAGGGGTGTGGCATAACCAACTCTTGACGTCAAGGGGTGCGGCATAGCCAACTCTTGACGTCAAGGGGTGCGGCATAGCCGAGTCTTGACGTCAAGGGGCGTAGCTTTAGCCTAGCTTGACGTCAAGGGGTGTGTCATAACCAAATATTGACATCAAGGGGTGCGGCTAGCCAAATCTTGACATCAAGGGGCGGGGCATAGCCAAATCTCTACATCAAGGGGCGTGGCACAGCTGAGTCTTGACATCAAGGGGCCCGGCATAGCCACGTCTTGACATCAAGGGGCGTGGCATAGCCGAGTCTTGACATCATGGGGCGTGGCATAGCCGAGTCTTGACATCAAGAGGTGCAACATAGCCAAGTCTTGACGTCAAGGGGTGTGGCATTAGCCAATCTTGATGTCAAGGGGCGTGACATAACCAAATCTTGACATCAAGGGGTGCGGCATAGCCATATCTTGGCATCAAGGAGTGAGGCTAGCCAAATCTTGACATCAAGGGGCGTGGCATAGCCGAATCTCTACATCAAGGGGCGTGGCATAGCCGAGTCTTGACATCAAGGGGTGCGGCATAGCCACGTCTTGACATCAAGGGGTGCGGCATAGCTGAGTCTTGGCATCAAGGGGTGTGGCTAGCTGAATCTTGACATCAAGGGGTGTGGCATAGCTAAGTCTTGACGTGCCAAAGCCCATTAGTCTGTACGTCAGTAGGCGGGGCATAGGCTATCTAGACATGAGCAGGCGGGGCGTAGGGAGGCGGTCTCGAGTTCCTGGGTGCAGGGATTGGTCGGCTAGTCTTCTGGACCTCCTCGTGTTGTGGCGTGGGCATTGGCGTTGGGGTTGGAGTTGGAGAGACGACTGGCTGATATGCAGATGAGGTAGGATAGGCTGGAATGGGGCTTCGCTGGATTGTCTGGATGTACGTCCTTGGTATCTTAGCAACCTACAATGACAAGAGTTAAGTCTGAAGTTATGATATTTAAGAATGAAGATGGAAACTTGTACAATTTCAGGCTATGTATGCTTTATAAGAAAGGTGGTTCTATAAAGAAATTGATGTTTTGGTAAGTTAAGCTTTGATAATTATTTTTTGTAATGGTGGCAAAATTCCTTTTATATGGTAAGCCACTTTGCATCGAATATCTACAAAATAATGCATAATTTTGGTAAATCTTGTTTCTAAACGGACCTCTTTGAGGAAAACCAGAAATAGTATATTTCTATGGCAACGAGTCAGTAATCCCCTTTATTTAGTTCTATCCATCATTTTGCTCACCAGGTTTCTGTAGCCGCTAACCATCGCCGTGACGACCACACCAACGATGAGGGAGAATGTCAGGAATGCGACGGAGGCCCAGAGGAGGTTGATGTAACCGCTGACGTCAGAGCAAGATTTCACTCCGGAGAAAAATGAGGGAATCTCAGAAAGACTGTTATAAAAAACAAAAATTCAAAATCTAAATCAAAATCAGACATCAAGTTTTAAGGAGCAATTTTCAAGTAGTTTCATCCTTTCTTTAAGTAAAGCTCGCACACACCTTTCCGATTTTACCGGTTCATCTGATCATTGGGCCATCGTACAGAGGTGTGCGCTTAAAATTCTGACCGATCCGACCGTACCCCGGGCGGCCCGATGAAATCAAACATGTTTGATTTTTCGCATCCGATTTCACCGGATTTGATGTCACCAGAAAGGTGTGCGGGCAGCGCTCCGGACGCTCCGAAAGGTGTGCGGGCAGCGCTCCGGACGCTCCGAAAGGTGTGCGGGCAGCGCTCCGGACGCGAAATATTGATTGTTAACCGATCAGATTCACGAAGGAAGTCGCATATGATTCAAAATTGACGGCTGCCATTTTGTCATCATGTGACTGAGCATCATGTGACCACATCGGGCGCATGTTTGCAGGTAACGTTGCGGTCAAACTGCAACGGTGAAAAAAAAAAACGTATCGGTGATGCATAATCCGGTGAACTGGTAAAATCTGGGGCCAATTTCATAGAGCTGCTTAAGCACAAAATTTGCTTAAGCACAAAAACGTCTTGCTTAATAAAATCAGGTTACCGGCCAAAACTCCATGCGATTGTTATACTAAGTAAACAACAGTTAAATACCAGTCACAAGCAATGTACATTACATAGAGTTTTGGCCGGTAACCTAAGTTTACTAAGCAATGTTTTTTCGTGCTTCAGCAAATTTTCTGCTTAAGCAGCTCTATGAAATTGGGCCCAGAAAGATCTGGCACCCCCCCAGGCTTAAGACAGGAGTTGTCTATTAGTCCATTTGGCCCAAGAAAGTCACTATATTAACACTATGCATCTTGTGAACATATGCCTAAATTTCCAACTTCCTTCAAGATGAAATTTAATTTCTATTTACAGCTTATCTTTAACCAGTCGACCAGATTCAAATTCTTGATAATTCTTCTGGAGTGGGATTAACGCTAATCCCCTGCAGAGCCCTTAATCCCTAACTTGGCAGGGTAGGATTATCGTCTTTATATCTGCATAGTGCCATGAGGCCGTATAAGCTGGGTGATCTGATGCAACCAGTTAGGCTTTCTAAGTTTACAGATCGAAAAACTTCAAACACATCCCGGACAAAGCTAAGAAAACTGACTAAAAATTTATTTTTTAATACTGAGGGTGAAATCAACGACTAGACATCAAACATTTTTCAACCTTTGCACGATTTTGTTTGAAGAAAAACGGATGTTCTCAATTAAATTTTGTATTGTAAGTAACTTCCAAGGGCCAAGTTCGCACAAGGACTATAGTTGACCAATGGTTAACTAACGTTTGCCCGAACTCTGTCTAGTCGACGGTGGTTGACTATGCTAGTCGACTATTTGGAACCAGCCTACTGGGGTTGGTTGCTTCGCTGGTAACCAATAGCCGCCCGCAATCATAACGCTAGCAGAGAGCCAGGATCCAGAAGTTTTGCGATGACATTTTGACCAGCGTTTGACTAGAGACGTTCGCACGTTGCTATTAGTGCGCAGGCGTAAAGTACGTCACAAATCAACCACTAGTCGACTAATGGTCCTTGCCCGAACTTGGCCAAGTTTGTAAAAGAATATGGCGTTTGTCTGAGCTATTTTGTGTATTATTTGAACCTCTACAGTAAAAGTTAAGAATTTAGGGGAATATCTTGAAGTGACGACTGTTCATTACCTGACAGACTGAAAGGCACAGTTAGCTTCCCTCTGTGATGTCACATAGCAACAGTAGCACGTACTGAGCATGCTCACTGACCTTTCACACCCAGCACTGGCCATACAATTAGCCAATCCCGTGTCAGAATGATTGCACTTGAATAAATCCACCTTCTGCTCAGATAGAGAACAAAGACAAAAATAGTTTTTACATTTTTAGAGGATAAAAGACAAAATTATGTAATCAACTTTTGGCCAAAAAAAATAAATATTCAGTCTCTGGTCAGACCAAAGTTCCGGAATTGACGCGGCGATGCGGCTTTTTTATATTTTTTTAAATTTTTCTTCAAGCTTGGATTGTACAGACAAGGTGGGGTACTATTTTGCTTTTTTGGTGTCCTCATGTACATTGGTGTCCTCCATAATTTGCCTTGGTGCTTTCAGTCATTTGCCTTGGTGCAATTTCCCATTCCTTGGTGCTCTTTGGTAAAACAAATTGAGGAGGTGCGGAAATAGAGGGCGCTGTTGGAGCTACCGCGGAACATTTTGGGGGAAAAAAAGATCGACGCGCATGATTAAAATCGACGCGCGCGCTGACCAGAGACCAACTTTTTTTTTTTTGGCCTTAACATTTCTTTTTTTTAAATTTTACTTGGGAGCATATTTTGTGCAAGTTTCTACTTCTCTGAAATGTATGAAAACTATTTGACATACCTTATTGGTTAATCTTATTGAAATGTGCACTTCTTTAAACATTTAAAAATTGTCCACGTTTTTCCTGACGAAGGTGGGCGCTGTTGCTGTTATGTCATTTCAGGAAGACACTGTTCAAATTGAAGATTTTCTGTTCAAATTGTGCATTCAAAGTTTGCTCATTAAAAACATTTGTGAGAAAGCTTTGCTCATTGGTCTACTGTCATGTACTGAACAAGGGAATCACCAAAGAAAAGAATATTTACAACAGCAAAATATCCTGGCAAATTTTGGTGCTGAAATAGCTGTTACATTGATGTTTCTGCCTGAAATGACATCACACTTTTGCTCACGGATATGCACATTCTCAGCATAGTATCAAAAAAAGGCACCAAAATGCCCTTAAAAATGGCAAAATGAAAATTGAAAACAAGGTACTGGAACACAAAGGTGCATTTACAAGGATTGCGTTACACAAAATTTATTATATTGGCCCTTTAAGATGGCTTTTTCTCCTAGAAATATTTTCCAATTCAAGGAGTCTACGGTTCTTACCGAGACTGCAGATGCTGTAACTCCATCAATGATTGCACCGATAAACGCCAGTATGACGCCAAGAACCAAACACACGATCCCAGTCTTCATCCAACATCCACCTTCTTGTTTGTTGTAGACTCCGACGAGCGCCAGAATAGAACCCAGAAGGAGCTGTAGGGATGGCAGAATAAAGGAAGAGTCAATAGTCTAAGGCCCGTTCTAGACGCCATGCTACTACGTGAGTGTGGCAATAGTTCGTCTGCAGCACTGCAGTTACTCTAAACAGTTCAATAAACTTGCAACCTAAAATGTTTGCCCCAACTACGAATTGAATTGAGTTCGGCACGGCAATGGCACGTCGTTTAGAACAGTGCGGTGCCACTGTCATTCGGAATGGTGATAGCGCAACAGCCCTGTCACCCTGAAGGATGGTGTCGTGCCAAACTCAATTCGCTGAGATGGTTCTAAACGCTGTGCTATCGTGTGTCAAATTTAACAAAGTCAAATTAATTGAGTTCGGCATGGCAGTTCGTCTCGAACGGGCCTAAGACATATGCTCGAAGTCAGCAAGTCCAGATGTGAGACGGCACAATTGCAGAATACCCTGCCACTCGATCTATCCACCTCGTAGCCGGCTACGAGGTCACGGTTGATTGACCTCAATAAACATTCTCAGCGCTACTTGTATGTACTATGCGTCATGCTCCATTGCACTCCCACTTCGTGACCGCGTAGCCGCCAACAGGGTAGTTGGTTTGGACTTAGAATTTTTTCAGCAACTCCCATTCCTTTTGTGTTGCTTCGTTCTCAAGCATATTCAAGGGGACTCCCACTCCGTAGCCTCGTAGCCGCCAACAGGGCGGTTGGTTTGGACTTAGAATTTTTTCAGGAACTCCCATTCATTTTGTGTTGCTTCGTTCTCAAATAATGTACCCCCGCTCAGTATCCGCGTAGCTGGCAATGGACTTGAATTGTTTCTTTTGCAGTGATTCCAACCTCGTAGCCAGTGATTTTAGGGGTGTATTTCCGAGTGGCGGGGTATTCTGCAATTTCTCCTGTGAGACTTCCAACGATTACAATTTCTACAATGTATGCTAGAAATAATTAGGCTCAAAATGAGATCAAACTTGAGCCTATTTCCGAGTTTTTAACTTATGCCAAGTATATTCTTTCAATTTGTATGACATAATTTCTGAGAATTTTGTTGGCTCTAAAGAATAAGTAAATACACACAAGTTTTCAGGTTTCACTAAATTTCAGACCTCACTCTTCACGGAGCGTATCTGAAAGTTCAATTCAATTAATAATTCTAACAACTTACACCTCCCACAGCCCAGAAGGAGCCAGCGTTTATATTATGAACCATCTGATACGCTACGACTCCTATCGTCAGCTCAACAGCAGACAGAGCTAGGAGAACAAGGCAAGACACAGCAGCTATCTTCCGTCGTTTCTTAGCATCTGAGAAAAGAAAAGAAAGAACGTTAACAGTAGTGCCAAGATTTGAACCTGCCACCTTGCAAAACACAACACTACATTTCTTTAACCCTAACTCCCTAGGCCTTTTTGCTAGGATGTAGCCTCAATCCTGCAAAATCCTCCAATTGGCCTCATGGAAAAATAGCATATAGCCTCAATCCTGCAAATTCCTCTGTTGTTTCTTGAATATGGTCCATGGAGGGGTGACCACTGCCTGAATCCTGCAAAATCCTCCGGCTATGACTGTCAATAGGCTGAGGCAGAGGCAGTGACATCCTGGAGCAGTGCAGAGGATGTCAAGTATAATCAAGGACTAAATTTATGCACGGCTGAGCATAAACAACACAAGGTCCGGCCCAAGACCTTGACACACATCGCGTACTCCGAAATCAGCAACGCACTTTGGCCATGTAACATCAATCCTGCAAATTCCTCCAATTTGCAAAAAGGATTTTGGAGGATTCAGGGCGGTTAGGGTTAATTAATTTAGCTTACAAGTGAAGTAGTAAGGGGACTAGAAAAAGGAGCTCAAGTTATGGGAGATATTACTCATTTTAAACTTTCATACAGTTTTAATATTCCATCTTTAATAAAGAGCCCATGCAATGTAATTATTTTTAATGCAATCCTTGAAAATGCACCTTTGTGTCCCATTTGACCCTATTTCCAATATTTGTTTTGCCATTTTCGAGGGTATATTGGTGCCTTTTCGGTTTTTATGCCAATTCCAATTTCCATATTCATGAGCAAAAGTGTGATGTCATTCCGGGCGGAAACCTACATGTTACAGGTCTTTCGGCACAAAAGGTTGCTATAATATTGGATATTTTGCTGTCGTTTTCATTGGTTTATTCGAGCCTTCTGTCAGTAGGCCTACATGGCAGTAAGCCAATGAGCAACCTTTTCTCACAAATGTTTTTGTGGCAGGGCCAAGTTGTACTTAACTTATTTTCTGCTCCTTTACACTCTCAATGAGCACATTTTGAGTTTGAAATTTTGAACAGAAAACCCCTAAACTGCACAGTGTCTTCCTGAAATGACATCACAGCAACAGCGCCCTCATCGGTATCAAAAGCATGGAGCATTTTGAACGTTTAAAGAAGTGCACTTTGCAATAAAATTAACCAAAAAGGGATGTCAAATATATTTTATACATTTAACCAGTTCATGCCGGGATTATTTTGACAAGAACCGAAGAGGCACGGGATTATTTTTCACTCGACCTCAAGCCAGGCGGATTGAAGCCATCACCCTCGGGCAGCACACTCATATTTCTGGCCTCGCTCGCTGCGAGCGGGTCGCTGACAGATATTTCCGGCCTTACTCCCTGAGTGTTTATCTGTCATCCGTTCCGAATACCGCAACACTTTTGCGTGTAAACACTGCCTCCGGCGCGAACTGGTTAAGAGGAATAGCAAATTGCACTAAAAGATACGTTCCCGAGAAAATTCACTTCATGTACCCTTTAACGTTTTCAACTATTGACAACAACCAATCTGGGTGGTTTTTTTTTATATATATGTTTAAAAACTGTGGTATACTACCTGTCTGCATTTTGTCCATGCCTGGTTGCTTTCAATCAGTAAAAAAATCTGCCCTTGTCAAACTATTTCACCTACAAATAAAAGAAAAACAAATATAGAAACAAAACAAAGACTAATTAAACAGTTGCTGTATGTGATTAGTTTTGCTTTCCATTGTTCAAATTGTCCTTTTGTTTTTGTTAGTCATGTTTTTTTTCATGATTATCTTTCTTGGCAATCTATTAGTTGGCACTGATTTGGACTATTTGTTATTCTTTGACCCAGGGGCGTATTATCAACAAACCAAAAGAAATATGTTGAACTAATTGTTCCAGGGAACTAACAGCTGAGATTGTAGCATAATAGAAATAATTAGAGAATATGATATGAAAGCAAAATCAGTTGAATATAATCTTGGCCGGTTACATTTGTGCACGACACAGCAAAGACAATGTAACATAATCAGATGAGGTCATCTCAGGTTAAAGGTCAAGGTCAATTAACAGCAATGAAAACACGTTTCTGAATTGGGGCGGGGGTTCGGGTGGAGGGGGGGAGGGGAGTATATATCACTGTATCAAAAAGTTGGGGGAATATTAAACAAATTATAATTCTGAAAGCGGGATGGGGTAACCCCCCCCCCTCCCCTAACTTCTGCAGCTTTGAGGTCAACAGCTGGAATTCGGAAGCACCTGGGATCATGTAAATAAAATATGCAAATGACTCTATTTGAATTATGCAAATTAGTTAAAGTGCAGGTATATGGCTATTACTGCATAGGATCAAGTGTTGCATCATAAATGCTCTTTTATTACATTTGTATTGATTTCATAAATTGCATGGGGCATTTCAAATGGCTCTGTATTTGTTTAAATTAAACCACAATCAACTGTTTTTACGGAAGAAACTTCAAGACGGATGCAAAGTAGTGTTAATGTCCATTTTGCTCTTCTTTGGATGTTATGGTACAATTTTACCATCTGTTCTTTCCGATCAATAAAAAAAAAACTATTGTATCTCAGAAAATGGCACTATGGTACAATATACATAGTGAACTTTGTGTCCTGAGTCACAACTTTGGCCTTCACAATTTGCAAAAAGCATCGATCATTTAATTTTCTGTTGTACATACGTTGTCTGTATTCATACTGATACACCCTTTATTACATTAGACACTCAAATTTTGTAGTAAATTGACCCTATCCCAATAATACACTGAACCTTCCCTGAAGCACAATTGCCATTTAAAGGGAATGTACATAATTGGCTTTTGCTGTAATTTTCAGAAATGAACTATTTGAGGGGTTAGTATAATAGATCAAATATTGTTACACTGACATGTTTGAAGTTTTGTGTTCGAAAATGCTGGAAAAACCAAGAAAAAAAAAATGTTCAAGTAGTCTGGTTCCTTGACTCCACTAAAGATAAAATGGATCAATTTATAGATACCGGAAAATTGTAAGGTAAGGGAACCAGTCTAGCTGGCCTGCACCCGTTCATGAACATGTAACCAATAGCAAACAAAATTTGGACTGAAAAAGTGTAAAGTTGGAGCAGTAGTTGAAAAATAGTTAGGTTTTCCCAACGGTGGTCGGCCGACCACCGTTGGAAATGTATACAAAAATACCATTTTCTTGAAAATGACTTGACACCAGGTGCCATAATTTTACAGGATGCTTTAGACTGTCATTTACCAACATCCTAGTAAGGTATTTCGTAAAAACTTGGTAGTTTTATTTTTCGATGTTTGCAAATGTTGTATATTCCCTTTAAAACACACAGGATGTAAACTGTATAAAGCTATCAATTTAAAAAGAAAAGTGCCATCTGACACTCAGTAACAAGCTCCTGTGTTTACATGTTATGCATGATCAACTGGATGATACGCTTGACTGATCTCTTTATTCTGCATATTAAAAGTGACTAGCTAGCTGGCTGGCAATGACTGGTACGCTGTAACAAAACACACACTGACTTATATAGATCGAGTGACACCAGATTGAGACCATGCAATCACAAAGGCCAGATTAATACTACGGCGCAGCTTGCATTAAATTACACAATCTTGCTACTGGCAATTGCTCAAATCTCCTACAAATACTATGTAGTTCTTGGCTTCACTCGCCAATTTTATTATGAGAGGTCGTCGTATAATAGATAATCCTGCCCAGAAACCATATCCTTTTGTCCACTACATATGGAGTCTGGTCTGGGCAGGAGGTTTGGGGCTCAGACATGTTTGAACAAGCCTCAATATTGTATTGACAATGATTTGTAAACTATGAATTTGCTGCAATTCCAATCCTTCAATTTTGTAAATAATAATTTTACAACTTGTTTAAAAACGTATTTCTTTTTTTTTTAATGCAGGTTCTTAGCTTGAACTCTCTGGAAAACTGACAAAAGATATCTGATCAATCGATCGCTACTATGATCTAAAAATCCTGAACAATGTTCAAAACAAAAGAGACCCATATTCATAAAATTCCTTGCAGTGTAAGACACATTCCTGAGGTTTAAGTGTTTCTATTTCGTGACCATCAGTGACTTTTCAGTGTTTTCGTGCATGGCTTTGTTTGGAAACAGTTTTATCACTGCCAGAGGCTGCAATACACACATAAAATAGAAACAACAAATAAACACTTAATGTAGTCACTGAGACCTTCTACTTCTGGTTGATTGATATTGAATAAAACATTTGTTGGTGTTTCTTCTTTACTTCATCAAAACTAACATAAACGAAAGTAAATATTGCCAAGTTTATGTTTGAAGTTGCAAGAAGACAACTTTAAAGAGCCTACTTGATGAATACAATCAAATAACAGCTAAAACAGCACCTTTGAAATTTGCAAAACACAATTAAGCGTCAAACGGTTCCAAGAAAAAAGGTGGGGGAAAAATGAGATGTACAAAGTAATGCTAATGAATAATATGCAGGCATTTTTGGCACAAGTATATATTTTTTACCACAAACCCAACCCCGATTTGTTTAACGCTTTTGCCAGCATGGCACTGAACATGCACAGTACACAAGTCATTTTCTTAAATTTTTACCATGAAGACTCTTCCTCTGGTTCCATGCAATGATTGTAGTTGTGACTTCGTAATCACGAGATGGGAATCAGACCTAATGCAATTCGGACTATATTTCCCCTTTAAAAAAATCCTGCAAAGCCACAAACCAGGGGGAAAAAGACTAAATATTCTCCACTTCAACGTCGGATTTGATTCAAAACAATAAAGGAAGAAAACTCTAATTTTTTTTTTTGGGGGGGGGGACATTATTTTCCAAATGATTGGTGTGACGGAGAATCAAACCCCACGCATCCTTTTAATTCCTTGTTCAGCGCGACAGGAAGTTGCTTGGGTTGGGTGTTGCAATTGAATATCCTATATGGTAAAGGCCTTCTTGTAAACGTGCACATAAGGGGGCTGTGTGCAATGTGCCAACTTAAGAAAACAAAAAAACAGGTCCAGTTCACGGCTTCATAAAAACTTCGTAATAATGTAAGATGTGCCAACTCAAACATGAAACCTTCAAAAAATTAATTTATTAATTAACCTAATTAACAGTAAGTAATCAATATTTATTATGCATCAGCGAAATAATTTAATTTTTGTTTGTCAAATTACAAACATACAACCAAAATATCCATAAAACAAAAAGACAAAAATACGATTGGAATATGTATGCAAATTAACCTCCTGGACAATTTAATACAATCCATATTCCTATCTCTGTGTTCAAACCCTCCGATCCTTGGATAAAAAAAACGACGTCACAACTCGTACTCGTAATTTGTCGTATAGGCCTAGATAGTCGTAAATGTCTTACCAAATTTGCCACGAAAGCAAAATTACACGCAGTCACAATTCGCAAAAAATATCACTCGGAAAAATAGATATCTTACCAAATTGTGAGCTTGTAGCCAAACCAAATGCGGCGATCCCAAATGAACAAAGACCGATCGTGTATGATGTACACAAGTCAGCAACAACAAAGCACGTTGCGATATGCGATCAGCTGGCTGGTCTTATTGATGTTTTTCTGCCAGGTTTTACCCCAGATGATGTCAACAATGCAATGTGCCGGGGTCAGAGGGGAATCCCTTGGACCTATCCGACCAATCAGCGCGCGATCTTAAGTGGTTACCTCATTTGTTACTAAATATAACTGTGGATTTATTGGTCACCGGGGGTAAATTGGCACGTACTGGCCGACAGAGGGGGTACTTCTGGCATTCCAAAAATGGCGTCTGGTTTGAGTGTTGTTGACTCGGGGCAACGGAAAGTTCAACTGTTATTGTAATGAATTTCGGCGTTTGAACTCGGTATATGACATGTGGGGTTACTGCAAATTGACGTCGTCACTATAGAGTTAACAAAGTAAGTGAACTTTTCGATGTAAACTACATATAAATGGTAAAAATGTTTTATTTAGGCCCGTTGCATTTGTTTTGTGAGTGGATGGTGAATTTAATTGTAAACCACACACAAATTGTGTTGAGCGCCCTCACAATATTTAGTACCATTTCAGGCAAGATTACCATATGCGAAGTTCACTAATTTTCCTCTGTATTGACTTACAAGCCCCCAGATAGTAATTTCATGTCATCAAAGTCAATTTGAGCAGTGAGAAAATACAAGCATTTTCTTAGAAAACACTTAGAATTTTTCAGTCCAATCTCATAGGGTTTGTACACAGGGTGTTGAGTGAACTTTGTATAGGCCCTGGAAATCTTTCCCAATTTCATTCGATTGAACATTGTTTGTTAGTTCAATTTTTAATCCGGAGTAATTATATTTACACCTTTTTGAAAAAAATGTTGCAACCTGACGCCTTTTTTTCCCTTCATATTATAAATAGGCCCTAATCTCAAAGTAGGCCATTCATTGCAAAAATGATAAGATTAGAAATTATGAATCTGGGACTGAGAAACATTTCCAGTTTTGTTATGTTAGTAAATACTCAGAAGATTTTCTTGACTCTCCATAGACTTTGTGCACAACCGCTGAATTAGCGTCAGGTTGCAACATTCTTTCCCATCTTTTTATGACAATATTGGAAAAAAAATGTTTCCAAATACACAACAATATTGCTAGCCTTAGGTTACAGCTTTTCATAATATTTCATAGTTTATGTTTTTGCTAGGACTCTCATTTCACCTTCAAATTCATAATTTAGTTAAACTAATTATAGGTTGCCAATAATACACATTACTTTGTTAGAATTGTCACCCTTTTTTATGACTAATGTTGCTGCTTGACTTTTTTCAGTGATGCATGGGTCGTATTACCCATCACCCCGTGGGGCAGGAGGCAGCACAAGTTACGTCTACACCAACGGACACGTACCCAATGGAACACCTCGTGCTGCACCGACCGCCATGAACGGTGGTCCGGGGTTCACCTTCCAAAAGAGACAAGAGAGGATTGATTGGAGGAAAATGGGTGAGGAGAACAACGCAAACAAATAATCATTGCATGGTTAAGAATTCACAGTCACAAAAAACCAACCCAACAAATAGAGAGAAAAAAAATGCTCTTACAAAAGATAATAATTAAACTATTTTTAGACAAGATTAAAATGATACTTTCCTGAATACTTTGGCCGTTTACAATATCCGGTTCGTAAGTGACCGAGTCATACACGCGCATGCACTACTGATTACTTGCGCCCACTGGCTAAAATGGAGTGTCATGGCCTAGCGGTTAAGAGCACCGGGCTCATGTTCTGGTGTTTCAGAGGCAACAGTGACGTGGGTTCGAGCCCGCTGGCGAACACTTGTGCCCTTAAGCAAGGCACTAGTCGTAGGTCCCGTGTGTTGCATAAATGCACGTAAAAGAACCCAGTAAACACTTATCGCTAAGAGAAGGGGTTTGCCCCGGTGTTTCTGGCCTCCTGTATAAACTCCCACGCGGAGTATTTAGGAGAAGAACCGGAAAGATTTCCATATAAGAAGTTCACTCAACACCCTGTGTACAAACCCTATGAGAGTGGACTGAACAATTCGAAGTGTTTTCTAAGAAAATGCTTGTATTTTCTCACTGCTCAAATTGACTTTGATGACATGAAATTGCTATCTGGGGGCTTGTTAGTCAATACAGAGGAAAATTAGTGAACTTCGTATATGGAAATCTTTCCGAAGAACCAACCAAGAACCAAGAACTCACCATTTTGCACAACTTCTAAACTGGAAGTAGTGCAAAGTTCAATGGTTCCAATGATTTTCAATGCTACTCCATGTGTAGTGGCGTGGTTTAAGTTGAAATGACATCACACTTGCAAACCAGGTATTTCTACATCTAGAAGTATTTGAAAATCATGATACTGATCACAATCAAGTTTGATGGTGATATTTTTTTTTGTTCCATTGTTTTTCTTTAGTTAAAATATAGTCAGTACTTCAAGCTAACACAACCAGAGAAAAAAATGACGAATGGATAATCATAGACATACTTCCAAAGTTTTATAATTTGCTTATCTACTGATATAAAAGTTTCGCATTTGACAACTTATCCCTCCAATGCAAACATAAATTGTGTGCCAAGTTGTCCTTTCAGTCAAAATCAATGAAGTGACTGTTTTCAACAGTTCAGAGCTCCCAGCCTACATAAAGCAGGATTTATGTTGCTTGATACAGCTATGCTTTGACTGTAGGTGATTGATAAGCCAGCTGTGCCTACCACTTGCCTACTGTTGTCGGTTGACTGAATTTGACTTGTCACAGTGTTTGCTTGGAATATGATCTGACTGTTGATGACGAGCCTGTGTAATAGGCATGGCAGGGGAAGAGGATTTTTGTTTTGACTGTCTGTGACTGTTCAGACAGCAAGAGGGTTAATGACATATTTACCCTTTCTAACAGCTTCTGTTGACGTAGATCGCGTCATGAGAGAACTTGACTTTGCGACCTTACAAGACGTCATCATGACTGTCACCTTCTGTGACATCACGGCCGAGGTCGACATGAGGTCGATGGATCCTAACTTTATCAAACTCTTCCAGCTCTCCCAACTCATTGCCGAGTATTTACTGGTAGGTCAGAAGTCATCAGGAATCGTCAATTCATCATTAACCCTACCTCCCTGGGCATTTTTGCTAGGATGCAACCTCAATCCTGCAAAATCCTCCAACTGCCTTCATGTAAAAATAGCATACAGCCTCAATCCTGCAAAATCCTCTGTTGTTTAATAATGTTTTCCCTGGCGGAGTGAACACTGCCTCAATCCTGCAAAATCCTCCAGCAATCACTGTCAATATGTTGAGGCATAACCAGTGACATCCTGGGCCAGTGCGGAGGATTTGAAGTATAATCTAGGCCTAAATTTATGCACGGCAGAGCATAAACAACACAAGATCCAAAAGGGTTAAGGACTCTTTATTTTTAACAAACTTTTGTCTCTAAAGTCTTGATAAACTACTGCAAAACAAAAATAATCCAAAAACTTTGTTTGCCATATACTCATCATTATTTAAGAACCATTGTAGATTTATTCTTTTCTGTTTCTGTAGACCTTCATAGGTCGATAGTGATACTTACATATTTCTGGACATTGTCTGGACAGCTCATTCCATTTCTGAATCAGACCAATTTGCTGAAGAATATTTTAGCTGTTGATTTGTAGTCTTTTCACACTAGAGCCTCTCAACCAGGGTTGAACTCAACCCTGGGTAAACCCAGTGTCGCCCCGGGTCGACAACCCCGCGTTTGCTCCTGTGTCACTTCACACTTGTTTTGTGCAAACCGAGCTTATTTCGCTCGGTTTCTTCTGTTTTGAACCCAGGCGAAAGTTTCATCCTGGATTGAAAATCTCAACTCTGGTCTGGAGCAGGGTTAACTTCAACCCTGGGTGAAATCAATCTCAGGGTTGACGCGGGGTTAGCGCAGCGTTGAAAATGTTTAAGTGTGAAACGCCGCATGTTTTCAACCTTGCGTCAACCCCGCGTCAACTTGTTCCCCCCCCCCCCCCCCCAACTTCTTTCCTTTCCCATTCCAGCATTCCCAGAACTACCTGACCCACAGCATCAGCTTGACTCAGGAGAAGCTGCAGCAGTCCGAGGAATCCCACAATGCAACGCAGGTTGAGGTCAGCAAGGTCAGACAGGAGGTCAAGAAGATCAAAGAGGAGTGTCACAAACGGAAGAAGATGCTCAAGCAACAGCAGAACCTCATCCAGGCTGGAGCCAATAATTATCACAAGGTAGTAAACACATACACCCTTAATGAACGGAAAGTTTGCGGTAACACCATGTAAATGATACCTCTTTTGAGGTGTGTGGTTCTGAGCAGAACCAGTTGGTTTAACTCCACACACACAGTCCACTTCAGCATCCCACCGGGCATCTTAGCATTAAGTTCCAGAATCTCCCGCCTCCATGGTCCACTGAACTTAGCATCCACTACTTAAACCACTACTAACATTGCATCATCGTTGGAATCCCTCATTCTCCTGATGACGAACAGAGCATACTGTTCAAAACGTTGAGTCCCTCTGGTTCTTTCAGAACTACACATACTCACAAAAGAGATTTATTCACATGGTGTCACCGCAAACTTATCTTGTCTTAAACCACTATACCAGCAAGAGTCCGGCAGTCTCCTGATGACAAACAGAGCTCACTGTTTGAAATGTCGAGTTAACCAACTGGTTCTTCTCACAACCACACAAGTCACAAAGAGATATCATTCATGTGGTGTTGCCACAAACCTCCCATTCATTGTCCCTGTTCACCATGCAAACCTAGTCTCATTTATACCCTTCTATGTAACCCTAACCCATTATTCTTACAAATTCCAACGCAAGATTTTGTACGATTATGACAGTCAGGAAACATTTACTTTGGTGGAACTTGATTTCCCAATTTTATTTGAATACAAATTGTGTGGGTTTTTTATGACAAAGTGTTGGATGTTTAAGAAAGAAGGGAGTGTTCCAGTAAAAGAAGGGTTGGCAAAATGTGTTCATAAGCATAGTTATTTCATTGCTAAACTTGGCAAGTGGATGGATAGAGACTTTATATTTAACCCCTAATTCTCTGGGCATTTTTGCTAGGATGCAACCTAAATCCTGCAACATCCTGCAACTGCCTCCATGTAAACATTGCATTTAGCCTCAATCCTCCAAAATCCTCCATTATTTTTTGAATGTGGTCCTTGGAGGGGTGACCACTGCCTCAATCCTGCAAAATCCTCCAGCAATCACTGTCAATATGTTGAGGCAGAACCAGTGACATCCTGGAGCAGTGTGGAGGATTTCAAGAAGAATCCAGGTCGAAATGTATGCACGGCTGAGCATAAACAAAACAAGGTCCGGCCCACAACCTTGACACACATCATCCTCCAAAATCAGCCATGCATTTTTGCCATTTAACCTCAATCCTGCAAAATCCTCTATTTTGCAAAGAGTATTTAGGAGGATTTGGGAAGGTTAGGGTTCATCACAATTTGTTGAAATGTTGCTGTGGTTCTCAACATTCGATTTGTCAAAAGTGAGCTTTTGTATACCTTATTCTTCCAGTGCCCATACTGTGTTAAAGCCTTCGTCCACGCAGCATACCTTCAGTCTCATCTCACGCGCAAACATCCGGAGTACGTCCCCCCGTCGGCGGACTCTGAAGCCAAGAGACAACGGGAGAGCTTGGAAAGAGAGATCGAGGGATTCAAGGAGCGGTTGAGACTGACCGAGAGTCAGATGGAAGAGGAACGGAGGACGATGCATCAACAGATGACAGCTCACAAGGTAGGAGTAAGATCCGACCTGACGTCTTGAGGAGGTTGCTGATGTATCAGATGGAGGATTCTAAGGCTGTCCGTTGTTGAATAATTTAGTCTTGGATTAGGCGAAACGCCAAAAATACACTGACGGTTTGCACGCGTGCGCACGCCAGGAACGCATTCTTTTGTTCGAGCTACCTCCCGTTCGCACGCGTGCGAATGCGTGCGAACGCCCCTCCCGTTCTGCAGGCGTTCCTTTACAACAAAAGGCCAGTCACGGTCTGTGCACACAGGAAGAACTCAGCAACACCAACACTAAAAGCAGGGTTCGACCTTAACTTTTTTGTGCACTAGCCAGCCGGGCTACTGAAACAGACTCTTAACTAGCCCGTGGGCATTTTCACTAAACCGCCTTTTTTTTTTTATCTCATTTTTTTTTATCTTATCTCAAATACAAAATGCCATATTTTCAGGCTCAATTCTGAGGCAATTTTGTCAGTGTTTTAAATAAACAGATCTTATTTAACCCTTTAAAACAGTTGATAAAATTAAACACAAATTGATGAGGTTTGCTTTCTGAATGTAATGATTTATTTCTTCCTGTCCTTTCATCTTTGCCGTATCCCAATAATTTTTGACTCGCCAACCGGGGGCTACTTAAGGAATAGTTTGACTAGCCCGCCGCTGTTTTGACTACCATTTGGCTAGTGGGCTACCACTAATTTCGAACCCTGACTAAAAGTGTGCGAAGAAAAATGTGTTTAGTCCTCGTAATAATGAAAACTGTGTTTGACCGAATATTCGGATATTGGAAACTGCCAGCTGCAAATGTGTGCTGCGCCGGTAGAAAGTTGCACAAAGAGTGTGGCAGTTATTAAATTGACGTCCAACAATAGATATTGGGCGCTGGAGAATTTTGCAGTAAGTATTAAGTGCTGTATAAGGACTTTAACCTGCTAAAAGGATGTGAACAATGAACCGCCGTCGACAATAAAGTCACCGTCGACAAAAAAACGACACCTGACAATAAAGCTTTGCAACTTTGCATGTGCGCAGGTTATTGTTTTTGTTAAATATTCAAACTGGCAAATAGTTATTCGAATGTTGGGATGACGATCGAATATTCAAGTATTTGATATATTTGGGACAGCCCTAAAGGATGCTTCATTGTAATTTCAAATTCTGGTTTAGATTTTGTTCTGTCTTTTCCTTTGGTCATCTGTTGAATTCAAGTTGGCTTTCGTTTGTCTATTTTCAGGAGAGTCTTGCCAGGGAAGACAGTAAGAGACTCGAGGAGTTGCAGAGGCAACAGATGGATTCTTGGAAACAAGAACAGCTAGAATCACAAAGAGTAAGGTCCAGATGAGTAAACAAAGATTTATCTTACAGAAGCTGCGTCAGGTTATCATTTGCTTCCCAACCCCCCTCCCTACCCCAGAATGTGGGGGAGTCTGGCCTAGTGGTTAGGGTTTGTGACTCATGATCAGTGGGTCAGGGTTCGAATCCAGCCACCTGCCGTATGTCGTGTCCTTGGGCAAGCCACTTGACACAGGAGTGTAAACGGGCACCGGCATTAGCTGGGGAGTAACCTGCGATGGACTAGCATCCAGTCCAGGGGGAATAGAAACAATCTCAGTCCTTTCATGCTACTGAAACCGGAGATAAACGCCGGCCTGATGGGCCACATTGGCTCTTGAAAGACTTTACTTTTTTGAACCGTCTCCCAGAATACATCACAATGTTTATGTCTTAGTGATGATGATGCACTCCTCTTCCTCTTATTGTTTTGCCAGAGTGAGATGGAGCGGATGCAGGAGATGTTCATGAAGGAACTGAAGGAGATGAATGAGAAATACTCCTCCTCCCAGCTGGCTCTGGAGGACCTTCAGTCCAAGTATGGTGAGTCAAACAGCATTTTGCACTCTGATAACCGTTCTTAATAACTTATACAAGTTTCATCATGATCCATCTCTTGGCCCGTCTGGCGGTTGGGGTGCACAAAACAGATCATGCAGCTGAAACGGTTTCCAAATCTTAATCTTTGGGGTGCCACTGCAAGCAGATTTGATGTATTTATTCTATTCGTTGAACCCCCTCTTAGTCCCAAAATGCACTACACTCAAGTCCATTCCTTCATATCAGCCACAGAGCTCGGCCTGTATGGGACTGCCCACCTCTACATTTTTTTCAAACACACCCTTGAATTCGGGCGATTCACAATGCAGTGCGCCACCAAGAGTTTGCCACGGAGAGTTCATTTTTCCCAGTGCATTGTGGGAAATGGTCGACAAATTCGCAGCGCGGGACATTTGAAATTGTTAGTTTTGAAATTGTTGGTTTCGTAAGCGTATGATTCGAGGATCTGTTTGCCCTTTTCTTTCTTTGTTATCAATATGGTGTTTTTTTGTAAGGCGGCAGAACGCTATGCCCCATCTTTGACATTATTAGCTCAAGTTGTCTACTGACTCTCATCCAAATGGGCCGTGTTTTGTCGACCGTAAACTTGAAAAATTGACTCTCCGTGGCAAACTCTTGGTGGCGCACTGCATTGTGAATCGCCCGAATTGACTTTCTTTTAACCATTTTGGTTTCTAATGTTTTGTTTTAGGTAAGAAGTCCATGTTGGGAACCTTGGAGGACGAAGATGAGATGGCGGATCTCAAGAAACAGATCAAGAGACTGAAAGACGAGAGTGATCAAAGGAATCGAGATCTTCAAGATAAAGTGAGTATCTGATGCCTTCTGGAAACGGTTACATCCATCTGTGCTTTTCCTTTAAGAATTTGAGATGAGACGTTTCTCACCCATCATCGATGCAAGTCACTGGGGACGATCTGAGAGCTCACTTCTTATATCTTGTCAAATTCTTGTCTCTCCTCAGCTTGCCTCCACCCAGTCTTCCATGCGAGAGCAAGCCAAGATGTTCAAGGACCAATCCAAGCAGACGAGGAGAGATCACAAAGATGAGATGCAAGAACTGAAGAGTCAGTTGGATCAGACGCAAGCGGCACTCAGGATTGAGAGGGAAGGAGGGAGCAACATCGGCAGGAAATACGAGAAGCAGATCCAGCAGTTACTACAGGTGCTGTATTTCACACTATAATATCCATTACAATTTCCAGAAGTTCTTTTTGCTTCGTGATAAACATGTATTTTCTCTGAACCAGATAAGTATTCAAAATGCCCGTTTTAACTTATGATGTCATCAAACTGGAACGTGTACGTGTACATAAAATGTACACTGAAATTTAAAAAAAATTAATTCGGGCGATTCACAATGCAGTGCGCTGAGTTTGCCACGGAGAGTTCATTTTTCCCAGTGCATTGTGGGAGATGGTCGACAAATTCGCAGTGCAGGACATTTGAATTCGTTAGTTTTTCCGGTCAGTAGTTTCGTAAGCTTATGATTTTTGAGTATTTGTTTGCTATTTATTTGTTTTTTTTTTTGTTTGTGTAATGTCAGCCTTCTGGCTGCCTGTTTCAATTTTTTAATAAACCAGAATAATAATAATAAAAAAATTTAAAAAAATAAAAGATGGAATTTTTGCGTCGGGGTGATATAAATCGCAAAACCTAATTTGATTTATTTGTTTGCTCTTTTCTTTTCTTTCTATCAATATGGTGTTTTTGTAGGGGGCAGAATGCTATACCCCAATCTATAACAAATTAGCTCAAGTTGTCTACTGACACTCATTCAAATGGGCCATGTTTTGTCGACCGTAAACTTGAAAAATGGACTCACCATGGCAAACTCTTGGTGGCGCACTGCATCGTGAATCGCCCGAATGAAAACAAATGGTATTACTGGAAAATCTGAATTCCGTGATCCTTGAAAAAAAAAAATCACAACTTAACTGGGTAGTGTCCAATGAAATTGTCTTCTGATGATCACCCTGCGTTTTGTAAATCAACAAACGCAAATCTCTAGTTTTTATTAGTTGTAACTCTTTGTGGTTGAAACGTAGGGTTTCCTCCAAGATGCAAAAGCACTGAAGCTTTGAGAGTCTTGAGAAACCTGACTGAAGCTTTGAGCATCTTGAGAAATCTAAAGATACAAGAAATGTTCCAATAAGTGGTTGAAATGACTTTAACTGCTGTTGTCGTCTCGGGTTTCTAAAACAGGAATCTAAAGACCAGCAGAAAGTATTGAGGGCAAAGGAGAAAGAAATCAACTCTCTCAAGTCTCGACCAGTAAGTTGACATTTTGCATCTCATGTGAATATTGTTAATTTTGTATGTTTTGTTCTCTAGTGTTTTCTTTAAAACAAAGAAAAAAAGCAACCGAGGTTGTTTCAGAAAGCAAAAAAAAGTACATTTTAAAAGTTAAGAACAGAATAAAAGAATGTTAATGGCTCAAGTTCGGTCTGTTTTGTTGGCCAAACTTCTTCATTTTATTATTTTATTTTATTTCTTTCTGATAATGAAACTTGAGATTCCTCAAAAGTGCCTTAGACACTGTAGCTCAAGAGCCTGAAAAAACCTGTAGAGAGGAGACAATGAGAAGAAATTACAGTTTCAGAGGTGGGAGGAAAACCCCAGAAGAATATTCTGAGGAAAACCCACGGAATCAGGTAGCGACTGAAAACCCAATCCACATGTGGTCCGGGCAGAAATCGAACCGGGGCCATAATGGTGGAAGGCGAGGAATGAAACCACTGCATTGATAAACAAAAAAATGATCCTGGGATGTTCTTTATTCCAATAAAGTTTAAACAAAATTAAAGTAAATGAAATTTTAAAAATGATTCATTTTAGCCAACGAGTTCCCATGACAAGAAGCTCAGCCAGAGCAAATCTTTAATATTCGACAGGGCAACTTTGCAATGAATCTTTCATATTTGATGTAATGTATGTAGCCCCCACCGCCCATTGTGCCAGAGGTCAAACCAGCAGTGGTCAACCAAACACCGGTCAGTTCTGGTCAACACGCGCTACCGGTCAAGAGACTTGATTTGATATATGCTCAGGTTTGGCGCCCTCTATTGATCACGATCAGCATCCGATTTTCTGCCCATTGTTATTACAAATTTGTCACTAATCATTGGTCACTAATCATTGCTTGGATTGAATCTGACTTCCAAGGCATCTTCCTGAATCTAGCAAAATCCTACACTTCAGTATAGACTAATCCTGGCGCACTGTCAAATCTATCACGAAGGCCCCCTTCAATGGCAAATAGCATTGTGCTAGCTATTGTTCAGATAATCCGTCACGGGGCAGTAGCTTTGTACAATAGCTTGCACAATGCTTTTGCCATTGAAGGGGGCCTCGTGCATACAGCGATCATATGTGCCCAGATTTGTCTATAGACCATTATCATGTTGCGGCCATCTTGATTTTTTTCCCATCCAAATCAACGTAACCAAGGCGAGGCTGGAAGGAAAAATGAAAAATAGTCTGGTTCCTTTTTGCACACTCAAAATTATCATTCAGTACTGTTACTGGATACAGGGAACATGACTGATCTGGTGGCAGCATGATAAAGGTCTATACAGGAACAACTGGCTTTAAGTGGCTGTGCTGAGGGACTTTGAACAATCAATTGTGGGGTTTCAATAGATACAGGATTGTTGAAGTTAATGGTTTAGACCTGCGTCTTGCAGAGCATGAAAAACAGACTGGATTTGGGAATGCTCAATGTGGACTGATGACGTTAACAAGGAGAAGTTTATTTTTAACAATCGACACTAAACTTCCAATGCTCTCAAGATAACATGGAACAATTTGCCCTAGCTAGGTGTCCTGTTTTATTATCTATTCTGGATAGGACATTTGTATCGATATTTGTGTCACGGAATTTCATGTATCGCCAAATTACTTGGTACATGGTTTGTGGAAAACTCCTGGAAAAAACTAATTTTATGATTTATGGAAATTATTCTTAATGAGATTTCCATTCACCTGCACATGTTCACAATGTTTTGTATCAAACTGTAGATTACATGACCTTTTCATTCATGTTTTAACTAGCACAAACAGACATCCCCACTTGAAGATAAAAAAAAAATTAAGATCACACAAGCACACAAAACATTTATCCACATCACTTTGCCATCTTAGCCCACAAGTCATGATTTCTTGGGAACATGTACCTCGCTCAAAGAAGCATCCCAAACAAAGAACAGGAACGTTCCAAATTTTCAGATGTGTCTTAGTATTCATGTTGATAACACAAATTCCACAGTTATATGTTAGAGTGTTTACAACCCTTGCAAATCGCATTACATTTCAGATAAGCTTAGCTTTACACAAACCGTGCAAACTTTTGAAAATGAGTTCCCGACGGAAATGAAAAAAATGGTCACAAACGTTGTACATCGTTTGCCTTCTTTGCAAGTGGAACACCCCCCTGAATGCATTGTCTGTGTTTCTGTGTGATACGCATGAACATTCACTGTTTACTAACTTTGTCATTGAAACTGAAGGACAGAAACGTTGAGCATGGTGACCATCAGAACCACAGTTCTTAGTCATTTGAGTTTAGAGGTAAAAATCTCAACAAAAACCCACTGAATCTATGGATACAGGGTACAGACGCCCCATCATTGGCGGACACAGGGGGGGTGGGGGTATGGCGGCCATTCCCTCCCCCCCCCCCCCCACCCAATTGAATTTTTTTCAGGAAATTTAAAATTAAACAATTCACACAAATCCCTATGTGATTTGTTTTCGTTTTGCTGGAAGAACACTTACCTTTTTGTAATCCATGGACAGAACTTTAAAACGGTGGTTGTGTTTCGAATTCCGTAACTTGAAAAGATACATGAGTGATTTAAATTATTCTCATACTAAAAGAAAGCTTAATGAATGGGCTTTCATATCCTAGATTTTGAAAGTTCTACATGCAGAACTTAACTAAAACAATGGTCCTGACATTTGGTGGTTTTTTTTACTCACCCTGTATACTTAAACCCCTTCCCCTTAAAGAAACAAAAAATACTTGAGCCCTCTTGGCCCCCCCCCCCCAGAAAATTTAGTTCTGGATCTGCCCTCGTACCCCCTCAACAGAGAGTTTGGGGAGACCACTGGGAGAGATTCTTGAACTCATTGCCGATGGCTCCTGGGGCTCATTTGAGGATGCTACAGGTTGTTGCGTATTGAGATTAAAATTTGTCAGGTGTACTTTGCGCCACATGCACACGAACCAGTGCGCATGTGTCACTCATTGCTTTGCCATCAACAGTCTTTCTTATTTTGCTCATTCATATTTGTCTCATCACAGAAATCTCCAGCAAAGCCTCCCCCGTCTCCTACCGCCAAGAAAGCCCCGCCCATCCTGGCAAAGTCTCTCAGCTCCGAGGAGGAAGAGGAGGAGGAATCAGGTAACCATGGCAATTAGTTTCTTTAGGATTACTCAACTGAGTGACCCATTGACATGCTCATACTAGATGTTTGTATTTATTTAAATTTATTTGCATATAATAACAGCCATACAAAGCCACCTTTTTTCTCTAGGTAAATTTTTTTTTTTATTGTGTCATTAAGGGCCCGTGACCATTCAGCCCTGGTATGAAAAGGGCCCCCCGTTAAGCTCGTCCCCTCCCAAGAAGTCCTTTCCTACCGTCCCAGCTACCGGCCCAGAAGCTGGTCCGGTTGCTAATCAAGAACTCCTCTATCCTGGGGTCTATTGTTTGCAAGTATTGACACACATAATATATCCCTGAAGAAACCTGCTTGTGGTTTTCAAAACTGACTTCAAAACTTCTGGTCAGACAGGACCATGTACCGGACGAGACTGGGCTGAAGACCGGACTGGCTCTGGACCGGACGAGGTACCGGGGGGCCCTTTTCATACCAGGGCTGAATGGTCACGGTTCCTAATATTTCAAGATGGCAGATGTTTTTGAGACAAACATGTAACCAAAGGTTTCTCCTTCAGATGAAGACTTAGAATCAGCAGAGGAGGAAGGAGAAATATCTATGAGATCAACACAGGAGGATCTGCTAGGTACGAGGAAGTCTGCTAAACATTACATCACTGCTCAGCTTTGTTCATTTAATACAAACCTCAAAATCACAACTTTCGGACTTTTCTCTTTTCCAACTGCCACTGCCATCATGGAAGGGCCCATGCTATGTGATTTTTGCAATGCAATCCTTGAAAATGCACCTTTGTGTCCCATTCAACATCATTTTCAATTTTCGTTTTACCATTTCTAAGGGTATTTTGGTGCCTTTTTGGTTTTCATGCTAATGCAAATGTACATATTCATGAGCAAAAGTGTGATGTCACTCCAGGCAAAAACTTAGTGTTGCAGTTATGCCAAAAGTTGGCAGTATTTTGGATATTTTGCTGTCCGAAATTTTCTTTTCCGTGGTGATTCATTGCTGTGTCAGTACGTGGCAGTATAAAGCCAATAACCAGACGTTTCTCAGGTTTTTTATCAAAGAGCAAAGTTTCTGGGTTCACAATTAGAACATAAAAGTGTGAAAAATGCATGCCCGCATGTTGCTCGAAATTTCGTCAAAATCTGGCGCAGCCGATGTGCGTCATGAAAATTTGACGCCCAAAATGCTGATGCACAGTCTGTAGGAAGTGACGTCACGTGAGGGAGACCTGTACTAAATATTGTGTTCTTAGGACAAAACCCAAAAATAAATTTGTACTGTGTAAGAATTGGCTGAAAGAGGCTATAATAACTCCACATCTGACAATAAATTAGCCGAACAGTTTTTTTTTCCTGTCCTTTGCTCGATCCTATATCACATCACTTCTGCTAACCATTTCATAAACAGCAGCTTCAAGTTCTGAAGACTACTCAGACGGAGAGATTTCTATTACAGATGACAATGAAAGTGATAACAACACTCTAGGTACATTATCTGTGACCTTTGACCTCTGAGGTGCCGTGCAATAACCTGCTGTGTTGACTTCCTAGCAGCAATTCAAATGATCGTTTTCTTCACAGATCTTCCTGTAACTTTGTCTTCTTCGTTTATTTCAAAACTGACTTGGGTTGCTTAATTGTTTGTGTCTACATGTATTAAAGATAAGGTTAGAATTAGTAACGATAACCCTCTTTGATTGTCTGAATCCACCGAGAGGGATTTTGATAGATTTTGCAGGATTCAGGAAGGTACAGTCCACCTACTATAAAATTACATGGGGTTGAAACCACTTGAAACTTGGTAGGTACAAAGAGTGTGCCATTGGTTTCATACACAGTGAAGGATTTGGATGATTCAGGAAAGTGTCTAGCAAACATTCCAAGGGAGTTGGGGTTAAGCTAATTCACATTTTCTAGTTCCCTGGAAATGTATTTTGCACACCGTTTGATGTTTATACATGTAGACAAAATTACTTGAGTCAGTATGTACGAATACAATGTGGACACATTATTTTTCCTTTTTTGGGGGACATTACTAAGCATGTTTTTGTCATATAGACAGTGCAAAAACATCACATCCAAAGTACATCTTTTACCATCACACCAAGTATAGATAAACCTGACACTAACACAAGCTGAAAAAAAGTTACCACTAAATTAGTCATTCAGCAACTAAAAGTCTAAGCATATGTTCATAAAAATCACGTTCAACATAGTTTGTTAAGAAAACATGTAAAATATCACTGCAAAGTCATACAAAGGTGCAAAGTATCAACAAATTTAAGCAACGTATCTAATATCTGCACACTAACTACTTTTTATACCATCCCCTTTACTTAGTTACTTTAACTAAAAAAGGTTTTAGACTTTTGCTGAAAGTCTATCAGTACTAAAACAACTTAGCAAACACTATTAAGGCTAAACAGTAAGCTTTCCATAATATTCTGTGTACACAATTTGAATTTGAAGATTGCAGGTTGTATTCCATGATTTGAGATTATAGACCTGTATCATGCTGCCACCATTTCAGTCATGTTCCCTGTATCCAATAACAGTACTGAATGATAATGTTTTTGTGCAAAAAGGAACCAGACTGTTTTTTCCTTCCAGCCCCGCTTTGGTTACGTTGATTTGAATGGGAACAAATCAAGATGGCCGCAACATGATAATGGTCTATTCCTTGCACACAGATCTTAAACCTTCTGAACTTTTTTTACAGTCTGAATCATTTTATGCAAACCTGTCCTATTTTTGTGACCCTACACAACTTTGAGTGTTTAAAGGGAAAATACAACATTTGCAAACATGAAAAAATAAAACCACCAAATCATTTTGAAATACCTTGCTGGACTGTCATTTTCAAGAAAAGTGGTATTTTTGTATCAATTTCCAACGCTGATCGGCTGATCAGCGTTGGAAAAAAACTGGCTTTTTTTCAAATACTGGCCCCAGTTGACCATCGCACTTGTTTGCAATCGATTACACACCTATGAACGGGTACAAGCCAGCTAGACTGGTTCCCTGACCTTACAATTCCCCAATATATGTAAACTGCTCTGTTTCTTCTTAAATGGAGTCAGGGAACTAGACTACAGGAAAATGATTGTTTTTCTTGGTTTTTATAGCATTTTCGAACCCAAAACCTCAAAAAAGTCAGTGTAACTATATTTGCTATATACTTTCAACCCCCCAATTCCATCCATTTCTGAAAAATACAGCAAAAGCAAATGATGTATATTCCCTTTAACCATTGCGATTTTCAAGATTACTAACATAACTGCTACCTCACTGGATTCATCAATTGCGTGAAGTCTGTCTACTGGGATGGAGGTGCTTTTCACAATCATTTTAACCTCTGATTTGTCCTTATTTGCACTTTTTCATTTTTCCCTTGTACTGTGTGCTGATTTTACTTTGTCCACTGTTGCGATAGCAAGAACACATTTACACAATCCTGGGGCCAATTTCATAGAGCTACTTAAGCACAAACTTTGCTTAAGCACAAAAACGTCTTGCTTAATAAAATCAGGTTATCGGCCAAAAGTCAATGCGATTGTTATGCTAAGTAAACAACAGCTAAAAGCCAGTCACAAGCAATGTACATTACATAGACCTAAGTTTACTAAGCAATGTTTTTTGATGCTTAAGCAAATTTTTCTGCTTAAGCAGCTCTATGAAATTGGGCCCAGCAGTCAGAGGCTTACAATTAATCATTTCATAGACACCATTTAAGCAAGGGCGGATCCAGAAGGGGGGACCAACAGGGGCCATACCCCCCCCCCCCCCCCTCCTCCAAAAAAACGAACCCAGTTTTTGTTTTTTAAGGAACGTCGCAAAAAACGCAACCACTGCGTACACCACCATCTTTCACAAAAAGAAATTGGTTAAAGTGATCAGAAATTACCTCAGATCGTACCACAGAGCATGTAGAATCCCAAAAAACTCCGGGCCCTTAAGCTGGCCACGAAAAAATTGTGTTCTGGATCCACCCTTGTAGCTAAAAAAGTATTTGCTGTATTTACACGCTTGCCCCATTTCTCAAACCATGGCATCAACTCCAGCTTTGTCTGTGTCCCTGGCGCCACTGTGGCCCTGAATGCTTTAAGTCAAATAAAAACTGTACTCTGGCTCCAAAAACAGGTGGCCAGACCTAGTCATAAATCGTTTTAGTCAAGGCTCCTAAATCCTAAATCCACAGCCTGAATTGATGCCACAATTTGGAAATTTGCCAAATTGGCTCTCTTTATGTACTTTAAGGGAAGTTAATTTGAATTAAATTGAATTTTATTAACAATTCATTTAATGAGCAACTCTACCATTCTTTTTCTGAATATACATGTATTCTTCATGTTAACATGACACTTTGTATATTTTTAAGGTCAGACTTTGATTTTGCCCTTTTATGTGTAAAGCAACAATTTAGAAATTATACAATTTTAATTCTATCACTCAAGACTTAGCTTACAGTCATACAACCTGACTTTCTGTGACTCTTCGGTTGTAATACTACAAATGCTTAACACTTCATTTGACCTCTTCTTTCATATCATCATATTACCATTGCGATAAACATCACTTATTTAACCAGGTTTTCAAAGCAAATAATTTGTTTCAAATCTGAAAATAGCATACATTTTCAAACAGATTTGTTTTCTAAATTTCTTCAGATAGCTCTTCCAGCAATGGAAATCTTGCCTGCTCAGTATTTTCACTTTATCAAAAACATTTAGTTTTTACATTTTTGACATACATTGTATTGTCTTAATACAGAGTTATAACAAATCTTAGTCAGATTAGTTGAGAAGAAAAAAAAAAACCTTTGCAACTGAATCTTCAATCTGTTTTTTTGTTGTTGCCATAACTCTCTGTTTGCACTTAAAATCTTCAAAATAATGGAGCACATTTCACACTTTAAGCAGTTGCGGTAAAACCTTAGTACATGCACTTGCATTTAAACAGTGGTCCTTTTCATTCAAGAGATCAAAACAAGACTTTTCTTTTCAATCTTCGACAGAAGATGATGAGAGAGAGAAACTGAAACAAGACTTGGAGTCACACCTGAGAAAGAATCTTGAGAAGCAAGGAGTACCGGAGGTAAGGTTACTTCTTACTACTAATAAAAATAATTACAGAGAATTTATATGGCTCACAGTATCTGGAGGACCATTCAAAGGCACCATCTATAAGGCCAAAAAAAAAAGTCTCTGGTTTCTGGTATGGAGCTTGCCCCAAAAGTGGTGCGGCGACGTGGCTTTTTTTTTTTTTTTTACCTGTTTTTTTTTTTTTTTTTTTGGCTTCAAATTTCGGCTGATGACTGCAAATGGTGCCCGACTAAACTTAGTGCAAATACATGGGAGTCCAGAGAGGCCACATAAAGCTTATTCTCGATCATAACCCCATCTAAAAACATGTTAAAATTGTGCAGCAGCAGGATACCAGTCAAACCAGTGAGTTTGGCGGTTTTGAGACATCATCTTGTTTTGAAAAAAAAACTTTTTCATTTTGCCGACGCGCATGGCTACGGCAACGCGCGTGCATACCAGAAACCGGAGACTTTTTTTTTTGGCCTAACCAGACTTTTTGTTTTATTATTTTTATGTTTTTATTATTATTTTTTATTACGAGCCAAACAATTGAATTTCCATTTGTCGCTGAATAAAATTATTCCTCCCATTGCAGGAATGTGACAAATTCATTATTTGTTATATTACAACATCTATATCCTCGTCATCTGATTAGTCACAGCCAATAGTGTGACCGTGCAATGGAATACCATTTACCTTGGAATGGTACTTCCATTTTTGCGGGTATGCGCTGTGGCGGAGTGCGCCGTGTTTTTAGATGAAAAAGTCAATGACATGTGATCAACGACCCACCAATCAGATGACTTGGATTTTTTTCAGGTATTGTACGTGTATAATTTGGGTGATCAGCCTTGAAGCCTACACATGATCTTACAGCCATTGAGCCGTTTGACTTCTCGATGAAACAACTGAGGAAATATTTTTAATAATGGTAACTTTTGTTGATTGAGCCTTTATTGGCTGGTCATGTCGATACAGTTACACAGTTATCCATTTTGTTTGTGCTTTAAGTCTTCATTAAAAAGCCAAAGCTTCACAAAACTTGATTTCTTAAATATCTAGAGGGCATTTTTTTTATCAGTTGATATCTTAAACGACAAATGATTTATGCAGCAGTCACTGGATGACATCACACCCTGTGGTACACCTTGACTGAGTTGCCTTCGACCACTGCCAGCTTTCCATTGGATGTGAATGTCATTCCACGTGGGTCATTCAGACCCTGATGAACCAGGCAATCAAGAAACCTGCCATCTAGGTCATAGTGATGAATATGACCAGTGCCAATCTCATTTCTCATTGCAAGGTAGATACCTGACCTGTCACAGCATACACCACGGCAGCTACTCACTGGCTTACCATGGATGGTTGGTTTGATTGTGGACAGTGTATTACCTTTCCTATCAGTAATATCCACTTTCCTTGTGATACCTCCACTGACCATAACTCTGTCTGCGTCGTCATGAACAGCCAGGTAGGTAGGTGGGGTTTTAACTGGTATGGTGTGTAGTATCTCACCATCAATGGGTCTGTGCTCAGTCCACACCATTCGCTTGACGTCACCCACTAAGATGGTACCATCTTCCCTGACTGCCACACTCTGTGGGTCGACTTGCGTCTTGTCGTCCTCACCCTTTGGCTCTGTAAGAACCGGGAATCCTGCCCACTCGTCTGTGTTATAAAGCGTGACACACTTGTTGTGTTCTACGACTACCAAGAGATTTTGATTGGGAACAAATGCAGCCGCAAGTGGACCTGGGAAAAAGAAAAGCTATTATATTTATGAATTTATATTTTCCAGCACTAGCGTCCACCATAGTAAATCACATACATATTTTTTTTAGGCCCCCCAAAAAATAAGTCGGTCTCTGGTCAGCGCGCGCGTCGATTTTAATCATGCGCATCGCTTTTTTTTTTCCCAAAATGTTCCGCGGTAGCTCCAACAGCGCCCTCCATTTCCGCACCTCAAATTTTTTTTACCAAAGGGCACCAAGGAATGGGAAATTGCACCAAGGCAAATGATCAAAAGCACCAAGGCAAATTATGGAGGACACCAATGTACATGAGGACTCCAAAAAAGCAAAATAGAACCCCACCTTGTCTGGCAATCCAAGCTAGAAGAAAAAAAGAAAAAAAGCAAAAAAAAAAAAAAAAGCCGCGTGGCCGCATCAATTCCAGAACTTTGGTCTGACCAGAGACCGAATTTTTTTTTTTTTTTTTGGCCTTATGTGAAAAAAGTAAAGATTATCAGATGATCTGTTGTTTTGTCTTGATCCCTACAAAATTCTTCCAAAAGGCTAAACACGTCATGTACCGTTTTATGCAATCATTATTTCCACAAAGTACTGTCGAAATATCAATATTACTCAAATATTTGATATTATTTTGGTATCAATATCGTCGATAGCAATTTTTTAATCAAATTGAAATATCGAAAACTGCAACTGTGTGATATGATATCGAAAGTATCGAAAATGCTTGAACAGATTATCGTCAAAATAAATCATCGGTTTGTGTTTTTACTCTGTGTTGAACGTTTGCTGTATACAGTCGACTCCCGTTATAACGAGCTCGGTCATAACGATATCCCGAATGTAACGAGCACATTCTCCCAGTCCCGATCAATTTGTGTACATTACTATGGGGAAATATTTGGTTATTACGTGCACGGACATAACGAGACTTCGGCTATTACGACGATTTTGGCCGACCCAATACGAGGAAAAGCATTGTTCTCAACCCATTTACAACGACATCTTTTCAAAACTACGGGCATTGCAGCTTGTCAACGACAGACCTTTTGTCCCGGGTATCGAGCCCAACAATGTACGTTTGTAAAGACTTCAATCCAACGTTATTTCATCTCGCCAATCTTTATAAATAAATTCAATGGGACTGTGATAATCGGCGCAGTGGACCGTTGGTCTAGTTGCTAATCCCCTGCTGCGGTTTCCCTTAGCGTGACCAGGCTTTGAAGTTTGCTTACGACTGCGGTACCACGTTTCTAGATTATTACAAACGGACAATAGGGTGCGCTCAGGAGATAAGTGTTAACATTGTAAGGAATAGCCTTTAGTACTGCCGCCCGAACACCGGGTGCGTAATTGCTCCCTATTGTTGGCTTGTGGCTATTAAAAAATACGTAAAAGAAAGAATAGCACATCGTACTCCATCGAGACAACTGTCAAGATTTTTACTGCAATGGCTTCAATCAAGAACAAGCGAAAGGGACATTCCATCGAGACCAAGATGGAAATCATCAGGGCCGTCGATGCCGGACGCAAGAAGGCTGATGTTCGTTTCAAGTACCCTGGCAACCATCATGAAGAACCGAGAAAACATCACGTCAAACTTTGACATATACATTGTACAAATATTAATCCGAAATTATTACTTTTGTTTATTTATTATCATTAACTTAAAAAAATTCCTCCAGAGAAACAATAATCACCAATTGCTGCGAAAAGTCAAAGTTCAATTACACATGGAGACACTTAAACCCGGAAGTAATATTAGCGCCCTCTCTTGGCCGATTCCAGCAAATGCAAAATGAAAGCAAAATGTCACTTCACACGAATGTGTGCCATAGTTAACCGAAATAATTACAATTTCAAAGAATCCCTTCAGAAACAATAATACCCAACTGCTCCAATAAGTCAAAAACAAAAAGTAAAGTTCTACATCTAAGGATCAGGAGTCACTAAAACCCGGAAGTAATAGTATTGGCGCCCTCTCTTGCCCGATTCCAGCAAATGCAAAATGAAAGCAAAATTTCACTCGGCACGATTTGTGGGAGTGACATTTGCCTGATTCTTCTCAGCGATTCTTCTCAGCAATGATGCCTTTTCCTCCGGATTCAGGTCCTCAAATATTAAACAATGTTCCCTTAAAGGTATTTTATTCATTTCATTTATTCATCACCATTAGTTAAATATTTAATATACATTAATAACATGCAGATGTACATACCAACAAATGACCATCTTTTCATGTCTTCGGACGTGCGTAACACGATTTAAACACGCGCGCACATGTACCGTACCTTGTGCACAACGAATGGGGAAAACTGCGCTCCGGTTTTAGCGAGGTTCCGGCTATAACGACAGTATTGTTAAAGTCCATCGGACCTCATTATAACGGGAGTCGACTGTATTGTAATAAAACTTGTTGGCAACTTGTGCTTGTGACTGGAAATTATAAAAACATTAGGAAATGCCAAGCTGTTGGAAAATTGGGACTTTTTGTTTTGCTTGAAGAAGTTTCATTGTCTATATTTATCCACATTTTCTTTAATTTTTACATGGGATAATCGATATATTGATTATTGACAATTCTGATATCGACGGTGCGTACATACACCTTGCACACATGACCACTGTCGGCCCTGTGCATAGACATGCACTATCAACTTGTGAACGCGGACAAACATGTGTTTTCATTAGTTGCGGTGCAAACTTAAAGTAATGGTAATGGAAGTACATTGTAGATTGTGCTTGTATATAAACATGAAAAGAAACTTACGTGCATTAAGCCCAATATTTTCCCGGTGTTTTCCCTCAGTGCTGCAGATAACAACGTGATTGTTAGAAAAGTCTGTCACAGCCATTTTGCCAGACTGAGTAGCAGTTATATCAGTGAAATCTCCTGCACCTCTTACTTGATTTCTAAACTCGTGGCACATCTCCCACTTGCATGCTTGAACCTCCAGCGTGCCCAGATTGATGTTACCAATCTTCTGACCTTTGGTGAAACTCAGATATGAAAGCTTGGGATCAATCTGGGGAGGATTTTGACCCTTCAGTGATTTCAATTCTTTGCAGATGATAGGATGGAGGGAAAGAAAATCACCGTCTGATGCTGTGTTGGTGACTTCTTTTGATGTCAGCAGTGAATGTTGCCTTGCTTTTAGCATCATGTTCACTGTTTTGTCATGTTCATCGTATACACGGTTGCGATCCTCTTGAAGTTGTTTGAGTTCATCACTGATTTTTTTTTCTTGAGATTTTACATGATCCATCATCTTAGCTGCTCTGTTCTGTACTGTTTCCAAGGTAGTTGTGATGTTCTGTGCCAGCTTCTGCTTAGCTCGAGATGAAGCAAACAAACGTAGTTGGAGTCCGTCGATTCCTTTTTCAAAATTGGTAAACACATCCTTCAGTGTCTCTTTGTATTTGAAAGAAGCCTCTCCAGAGTCAATGTAGCAATGGTCAGGTTTACAGTGGTCCACAACAGTACAATCCCTGCAGATTAACTCCTCACATGTCTTACAGTAAAACCGCCTCACTTCCCCCTTGTGTTTCTGGCATTTAGGCGCATCTTCTGATGTTTTTTTCACTGTTACCTTCCCCTGACGAATGTCCTCCAAAGTAGCCACTGTGTGGTTTGAATTAGCAGAAAATCGCAAGTGTGTCTTGTGACAGTTTGGGCAGACATTCTGTGCACATTCCAGACAACGATGCAAAGCCTCATTTTTCTCATCACATATCTCACAGATGGCCTTGGCGTTTTCTGAACAAGACACCTTTTCCTGTAAAGAGACCTCCTCCACTATTCCCATCAAATGGAAATTTGTTTTCAGGCCTTGAATGAGTGTCTCTGGAAGTACTGTCTCTCGTCGACATACTGGGCACGGAATCTTTGGTTCACCTCCATACCTGCTAGTGTAGTATTTCTCCAGACATTTTTCGCAGAAACTGTGGAGGCAATCCAGTATCTTGGGCTGTTCATATCTGTCTTGGCATATGTTACATTCAAGATGGTCACTAATCTTCTCTAGAGCTGCAGCCATTTTAATCTGGGGACAAACATTGATGAATAATGGCATGAATTCAAAATGGTTAATTTGCAATTTCAAAAATGCAAACTATTGTATTTATAAAAATATAATCACCAGGCGAGTCTTTCCGTGAAATTTTTTTAAGGCATAAATGTACAAAAAAACACCGAATTAACAGCAATAAAACAATGAGAAAAATATTGCTATTTTTGTACCCAAATGCTCAAACTCTGTAACCAATGCAGGTTTTACGAATTCAATATTTGTGTTTAATTGTGATGTTCGCTCGCAACTTCTGCATAGAAGCAATGCCCATTTCAAAAATTAAAAATAGGGATTCATTATATCTTTGCCTTGTGATTTCATTGTGGGTTTTCAACAACAGAAATGGTATGGTTTGTAACAAAACTTGTTTTCTCAAACTGTGCGAGCTACAATTTGTTTACGAAAATGAAACAACTTTTACCCACAAATAATTTCTTACCTTCAAATGTACTCTAAAGCCTCTAGAAAATACAGATTATTCCTGGCAGAGTCTACTTTGTATTTTCAGAAAATTCACTTTAATGAAAAGAAAAAAATCTGATAATCTTTGTTGTGGCAAAAATCATCATGACTGAACAGCCAAATTTTAGGTGCGGTTGCTTCACTTGCATGTGATCAAAATGGCGCCTTCAATAAAAAAAAAACCCAACACAACTATTTCTGAATGTTAACAGCTAAAAATAAATCTGGGTTTTTCCTGCTTGCATTCTATTGGACACTTTCCCCTCACGCTGCAGAGGGAGTTCGGAAAAGTGCAACTTGCTATTTACACAAGCTGTATGTGTACCCAGACACTCTGAATGTGCCTACCAAGCCATAGCATGTGACCTCCATGCCCTTTTTTATCCTGCATTAAGTACATGTACAATGTCTGCAGCAGACAATGCAATAGGCCTATACATTGGTACCAGTCAAATGGTTTTGCCTTCCTTCAAATGATTATACAGCCTGTCTCCAAAAAAATGGTACAATCGAAAACAATTTTTTTCAATATTAAATCTCAACATAAGTAAGTCGTTTTGAGCGTCACATTAAAGAAAAAAGACCAGGCTTTCCAATACTTTTTGTTTCATCTCATTTGCTTTTGTCAATCCAGAGATAACTCCAGTTTACTGCGGAACACAAAAATCGAGTTTGTGCCACAGTACTCGAAACAACTCTGCCCATGCATAAAAGTGGCACAAAATCGATTTTGGTGTATCGCACTAAATAGATCTCTGAATTGACAAAAGCAAATAAGATCAAACAAACACTATTGGAAAGCCCAGTCTTTGTTCTTTAATATTATGCCAAGTAAGAATGACTTATTTTGAAATTTCATATTTAACCAATTTTTTTTCTGATTGTACCATTTTTTTTAGACAGGCTGTAGAAAGAACATCAGTAGGCAGGGCTGTGTTATTCATAAGTACAGGAGGCGGCAGCACATTTGCTGCCATTGCAATTGATGATTTTTTTCCAGGGCAAAACTGAAGGGCAAAACCTAATTTGAATTTTTTTATCAGGTTTTAAGATAAATACACCAGCTCTGGATACAGGGGCACGGTTTTCTAGTGCTTTATAGTAGAAGGGGGGGGGGAGGAGAATCAAACTATGTAGTGCATACACTCGCTTATATTTATACACAGCTCACGGTTTCTGTACACAGCTCATGGTGACGGCAAAACTCTTGTAATCTTATTGATCCCTTTTCTATGCCTTTGACAATGTATACTGTGGTTTTTTTCTGGTAGTGTGTCAGTGGATACTCCTTCGTCTGGCATTTTTTCTGCGTTTTATGCAAATGAAATTTTTATGTTACTGTATTTGTATTGTGTCGTCTAATCAAAGTTTTGGGAGACAATAACCATTCCTAAATTCTTTATGCCAGTGTGACCGTATGCCCATATCACCGTATGACCGTATAATGTTAAATTTTTGAAATTTCTCTCGTTTCCTAAACATTCACCAGAATTCCATAAAATTAGGACACAGGGGTCATTGAATAGCAAAGATAATGTGGAATATATTTCAAGTCAAAGGTGATAGGTCAGAGGTCAACTGAGGTTAATAATGAAATAATTCACCGTTTTGGGGTAACCTTTACAACATATTGTACATGCTTTCATGGATTTTGATGAAACTTGGATGCAGTAACCCTTGGGTAGGAAGACACAATTCTTCATCGGATTTCAAAGGTCACTAGAGTCACTAGAGGTCATTGTTATACCTCAAATATATTTTTTTTTCTACAGAATTTGATGAATGCTAATGTCACTTGCATGGAGTGATCCTTGGGTGAGGGTCAAACGTGATCAAAAATGCACACAATTACTAGTACCTTTCTTTACAACACAGAATATATGGATCGACGGCAGAAAAAAGGCAACATATGTACACTGTATTTACAAATTTTGAATTTTTGTTGGGCTCTTTTTACAATGCTGAAATGTTGCTAGAACTGTGTTACCATGGTGACAAGAGAATATCCTTTCTGCCTTGTTTCCAGGGTGTGAAGGGCATCACCTCCAACTCCCTCGACAACAAGTTGAGACGACTCAAGGAGCAACGACAGGTGTTGGCCAGGGCCCATCCTACCTTCTATGACATCAGGAAGAGATTGAAGGAAGACGTGGAGAAGATGGTGGCTGGGAAACGACGAGGCGCCAAGAAGATGGCGGCCAGTAAACGTCCCAAGTCAAGTGAGAATGATACTTGCCTTGAAATAACAACTACTTAAAAGTGAACCTTCTATTTGTCTTGGAATCTTAACATTGTTTGATTTTTTTTTTTTTTTTTTTTAAATCTGGCTTTGCCCTCCGTGTTATAAGTGTGTAGTGCTGCACACTTAAAGAACCGAACTTTGAGGATCAGTTGCAGCACTATAAGTGTGTATGCGTAGTGCTTTTCAATAGCTTTGAAAATAATGTATCTCTCATGACAAATTCGAACCCAAGATCAAGCGTATCTTATTGCAAATGTGTTTTAATGTTCAAACTCTGAGTTTTCAAGTATCACCTGGGCCTAATTTCATGGCTGTACTTACTGTCAGTGAAAAGTCCCTGCTTACTGTACAAATTCTGTGCTTTACGGTAGGCGTGTTTCACGGGTAAGCAAGGAATCTGGCGCATGCATACATCTTGTAACTAAGGATTCTGTGCCTACAGGGTTAGCGCAGAATTTTTCTGCTATCGTGGTTAGCACAGAATGGTGATCGCAAGTGTGGAATTCTGTGGTAAGCAGAGCCATGAAATTAGGCCCTGGGGCCAATTTCACGGCGCTGCTAAGCACAAAAATTTGCTTAGCACAAAAAAGGTCTGGCTTGTAAAAGCAGGTTACCAGCCAAATTTCCATGTGATGTATATTGCTTGTGATTGGTATTCAGCTGTTGTTTGCTTAGCACAAAAATCACATGGAGTTTTGGCTGGTAACCTGGGGCGAATTTCACGGTGCTGCTCAGCACAAAAATTTGCTTAGCACAAAAAAAGGCTGGTTTAATATAAAAGCAGGTTACCAGCCAAAACTCCACGTGATGTATATTGCTCGTGATTGGTATTCAGCTGTTGTTTGCTTAGCACAAAAATCACATGGAGTTTTGGCTGGTAACCTGGGGCGAATTTCACGGTGCTGCTCAGCACAAAAATTTGCTTAGCACAAAAAAAGGCTGGTTTAATAAAAAAGCAGGTTACCAGCCAAATGTCCATGTGATGTATATTGCTTGTGATTGGTATTCAGCTGTTGTTTGCTTAGCACAAAAATCACATGGAGTTTTGGCTGGTAACCTGGGGCAAATTTCGCGGTGCTGCTCGGCACAAAAATTTGCTTAGCACAAAAAAAGGCTGGTTTAATATAAAAGCAGGTTACCAGCCAAAACTCCACGCGATGTATATTGCTTGTGATTGGTATTCAGCTGTTGTTTGCTTAGCATTGAAAATCGCATGGGGTTTTGGCCAGTAACCTACTTTTATAAGCCTGACTTTTTTTGTGCTAAGCAAATTTTTGTGCTTAGCAGCGCCGTGAAATTGGCCCCAGGTCAGTTGAGTTTAGGTAGTTGTCTGTCTTATCTTTCATTATTTTGCCATCAAATTGTCTGTTTCTATACAACCAAGTGCGCACTCTAAATCATCACATTTCAAAACCGCACAATTTATCCAATATACTTTTGGTCATTTTTTATCCTGTAAAAATAAATCCTCTATAATTGTCATCATTTTTTGGTTCGATATCACGTTTACATTTTTTGTTTTATTTCTAATTTTGCTGAAGATGAATTCTTGATCTCAACTATTCGAAACAAATCAAATAAAATCAATGAAATACTTTTGGATTGATTGTAGTCGATTTGATTACTTTACCACAGCTTCGCCCAAGCCTAAACCAACTGCTAAGCTCTCTAAAGGCAAACATCCAGCTTCCAAAACCCCTCATCAGTCCCAAGCAAAGACCGCCAAACCATCAACCTCATCATCTGGGGTCAAACGGTCGGGCGTCGGCCACGCCCAGCAATCAATTAAGGAACCAGCGAGACAGGTGCCTCCACCCGTGGCTCCTAGGAGCTCAGAGTTGCCCAAGTCATCCTCACTGAAATCAGGCAGCAAGCCACCAGGATCGCCTGCTAGAGTGTGAGTCAACAGAAATTCCTAACTGAGTCAACTTCCTTTTTCAAACAATTTATTGAGTATTTCATATCTCTAAGTTTTTAAGAAGTTTTCATAATAATAGATTTGTTTTTCCCTGTGAGATTTCATCAACAACACTTCTAAAAGGAGGAGAGTTCACGATTTGTTGTAATTTCTCTCATTTTTTTTTTTTTTTATCCCCCTGGCTTTCAAACCAAACAGGGGGATATTGCAATCGCATATTCCTTCGTTGTGTCCGTGGGTAGGCATTACATTCACTGTGTGGACTTCCGAACAAAAGAGGTCTACATAAACCAGGTAGAGGAGCCATTGTGTGGACTTGGGCAAGTCCACACAGTGTTCTTCCATTTCTGAAAAACAGGTTTAGAGGCATTTGGGGGTTAGGTTTATCTGTGGCAAAATGAAGAGAAACACTAAAGGGGATCATAGAAAAAAGATTGTGTTGAAAGAGTTTTCACAGTTTGAGAAAAATGATTTTGTTCACTGGTTTTTCTTAACTACATGAAACCAAGGGAATGTCCACACTTGGTATGTAACGTAAACTTGTGTCTGTCCACGTGTGTGTGTTCCAGTTCACTGAAAGTTCAGTCATCAATCTCAACCAAACTTTAAAGGTGGTCTGTGGAGAGAAGGCCGACGTCAAAAAAATCCTTTCCAATGTGGATATTTACGAGGTCTCTGGAGAGCTCACCTCAGTATTACTAATGACTCTAACATATGTTAGTCCGGTGTCTCACCCAAACTCTCCATTCAACCCAAACTCCCCATTCAACTGAGAACTGGTACCTGCCGGGTGGACAATCAAGGCCGTCACTGAAAATTGTCCTTATAACTGCCTGTACATGCACATGAATACAAACTGCTAGGATGCCAGGGGGATCCCGCAAGTTTTACTTGCAGTATATTTCTTGTGTTCATTCAGATCTTTCGATGTCAATGGCGAGGCTGATTTTGATTCCGACGCTGAGGATGAGGATGATGACACTTCGGAAGATGAAGAAGAAGAAGACGATAGTGATTTTTCTCTGGATGAAGACAGTCCCGACGCGGACATCAATCGACGTCCGCCTGTATCCATCCCTGCCTCGTCCCTCCCTACTCAGCCTAGCGCTAGGGGCACAGCCGAGGGAATGGACGATGACAGCGAGTGGGACTCGGAAGACATCAGCGAGCTGGAAGAGATGAGTCGTGAGGAGAACGGAAGAGGAAGTCAACGTCAGCAGAAGGAGGAGCAGGAATGGCAACAGCAGCAAGAAAGGAAGGCGAGGCCCATACCGGCTGGTAGACCAAAGGTTAGTTTGATAAACGTATTCACTTGTCAAAAACACTGACAAAGCAGAAGCAGCAGGTGTAATACCTACAGCAGCAGCAACAACAGCAACAACAAAAGTATCTCCAACAGTAGTGGCAGCAGCAGGAATCGTAGGAATGAGATACAGCCGTGACGGGTACCCGGGTACCCCCGTAACCCGACCGCTGATTATGGGTACCTGCGTCCATTTTATCGATTTTATGACCCGAAACCGCCTTTGTAAATTTTGACACAACATTTCAGAAGTAACTCCAACATTAGCGGCAGCAGCAGGAATAATAGGAATGAGATACAGCCGTGACGGGTACCCGGGTACCCCCGTAACCCGACCGCTGATTACGGGTACCTGAGTCCATTTGATCGATTTTATGACCCGAAACCGCCTTTGTAAATTTTGACAGCATTTCAGAAAGGCAAGCGCCCTTTTCTATTGATTACTTGCTGAGCTAGCTATGCTTGCTCCCAGCTTTACGCACGCACCATTGTTAGCCGTGATGCGTGTACACACTGTGTAGGCTATTCACTGACTGATGGCTGCTCAACCGACTTCATGTAAACATCGGTGAACATCACTAACTTTGCCACAATAATGACTTTACTTCCAGGTTTTTCCCTTACGGGAATCGTGTACCCGGTCCCAACAAAAGCTGCATACGCACACCCTTAGAATGAGAGAGAGCCAGACTCATGTTTGGATCAGTTTTTATTCCAGGTCCCATCGCTTTTTAATTTTTGTCCATGCATTAATTTTTGGGAACTATTTGATCCTGTTTCCAATAATGTTGTTTGTACTTGCATATTACTATTGTAGAAATGCTAAATTTTGTTACAAAATTGTGGTTTTAATTAGATTTTTCTCCTAATTTTACCAGGTTGATACTTCAGATGAATTGGAAACCATTGTCATGAACCATATATTTAGCAGACCTTTTGAAGAAAAATTATAGAAGCTTTAGTAGATGTATGAGAGTCATTTTTCCATTTTTCAGTAATGCTCCTGCTGTCCGAAGAGTCACAGACAGTCACAAAAATCAATCCTCTTCCCCTGCCTGCAACAGTCAGATCATGTTTCAAGCAAGCACTGTGACTAGTCAAATTCAGACAACCGACAAAAGCAGGCAATTGGCAGGCACAGCTGGCTTATCAATCACCTACAGTCCAAGCATAGCTGAATCATAAACAGTCACATCCAGTCAATCCTGGTTTGTGTAGGCTGGGAGCTCTTTACTGTTGAAAACAGTCACTTGACTGATTTTGACTGAAAGGACAACTTTGCACAGAATGTATGTTTGCATAGGAGGGTTAAACAAAAATGCAGTTGAAACGACTTTTTTCTTTATCATTCACTTTTCAGAGTCCAGCGATTGCCAAAAAGGCTGAACAAATTGAGCAGTTGCTGTCTTCGCGTCGCTCAGACCACAAACCAGTGGGCGGGGTCGACCTCGGGGTCAAAGGTCAGTCAAGTAACCTCCGACCTGATTCGCGGGATGATGTACGATCACCATCGCCACGGATACCGGTAAGCTGAGAGCAAAACATAAAATGTCCACTCAAAAATCCATACTCGTTGTTTTGTTCTAGATGTTTTCTCCAATTCAGATTTTTTTTTTCGTCATATTTCAAAAGGTTCCGGTAGATTTTTTTTTTTTTTTTAATGGATAGAGATCAGACTTGATATCACTTATCCTAGAAGAATGCAAAAAAAAACATGCAGCACTCACTTTTTGTTTTTTCCTCCAAGACTTTACCTGATGCAAGCGATGAAGATGACGACGATAGCTTTGCCGTCTCGTCTCTAGATGGAAGCAACTACTCCGTGCCTCGCACGAAAGCACCCTCTGGGCCGGTACCTGCGTAAGTTGCTGTTACATAACAACCACGACTATGTTTCATTCTTTTTTTCGATGCCAAGTTTCTTTTTAAGCATATTCAAGTGTTTTTCAAAAAAAAAATGTTCAATTTCCTTCGTGTCAATTCCGTCTCCCCAATCTTTGGCGTAATGTTGCGCTCATGATTAGCAATCTAAACAGGGCCCAACTCTCATTGAGCTGCAAAATGGAAAATAAAAATATTATGCTTTTGAGCATAAATAAGCTGAAAAACCACTTTTGGTCGGAGCCTCATTTCTTAATCAAAATGTCCAATGCTTAATGAATATCAATGTATTTGTAAACTTCACTCACTTTGACATGGTAATCCCTTTTCCCCCTTATAACAATGCAGACCGAGGCAGGGTTCTAGACCTCCGACAACAGGCAGTCGAAAGTCGGACACAGATATGTCCAATACCTATGGCACCAGCATGTGGGGATCGTCAAAAGGTAAACAAATATTTATTTGCATCTTTGATTATTTTGTTATTTCTTCAATTGTCAATTCCCTTGTGCCTCTTCCTTTAGTCTCCATATTTGATGCTTGTTTTTTCAATAACTTTTCTGATCAATTTGCTTTGTATTTCACTGTACTCTGTTTCAGTGTGTTTATCTTTGTCTCGGTCTGTTTGTCAGTCTGTCTCTCTTCGTCAAACCTAGGGAGGGTCTTTTTGTCATTGTATGTCTCGTCCTGGCTTATCATCCATCAGTCTCTGTTACTGTCTCTTTTCATCAGTCCCAAGAATAGTCACAATTTTCTATGGTTGTGTGTTCTTTTCCTCATGGTCCATCATCCGCATACTCTTGGAATCAGTCTCTGTCTGTTTGTTTGTCCATTTGTTTGTCCATTTTTCCCAATCTTCAATTTGTGATATTTTCCTGATTTTTTTTTTTTATTCAGGTCAAGGAGAATCAGGAACAGCCAAGAGTTCCTTGGTCTCAGTCACTGACTTTGACGACGATGATGATCTGGATCTCAGTGACCTTTGACACGACCAATCAGCTATGAGAATTTTTGAGAGCCCCCCTCCCCCCACAAGTATACGTTTGTAAGGCTGTGTGCGCAAGCTGCGTATTTCCCTCCACTGGGACTTTTGAAAGTGGTAAAAGGGCTCCCTCTCTTGTTCATTTGATATTTCTGAAGGAGAACAGGGACCCATATTGAGACAGAGTCCCCCAAGGCAGGGACCTAGGATCTATTCTCATGTAGCCAAAGTCTGAGGCAAAACCAGAGTTTCAAAAATGGCCCCACTTACCTCAAATGTATTCTTCTTTTTTTTCAGCAGGACTATATCGCTTACTCCGTCCAAACTTTATTCGTTGCCAGTTTATATGAATCCAGGCCAAAAAATTTACAATGTCCAAGTATTCAACTTTATTTCATCTTAAATCTTTTATAACTTGGTGTTAAGTTGCTATTTTATTTGCGTGACAAGATTACATATATAAAGTGATTCTATGGTTGTTGCACCGTGAGTTAAATGGGTCCCCCAGTTGAGACAGTTAGCCAATGAAATGAGTGCTGTGAGTCACATGACTTATTTGAATTTCGGTCAGATGGTCAGAGACTGAATGCAAATTTAGTGTCTAGTGAGTTCTTGGTTATCTAAATGGAGATATGTTTTGAATCTGTGCCAAATACTTATCCAGGAAAAGTTCAGAGGAATTTTGCTGTTGATTAGGCCAAAAAAAAAAAGTCTCCGGTTTCTGGTATGCGCGTGCGTCGCCGTAGCCATGCGCGTCGGCAAAATTAAAAAGTTTTTTTTCAATACAAGATGATGTCTCAAAACTGCCAAACTCACTGGTTTGACTGGAATCCTGCTGCTGCACAATTTTAACGTGTTTTTAGATGGGGTTATGATCGAGAATAAGCTTTAAGTGGCCTCTCTGGACTCCCATATATATGCACTAAGTTTAGTCGGGCACCATTTGCAGTCATCAGCCGACATTTGAAGCCAAAAAAAAAAAAAAAAACAGGTAAAAAAAAAATAAAAGCCGCGTCGCCGCACCACTTTTGGGGCAAGCTCCATACCAGAAACCAAAGACTTTTTTTTTTTGGCCTGAATCGAGATATGTTTTTAATCTGTTCCAAATACTTATCCAGGAAAAGTTCAGAGGAATTTTGCTTTTGATTAGTTTGATTCTGCCTTTTTTTTTTTACTGCATTGTCAGTGAAAGAAACAATGCAAATGTAGTTAGATTTTCGAGGTTTTCTAATCTCACGGTGCTTCTTAACAATAAGAAAAAAGCTGTACAAATGTGTACACATTTCAGTAATCTTAGCATTTTTTGTCCTCTGTACTAAGCATGCTCTTTGTTGCGCTTGCTGCTTATTTACCTAAAGAACAAAGTCTCTGTTAGCAGAAAATTGCACACTTAGCAGGCAGTTTACGCATGCCCTGCTCATCATCGCCTTGGTGTCCCTAAAAATCTAATTTGATTCGTTTTTCTATGATAGACTACAGGGGTGAGATTTGTCAGGATTTTTTCTGATTTCAGGATTTTCTTGTCGGGATTTTTCCTGATTTGTGGACATTTTGTCAGGATTTATCCCGATTTCAAGACTTTTTGTAGTAAGTTTTTGTGATTTCAGGACTTTTTAAAGAATCCCTTTGGAATTGCAAAGTTTTTCTGTAAGCCTGTTTTTACCTATCAAGGTATATAGAACAAAAGAAATTGTTTTTAGGGGTGCCTTAAGGCAAAGTTGTACAAGCATATTCCATGGACCCTTCGTTGCTCTGGGCCCTCGGCGACCCTCAAATGCTTTAGGGATTATTTCGTGGATATTTCAATTTCTCCCAATCTCACCCCTGAGACTAGTCCGAGGATCAGACATTCATGTGTGCAGAGCCACGGTCTAATGTCTGATATATCCTAACATGCAAATTTTATGCAAACTCGGCGCCAGCCAGTCGGAGTCGACTTTGAAGTGTGACGTCATTTCGATCAGAAATGTGGACTGAGCTATTGATTGGTCACCTTGGATGACCTGTTTTTGTAATACAACAACGGGTTACCGAAGACCTGATACAAGGCGCCCGCTGACTCTGGTCAGAAACTCGAGGTTAAGACGCAGTCTTGTGCGTAATTAATCGCCGAATCTGCTCGCGTATCATAGACCCTTGCTGTGCAAGGGGATATTCCATAGACTAATGATAGAGTGGCATTGACCCAAATCAAAGACAAAATGTTCAGGCCTTGTCTTGGAAGTTTTTTTTCCCGAGCTCAACTTGGGCCTTTGAAGTTTTACCATAAATTTTGCTAGTACAGCAACAAATGATTGTTGGAACATAAGTCATGTAGGCACATAACAATTGCACTAAACTTCCACTGTGAACTCTTTAAAAAAAAACCAAATGTTCAGACAGATATTTCATAAAACTACTGCACTTTTTGTATATAAGTTTTGTAAATTATTTCCATGAATATTTGGGCAAATGTAACATTGCTTCCTTGTGATACTGAAATTTGTAACATTTCTACTTTGAGCTAAAACACATGCTAGGATGATTTAAACTGGACAGTACTTCATTAGAACTTAATAATATTTTTTGTGTGCTTTCACATAATTCTTTGTTTTTGTGACATTTGAGGCTGTCGTTTGTACATAAAAAAAAATAATTTGAATTTCAATTTGATTGTTGAGGTTTAAACAGACACAGGACTCGTATTGTATTCATAAAATCTTTCAAATATTCCCTCCATAACAAAGTTTGTTTCGGCCATCAAAAATTGTCCATTAAAAAAATTATAAGTTAATTATTTAATGTATAAGTACTTAATTTATTCAGTTCTATGTAAATAGCTTTTATGTAATACAGGGTGTATTCATTTACATTGTATTTGTATTCATGTAATGAGTGCTAGTCTAGTTTGCAAAGTAACTTTCGGTTTCCATTATTTAGAGCAATTGTATAATATTGTTGGCCGTAACACGCAAAATAATTTTTTTTCCCAGTCACATTTGAAGAAAATATGGCTGCCCTGTGACTGTGACCCATGAGCCAATCAAATTGCAGGATGGATAAGTGCCTTTCTCATTGGCTGAAGGAAAACTGAAAATTTGAAAAAAACAATGTTAAATACTCAAGGACCAATTCTTGCCCAGTGCTGTGGTATTGAAATTATTAAAATTTATTGAAAATATTTACTACTATAATTCTTGAAGTTTTTTCCCGTCCAGCTTGAGATAATTTTGTCCTTTTCATTCTTTTGTGGTTTTTCATTTTCAAGCATAAGCAACAAAACGTTTGAACAAAACAAAATTAATATCTTCTTTAAAAAGTGTTATTTAATCTCAGAATTAGGCTTTGAATGGTTTTGTGATTTGTTTTAATACTTACAAGACGTGCCAGTAAATAAAGTAGTTTGATTCAAACTTCTTTCTTTTTTTTTCTTTTTTTTAAAGTTCCATCCAGATTTAGTACATGATTTGGTTTTTTTTCAAAAAGAATACATTGTTTCATGTAACTGATAATTCAGACTGATATGTCCGTTGCCTCCAAGTCTAAATTTTGAACTGATCGGTATTTTGGTTGTTTTTTTACAAAATAACACAATTCAATTTATGAACTGCTTTCATTGCAAATAAATATTGAAAGTTGACTTTCATTAAAATTGTTATTTTTATCGTTCATTATTTCATTAAAGATGATGGGAACGAATTTTAATATTTTTCCAAAATTCTTGGACAGAACTCGAAATAGGTCCAAGTTTGAGACAATTTTTTCAAACTCTGCAGCATTTTCCAATTGACATTGGCGCACTTTTTCTAACCACGCCCATTCCCCCCTCCCCTTTCAAACTTCAAGTTTGAAAGATTGGTTTGAATATTTTTTACCACTTTTAAACTGTGAGTACCTTTTTTTCCGAATATTTTGGGGTCTTTTTAAACACGCGTTTGAAAAGGCGACAGGGTGTGTTACTTAGGCCTCTTCTTAAAGCTAAAAAATATGTTCATAATTCGTATTTTTAATTAACTTGCTCGTACATCATACAGTGGGTGGGATTTTGTCAAATGTGTTCAATAGAGGGCGCACTTACGGTCGATCCATCGATGTGAATATGATTATGAAGGATGAACTTGCGTGTGAAGTTTAATGAAACTTGTTGGAATAAAAGCATGTAAGAGCAATAATTTCCTGATATTAAGAAGCCAGTCCGTAAAAAGTAGGTGCCGGGAAAATTCTGGTTTGGTCTTGGCCAAGGAAGTGTCGATATTTTGAGGTGTTGGTGTGATGGGCGTGTGCACAGAATGGCTGAGCCCGAGGCAGGAACGCAAAAGATGAAAAGGTAGGCGCCCCAGCCATGCCCAGCACTCTCAGCAGAGTCAAATAAATTTGTCATTTAGTTTAGAAATAGGTCAACTTATGGAAAGAAATGTTGCAACCTGACGCCACTTTTTTCTTTATATATCATCTCAATGAAGGTCAGTCATTGCAAAAATGATAAGACCTGAATCTGGGACTGAGAAACATTTCCGATTTTGTTAGGAAATACTTCAAAAAAATCTTGACTCTCCATCAGTCCGTAGGCCTATAGGCCTACTATAGACTTAATATTTGTAGTACACAACCGCTGAAGTGGCGTCAGGTTTCAACTTTTTTCCCCAGTAAATGCTTCAATATTTAACCTGCTAGTGCTAAATTTGACTTTACTTTAGTTTAGGACATGTTATCGCTTTCTGATGGCTGATGACTGATGTGATAGATCACTGCAGGGAAAATTTAGTTATGTCCATGTAGGGCTATAAAATTGTTTCAGTATTCGGTTAAATTTGTTTTGTTCGTCTCTGTGCAATCATGGCAAGTTTAAGATACAAGTCATTGTATTTTCTTGGTTTTTTTTTTTTAGAAAAACTTATTTATTGCTAGGCTACGTTTAATACTCAAAATCAAATGAAGAATGAACCTAAAGTTGCATTCCCCACCCCATGCTATATATATTCGAGTTGTGCCCAACCTAAAATGAGAAACCGTCAGAGTTCCTTTTTTGTTCCCTTTTTTCATCAGCGAGGAGACTAGTTCAGACATGTCAGAGAGTCATGTCAAGGTGATGGGAATGGAGCTAGCACCTCTCCATATCCCCCTCCATCGACGTCTTGAAACTCTCGCCGTCTTACAGTGGGAGCTGACATTCCTCTTGCTAGGCGTCGTCGTTGTCTTGGCGTCAATCTTCTTCCTCTTCACACAGTACTACCCTGTGGTTCTCCTGGCTTATCTCTGGGTTTACTACGATCGCGAGACGCCGCGTAGAGGCGGACGTCGCTACGAGTGGATCCGACGCTGGCGGGTCTGGGTCCACATGAGGAATTTCTTCCCGATTCACCTGATCAAAACGGCCGATTTGGATCCGGGCAAGAACCACTTGCTTGGGTTTCATCCGCACGGGATCATGAGCATGGGGGCTTTCGTCAACTTTGGCACGGAGGCTAACGGGTTCGCTGAGAAGTTTCCGGCAATCAAGCCGTTCGTCCTGACCCTGACAGGATGGTTCAAGTTACCCTTGGCGAGAGAATACATTATGATGGGCGGTAATGAGATTCATTATTATTTTTTTGTTAATTGTACAGTTCAATATTCTGTTCATAGAATCTGTGATCATTTTTTTAGTGCGTAGTGAAGCATTTAAATTTGTTACTTTTATAACGACCATTTGGACCCAAGTAATCGGCCTTAAATTTGCTTTTAATATAATATTTAACTTAATTTATTGAATTATCTTTGAAAATGTTGTCATGAAAGATTTTGAGTGGATTGGTAGAGACGAGAATATTCCCTTTCCCCATAACTGTTTTTTCTTCAATCTTTTTATACAAAATTGACAGTTTTGGAGGGGTGTTACTAAAAAGTTTGATATTGTTTTGATCATTTGACACATTTGAATAAAGTCAAAACTCAAGTTTTTTTATGTTAATGTTAATTTTTTTGTTTTGCTCCAATTTAACTGTTTTTTAGGAGGATGCGATGTGAGCAGGGAGAGTCTTGATTGGTTGCTAGGGCAATCTGGCCCCGGCAACGCTGTCGTCATCGTGGTGGGCGGGGCCACTGAGTCGCTGGAGGCCCAACCTCATAGATACGTGGTTTACTTGAACAGACGGAAGGGGTTCATCAGAAAAGCTCTTCAACATGGGTAGGTTTTGGTCGCCTTAATCCTAACCCCCTAGGCATTTTTGCTAGGATGCAACCTCAATCCTCAGTGCAAAATCCTCCAATTGCCTGCATGTGAAAATTGCATACAGCCTTAGTCATCCGAAATCCTCCGTTTTTCTTGAATGTGGTCCTTGGAGGGGTGACCACTGCCTCAATCCTGCAAAATCCTCCGGCAATCACTGTCAGAATGTTGAGGCAGAGCCAGTGACAGCCTGGAGCAGTGCGGAGGATTTCAAGTATAATCTAGGCCCAAATTTATGCACGGCTGAGCATAAACAGCACAAGGTCCGGCCCAAGACCTTGACACCGTGCATCCTCCAAAATCAGCCGCACAGTTTTGCCATATAGCCTTAATCCTGCAAAATCCTCCATTTTGCAAAGAGGATTTGTGAAGGTTAGGTTTAACTCTTATCCCCTTGATGAATTTTCTAGGAACCTTCTTCACTCTTGCAAAATCCAACACTATATGGTAAACTCAACACCCAAACTCTTGGCCTCTGATTATGGTGGTATGCCTGACCCCATGGTTTACTAGTGCAATACTCACTCCAACAGAATCAAACAAAATAGTTGGATATTGAAGGGTTGGGATGGTTAGGGTTTAACCCTAACCGCCCTGAATCCTCCAAAATCCTTTTTGCAAATTGGAGGAATTTGCAGGATTGAGGTTACATGGCCAAATAATGAAAGGTTTGCGGAAACACCATGTGCGAATAATTTCTCAACTAAGAGAATGGTTCTGAAAAGAACCAGAGGTATAAACTCGACGTTCCGGTCAGTATGCTCTGACCGTCTTCAGGAGAGTGCCTAAACTCTAAGAAAGTGAATACTTAAGTAGCAAAAGGTGAAATCAATGGAGTGTGAAGTTGCATCCTGTGAGGATGCCAAGTAGACAGGATCCCTGAGCAAGCTTAGTGCCCACTGAAGTGGAACAGTAGGGTTGCAGTGTCAGTGGAGGGAGGACCTAGGGTATAGGAGACCCATCAGTCTAAGGTAGTAGCTGAGGACCTAGGGTATAGGAGACCCATCAGTCTGGAGAAGTGGGAGCCAGATGTCGTTGAGATGAAACCCGATGTCTTGCGGAACTGTGTTGTGCTTGCGGATCTCGATGGCTTCCCGTATACGTCTTGGATGCCAGAACTGGATCGATGCGATGAGTTTGGCCGCATCCCAATCAACTTTGTGGTCGTTGATGTGGGAATGTTTGACAATGGCCGATTTGTCAAAATCCCCTCGCCGTCCATGTGCTCTGTGTTCCTTGAGCCTAGTGGGAAGGTTCCGACCGGTTTCGCCGATGTAGACTTTGCCGCATTCGCATGGAATGCGGTAGACTCCCGGCTTGGAAGAGGAGTTCGTTGCTGATTTCGGAGTACGCACTGTGTCAAGGTCTTGGGCCGGACCTTGTGTTGTTTATGCTCAGCCGTGCATAAATTTAGTCCTTGATTATACTTGACATCCTCCGCACTGCTCCAGGATGTCACTGCCTCTGCCTCAGCCTATTGACAGTCATAGCCAGAGGATTTTGTAGGATTCAGGCAGTAGTCACCCCTCCATGGACCATATTCAAGAGACAACGGAGGAATTTGCAGGATTGAGGCTATATGCTATTTTTCCATGAGGCCAATTGGTGGATTTTGCAGGATTGAGGCTACATCCTAGCAAAAAGGCATAGGGAGTTAGGGTTAAGGGACAGTCTCAAACTTGATACTTCCCATTTTTTCTTTCCGTGTTTCCGACAGCAAATTTAAGCTGGAAAACAATGGGAACTTTACACTACAATGTAGGTGTGTCAATATGTAGAACGGGTTTTGTTCCAAATAGTGTTCAAATTATGAGATGCTTCCTGATTTATTGATAACGCAAATTTCCTTGTCCAAAAAACTTGATATCTACCATACATGTAGAATTTGAAAGGTTGTCCCTGCTTCAATTATTGGGATGTAAATTCATACATTCAGTTAAAAATATGCATCGTTTATAATCAAACTTTTAAATTTTCATCCAAAATGAAGTAGCCTAACTTCTTTTTTTTCGTTATTGCAGCTTTGAAATATTTTGTACACGTTTTTGTCATTTTCAGTGCTAGTCTGGTGCCGGTGTACTCCTTTGGGGAAACTGATGTCTACGTGCAGCTTCCCAACCCACAGGGTTCATTCTTGAGGAAACTCCAAACCAGACTGACCAAAGCGATTGGGTTCGCTCCGCCGATATTCCACGGCCGTGGAATCTTCAACTACTCCATGGGACTGTTGCCCTACAGGAAACCCATATACACCGTGGGTAAGTTGCTGGGTGTCTGGTTGTTCGAATGGAAGGCTGTAGTCGTCTTGTCTGTTTGTTCATCTATTTGTTTGTCTGTTGCTGGCTGGAGAAATGATTGGTAGTAGTTGTAAAGTCTGTCACGAGCAAATGTGGCCTATTAGGCCGACGTTTATGTCCGATTTCAGTAGCATGAAATGACTGAGAATATTTCTATTCCCCCTGGATGGGATGCTAGTCCATCGCAGGTTACTCCCCAGCTAATGCCGGTACCCATTTACACTTCTGGGTAGAGAGAGGCAAGTAGGGTGAAGTGGCTTGCCCAAGGACAAAAGCATATGACCAGCAGCTGGATTTGAACCCCTGACCCTCTGATCATGAGTCACGAACCCTAACCACTAGGCCACACCCCCATACAAATTATTATTGGAGAAATGATTGGGCATTGAAATTTCCTACAAACTGGCTTCACGCATGTGACATTTGTTCATTGAAAGACCAATCATGTATTTGTTGACCTTGTTACTACATATTAGGGGTTTCCATCGGATACCTGAGTACCCGACCGCTGATGTCAGGAAACAGTTCCAGCTTATGGGATCGGGTACCCATAACCAACCATACAAATTACTTTTAGTAACTTTTAAAACAATAAAAAAAGAAAGGTTTTGAATGTCATTTGTGGGGAATTTTCAAAAATGAAAACCAGTCTGCATGGAAAACCAAAACAGATTCCACGTTTATGTGTTTAATTTAAGGTGCGACAGATGACGCTCGCAAAAGTTGCACTTTACACTGTAAAGCTATAAAGCCCTTCAGACAACCGCCGGGAATTGAATCTTTGGGTTGGGTAAGGGGTTTCTTTCACCGGTGCCCGTGCACCTGTGTTTTATCACAATAGGGTTCCCCGGTTCCCGTACTACCCGCAAATGCACTTCACTACCACATGTAGACGTTCTTGTAGCAGATTTGTCTCTTTGAGCTGAATTTCCCCAAGTCCGACACTAATAAATCCCCTGTAGCCAAAACTGAAGAGCAGCCGACGTTTAGAAACATCCCATGCCATAAATTAATCACCGTCAAATTGCCTACCTGCAGACAGACAAACATACATAACGACCTCTTAGACTTTGGATCATTTACACTGCTGTGATAGCAAGCAGTGGTCCTTCTGTGGCTGAGATTACAGACGTGTTCGTTTGACCTTTCGGTAATTATTAATAAGGAGGCGACAAAAGTCGTTAAGATAAACCATGTCTGGCCAATAGAGGGAGCCGTTAGTATTCGTGGCGACGTAGATAGCAGCTCAGCCAATGAGAGGCATTCTGGTAAAATGAGACGTAGCTGGGCACAAGCCGTTGTGGAGAAAAATGTAAAATACTGAACCAGCTAAACTGGTTCCCTTACCCGACAATTCCCCAACGTCTATAAATTACTCCACTTCATCTGAAGTAGGGTCAAGACTACAAGAACAGTTTTTTTGTCATGGTTTGTCCAGCATCTATGACCACAAAACTCTAAACAGGTCAGTGTGACAATATTTGCTATAACATACTAACCCCACCCCAAAATCCATCCATTTCTGAAAATTACAGCAAAAGCAAATGTTGAACATAACCTTTAAATTACAAATGTTTATATTTATAAAGAGTTATTTGCATTGTCTATGTGTATTTGTTTGTTTGTTTACTTTTTTTCAGTTGGTAAGCCGATTCCCCTTGAGAAGAACCCGAGCCCGACCCAAGAAGAGATCGACAAAATTCATGCGGAATACGTCGCATCCTTGGTGGCGCTGTTCGATGAGCACAAGACCAAATATGGCATCGAGGAGAAGGAAACGCTGAACGTGATATAGAGAGTGAGACCAACCAACAGTCGGAGACAAACAGCGGTTGTGGTAGGCTTGACTCTTTAACCTTTAAAGCCAAGAACCAGGAACGAAACGGAAACCAACGGAAACCGAGACGCTGTACGATTTAAATAATTAACCCGATGAATAAAAAGAAAAACTCTGTGCATTTAATTAGTATAACAGAATCATAGTTACAAATCACAACCATTGAAATCCTAAGATATTTATATCATGTGAAGTAAAAAATAATATTCTGAAATAATGTTTGTATTTGAGTGATTTAAAGAAGTGATACAGATTTTTTTTGTTATACATATTCTAAAATATTAGCAGCGTAGTTAAAACGAAGAATATAAGTTGTGTGTATATGTACATGTACTAAATCCCATGCATGCCTAGTTGGAAGATCATTGTGCCAAGCTTTGTAGCAATTATTTTTCATCACAGAACCATCTACTGCAAATAATATTTTATAACAAATTAACTTTAAATATGAAAGAAAATAACTTTAAATCATATTATATTTGCAAATAATTACAATTTGGTTTTTTTTTAAGTGCAAAGTATTAATTTATCAATTTCTTATCGTTGATTCAAATTTTTTTTTTTTTTTTTCAAAATTTAGACGAATTTAAAAAAAAGGAGAAAATTTTACGAGAAGGCTGAAATAAGAAAATTTAATAATGCAATTATGATATCAATTTATATGTTAATATTTTTTAAATGCAATAATGCGTTTACAAGCGTTTTAAGCGTGAAAAGCACGTACCGGCTGCAAAAGATACTGACAATTTGGGGAACCACCAACATAGGGCTGGATAGCTCAGTTGGAACGGCAATCCGGAGGTTGCAGGTTCAAGCCCCGCTCCAGTCAATTTCTTTGTTCAACTTTTTTTTTAAAAAGTTGAAAACTTAAGAATTTTAGTCACTGCAAAGCCCATTTACTGTACATTTGTTTGTTTGGTTTTTTAAACATGTAGCAGGGTTTGAGCAACAAAAAAAAGAAGCCTTCAATGCAGTTTTCTATAAAAAAAAAATTAAAAAGTAAATGAAGAAAATAATATACAGAATTCTGATAGACCTGTAATATTCTATCACTTGTATAGAACGATAGTTTTCTGTAGAGCCTGTTGTATTTTCTTGCAATAACTTCGCATTGTCTTTCGCCGCTTTGTTTGCAGTGTGTTTTGCTTGTTTCCACGGTGCTTTTAGTTTTAGAGCAGGGTGTACTTTGTCTTTATTTTTTCAGTCGTATCCGAGAAATTGAGATTACACTACTTTTAGTTTCAGACTACAAGTTCGATTGAAAAAGAAATCAGCTAACTTGTCTCATAGCTCCATGGTTGTCTAGAGACACTTTTGAAATTTATCATTGTTGTTCCTTTTTTTCAGGGAATTTTACTCCCCCCCCCCCTCCCCTTAACCATTAAAAAACCCCAGAATTGAGTGTGCTATTATGCTCTCATGGCGTTATGTGCAGAAAATAAAGCCAAAGAAAATCGAAAAAGGTTTTTGTATAATTCATCCCTTCAATCCTCAACTTTGTTGTTCTCAGACGGTAGAAACTGATTTTCTTGCTTATATTGCAAACCTTTCTCAGAACTTGTACATTTTTGATTTGCAAGTTAAAAAGTCGTATTTAATCTTTACAATGTAACAGAGCCTTGTGACGTATCCATGTTAATACTTGGTTGAAATAATAATAATAATTGTTGTAAAAAAAACAAGTTGGAAAACTAGTAATAAACCAAAAACGGACGAAAATAATTGAATATTTTCATTGATTACATTTTATCTTATTTGGTAGTTCATAAATTGATTTGGAGGAATAAGGCCCCTGGCCTTACTTATTTAACTCTTCAGCGCAATCTTCCCATTTGAAGGGGAAAAATCCACTAGCCAGTTGAAAAGAATTTAAGTTTTAATTTTGCAAACGCTGTTATTGATATCACTAGCCACGCCCCCATTTTAATTTGAACAGTCTATCTACCACACGTGCGCGCTAGTACTTCGTCGCGTCTAGGGGCTAGGGTTGACCTGGGCGCACGGTTGTTGTGTGCAATCTCTATAGTTTTATTTTCTAGTTTACCTAAGGTACAAAGATCGTTTGCTGATGACACCTGCGGTAGTGATAGCATTATCGAAGCAGTCTATGGGGTGGGCGTGTATAATTGCTGGGATAACAGATTAAAATAATAAAAAAACTACTGTGCTGGTAATTCGTTGATCATGATGTCTGCTGTTGAGAATGTAGTCGGGCTCTTCATGTGTCATTGTGAGTAGTAGGTGTGAGGAGACGATGTACCATCCAGCTGTGCAGACGATTTAATTTGGAAATCAGACAAGTGATTTCGGTAAGAAAACTTATGAACATTTTTCAGTTGTTTTGTTGTAATTTTGAAGGAACCTTTTGCATTTCTTGTGTGTAAGTAGTGTGCTTAGTTTTCTGTCTTTCATAATCATGATAATGATGAAATCTGAAATATTTTTAAAGGCAAGTTTCAAGTTTGTGCAAAAAACAAGTGTAAACTTCCTAGAGAGTGGCGACCATTGACCATGGTGACAAGATCTTGGATCTGTATTGTCCGAGTTCCATTGTCTGTTGCTGTGTTGTTGCACTTGCAGCAGAAATTTTCAAAGAACGAGCAAAGAAATTGAGTCTATGACCTGGGAAAATTAATTTAAACATTTACGGTGAGTTTTAGCATTGACAATTGACATCAGATTTCTAATTCACTGTTCACTGAAAAAAAAAATGACTACATGCAGACAAAACCATTTCTGGAAAGAATGTTGCAACCTGACGCTACTTCAGCAGTTGTGTACAAAGTTATGGAGAGTCAAGAAAGTATTTCCTAACTGGAAATGTTTCTCAGTCCCAGATTCATGTCTTATCATCATTTTTGCAAAGACTGACCTTCATTGAACCTGAAGAAAAAAAGCAGCGTCAGGTTGCAGCATTGGGAATGGGTATCCCGAGCTACAGTCAGTAACCCCTGTTTTGTATAAATCGTGCTATATCCAAATGAATACTAAAGCACGATGAAATGTAGCAGAAACATCTGCAGTATGATCTGTTACTCTGAGGATTTGATGACGTCACACTTTGTTTACACACTGCTCTGTGGACTGTGGGCCCCCACTGGCTCTATAGGAAAGTGCACATGTAAACAAAGGTGGACGTAATCTGTACAGGGGCTTATTCAGTGGTATTATTTCACAGACTTTTGGTGATTTTTTTTTCTAGATTGACTTGAATCAAGATGGCATTGGAGTTCGCCCCTCTCAACATCCCCTTCCATCGTCGTCTGGAGACTCTAGCCGTCATCCAGTGGTGGTTCACCTTCCTCTTCCTTGGTTTGACGTCGTGTATTATCTTCGCGTATCTGTTCCTCTTTACGTCCTACTACTGGGTCACCCTGTTGGCCATCTTGTGGGTAATCTACGATCATAAGACCCCGAGCCGTGGCGGCCGACGCAGCGGCTGGCTACGCAGATGGAAAATCTGGGTCCACATGAGGAACTTCTTCCCGATTCAGCTCGTCAAAACCGCCGACTTGGATCCTAAGAAGAATTACCTGCTTGGGTTTCACCCCCACGGCATTATGGGTGTCGGGGCATTCGTGAATTTCAGCACCGAGGCGACTGGTTTCAGCGAGAGATACACGGGAATTACGCCGTATCTTCTGACGCTGAGCGGTTGGTTCAATTTCCCAGTGACGAGGGACTACATTATGATGTCAGGTAGGTGAAGGTTTCATATTATAGAATTTCTTTTTTTTTCCCCCGGGCTTTCAAGCCAGACAAGGGGATATTGCGATGGTATATTCCTTCTGTGTGTCTGGGTGTTCCATGTCACTGTAAGTTCAGTCATCGATCTTAACCCAACTTGAAAGGTGGTCTGTGGAGAGAAGGCCGACGTAAAAAAAAATCCTTTCCAATATGGATATTTACGAGGTCTCTGGAGAGCTCAGCTCAGTATTACTTATGACTTTAATATATTCTAGTCCGGTGTCTCACCCAAACTCCCCATTCAACCCAAACACCCCATTCAACTGAGAACTGGTACCTGCCGGGTGGACAATCAAGGCCCTCACTGAAAATTGTACTAACTGCCTGTATGTACATGTACACAAACTGCATGGATGCCAGGGGATAGTGCAAGTTTTACTTGCAGCATTTTTAAGTTCTTCGCAAAAACCCATCATACAAGGTTTTTTTTTTCTAGATGGGCAAAAGTGGTCACATTCCTTCAACAATTTGAGTCGTTTTAATTTGTTTTATGTTAATGTCATTGTTACACCATATTGTCATATTTCTTGATCATCAGTTAAAAAATAGCTTAAATTGAATTGATACTTGTTGGTTAATTTAATTGTATATTCTATTTTAAACTATGAGAAATTGGTGAGAACTCCTGAAAGAAAAGAAGAAGAGGATAATTTTAATCGCCCATTTGTTTAGGTTTTTTTTTTTTAATTCCAGGCCTTTGTGATGTCAGCAGGGACAGTATAGATTATCTGCTCGGTCAGTCAGGACCTGGTAACGCCGTTATCATCGTTGTGGGCGGAGCTACAGAATCTTTGGAGGCGCACCCGCATAATTACGCTATCTACTTGACAAAAAGGAAAGGCTTTATCAAAAAGGCTATCCAACATGGGTGAGGAGAAGTTTAAAATCGACCCCATAAACATTATTAATTACTTCAACTCTGGAGAAATTTACAAAGTTTGATTAAATTTTAATTTTAGCTGTTATAGCGAGGTTCAAGCTTTGCTCCAGTCAATTTCTTTGTTCAACTTTTCAAAGATTGTTATCCCTTTGTGGTTCATTTGAAAATTCGTAATAAAAAGCCGTATTCTCTCCAAGCAATCTCCGTTTGCTATTTCCCAGGTCTGCATCGTGACTTTGGGCGTGATCCCTGGTTGCATGGCATATATATGGGTTGATGGCTTTTGACTAGCGCCCCTTGAACAAAGTTTTAACGAATTGGGGAACCGCCAACATAGGGCTGGATAGCTCAGTTGGTAGAGCACCGGAACGATAATCCGGAATTCACATAGGTTCAAACCCTGTTAGGGTCATACGGGTTTGTGGCTTCTGACTAGCCCTCCTTGAACAAAGACATGGACGATTTTGGGAACTGCCAACATAGGGCTGGCTGGATAGCTCAGTTGGTAGAGCACAGAACGGTAATCCGGAGGTCACAAGTTCAAGCCCCACTCCAGTCAATTTCTCCGCTCAACTTGTCAAAATTTGTCATTTTAGGTTTTATTGCTTTTCCTGTAATTGTTTTGCTCAACCTAATATTTGTATGTTTTGTTACATTTATCACCAAATGGAAAGTTCACAAAAATATTCAGAAATTCCCAAACATGTTTAAAAAGATCACTTCAGGAAGATCACTTGGATATTATTTCTTTATTCAGCGCTTGTCTGGTTCCCGTTTACTCCTTTGGAGAGACGGACATCTTTGAGCAAGTCGCCAATCCAGAGGGATCCTTTCTCAGGAACTTGCAGACTCGCTTGACCAAGATGATTGGCTTTGCGCCTCCCATGTTCCACGGGCGAGGCATCTTCAATTATAGCGTTGGGTTCCTGCCTTATCGCAGACCCATATACACTGTCGGTAAGTACCGTAAGAGAGACTACAGCAAAGTTGGGATCAAAGTCATCGCAAGTCGTAAAATTTACTATGACTAGAGCATTCCAGTGTCATTGTTTATTGTGATTTGAGTTGTGATTGACTTGTGATCTACTTGTGATTTGAATTGTGATTCGACTTGTGATTGACTTGTGATTGACTTGATACTGACTTGTGATTGATTTCCGATCGAATTGTGATTTGACTTGTCATTGACTTGCGATTTGACTTGTAATCGACTTGATTTGACGTGTAATTTCACTTGTGATTGACTTGATACTGACTTGTGATTGATATCTGATCAACTTGTGATTTGACTTGTGATTGACTTGTGATTTGACCTGTGATTTGACTTGTGATTGGAATTGTGATTGACTTGTGATTGACTTGTGATCTACTTGTGATCGACATGTGATTTGACTTGTGATCGACATGTGATTTGACTTGTGATTCCTTGAGATTGCCTTGTGATTGATTTTGATCGACTTACAATTTGTCTTGTGATGTGATTCATTGATTAGAAATCACGAGATAAGGTTTCCATGGTAGCGGGAAACTTGCCATGTTAAAAATAGAACTTTAAACCTAGATGATCATGGAAAGAATTTATCCTTTATCATATTACCATAGCTTACTTGTCACCGTATTAAACACCATTTCAGTCCGATAAGCTGTGCATTTTTCTTTCGTTTTGTTTGTTTATGTTTAGTTGGAAAGCCAATTCCGGTCGAGAAGTCACCGACTCCATCACAAGAAGAGATTGACAAAGTTCACCAAATGTACATTGACTCTCTGAAGGAACTGTTTGAAGAAAACAAAACCAAGTACGGCGTTGAGCCTCACGAAAAGTTGGTGATCATTTGAAGAAATTGAAAGATTTTAAGGACTCCCAGAGTAAGAAAAGTCATGATGTAATTAAACAAAATTATTAATGTTAACGTTCCAAACGAGATGTGATTTCCTGTTCAGAATGGGTAAAGAGATGAATTATTTTTTAAATTGAGATTTAAAATCAAGTTTCATCTATACATTGTCATAGTTTTTTAAACAAAAAGTAGCAGGACGAACTTAAACTTAGAGATTTAGATGTGATTTTGGAAGCCCGTGGATGAAAAATTATATGGAAATCACAGTGTGGAAATTTTAATATTTGTTGTATCAGAGAGAGTATTTTCTAATATGTGACATTATATTAATATATTGCTAGTACGTGTGCTGTAATGATATCATGGTTAATGAATAACGCAATTGATGTAAATGTTGTTTCCTGTGCACCATTGTGTATTTAATGATATGCATAATTATCATTGCAAATTGTATAAAATCTTGTCCATATGTATGTACATTTTTTAATTTGCCCAGAAATGCAAACAAGGTGATATTTTTATACAAACATTATTTACCAAATATCATATCAAAAATAATTTTTAAAATGATCTTCTGTTACCAAAGATAGTGAATATTTTTCCTGAAATTAAATTTTACGTTCGAGGCTTTTACTGCAGACGAATAATCTTGCTTGCCATAGTACTAGCTCCCGATAGCTCCTAACCAAAGATCAATAACTTTTTCAAGTGTGCAATCAAATTCCAGTGTTTCATACAACTGCTAGATAAAAGTTTGAATTCTGATATAATTTAGATTAGTATTGCATTAGTATTACAGAGTGGAATTAACGGTCTACTATTCCAGACAACTGATATTTTTCTTTCTTTGTGTAAACCTAAGATGAAAACAACACAAATATGCAAAATCTAGAGACTTCTAAATCACTCTAGTTTATAATGAGAATAATGATGAGTTCGTAGATGAAAATTGAATTTTGAGTTCAGGTATAATTTACTTTATAATGATAGGTTCCTAACGTATACGTAAAAGAGCAAGATTTTGTTACCAAGTTTTTCTTACTTTTTTACACTTACGATTAGATGAACACAACACTTAAAAAATATCTGGTAAACTTCTAAGTTTCATAGTTGGCAGATCTCTTAGATATTTTTTTACCGATAACCATATTCGCTTTTTGTGCTTTTGTACGAATCAATGCTATACTGCATAGCATCGGGATAACATTGCTTTCGAGAAAACAATAATAAATAAAAAGAAGGGAGAATCGTTGTGATGTCACGGTGACGTCATTCGCATTAAAAAACAAAAACGCCCTTAGCAGAGTTTGTTTGTCCTTACACGATTGTTCATTGAATAAATAGCTTACATGTATTACGTTGAAGTCAAAACTTCACGAACAGTTTAAATAATTTTTCGTATTCAAAACCTACATCCATGAATAAATTGTTGCCCTATATTCTTAAGTTTTTCCATCGTGTACAATATGGGACTGCTTCGCGATCTACCTGAAAGGAGGGAAGTTGACTTCAGTTTGTCAGAGTTTGACTTCTTTAGTCTAACTGATAACCTAGCTAATAATACCTCGTACTTTGAACAATCAGCACCCATAATTTTGCAATAACAGTACTGACAAGGGGAAATTTACAATGTCGAGTGATATTACAGTCATCAAAACACGCAACAGCCGTCTGGTACACGTTATCTCGATCGACCTGTCGTTTCGTTTGTATACAAATGAGCAGGGCTTGCGCGGTGGTCCAGGGACTTTGGAAATGTTGATTGTTTCCGAGAGTTGAACAATGGAAAACAGCCGTCGGGTACTAAGCCGCGAACTTTAACATTGTTGATGTCAAAATTTTGTGGTCAACACGATGTTTGCGCAATCTTTGGTTTCGAGATGTTATCTTTGTTATTGCTCGGATTTTCAACAGCTGTAGCTGTGTGTTGCAATCTGTTTTGATATAGAAGTTGCACAGGAGAGTTTCGATTCAGTTATTTCCTATATTTGTCAAGTTGAATTTCGCAAATTCAGCTGGTTTTGTGCAACTCTTCAACATCGAATTTCTACGGCTTCAGACGCACGCTTGGAATGACCTGTTAAAACTCTGAAAATGCCGTGCTACTTATAATTGTGGTAAAAAGCAGTGAAACGTGACAAAGAACTGCAGCTGATGACAGTTATATGTCGAGTTTAAGTTTGTGTATAAAGAAGGAGAACTAGGAAAAACCTTGCATTTCTGCAGGTCGAGGTGTCGCGTAAAGGTTAAGGTAAGTAAACGTGTTTTCATGCTGGTATTTATAAAAACAACGAATTTTTATTGTATTTTTTCTCAATTATTTTCTCTATGAAAATGCATGTTTAGCCAATTTTGTTGACAGATCCCAGTTGTTTAAGTTAAACTTTTGTATCAAATTCGTAGGCATTTCAATATTGTTCCGGCATGAGTCTGTTGGCGCGTTTTTGTATTGATTTCAATTAACGGACTACAACTATTGGGAAATCAACGTTATCAACACTGCGTGTGAAATCAATGTAAACCTACATTATCTTCTTTATTGGCTCACTGAGTGGATTTCAATGCTTTGTCAAATATCAGTTTCTCTCTGTTATCTCCTGTCACATTGCAGTGCCATGTGAAACTGAAGGAGTGTATGGTCCCTTTGTAAACAAGTACTTAATTGTTCCATCATGATTAGAGTAACACATGCATCTTGACGTAAATGCACTTCTAAAACCAAAAACTCCCAATTTTTCTTTTTTTACAGCGAAATATTGATATATTCAGCTGATTTTCTGTGAGGTTGAAGCCACCGTTACCATGGATACGGCTCTAATGGTGGAATATTCCAAGGAGTTGAAGAAACTCCGATCTCGAGTCGACTCCGCCTCCGTCACCTTCCAAGTCAACTTCTTAGAATCCTGGACACGCCTCTTGGAGGCGCTCTCCTGCCTCCATTACGTCACCACCTTCATCTTCGTCGGCCATGTCAGCCTCGCTATCATCGTCTACCTCCTCTTCACCGATTTCTACTGGGTGTCTCTGATCTACATAGCCTGGCTGGCGTACGATTGGAACACCCCTTGTAGAGGATCGAGGTTGTGGATGTGGGTCCGCCGATGGGAGATCTGGAAGCGAGGCCGAGATTACTTTCCCGTCAACTTGGTCAAGACGGCCGAGTTGGATCCAGCCAAGAACTACCTCATGGGATGCCACCCTCACGGCGTCCTTGTCTTCGGAGGTTTCTTTAACTTCGCCACTGATGCGACTGGCCTGAGCACCGTGTTTCCGGGGATGAAGGTGTTCCTTATGACGTTGCATCAGATGTTCAAGATGCCCGTCTTCAGGGATTACTTCATGCTCTCAGGTAGAACATTTTTGTCTTTCTGTGTTCACCTTACGTCTTACAGATTTGTCCTTTTTGTTGCATTTAAGAAACATTTTGCCAAAATAAAACCGTATCTGTAACTTTCTCGATTTGTGTAACTGACAGGTCGCTCCAATTTGTTTGCTTCAGTTTTTGATCCTGAGAAACGTGTTTACCGCGCAAATGGAAATGAAACAAAATTCAAATGTTGTAGTGTTGTCCGTGGAAAGAATAGATGAAGGGGTTAAAAAATTTAAAGGTAATTTATTTTGCAAATTGATACCATATATCTATTTGGTTTATGCAGACATGCAGACTGTGAAATACAGGGTGAGAAAAAAATAAAACGAAACCCAAATGGCGGAATAAATTTTTGAATGAAGTTTTTCCTGTATCACTTCCAAAATCTAGGACATGAAAGCCCAATCAATGAGCTTTCTTTCAGTACAAGAATCATTCAAATCGCTTATGTATTTTTCAAGTTACGGAATTTTAAACACAACCACCGTTTTAAAGTTCTGTCCACGGATCACAAAAAAGTGTGAGTTCTTTCAGCAAAACGAAAACAATTCAAACACATCCCTATTTGATTTGTTTTCGTTTTGCTGAAAGAACAATTATTTTTTAGTTACATGAGTGATTTGAATGATTCTCATACTAAAAGAAAGCTTAATGACTGGGCTTTCATATCCTAGATTTTGCTACAAGCAACACTTCGTTCAAATCTGGGTCCTGTGATTTTGGTTTCGTTTTGTTACTCACCCTGTAGACAACTCGATCCTTAACATTTTGAATTTTAATTATGACGTTCCTCTTTCACTTATGAATATTCAGGTTCAACGAGTGTCCGTAAGGACAGCATTGAGTGGCTTCTGAGCCAGAATGGCGTGGGGAACGTCGGCGTTGTGGTCGTTGGGGGCGCTCAAGAAGCACTGGACGCGCATCCGGGAGTGCATCGTCTCAGCATCCAAGCCAGGAAAGGATTCGTCAAGTTGGCTCTCGTACACGGGTAATTAAAATTAAAATTAATTAAATTTAAAAAAAAATCATTCATAAAACAGTCGTTATTATAATCGGTGACTTAAACAGAGATTAGATCTTGTCAAAATAAATTGTTAGTTTACTTTAAAGGTAGAGTAGACCATTTGTCATTTGTGCCAATTTTTTTTTTTTTGGTTTGAAGCAACAAAAGTGCTCAAAATCTAAAGAAGGGTGCTTAACAACTAACCTGATGAAGTTTCAGCTCAGTGAATGCTGTATATTCGGAGAAGACAATATTCTAGGATCTCGTTTTCAATTCGAAAGTTGCCGAGTCATGCTTTGAAAGTTGCGCCCGAAATCAGCGTCCGGGACAGGTTCTCAGTCAGTCGACAGCTACGCGATGTCACACCGTGTGCTTTCCAATCATAATTTCGTCAGTTACTTTTTGGATAGCTGCAAAATGATGTACGTGTACTTACCTTTAAATATAATACAGGCCCCTAAACCAATACGAATTTGAACATTTTTTTTTCTAAATAAAGTTTTGAAAACTAAAACAGCTTGTTAACTAATAAAGGTTATTTTGAATGATGGATGCTACTATCCCCCCCCCCCCCACAAAAAAAAAATAGCACGAGGTGAGAAAATAACATTATTTTCATTCAATTATTTTCTGTTCTGACAGCGCCGATTTGGTCCCTGCCTACACGTTTGGTGAAAACAACGCCTACGACCAAATCGCCAATGCTCCGGGGACGAGGTTGAGACGCTTTCAGAATTTCATGACGCAGATTTGTGGCTTCAGTCCGCCGCTCTTCTACGGACGAGGTTTCTCCATACTGCCGTACAGAACGCCCATAACGACAGTCGGTAAGGAAACGATCGTTATAATGATGAAAAGCTAGCTTAGAAATAAACCCAAGTTTCGTTGGTGTTTGCAGCTATCCAAAAAGTAACTGACGATATTCTTGTTGAAAAGCATACTTGATTTAAAGACAGTAATGGCACTAAACTTTCTGTGAAATTATTCTTTCTCTCATTTTGAAGAAAACAATAAAAGAAGGCCATTTCCAACGATGCGTCAGAAGACGCATTTTTGGAAATTCCCGTTTTCAATTTGAGAATGGGTGCGCGTAAGCGTTGACACGACGCACACGCGCGCACGGTTGCTTTTATTCGTCGGTTCAGCGCGCCACATCGCGTAGCTGCAATCGGCTGAATGAGAACGTGTCCTGGACGCTGATTTCGGGTGCAATTAATTTAAAACATGACTCGACAACTTTTGAATTGAAATCGAGATCCTAGATAATTGTTTTTCTCGGAATGTACAGCATTTTCTGAGCTAAAAGTTCATCAGGTTAGTTGTTAAGCGCCCTTCTTTAGATTTGAGCACTTTTGTTGCTTCAAACGAAAAGAAAAAAATGCACAAACGACGAATGATACCGCTGCCGTAACATATCTTGGTAAGGGACTTTAGCTGTTCCTTCGTCCGAATAAGTTCTGCAGTTCAAGACTTGTTTCGGCTGTCGATTGATTTTCTTATATGCCTACGTCCAAGGAAACCAAACTTTCTTTACTTCTATGTCTTCAAAATTTGATTTACCTTATTTTCTCTGTTTGAATTGTGTTCAGTGGGACAACCAATCACGGTGGAGAAAACACCCAACCCGTCACGTGACCAGGTGGAAAGCATGCACGCCCTCTACCTCAAGAAGTTGACCGAGCTGTTTGAGACTCACAAGACTAAACATGGCGTGTCGCCAGAGCAACGCTTAGAAATCGTCTGAAAATAAAGGAAGTGACTTATGGTTCACTGTTTAATAAAAACAAAAATCACCTTTCAGGTGGCGTGTATAGGCCTACGTACAGTTTCACTTTCGGAATAAAACTGACGTAAAACTTTTTTGAAGAAGAGTGAAGCCGCAAATACACAGCTTTTGGCTTGCATAAAGGTTGAAAATGTTTTTGAGAGTGTACAAAAGTCAAAAGCTTTCAATGCACACTGATCAATGCAATTTATATTGGTAATTGAGGGCCTACAAAATGCAGTTTTTATGACCATAAAAAGCGCGAGCAACCAAGCATTCAGTACCGTAACGACTTGGTATCGAGAGGCGCTTTCGAGAAGTTAAACCTGGTCGATCAATGCATGCTGAAATGGACTGAAATGTGTCTTTCGTTTTTCTCAGTGAAAATATAACCTTAAAGCCCTGTACATGTAGCTGACTATAACCATTAGAAAGAGAATTGGCCGTTAAATAAGCTGGAAAAATTAAGCTTAAACGAAGTGTTTGGTATGGGAAAGAAGGGTAGGCCTTCACGGGTTGCATTTTGTACAGTCGTGTTCTTTCTTTGTTCTTTCTGTTTAATAGGACATTTTCTTTCCGTTGTAGATGCAGTGACAATGCGAAAAGGAACGATTTGTAACAAATTTCGTAAACAACCTATATCAGTTACTGCTACTAATTTTAAACTTGTAAACAATTTTATTGTAACAACGACGGAAAACCTTATCGGTCGAAGCGGGTCGAGTGTTCAGCATTGTGCCCATAATATTTCGAGTTGTGGGAACGATAACTGTGTTTACTTTGATAGCCTAGAGTTCGAAGTTTCGTTTGCCGGCATTTTTTTCTAGCGAGCTTTCTAGTAAACTTTATTAACCGGTTGTACAATATAAAGTTTCTTAGTTTTTGTATTCAATAACAAAATCCGGAACCATCCAACGACGGTATGGTACGCAGTATGAATGATCTTCAGCGGTACCACTAGCTGGGTACCACTGTACCGAGATAATCCAACAGGACGTTGTGTGCAGTATACAAGCAGCAGAAAAAATTTACAATCACATTATAGTAATAGCCATTACACAATATGTTTGCATGTACAGTATTCATGGAAAATAGTCTTCAACGTTTTCACACTTTCTTGAAGCCGAAGTTAGACTTCTGATAATGATAAATGCGAACAAGTAGCATTTGAACATGAGAATATTTTTTTCTCTCAACAATTTCGTACCGTGATTTTAACAGTCAACACTAGTTTTTGTTCGATGTCAAGGTATTTATAAGCGGACATTAATATGTACGGTGACTACAGGCCGAACTTTATATTGCACTTGTGTAGGAAAGTGGCATCATCCTTGGAGGTTAGGGGAGTACATGTACCGCTGGTTAAGAAAACGGCAAGACAGTGGAAAGAAGTTATAAAACAATCAGTGGGGAAACAGTACTGCTCCGAGAAGTGCACAAAGTATCAAATCTAGCACAATTACTTTTGTGTTAATTGTTAGTAGTTACTCAAATCGTCCAAGAATACCAAAATTGCTCAGTACCGTTGTATGTTAACACTGTACATGTACACAACTTTATTGATAAAAAAACATTAATCTGAATATATACACAAAAAATATGTACATTTAAGCTTTAGTTTCACAAACACCTGTCTGTGTACGTTTGAGAGACTTTATTTGGTGTGATAGTTGGAAATGAACAGAAATCTTCAACCAAATAACAATTGATATTTTACAGCATTTACAGTACGCATGTAAATAACATAATGAGTACATAACTCACCATCTGTAAATAAATTAATGAAGTATTGAGAAAAAAATGCTTGGTCCCGCCCACAATGTTTAGATATATCCCTCTTTATTGGATTATTAATACATTACAAAAATATCACTGACTGACATGCCACACGTTTTATTCACAGTCGACACAAACACAGGAACAATTGTTACCTAATAGATCAAAAACGAATTGGACATCTTACTCTAGTCTTCCCATTTCTTGAAAATATTTGTATGGGCTTGGGGATAAATTTGAATAATCTCTTTGGATATATGAAGGGAAGATTGGTTAAAAAGCCTGAATATAGGTTATCTTGTGGATTGGCATCAGAAACGACATGCCAGTGTAATTATAATCTTAGACACAGTAAGCCGGAAGCATTGTTTTCATCTCAATGAGACTCCTCAGCTAAAACTTCCAACTTGAAAAGGATTTCGGGGAATTGATTCTTATAAAAAGGAAATGAAAGCGACTTCAGATCAACCCCTCCTCAGAACTGGACGGCCTCCATCATCATAATCTTGCTCTCAATGATGTCTTTAAGCCAACGCTCTCTGAAGCGAGATAGACCAGGTTTGTGGACGAGCTGGTTGGTTTCGAAGACATAGTAGACTTCAACCGGGTGATGCTGATGAGAATAAACATAAAAACAACATGACAAACAGAGTAATGGAAAGAGAAATTGCAAGAATAGATGCGAGGAAAGTATATTTCTGAAGGCTCTCAATTTGGAGAACCCGACACATAAATATCAGCAGAATTGTTCACAAATGCGGCAGAGATAGATTTATATTTGGCAAGGATCAAAAGGTAATTATCCTAATTACTTTTGCAGCAGCCTATTGTTTCAAATGTCCCAACAAGTGTTGTGACTTAAATAATGACAAATAATAATAATAATTAGTATCTGAGAGAAATATGACTACCTCTGAAATGGAATACATTTACAGTGTACAATGTATATGGTTTACGTCGTGTGCTTGCTTCATCACCATTGCGCTTGACCAAGTGATGGACATGATTCTTAAAGACTTTATAGGTTGAGATAATCTGATGACTTTCATACCCCGGGTTTGATCTTGGAGACCTCAATGGTGAAGTAGACACAGGCCGTTGCCCTGGGGATGGGTTTCCTTCTGGTTGGAATGCTCCATCGGACCTGGTAACGATACTTCTTGCTGTATTTGTCGTCCTCTTCTCTCAGGAAATCAATACAGTACAGCCAGCTGGCCTGATATTCCCACGTCTAATGGAAGAACAAAAATGAAAGGTTATTTAAACTATCCAAAGCAATGCTTTGTTCAATTCAACAAGTTCGCCGATTATTACAATTTTGAGGTGCTGTCTTTCCAGTCTAGAGGGTGAGTAAAAAAAAAAAAAAAAAAAAAATGTCGGGACCATTGTTTCAGCGAAGTTCTGCATGCAGCTCTTTCAAAATATAGGAAATGAAAGCCCAATTTACATGCATAAGCTTTCTTTTAGAATTTTATCTTATTTCTTTCTGGTAATAAAACCAAGGATTCCTCGAAAGTACCCTGGGTACTGTAGCTTGAAAGCCTGAAGAAACCCGTAGAGATACAATGAGAAGAAATTACAGTTTGAGAAGTGGGACGAAAAGCCCAGAAGAATATTCTGGCAAAAACCCATGGAATCTGGCAGGGACTGAAAACCCAATCCAAATTATTGGCCCGGGCGGGATTCCAACCCAGCTCACAGCAGTGGAAGGCAAGGAAAGTACTGCCATGCCAACCTGACTGCTGTAAAAGAATCATTCAAATCACGCATGTACTTTTCAAGTTACGGAATTTTAAACACAACCACCATTTTAAAGTTCTGTCCATGGATCACAAAAAGGTAAGTGTTCTTTCAGCAAAATGAAAACAAATCACATAGGGCTGTGTGTGAATGATACAAATTTGAACAAAAACGCAGACAAAATCACAATTTTACCAACCTTGACAAATGCGTTGATTTTCGCCTCTCCCTTCTCTACCGTAAATTCATCAATGGTCATCCATTCAATGTTCTGTACTTCGTGCTCTTCGATTTCTCGGAACAGTAAACTGTCATAGTCCTTCAGGGACGACACTGGCCGACCCAGATCAGACTCGTCGCCGCTGTGAAGATCGGTTATGACTCGTTTGATGGAGTTATCAATGACCAAGTCCACTAGGTTATGAGCCTGGCGTTCTAAACCTGCGAGATCTGTCATCCCGTGTTGGTGGCGTCCGCAGAATCTGTAAAATGGAGAAATTGTACACGTGTATAATTATACTAAGCAATTAGTAGTTATGCCTATGGGCCCCTCTTTTGTTACTTTTAGTCCTTATGTGTTTTTATCATTCCAAATGATTTCTGTAACTTGGCTTAGGAAGGTTCTTTCTTAATGACCTTTTTTGTAATTTTGAAGAGTAGGCCTAGCTTGAGTAACTCCAGCTGACATGTTCCATATTCATGTGAATGAAGATGGAGCATGTCAGCTGGAGTTACTCAAGCTAGAGTAGGCCTAGGTATCCTTCAGTAGAAAAACAAATTTCGAACGCATTTTACAGTTGAAACCATGCAAATCAAGGCGATTCCGCACACTCAAGATGCGTAATTGCGCAATTTGGGGTGCTCGCTATTTTCATGAATTGCATTTTGTCATCTTCGTCGTCGTTTTACCACAAAATTTCCCTCAAAAATCAAACCCCTACCGTTTAGCCACAACACTCCTGTTGGTTTTTTGGTTTAGTGTTTGCTAACTTGTTTCGTTAGTCCACTTACTAAAAAAAAGTGGATTATGTCCGTAACTACACAATTACCATAATTCTAGACACGTGAACAGCACTCAGCAGGCAGAAGGGAAGGAAAAAAAGGTAAAAACTAAAATCAAGTTACAAAAACGATCCCAATTTTATTCCAACTATTCCCAGATTCCACTTGAAGTTGGAGCCAAACAGTCAGGGCTGTTCGTTTCGTTGGGTATTCAAATTGTTTCTTAATGCCAATTTTTATAATTTAATTCATCATTATTTGAGTTACCTGGTCGAAAAAATGTTCAAACTTAGACGATCACAAACTCAGTTCCGCAAAATTGTTGATGGTTGCTGTTGACAACATTGCGCATGTCACTGAGCAGATAGTCGCCGCAGAGCAGCCATTCAGAGGGCTTGTTTTAAAAAGTTCTCTAGACGCGAATAGTACGTTCAGTTTTATTGGCTGAATAAAATGTCAAAGGTTATTTAGCAATGGCGGGCTAGAATGAGCAAAATGAATGACAGAAAGAGTTCGGAGGGACTCGAAGTTTGCAAATTACAGTCTCTTGTAAGGTTGTACATCGATAAGGTCAGTTCAAAGTAATATTTATTACTCATTTATGATATTGATATGTGTAAGTATTACTTAGTAAATATGAAAGGTGTGAAATACTAGGTTGAATTTCGTGCCGAGTTCTTTTTATCGGCAAAATTGTGTTTTGGTCTGGTTCCCATCTCCAAAGTGAAGTTGAGCGATAAATCAATGCGGCATCAATGGCGCCAGTTTAATAATTGAAGCCACAGAGGGCGCTCTTTCTAATTGATGAAAGTAAAAAAAATCTAAACTGGGTTTTAAGAAAAATATCACAAATTTTCAAAGCATTTAAGACTTAATATCAAAACAAGTCTTTTATGTATATAAAAGGAATAGGCCTAGTCTAGTTGTTTTGGATAATGGATTCTTTTTGGTCAATTTGTTTGATAAATTAACACTTAAAATTTGAAAAAGAAATAGGGCCTTTTTTTAGGGGCCTGATTATTCTGTGCCATTTTTAACTTTTTCAAAGACTAGGTCCTATCAACAGTACTGTACTAGATTCATTGGGCTAGAATATCTGTTGTTTTAAAAATGAGTTAAGGATAGTATTTCTTTGGCCTAGAAAACAAATATATGGTCCATTTTAGGAAAAAAATGTTGACGCCACTTCGGTGATTGTGTACAAAGTCTATGGAGAGTCAACAATTTTTTTAAAAGTATTTCCTAACAAAATTGGAAATGCTTCTCAGTCCCGGATTCATGTCTTATCATCATTTTTACAATGAATGACCGTCATTGAGATAATTGATATATATATATGAAGAAAGAAGTGGCGTCAGGTTGCAACATTTTCATCCCATTTTATAATGAAACTTCACGAAACTTTGTTGATTTTGAAAAACGAATGTTTAAAACTATAACCTTTATTGGTTTATATTTCTCTGACAGCATCAGTACGAAAGTGCACATTTCTGGGCGGACAAACTTGTGTCTTTATCAGATGGTAGGTAATTTTTTTTTATTAACACGACCATTTTAACTTGTTGGAAGAAAACACTTATTCAAAAAATAAATTTGTAAACAGTTCAGTACCCAGCAAGTAAAAAGATCAATGACTACCGTTATTAATTTTTTTATGGAAACTATTTCTGCTTTGTTTCTATTCTTCTCCATTCATGCCATTACTGTATCCGCTGTACTGCAAGCTGCAATGCTCTGATGTTGACTTTTTTTCCTTTATTAGATGAAATTGCGGACATTTACTGGTTAGCGCAGACCCTGTACCTCACCGGTCAGTACCACAGAGCGGCACATTTATTGCAGAGTAAAAAACTGAACAAGGTAAGTTGAAGAAAAAAGAAAGAAAAGTATTTTAAACTTCAATGAATGGGAGGTTTGCGGTGACACCACGAGAATGATATTTCGGGAAGAATAAGAATTCCATATCTGGCCATCACTAATTTTTTTCCTGCAGTGACCTATCGGCCATCAGAAAGCGATAACATGTCCTAAAAAGTCACCTTAAGCAGGGACAATTTTGAAGCATTTACTGAGAAAACACTGATTTTTCAGACCAGTCTCATAGGGTTTGTGCACAGGGTGACAAGTGATGTCCAGGTATGGAACTCTTTCCGATATCGCTTAGTGAGTTGTGTGGTTCTGCGAAGAACCAGTTGGTTTAATTCGGCGTTTTGAACAGTATGCTCTGCCTGTCATCAGGAGATAATGAACAGAGCATACTGTTCGAAATGCCGAGTTAAACCAAGAACCACACAACTCACTAGGAGATGTCATTCACATGGTGTTACCGCAAACCTCCCATTCATTGATCATGTCCACCATACAAACCCTTAAAGGGAAAATACAACATTTGCAAACATCGATAAATAAAACCACCAAGTTTTTACGAAATACCTTACTAGGATGTTGGTAAATGACAGTCTAAAGCATCCTGTAAAATTATGGCACCTGGTGTGAAATCATTTTCAAGAAAATGGTATTTTTGTATACATTTCCAACGGTGGTCGGCCGACCACCGTTGGAAAAACCTAACTATTTTTCAACTACTGCTCCAAATTTACCTTTTTTTTCAGACCAAATTTTGTTTGCTATTGGTTACATGTTCATTAACGGGCGCAGGCCAGCTCGACTGGTTCCCTTACCTTACAATTTTCCGGCATCTATAAATTGATCAATTTTATCTTAAGTGGAGTCAGGGAACCAGACTACTTGAACATTTTTGTTTTTCTTGGTTTTTCCAGCATTTTCGAATGCAAAACTTCAAACATGTCAGTGTAATAATATTTGATATAATATACTATCCCCTCAAATAGTTCATTTCTGAAAATTACAGCAAAAGCCAATGATGTACATTCCCTTTAAGGCTCATGTATTTTAACATCTCAAGTTCTCATGCAAACTTGTCTGATTTTCTTTGTCAGTCTTGTTGTGTTTTAAAACTTGCAGCAGTACGTTTGGTGACATTTGCTATGAGAGGTTGTTTGTGTTGTTTCTTGATTCATTTGTGAGTCTATGTGTCTTTTCTTTTCTTATCTTTTCTTTATAGGCCAACAAGGCATGCCAGTATCTCACTGCCAAGTGTCACGTAAGTTTTTAAGAGTTCTAAAATGAAAAGTGTGAAGCGTTCAGGCAAAATGAGACACAACTGGGCAGAGGTCAAAATGAGAGTTTGTTATTGTTGGGAAAGAGAATAAAATTCTCCTTAGAATGCTGTTTGTTGCACTCAAATCGGGCATTCCGTTGGCAAATCGTGGCTATTTAAAGTTTGCATTTATCATTTAAAGTTTGCATTTATCAACATGTCAAAAATGTAAAACACTGAGAAAAAAGGCCTTCACATTTTGACTGTTTTGTAGTCGTGAAAATGAAAGATGCCTTGTTTTCCCCTACAAACACTTTTACTCCCCGATGTTAATACTATTTCTTTTAAAATATGTAGTAAAGGTGTCGGAGATTACAAATTTCAATAAATCTGAAAATTGGAGAAAAAAAAATCCCCACCATTTGTTTTCTTGCATTTTTCTCCTCTATGGCCTGTGCCCAGTTCCGTCTTATTTTGCCAGAACGCCTTGCAATTTGGATGGAAATTAGCTCTTTCAAAAATTGCAATAAGCAGTTATTTTTTTTGGGGGGGGGGGGAGGGGCGTGGGATCTTATTTTTGTAGTTAACAAAATTGGCAGAGTTTAGTGACAGACACAGCAATGTTATCCTTTTTTCAATTGTAATCTGGTATTTGGAGCAGTCTGGAGTATCGTCCTTTGTAAGATGCACTTGCAGTTGAAATTCTCAATTTTGAAGTGAATTTTACCAGAAGCACCAGGTTAATGAAAGCCTTTACAAAATTATAGTTCAAATTAGGTTTTGCCCTTCACCGACGTTTTAAACACTGTATACTCGGTGTGTTTCCTCCCGAGTGAAAGTTGGAAAAAATCACTCGGGTGGGACTCGAACCCACGACCTCCTGCTTTCTAGTGCAGATGTCTTACCACTCGACCACCGAGCTAACGGGATCGGTTGGCTGGTTCGAATCTGATGTACATAGCAGCGGGTACCGCATAAACTATTATAAGATGGAATTTTTGCGCCGGGGTGATATAAATCAAATTAGGTTTTGCCCTTCACCGACGGCAAAACCTAATTTGATTTATATCACCCCGGCGCCCAAAAAAAAAAAAAATTCCATCTTATAAAATTATAGTTAGACTATTTGGATTGTGTTTTATACTTCGCAGGCGGCAGTCAAGGAATGGGAGGAGGCTTTAAATGTCTTAGATGCCTCGGAGAGTTCAATCAAGACGCCCGGCAAAGTCAAGGAAGAGGACTTGACTTCACCAGGGGTGGACATCCAAGACATTCCTCTCCAAAATGTGAGGCCAAATCTCGATTTTATTATGGAACGATTAGTCCCATGCAATGTAATTTTTTTCTAATCTAATCTTTGGAAATGCACCTTTTTGTGTCCCATTCAACCCTATTTTCAAGTTTCATTTTGCCATTTTCGAGGGTATTTTTGTGCCTTTTTGGTTTTTATGCTAATGCGAATCTCCATATTCATGAGCAAAAGTGTGATGTAATTGTGGCCAGAAATCTCTATGTTGCATTTATTTCAGCGCAAAAAGTTGCTAGAATTTTGGATATTTTGCCATCATAAATGTTCTCAACTTTTCGTTGTTGTGTAAGTACATGGCAGTATTGAGAAACCCTTTCTCACAAAAGTTTTCAATTAGCAAATTTCGGGTTCAGAATTTGAACAGAAAACCCCTAAACTGAACGGTGTCTTCCTGAAATAACATCACAACAACAGCAACCTCAGTTGTTCGGAAAAACATGGAAATTTGTTAATGTTTAAAGAATTGCACTTTTCAATATAATTAACCTAAAAAGGGATGTCAAATAGTTTTCATACATCGGAGAGGAGTTGAAAGTTGCACAAAATATGTACCTAAGAAAAATACATCGCATGGACCCTTGGAGATAGGACCTCATGCATGTAAATAAGAAAGGATAGACGACATCCTGAAAGCCTCTAAAATTGTAACGGTTTCTATAAATGCAATTTGACAATTCAACCTTCCTTTTCGAAGATAAATTACAACCTGTCAATTTTAACCCTAACTCCCTAGGCCTTTTTGCTAGGATGTAGCCTCAATCCTGCAAAATCCTCCAACTGGCCTCATGGAAAAAAAAAATATAGCCTCAATCCTGCAAATTCCTCCGTTATTTTTTGAATATGGTCCATGGAGGGGTGACCACTGCCTGAATCCTGCAAAATCCTCCGGCTATGATTGTCAATAGGCTGAGGCAGAGGCAGTGACATCCTGGAGCAGTGCGGAGGATGTCAAGTATAATCAAGGACTAAATTTATGCACGGCTGAGCATAAACAACTCAAGGTCCGGCCCAAGACCTTGACACAGTGCGTACTCCGAAATCAGCAACGCACTTTTGTAATGTAACCTCGATCCTGCAAATTCCTCCAATTCAGGATTCAGGGCGGTTAGGTTTAATATTGATTACAATATTGATCTGAGTTACAGGTGGAGAGTTCGATTTGTTTACTGCGAGGCCAGGTGTACGAAGCCATGGAGAACAGGGTCCTGGCAGCTGAGAATTATCGTCTAGCGTTACAGCAAGATCCTTACTGCTTTGAAGCGTTTGAGTTACTGGTCAAACATCAGATGCTTACGGCGAACGAAGGTAATTTATATTATTATTACTATTATTATTCATTTCTGGTAATGAAACCAAGGATACCTCAAAAGTGCCCTGTAGCTCGCAAGTCTGAAGAAACCTGTAGAGAGAAGACAATGAGAAGAAATTACAGTTTGAGGGTGGCATGGGTGGCTTGTGCGTAAAGCGCTCGCCTCTCACCAAGGTGACTACGGTTCGAATCCTGGCCGCGGATCGCATGTGAGTAGAGTTGTGCGTTGGTTCTCTCCTGTGCCACGTGGGTTTTTCTCCGGGCCCTCCGGTTTTCCTCCCTCCGGAAAAATCAAACCCTTTTGATCTCAGGCTGTGCTTCGTGGTCTTATATGGGTCGTTGTAGCCGCGTCCTTCGCAATTCAGCATACCAGCTGCGAGTAAGGATGATTAGCCTCCCAAATTATTATTATTATTATTAAGAGGTGGGCGGAAGAACCCAGAAATAATATTCTGGGGGAATCAGGTAGGGACTGAAAACCCAATCCACATGTTGGCCCAGGCGGGATTCGAACCTGGGCCACAGCAGTGGAAGGCGAGGAAAGTACCGCTACGCCAACCTGACTCCGTTACACATTGTCTATATCCTAGCTTGCTCCTTCATTACTTTTTCAATAGAGCCTAAATTGGTAGCCTATTTTGGCCCTCTCTGTCAGTTTAGTTTTATTACATAAATTTCCAATTGGCTCGTTGTTTTTGCAGAGAGAACCTTGTTAGACTCTCTTCCGTTGACCAAGAATTGCCGCTTAGCAGAGATGGAGGTTGTTAAAAGCGTTTATGAAACCATCCTCAAGAAAGTGAGTTCCTAAAAACAAAATCTAAATTTTCTTACTGCTGTTTTTCCTTTGCCTCTGACTTGTGTCCAACATTAATGGTTGAATTTTTTCATCTTTGCTATCCTTATTTTGCATTTATCATTATTTTTTACTTGTACTTCTTGTACTTTCATGCTTGACTAATTTTTTTGCCGAAGACTACTCAAATTCATGTCATTTTGCTATGGATCTAGTCTAGTATTGTAAACCTTTCTATTGTACTCATAAGCAACTAGTTCTCTTACTCAAGAACTTTTAAGCACTCCTTCATTCTCACAAGAATTGTCATACCCTTGTACTCAAATTCTTATGGCTACATTTTTCTGACTCCAGTGCTACATTTCTTGCCTGTAAATGTATTGACTCTAACGTGAGTGAACCATTCCCGTATTGGATTGTTTTTTCTGCTTTGTCGATTCAGTATGACAAGCCGTCGCTCTCAAGTTTACCGTCCTGCCTGGAACCACTCAAGGACAACTCAGACGTCGTGACGTGTCTAGCCGAGAGACATTACTACAACTGTGACTTCAGGACTTGTCACAAGATCACGTCAGAGTGAGTCTTAAACTTGCCTCTTAGACAAATAGGGCTCGCTCAGTGACGGCCATCTCTGTAGGAGAACTGCAACTGCGTATTTTACGCAATCAAGAACGCATTGCGCAGTGTTGAAAATGTTCCAAACACGCGTGCTTGCTGCTGGATATGTGTTCGATGCGCGTTATGCAAGTTGACGCTCAAAATGCCGATGCATGAGGATGGTCTGTAGGAAATGACGTCATTTGAACGAGAACTATAAAGAGTCACTGAAACCTCTTTGTCAATAGAAACAAGTAACCCTAACTCCCTAGCATGATTTACTAGGAACCATACCCATCCCGGCAAATTCCAACACCATATGGGAAACTGCACACACATATTTCTGACTCTGGAGGTGTGGCAACCCAATGTAAAATGACTGTCAGTTTAGGGGTACTGTACCCATCTTGACAGATTCCAACAAAACATGCCATTGGGGTTTGATGGGTTGACATCTGTTAGGGTTAATCCAGTTGTGATGGAATTTGTAGTTAATGAATTATATATTTTTTTTAAAGGGTGTTTATATAAACAAAGTATCCAACACTTGAGACCTCAATTTCTTTTTGTCTTAAAGTTGGAACTTGAAAATGAAGGGAACTGCTGCAAACTGCTCGCTGACGGGATTAACCTGGAATATACAAATAAAAAAGTTAGAGTGGCCTGATATTTCAGCCTCAGCTAGGCCTTCTTCAGAGGCAAATGACAGCGGACCAAGAAATAAACAAACAAACAAACAAACAAACAAGCCCTGCCTGCTTGTGTGTCCCCTACATGTTTATTTCTTGTTCCCCCTGTCATTTGGTTCTTCTTGCTAAGGCCGCTCTTACTCTTTTGAGTTGGAGCTTTACAGATCTTGCACCCCACCTAACAGATAGTAAATTCACACCAGCCTACAGTATTTTGGAATACTGTGAATCAGATAAAGATTAAGGGCTGCATTTTTCAGGTAGTCCAGGAGCAAGTTGTTTTCACAAGCGATAGTATTTGGTTTCTTTCTTTGTTACAGAGTGTTGAACAAAGATCCCTACCACGGAACGTGTCTGCCGCTACATATAGCTACACTGGTGGAACTAAGAAAATCAAATGGTAAGGGATATATAATGATCAGTTTGGTTTGTTGATAAATCCTAAGACATTTCAATTTATTGTCCTTTACTTTCAAGAACATTTATTTCCATCAAAAGCAAAGTAAAATCATCATGAGAACAAAAAAGTAGTTATATTAAGATGGAAGCATGATTTTATAAAGCCGAAGCTTATAGGGGTATGCCTATACTTAAATGGAAAACCGTAACAAAGATTTCAAAGAATTTAAAGAAAAACAGACAAAGCAATAGACGAGTACAAATGAAACACAAACAACCAAGGACACACTGACGAATATACAGACAACAGGGGTCACCGATTTACATAATAACCCTAACCCCTAGATATTTTTGCTAGGAGGCAACCTCAATCCTGCATAATCCAACTGCCTCCATGTAAAGATTGCATACAGCCTCAATCCTTCAAAATCTTCCGTTATTTCTTGAATGTGGTCCGTGGAGGGGTGACCACTGCCTGAATCCTGCAAAATCCTCCAGCAATCACTGTCAATATGTTGAAGCAGAGCCAGTGACATCCTGGAGCAGTGCAGAGGATTTCAAGTACAAATGTATAATCTAGGCCTAAATTTATGCACGGCTGAGCAACACACGGTTCGGCCTAAGACCTTGACACAGTGCATCATCCAAAATCAGCCATACATTTTTTGCAATATGTCGCCTCAATCCTGCAGAGAGGATTTTGGAGGATTTGGGAAGGTAAGGAATAATGAGTACTAGGAGGAAAAAGGGAGCAAATTGATGGGCGGAACAGAGAAAGGGAAAGATACCAATATTAATCTATTCCACAAGCTTCGACATGGATAGTTATTGGAACAAAGTATCCCATATATACATAATTTGAAGCATCCTGCCCAGTGATACATTAAATGTTTTTTGTAGTTGTATACATATAGTAAGTCTTTGTTTACATATTATTTTTAGCAATAATCAGAATTGTTTTTCCATCTAACCGTGACAGATTTATTCTACCTTGCACATAAACTGGTTGACTTGTACCCTGGCAAGCCCATATCGTGGTTTGCGGTGGGGTGTTACTACTACTTAGTCGGCAAGAACGACTCCGCAAGGCGCTTCTTCAGGTAATTTGAAGCTCGGTTGAATCAACTTTATTTCAATTTGCAATTTGGTTTCTTAGGCAATCCAATTTGAAAAAACGAGGGTATGAAATATACCCTAGTTTTTAATCATATGTGTTGATCATGCTGTCCTTAACCAAGTGGTTCTTCATTGAACACAATCTGTTATGGCTAATGTTGTGCATTGCCGACCCGAAACATTATTGATATAAACTAAATCCAAACCGAAACCGATCTGAGCTTCCCAAATCCGACCCGACCCGACAAAATTTCAAGTAAAAACTGACCCAAACCGACTCGAACCGAACCGACCCGAAAAAAAACCCTGAATATCTGGCTTGGCCAACTGTGTCCGCTTTTTGTGCCTGACTTTACTCGCGTCGCGTGAAAATCGTTCTCTCTCAGTTACGAATCATACCGCACGCTACGTCAAAGACTCATAACGTAATGCCTACTGGTGGGCCTATCGTTATGGACTGTGCGTGATAGACTGCAAAGCACATTCGCGCAGTGGGTTGATGTTGGTCGTACCAGGCACAGTTACTGCAATTACATGTATATTGGACTGCGTGAATATCCGAACAGTTTGGGGGGGGGGGGTTTATATCGGGTTTTTCACTAGATGACCTAAACCGACCCGACCCGACCCGAAAATCGAAAATGCAAAACCGAAACCGACCCGACCCAACTGAAATGATGGAAAAGCCAACCTGACCTGATCAGAGGTCGGTATCAGGTCGGGTCAGTTTCGGACAACATTAGTTATGAGTCCCTTATGGATGCTTTCAGATTAGGTCATTTACAGCATGTACTCCTGCGGCACCCCTCAAGTGTACTTTTGAGGTACAGGGGCAAGCGACCCATGTGCCCATCTCTGTTCCGTACTTTAATAGACCTTCACCTTGAGTCGTTTTCAGCTTTGTAGTAATTGACTTCTATTATCTCTTTTGTTTTCCAGCAAAGCAACGACGCTGGACAGGTTGTATGGTCCGGCCTGGCTAGCCTTCGGTCACTCCTTCGCTGCTGAGGGGGAACACGACCAGGCCATGGCTGCGTACTTCACTGCCTCGCAGCTCATGAAGGGGTAGGTTGGTCAGTCTGTCTGTCTGTCTGTCCATCTGTGTGATGTCATAATGACTCTTGCAGGCCCTCACTGTGCCATCATCGATCGTCTTTTTGTAATGCTTTCGTATTTTTGTGTTTATGTCACTTGCAGTTTTGGAGTTCAGTCTGTCACAAGTCCAGCAGAAGTCCTCCAGTCCCAAGTCAAGTTACATGCTCAATATTTGGTTTTGCCCTTCACAGACGTATTTTATAAACACTGTATACTCAGTGTTGCCCCCGAGTGATTGTGAGAAAAAATCACTTGGGTGGGACTCGAACCCATGACCTCCTGCTTACTAGGCATTCCTTTGTTGTCATTCTTCCATTGTCATTTGTGTTTAAACTTAATCTGATTTGTGATTTACTTGTGACAGGACCTGTGATTGACTCGACTACAATGATCACTCGTTAGTATTTGTCACCTGTGTTTATGTACTTTTTAACTCTTCTTTGTTTGATCGTCAGATGTCACTTGCCACTCCTTTTTGTTGGTCTGGAGTACGGACTCACCAAGAACTTCAAGCTAGCAGAGAAGTTCTTTGACCAGGCCTTAGCCATAGCTCCTAGTGATCCCTTTGTCTTGCATGAGATGGGCGTGGTGGAGTTCCACAATGGAGAGTGAGTACACTGAGTACACCTGTTATATTAATTGATTACACCTGTTGATTGATTGATTGCACCTGTTGTTTCGGTTTGCGGCAACTCCATGTGGTAATAACTACTGTTGCTCAGTAGATATTTAGTTCTGATAAGAACTTGTCCTGTTTGTTATCAACTTTCGCTAAATAGTTTTAGTTCTGATAAGGCCAAATGATAAGGCCAAAAAAAGAAGGATCCAGTTTCTAGTATGCGCGCGCGTCGCTGTAGCCATGCGCGTCGGCAAAATGAAAAATTTTTTTTCAATGTAAGATGATGTCTCAAAACTGCCAAACTCACTGGTTTGACTGGAATCCTGCTGCTGCACAATTTTAACATGTTTTTAGATGGGGTTACGATCGAGTATAAGCTTTATGTGGCCTCTCTGGACTCCCATATATTTTGCACTAAATTTAGTCTGGCACCATTTGCAGTCATCAGCCGACATTTGAAGAAGAAGAAAAAAAAAAAAAAAAAAAAAAAAGCTGCATCGCCACACCACTTTTGGGGCAATCTCCATACCAGAAACCAGAGACTTTTTGGGGGGGCCTAATAAGAACAGTCCTGCTTTAAGTTAACTTGTCTTGTTGATTGATTTGATTGCACCTGTTAATTGATTGATTGATTAATTGATTGTCCCTGTTAGTTGATGGATTGCACCTGTTGATTAATTGATTGAGTACACCTGTTGATTGATTGATTCTTGCAACCCTTTTCCAAAGATGAAGAATCTCGGATATTAATGTTTGCAAGATAAATCTGCGCTGAAGTTAATGTGTTCCGTGTGATTTGTTCCAGCTGGGATGAAGCAGAGAAGTACTTTGTGAAAGCCCTGGCCATCGTACAGAGCATGGGAACTCAGGACGTACCGGAGAAATGGGAACCGTTACTCAACAATCTGGGCCACGTCAGCAGGAAATTGAAGTAAGTAGAGTCTGTCTGTTTGTCCCTCGATCTCTCTAATCGTCAAAAGCTACATCTAAAGATAATTTTTAAAACTGCCTTTTGACCATCTTTTTCATTAGGAAGTATGAAGAAGCTTTGGAATTCCATCGGCAGGCGTTAGTTTTATGCCCACATAGTCCGTCGTCATATTCAGCTATTGGCTATGTCTATTCCCTGATGGGAGACTTTGCTATGGCTATTGACTACTTCCACAAGGTGAGGTTTAGTCAACTAGGGTTGATATTTATAACCAGGGTTAACTTGGTTAACCAGTTAACTGTTGGCTATCTACTCACTGATGGGAGACCTGGCTATTGACTACTTCCACAGGGCGATGTTTAGTCAACTGGGGTTGATATGTCTAACCAGGGTTAACTTGGTTAACCAGTTAACTTTTGGCTATGTCTATTTACTGATGGGAGACTTTGCTATGGCTATGACTACTTCCACAAGATGAGGCTTAGTCAACTGGGTTTGATATGTTTAACCAGGGTTAACTTGGTTAACCATTTAACTATTGGTTATGTCCTGTGAGTATTCATGAAGACTTTGATTGACTTTTTTGCAGGCGTTGGGTCTCGGTAGACGCTATGTGTTTTCAGAGACCATGCTAGCTCGTGTGATTGAGCAGTTCATCTTAGAAACCTCTCCAAGTGACGGTAAGTCCACTGTTTATATAATTGTTGAAATTTGTTTGTCACACGAACACCTGATTGAACCTAAAACTTGTGCTGGCAATTTTTTGGACATTTGTCATTAGTACTGTGTCTTTACTATGATTACTCTAAACACCGAAATGAGGTGGGAACCAGTCAAGAAATGATCATCGGTTCCCAATCTCTTTACTATATTCTAAACATCCAGATAAAGTGGGAACCAGTCAAGAAATGATCATTGGCTCCCAGTCTGTGTACCGTATCACAGACATGAAAATGAGATGGGAGCCAGTCAATAAATGATCACAGGTTCCCGGTCCCTTTACTATATTCTAGTCAGCAAACTGAGCTTGGAATCGGTCAAGAACTAATCATTGGTTCCCAGTCTCTTTGCTATAATCTAGCCAGCAAAATAAGGTGGGAACCATTTAAAAACTAATCATTGGTTCCCAATCTCTTTAACATGTTCTTGATTTTAATATGAGGTGGGAGCCAGTCAAGAAATGATCATCGGTTCACAGTCTGTGTACTGTGTCATAGACATGAAAATGAGGTGGGAGCCAGTCAAAAAATGATAATTGGTCCCCAATCTCTTTACATATTCTTAATATGAGGTGGGAACCAGTCAAGAAATGATCATCGGTTCCCACTCAGTGTACTGTATCATAGACATGAAAATGAGGTGGGAGCCAGTCAAGAAATGATAATTGGTTCCCAATCTCTTTACATATTCTTAATATGAGGTGGGAGCCAGTCAAGAAATGATCATTGGTTCCCAGTCTCTTTACTGTATTCCAACCATCAAAATAAGGAGGGAACCAGTTGTTAGCGCACTTGTCTTGACCTCATTTGCTGTGGTTTATAGGAGGTAGCGTGGACATATCTGAGCTGACGTCGCCTGCTGCTCCCAAGGATGACGTGATGATACTGATGAAGGACGATACGTCGTCAAGTCTTGACATCGAGGTGGAGATGGAGGATAATGATTGATGCGGGAAATTGACTCCAGTTGAAAACATCTTGAAGATTTTGATTCATCATCATCAACAAAATGTATCAGGCTTTCATCAAAGCAACAAACATCATCTGATGCAGGAGTTCTTTTTAGTGCTTCTGCTAACCTTAAAAACATATTGAAGGCAAAATGATAGATGATATCATTTTCATAAGTTTCTGGGTGTGGATAGCATAGTCGTTTTGCTCAAATGGAGTTAAGATGGATTCAAGAATGAATAAGCCTGCTGATCAGGGGTAATAATATTAATTTAATTTGCTTTGATCCACTTTATCCAATATGAGATATCTTTAAATCCTTGTTTGATTGGTTGGGGGAGGGGGGGGGGTTCAATATTCCATTTAATTGCTAACACCTGGGCTTTTTTTATAGTGTTGTATTCATGGACTCAAATTAACAATCTCCAACTAAGCATAGACTATAATTCCACATATAAGATTTATTTCTTTAGATTAAAAAATATATAAATATTTATTCAACTGACAAGTAGCGGACAAAATTGAATTTTAACATTTTCCTTTTTTTACTGTGGAGCAAAAGACTTTCCGCCTGGCATATCCGATATCTCACAGATTAACAATACATGTGTATATATATAAAAATGTACACAGAGGTACTGCATGAAATAAATATTCCGTAAAATGAAAAATGTCGTCACGACCCTTCTTTAGTCGTCTCCCGTGTAACCAACTTGTGTCATGCCTTAAAGGTCATTTACAACAATTACAAACGTCAAAAAAAACAAAATTACCAAATTATTATGAAATACCTTACTTGACTGTAAGTGAATAATAGTCTCAAGCATCCTGTGAAATCATGGCAACTGGTGTGCTGTCATTTTCAAGAAAAGTGGAATTTTTGTATCAATTTCCAACGATGGTCGCCTGACCATCATTGGAAAAAAAAAGAGCACTTTTTTTCCAGATACTGCCCCCAGTTTACCAAATTTAGTCAGTCCACATTTTGTTTGCAATCGGTTACACATCCGTGAACGGGTGCAAGCCAGCTAGTCTGGTTCCCGGACCTGACAATTCCCAGATGTCTATAAATTGTTCTGTTTTGTCAGGGAACCAGACTACAACATTTTTCTTTCTTGGTTTTCCCGCATCTATTAACACAAAACTTTAAAACAGGTCAGTGTAACAATATTTGCTATGAAATACTAACCCCCAAATTCATGCATTTCTGAAAATTACAGCAAATTACATAAATAATTCAGAAAGACTATATTGTATGACTTCCTCTCTGTTATCAAATGATTTTTGTGGAAAATGGGTTACAAACTGACAAATTGATGAATTTCGGTCAGGTTAAATAAATAATGCTGGAGGCATTACAATATAAATTCTGTACATATGGTATTTCATTTAGGCCATTTTGACCTCAATTTTTCTGTTAATATTCTGGACATTGCATTTTGCACACCTCCTTGTATCTTCTTTTTCTTTCTTTGCTCTTGAAATCGATGCCTGTTTCTCTCAAAATCTCTTCAATTACAGATTCTCTGGATCATTATCCCGTCACAAATTCCTTTTTTTGACAAAATTCAATTATCTTTTGCCCGTGTTACCGTGGCAACAGTCGTACTGCCAGATTGCAGCATAGTCCCTTAATCTTCAGAAACAATCCTGACTGCACTCCGACCCTTTTTTGTCTAAGTAAACCGTTACTATGGCAACGCCTTAAAGGCTGCAGGAGGCGAGTTTGTTTTGTCGAGAGAGTAAATTGAATGCCATGTGTGCACAGGTTTCAACTAGTCGTTTGTAATCTTATAAATGGACGCCAATTTCAACAGTTTTGGTTGTCAGTTCGAAGTACGTCAAGATCATGGGCGTCGCCAGGATTTTTTCTAGAGGGGGGCAAAAATTTTTTTTTGCCAAAAAAGGCTTGTATTTCTCAACACATTCTCGATTTATCAGTTTTAGAGGGGGGCAGGGACATTCCCCCCCCCCCCCCCCCAACTCATTAAATTTACACCACTTTGTCTTCGCGCCTCTTTTTCTGTTCTTTTTTTTTTTTTTTTTTTCCTTTTTTTTTTTTTTTTTTTGGTTGCTTTTCCAGGGGGGGGGGGGTGGGCAAGTGCCCCCCCCTTGCCCCCCCCCCCTCGCGACGCCCATGGTCAAGATAACGATATTTGAAAGTGTTGCGTCCCAATTCATTTCTGAAAATCTTCTTTTCCCCTTAAGAGAGTGAAGTGCAGAAATATACAGTGAATAATTATAATAATAATACCACCGTGTAATATTATAGTATTACAAACTGTACGAGCTGAAATAATAAACGATGAAAAAAGTGGCATCAGGATGTGACATACTTAACTTTTTTTTTTACTTTATTCAACGAAATGAATCAAGGACGGATCCGGGGGTTCAATTATTTTATTTTCAAGTGACGTCGCAATAAAGGCAGGCACTGCGTACACCACCATCTTTTCCTCAAAAAAAAAATTGGTTAAAGTGGTCCGAAATTGCCTCGGATCGCACCACAGAACATCTAAAATCCAAACAATAATCGGGGCTCTTAAGCGGGCCCCGAACCCCTTGCCGTATTTTTTGGGACCCACTTTTTGGGGGACCACATTTTTTGGTCTCCCAAAAAAAATGTGTTCTGGATCCGTCCTTGAAATCAACAGGCCTAAAGCCAGTCAATTTTCAGAAATATTTTAAACAGATTGTTTAGTTGTACGCTTTGCTTGGAATGTTTGCATTTTTGGCAACTAATTATGAATGTTGATGATCAGAGTATCGACTTCAGGTGAATGAAAAAATGATAAAAAAAAATATATTGTAATCTTCGCGAATTTAGTGCATTGTTAGGCCATCTTAGGTTTTTATTTTATTTATAGCTGGACTGCACCGCCAGCTGAAGTGTGTAGGTGGGATTATGTACATGTATTATCAAAATAATTCATTTTAATAGAGATTATCTTTATGGTCAACATACAGACATGCTGTCACTGAAAGACGTCTGCGACCCATCACGAACAAAGGCACGACATTTGATAAATATTTCATTGCACATCAATCGACTTAAACAAAAAAACTCTTTGTGCATTGTGTTAACATCGACGAAATACGAGACAAAAGGTACACAATATGTTATTGGTATAAATATACATGTATTACAACATTGAATATAAAAGCAATATGTTCTGCCGATGCTGTAATGCACAATTTTTTCAAGTTAGACGCCATGTATGCACACGGCGCAGCGCACGTATTCTGAACAGTTTTTTTGGTCGTTTCATCAGTTCTCTCATCACGACTGTAAACATTCATTGATTGTGTTCACTGACGCCATGTCACGAGTCTTTAATGTTTCATCAGGTGCATCAGCACTATACGCTCCATGCATGACATATTGAGGGCGCCAAACACGAAACGCACTATAGTAAAAGCGACCGATGTTAAAAGCGGGTATAAAAATAGTTAACAAGGGGGCTGTAACTTGTGAGCAAAGGAAGAGGGTTTTGAGGCTTTTCGTTGTTTTAGGCACGCCGTTCAGTCTTCTACTTTCATGGGCACCTATCTACTTTTATTGTTTTTTTTTTCACCGTGATTATGGCGTATTCCAGAGTATAGCAGATTTCTGCTGAAGATTACCATAGTATATGCTTCTTGAAACGTCGACAGCCATCACCGCTACGAAAATTACATAGCCTCGAAGAATTATGACCTTTCATACTCTTTGGCAGTCGTAGCATTTTGTCCTCAGTGCAAAGAAAGTGAGCTGTTAACTTTCTGTGATTTTCAGTTCGTCTGGGTTCGAGAGGTTGTTGAAGTTTTGACGCCTCACTTTTTGTACGATCGAAACTATCAGTCGAAGGCAAATTGTCTGGAAACCAGTGGCACATGGTTCATTGATTTAGTATGAAAAGTGGCACGGTCTGAATTAACTTTCTGGACCAAATTTCATCTATATCTTTATCAAGATGAAATTTAAAAGAGGCTAGCTAGCTAGCCGTCAGAAAGTCCCCGGAGTCTCCGATCGGCTCGGCGATCTGCGTTCCCTTCGCCTCGTCCACGCCTCCCAGCGACCCATCGTCGTTGTCCGCGGGCTCGGTCAACTCGTTGAAGTCCGAGTCGGTTCGGATGGGGTTGGACCGGGTCTTGGAGACAGCGGAACGAGGGGCTGATTTTCGACGGGGTAGAGAGCTGAGCCGCTCCCGGGTGGGAAAGTTGGAGATGCGGTTGTTGTAATCGTTCAGGACATCCTTGGGTGCTGTTGTGAGATAGAAAAAATAAAGATGGGTAACAAATATGGCTACTATCCTTAATGAAAACGGTTCAATTTCATTTGTATCGTGTCTCTCCGTGGGTGAGACAAACAAACAATCAGACGGACAGACAAAACTCCCGTACTGTGACCGTCAGGTTTCCCTCTGGTATCCCTCAAAAGGGACGACAAAGCAGACAAAGAGACGTACAGACAAACAGCTCAAATCCCACCAGGTGAGACGAGAACCTCCCTACTGCCAGGTTCCCCTCTGGTATCCCTCAGAAGGGACGACAAAGAGACGGACAGACAAACAGCTCAAATCTCACCAGGTGAAGAGAGAACCTCCCTACCGTCAGGTTCCCCTCTGGTGTCTCGCACAGCTGACACTACAGACGAACAGGTGTCGAACTCGCTAGGTTCGCCGTAGGTCTGACGGAATCGAGAGCTCTCAACACGGCTCGAGCCACATCCCATGATGGTGCAGTCGTCTCCGAATCGGCAGCATTCGCAATCGGGTCTGTGAGGTGGGTAAAAAAAAACACGGAAGATGATTACAATGCAGATCTAAATGTAATTCGAAATAGGGCGACAAGAATATGCTTGCTTCTGAGCTGGACACGAATGTCTCAGTTTAGGATATTTATGAACAGTGACTCGGACAGTCGGGCCAAATTGGAATGTTACGAGACGGATGCTGATTCCAAGTACATGAACATGCAATAAGATAACATCGTGAGGAGATTGTTTAAATTCTAATGCTTTGCACTCGGAAAGCAACGTCATAATCTCGATGCGGCAATAAAAGTGAGAACCACAAATGAGATTGCAGCAACTGAGACAGCGCGACGCCGTCCACACTTAAAGACTGCTTGCTGTCATTTACTGATGGTGTTGGAAAAAAACTCAGTCCATTGATGTTATTGGGATCGTTATGGTTGCTCTCCGGATGAGGTCTTGTTTGCAGACATCATCTCGTTAAGCTAATGGTCAAGGAAGCAAGATGCATTTACTGGGATGAAGTCTTGAGGGCCGAGCTCAAGTTCTGCACGAAGATGTAAATCACAGATGAAAAGACTCAAAGATTATTGTGTCCGAACGAGTCCAGTGCTCACTGCTCTCTGGTAAATCAGAACTGACCTCTCTTATATAAGATGTTATGCACGGCATCTGAGAGTCACACAGGATGAAAATCCATCTCGGAGTTATCGCGTCGTCATGGTTACAAGCATCCTCTCGCGAGCCCGTTGCATCAACACGTAATATCCGGAGAATATGCATCAGCGTGGTTTTGATACAGAATAATCCGCTACAGGCACTGATGCTTTCTGTGGACATTGTACACACGCTTTCTGTTCGAAATAATATTTGTTTTCCACATAGCAGTTGCGACAATTGCGTCATATTCTAGCCTGGGCATGCCTGTGTGTTTCTCTCAGCCCCTACACTGATGCGTAATGCCTGCGTAGTTTCTGATCACTGCCAGGTTAGGTTTTGCGAGCAGGCTTTTTTTTTTTCTGGTCAGGGATAATGAAGGTTGGCCTAATCGATCAACGGTGAAAGGCAGAGGGGGTGGATTCTAACGTAGCTGAGTTAAAGGAAGGGCGAATTAACATAAAGTAAAACTACGAGGAAAATGTATCATTTTGAGGCTATAGGGCTCTTGCACATCAGTGCGCCCCCATTATGGGCAGTTCTGTCATTAAAATTCAGTGACAATAAGGCACAATATGTTTATTAATGGTTGATATAGGAGCAAAGAAAATTATTGCCCGCAATGTGACGTCAAATGCAATAGACTATTTGTCTGGACCGACAATTTATTGTGGACAGTTATCGTTATAATCCAAAGAAAATCTTTGACTGACTTTGTAGGTCTTTTAATCGAATCCTCTAATAAAATCAAAAATATTTGAAGTCTTAATCACTCTTATTAATAACTTGAATGAAGACCTAGAAATGTGTTTGTCACGTGAACAACCACAGCTGTTTTGGCTGTTTGGAAAGACTGTAATATGTGGTGACATCGTCATGACATCATTCAATTTCAACAGTAACACATATAGTCCCGGTTTAGATACATACCAAGTTGCAACAAAATCGGACCTTTAATTTTCTAGATATGACGCCTTATTAGAAAAGTGTGCGTCAATTGTTGATGATTTAAAAACTGATCATTCTGCATAATTTATTCCCACTGGGATTCGTGGCCGATCGCCAGCATGCTGTAAAGTGCACTTGAGTGTCTAAACATACATGCCGACTCTCAAACAGACGACATGTCTTTTCAAGCTAACAGGAGGTAAAAGATAAAAATTGATTTCCCCCGAGATTTCCCCCGATACAATCCACATCGCCTGCAGACTGCACGTATGACGCAGTCATATATCAGTAAAGACGTCTGTTGGGCTTGTGTACCTGAAATTTCTGTTGCTATATACAAATGCTTTTTAGAAAGTTACACAATCCGATTACCACAATTCGAACTTAAAGGCATAAATGAGGTGGCACCATCGGCCAAACTTTCGTGTTGGCCGCACGTTCGCGTATTTGTATTTCCACATTTCGTGAGATTTATTTTGCAATTGGGATTTCTTTTTCTTTTTTTTTCCATTTTAGCCCCTTGTAATTTGTTTAATTTGTTTGTGGATAATTTTCCACCTCTTGTTTGCGCAGACCTGCAAACGTGACTTCAAAAGTTGTACATTGAACTCGACATTTCACTTCAGTGCCTTTTTCTTGTACCTTTCTTTTGGGATTGAATATGGACTTTGCCATCATGCCATTTTGTAAATCGTGAATTTCCAGCTGTGGCAAATTCTGTCCTCATCAGTGTACATTCTTAGACAACCCACCCATCTCCCATTTTTGCTCTGATCATAGAAACCAAGATTGTGAAACCATCTACATCTTCTCGTAGCCTATCCATACATGTCCTCATGTGAGAATTCATCCCCGGAGATTTCGATATCAGAGCAAAACGATGTTGCGCGCTACACATCACTTGCAATCTCTGTAGCTTCCTTGGGTCGTGAGGTTGTCATGGCAACACATCACCACTCGTCGATCAAACCGACTCGTATATGCACCACAAGTACAAGCAGGTTTCGGGTGAACGTTTGGCTTTAGTTTATCAGTTATCTCGATGTCTAACGTTCACGAAACGCAATTTGAAAATGTTACGCATGACGATTTCGCCATTGAGATGTGAAACCCAGAATCACGCTCGTATCAAACACGCCTAAAGAGTGTTTATGGGTGCAGACCAAATGGGTCCGAAATTGCCTACGCCGGCCAAATCACGATTTGCATGCCCTCAAAATCGTCAGTATTGGAGCATGCTGTGGGCCCGAACTTGAGGGTTTGTAAAAAATATGGGTGGAAGCCGTGCACAGGACTGGGAGCTTGCAGTTCTGTGTAATTTGGATGTAATTTGGACCCTAAAAGCGCTCTATTTTGCACTGGAGTGTAGGCATCGTTTTCCAAAATGGCGATGGGCTTCAGGACTATTTTCAGGGGTGATCATCTTCAGATGGAAATTTCTCCTAAAAGTCATCAGTTGACCCCCGAAAATTGAAAAGAATATGAAAGATGATGAAATAAGCTTTAATTTGATGTGTGTCTCAAACACCATGGAGAGTTGTGAGTATTTTCCCCAAATTTCTGAAGTGGGAGCATTTACCATTGGGGTCTATGGAAGTTTATTTACTGGTCGGCTACCTTTATATCGGCATAAAATATGACACTCTGTGATATAGATGTCGCAGATATTAGTTTACGCACGTCATAGTCCCGTCGCAAACATGCTATATCATAATGAGATCCGTCAAATTATTATTATTATTTCAAATGTCTAGTCTGCTTTGCAAAGTGTGATAAAATTTAAACAGGAGTTTCCCTGTGCTGTGACCAATATCTTGAGGGACTTGGGACAGCCGCGTATAGGCCGCGGCTATGCCTAATTTCTGACGCTGAGTGTCAGTCTGCGATTGTAATCTAGCTGTACGCTTAAAGGTCATAGCAAATCTTATCGTTTAGACTGCACGTACTACACTAGCCTTTAGTCAAGTCCCTCGCGCCTATATACCCGCCTTATATACGCCTTATATGCTGTAAATGGTAACCGCAAACCACCGTTAGATGATTGGTTTATATTGCTTGATTTATATTGCGTGAATAAATGAATAAGTGATTAGTTCCACGAGATAGTAAAGGCCCTCGCGGCTTCGCCGCTCGTGCTAGTCTTTTTACGTGTCAGCATCCGGGATGCGTTACGTGTCCGGGTAAGCGCGTGGGACTTGACTAATTAAAGGCTAGTACTACACAGGACCAAATGTAAAAGGTTCTTATTGGGTAAACCCCTATATTGGCCAAAAAAACGTCCGCCGAGCTCATGAATAAAAGTTACACAGGCTCAATTTATTCGATATTAGAGAGTTCTGAGAGCCATGGAATCGGGGAATTGAAGACATTATGGCACTGCATCTCTGGCCTGGACTTGGGGCTTCCACTTCTGAGCATTTTGGATGCAATAGGGTCCGAAAGTGGCGCTATTTAGCCATGTTGTGGTGGGATCCTTTTCCAAAAGGCTGCTATTCCACTTTTGGAAACATCGTTCGTTTTTAATTTAATTAGGGGTGGTCTTCGTAGGGTGAGGATTTCTCGAATAACCAATGGTCACCCACCGAAAATTGAAAAGATGAGACAGATGACATGTTGATCATCAGTTTTCTGTGCAGCCAGAACACCCGTGAGGGTTTTGAGTATTTTTAACAGAGTTTGAGAATATGGGGATTTATCACTGGTGTCTAATGGGAATGTTTATACAGGGGTGCAGCCTGAAGCCGTAATGTGGGCTTAGCTAATCTCAATGTGAGTAAACAAATATCAGCAGAGAACCAGCACTAGCACTATACACCCGCGAATGGCGTTTTCACTGGTAACCTATGCTTGCTAAGCAGTACATGCTCTGAAATTTTGTAATAACTCGAAGGCTACCTGTGTTCGTCAAGTGTAAAAAATATACGCCGAGGGCAAACTGAAATGACTATAAACATAATCAATTTGGATTCTCGACCCTCGTATTAATTCATACCTTTCATGTTCATTCTGTAGCGTCGTGTGTTTTACTTTGCCTTAATGACAACGAACTCCATCTCCAGAGTAAAATCTGTCACAAGGCCAATTTGGCCAATCAGGCCGGTGTTTATCTCCGGTTTCAGTAGCATGAAACGACTGAGAATATTCCCATTCCCCCTGGACGGGATGCTGGTCCATCGCAGGTTACTTCCCCTTCTAATGCCGGTACCCATTTATACTCCTGGGTGGAGAGAGGCAAGTGGGGGTGAAGTGCTTTGCCCATGGACACAACATACGCCCAGCAGCTGGATTCGAACCCCTGACCCTCTGATCATGAGTCGCGAACCCTAACCACTATAGGCCACCTCCAGCATGTACAGGTATCACTTTGTCATAATGACAACGAACGCCATCTCGATAAGTGAAGTATATTATGATGGGGAGCATTGAGGTGTATTTTCTGCGACAATCGTGATTACAACATGTATCTATTATTCATAGGTAAATTGTTTAGAATAAAACATGGCCGTATCTTTACCTAATGTGTTCAGCATGTGTAGTGACTATTAGCAACTATTAAACCATACACAATAAAAGACGACATTGGTTCATTTTTCCTAACAGATGCATCGCATCAATTTAAACCTGTCAGAATACACGGAGTTGAAAGACGAACGACCGAATATAGCCTACATCCAACAGCACAACTCATGATGTTTGGTACTTACGCAGTCTGGATGCAACATGAGCACTGTATGTGCTGCGTGATGGCCTGTTTCGTTCTACCTAGCTGATGCGATCCTTCAACATCCACGTACTCAGCCCTCTGTCACTCCCCTCAGAGCCATTACCTGCCTCTCTGACAAACACAAGAACGAGATATTAAACAGAATTGATATCGTGACATCCGAATCCCGTACACGACCTGAAGAGATTATTAGAGTCGGGGTGATGTCAGCCCCGGTGATTGGTTATAAACAACTGAAGAGCTGTGCTTTTTTGACCACGTTGATCGCTGACCTGATGCAGCTGGAATTGAATCTCGTATACTCGCGTTGACTTGATAGAGGGAGACGTTCTGCTTCAGTCGGTCTACGTCGCCATGCCCGGCATCCTTTTAGGCCGTTTTCATCTTTGAATCTTCGCATCTGCTTCTCTTATACATCAATTAGGCCTACCGGTTTCCATCTCAGAAAAACTGCGCAAAGTGAATGCAACCATTTATAAATGCATCCGGAGAGTGCGACATGGGTTCGTTTTCCCGCCAGTTTTTGCGGCCTCTCATTAAGCCAGCTTAATTGGTTGTTTGGCAGGCTTCCAGCGATTTTGATGACGTGATGTTATGATGCTTCCCCGACTATTTCATAATGGAACGAGAACTCCATGCTGGCAAATTTCATGGAAATGCTGAGTAGGCCTATATTAAGGTTGCAGACCAGTAAATAAACTGCAATGGACCCGAGTGGTAAATAAGGCCACTTCCGAAATACAGAAACAAAATACTTGCAACTCTCCAAAGTGTTTGAGACACACATCATTCATCATCTTGCATTTTCTGTTCAATGTTTGGGGCTTAAATTAATTACTTTTGGGAGAAAATTCCGTCCAAAGATATTCACCCCTAAAAGAAGTCCTGTAGCCCATCGCCATTTTGAAAATGATGCCTGCGCTCCATTGCAAAATAGACTGAGCAATCTTGGGGACCAATTTCATCCGAATTTCACAGAAATACGAACTGGAATTAGTCTAGTCCTATTCACGGCTTCCAACCTGGCCCACAAAATGCTCTAATACCAGAGAATTGATGGCATACAAATCGTGATTTTGTCCGGCGTAGGCAATTTCGGGCCTATTTACTGGTCTGCACCCCAAAACTCTGGGTTTCACAGAAAAACAACAACTGTTGCTAGAGAGGGAAACAGGTTACAAGACCAGATGTCATGTAATTTACATTAATTACGAATGATTCTCAGCTAATTTTTGGCGGAGCACTTTAATTGTCTAAGCATTTTTTTTTCTTTTTGCTATGAAGCTCGACATAAGACCCTTAATATGTTGCTAAACGCATAGTTGATGCAGTATCTAACTGTGCATGCGGATGAACCTAATTTATTCTGATCAATACGAATTAATTCTTTGACATACGGACAATCATTGTGGAGTCCACGAATAAATCAAACAGTCTGTTCTGTCTTGGGTAACAACCCCCCCCCTCCCCCCAAAAAATACTGTGACAGGTCCGTGACTTTTATTAGCTAAGACGTACACATTTATATAGTTTCTGGGTTTTTTGGTGTCGTCCAAAGAACATCAAGTCGTTGCCATGGTAACGCTGCTTGTTAGTAAGGAAAAGCTACGAATTAGAGGAAATAAGATACTCTTCCGTTAAGGGGACCCTTGTTTAGTTCTCCTGCCGATCAAGCGATTCGTTGTCGATTAGTCTATTCGATTGATCAATCAATCAATCAATATTCAGCATTTAGACAGGTGTTGTCATATTGAAGCTTCAGCAGTCATAGGCCGTGTCCGAATTACTTAGCTACAGCTTGAACATCCCATAGACTCGTGTGTAATTTCAAGCATAGCCAGGCAATTCGGCCGCGGCCTAATTAGTTATTACACCTGTCAGGAGGGTGTATACCTATTATCTCCAATGTCACTGCAAACCTAGTAGCCTCTCTCATAATGACGAGAGATGTTCAGGTTGATTGGAAAACTAATTTAGCCGGGCGCGGCTAGATGATTCAGTGTTCGCCGTTAATTGACCTTTGGACATGGATGATCTTTCAAACCCATTACGTTTACTACCGTGTTATTGCCAGGGTGTAGTCTCCAGATGCAGCCGTTTGTTTATCTAAAAAGAAATTTTGTTGGGATGCACAGAAGGGATACTGATGTTAAGATGTTAAGATATTTGGCTGTAGCTAGGGTCTTTTTTATTTCAGAGATATTCACTCTTTTATCAACTTCCCTTTTCAAAAAAAAACAGGCTAAGGCCCAAAAAAAAAGTCTCCGGTTTCTGGTATGCGCGCGCGTCGCCGTAGCCATGCGCGTCGGCAAAATGAAAAAGTTTTTTTTTCAATACAAGATGATGTCTCAAAACCGCCAAACTCACTGGTTTGACTGGAATCCTGCTGCTGCACAATTTTAATGTGTTTTTAGATGGGGTTATGGTCGAGAATAAGCTTTATGTGGCCTCTCTGGACTCCCATATATTTGCACTAAGTTTAGTCGGGCACCATTTGCAGTCATCAGCCGACATTTGAAGCAAAAAAAAAAAAAAAACAGGTAAAAAAAAAAAAAAAGCCGCGTCGCCGCACCACTTTTGGGGCAAGCTCCATACCAGAAACCGGAGACTTTTTTTTTTGGCCTAAGTACCGATTTTTCACCGCGTTGTGAAGTAGTTTTTTTCTTTCAACCTTCTACATCAGATAACAAAGTAGACTTCGACGACTGGTTACCACGTCTAAAAGTCCTAACCCATGACATAACCCTCTTGTGTGTCACTAAAGCTTGTACGTGAGTTATGTTGCCATGGCAGCCACACATGGCGTCCACTTAATCCACTCATAGTAACACGACCCTGGCAGGACAAAGTGAAACATGGCACTGCTCTGATCTTGATCAAAACACTGTCAACAAACCGACAAAACACACTTGAAATGTGAGAAATGTCGGGTGTTATTTATTGATACCGGTGTGACATGGCTCAGCAATGCATATATGAATATCCGCGGCAGTGTTAGGGGAAGAAAAGTACGATGTCTACTTCTTCTCAACCAGCAGGGATCGGTATGTACCCCTCATGGTACGCCCGGTACCTCCTGGCCTTCAACAATCAGCTAAGATGTCGGGAAAGAGTTCACGATCTCCGATATCGGCTCATCTCTGAGGAGCAGAGGTACTTGGATCAGGCCTCGGATCGAGTCCGGGAGTTCGTCCTGGCTGGGAAGCACACGGTGCGACCCGTGATGGGGGACCAGTCACCCAGGAATCAACCCAGTAGGTCGGTACCTGTGGCCAACAAAGTTGTGCCGAAGCGGTTACCGTTATTGCGGCCTCAGCAGGGCCAAGCTGCGCCGGTCGAGGGGACGGGGAACTCGCTGGAAATCACCCGTCATAGGAGAAGGAACGTTAAGAAAAGGAAGAAGGCGAGAACCCCATCTCCGCAGTATCCGACGTTCTGCGTGCAGGAACTGGTGGTGAGAGCCGAGGCAGAGGCAAGACGAGATGCACGCATGAGAGGGATGCTGAGAGGTCCTGCCTCATCACCTGTTGACATGGTAACGGTTGCTGAGACCACGACTGATGATGATGACATTCCTTTGCCGCTGACTCTCATGGAGTACTACCTAGAACCTGACAACATCCAAGGGGACGGTTCAAACATTCCAAGACGCGGCCCGTTTGTCGAGACCAAATCCTCCCGCAATGGATTACAAAAGAGCCCCGAACATTCCGGAAAGTTACCGAAGTCAGACCATGCTGCCATGGAAACAGAACCTTACTCATCACCAGAAACCATTGAAATTCCTCTCCATCGGCACCCACGATTCGATTTCAGTGACAGCCGTCACTCCCCTGACGATCCTCCCACTGTTGAGTCTAACCCCGCCCTCAACGGCAGTTCCAGTTTGGAGAGAAATCTCGCTGATCCCGGTAGAATCTCGAAATCGCCACGTGACGTCAGTCTTCAGGCTGAGAGATACTTTGAGTCTGAAATAAGTCCAGGCAGCGCATCTTCGTTTAAGACTAGAGATGGACCTGAATCAAGACAAAGACGGAGCAACGCCTCTGAACCAGACATGGTGATCGAGTATAGCGACCGCCTGATTCCTAAGGAATCATTCCCCATGGAGGAGGACGGTGCTCCATCTAAATGGAAATCTCCAGATGAGGCAAGACGGAAATGGAAGCCGGATGATGACGATCGAAGGAAGCAGAGGAGGAAGGAATCTCACCGGAAACATCTCAGAAAGATGAACCGGGCTAATGGTTGCGCAAATATCCCCGATGAAAGTGACTTGACTGCAAACACCGATAACATTCATGAGGAGGAAGGAAACAAACATGGCGATATCCGTCACCATGGTAACGCCCGTCCGACAAACAAAAATGGCAGCTTCCCTGAGATCGAGGCTGTCAGAAGATGGCAGCTGATTGGCCAGAAAGGACGGAATAAAATCAATAAATCGATGAGGAGATATTCCCATCGAGACGAACACACGTAAATAATAATTTATCTTAAAGTTTGGACTTATTGATATATTTTTTTACAAATCACCAAAACCAGTGCCTCAATTAACAGACAGTGAAGGCATTTGAAAAATTAAAAAAAAAAGGTTTTATCTGTTAATTCATATATACCTAAGACAGTTTACCCATTCCTATTGGTCGAGAGACCGTCACGTGGCCGGTTTTAAACGGTTGATAAAGACCGGCTGGCCGGTCTTAAACACTTTTCCAGTGTCACATGAAAGTTTGACTCCTTTGAAAATCCGGTACGTTTTTCGGCTCGGGTAATTATCAGCATCCAGACTCCAACCGGTCTCAAACAGATTGTATAAAACCGGCCAAGCACACATTTATTCCCTTATTATTTCCCTGCCTGGAAAAAAAGTGTCCGCTGTACGGTTTAAGATGACCATGTTTAAAACAGAAAATTTGAAAGGCTGTTTACAAAACATAAGAGTAGTTAAATGAACAGAAAATATATGTTTTTGTTTGCACTGAGAATGCATTCTTGAGAATGTTAAATGAGACACGAAAATGATTCCACTTTAATATGGCATGCATACCAAGTCAAAATAAAACATCGCAATAAGACACTGCGTGTGCAATGAATCTTACTACTGCGAAGTTACGTTCGTTCATTATATTGCAAGAGATGAATGTTGTTTAATAAAAGCGCTATATCCTTCGTTTCTTCTTTTTCTCTCCGTGACCTATGACCCTTGTTTGTTTACTATGCACCCGTTCAGCTCCCCAATTCATATCTAGAAGTGTTTGCACAATGCAAGTATTGCTTCGGCACGTGGTTGCATTGACACGCTGGTAAAAAAAAGTACCATTGCGTTGTTAGGTGCCTGAGGAATTTCTGTACAAGGTACAATGGTCGCTTGCATTTATTTCAAATGGTTATTTAATTAATTTGCTTAGCAGAAACGTTGATGAAAGGTAAATTTAGCCACAGTTTGCTGGCTACTGCTAACAGCTGTTATCAACGTATTTGGTGTTGCTGTGTGATTTTAATGACGATTTCAAGATAGGTACTGTTCCTTGCTCTATGGTTATAATCAATACTAAAAAAAAATAAAGAGACAGGTATAAGATGAAATTTAAATTAAGACTCAGGGCGACGATGATGAAATAATATTGTTTTTCTTCACAAATGTTTTAATGAGAGATTAAAAATTGTGCAGTGTAATTCAGGAAGCAAGACTTAGGGTGAAAATCAAAAGTAAGTTTGTTAAAACTGTTCCTGCTATACTAAAAGCGCTTATCGCTTTTTGCTACCCTGTTCTGTTTATTGTTGTCGCTTAGCTGTTAAGCCTGTCTTGCTTATCGTGGAGCTCCGTGCTATTGGTGGTGCGTGTTTACTTAAGGCCATCTCGATTGCATCGTGATTATACTTGGCTATAAATAAAACTTGTCATTGATACGGAATAATTACCCATATATAACGAACCCAATCAGTGCAGTAGCTGTGTTTTACTCGGCAGCAGCCGGGGGATCCGGTTTTTCGAATCTGGTAAGTTGAAAAAGAAGGCTTCCTTATTTTTTGTAGTCGTGCAGATTTTATTGAGCATATTCCCGCATCATGACTCATGAGTGTAGTTCATGTTTTGATATGAGATTGGAGCATGAATGACCTATATTCATAATGTGTTGTGAATGGATTGGGAACAAGGGCGGATCCAAAACACAATTTTTTGGGGGCCAAACAAATTTGGGTCCCAAAAATGACGGCGTGTGGTTCGGCCCGCTCAAAGGTCCGATTTTTTTTCTTTATTCTCGATGTTCTGTAGTGCAATCTGAGGCTATTTTTGACCACTTTTACCAAATCTTTTGGAGAAAAAGATGGTGGTGTACGCAGTGCCTGCCTTTATTGCGACGCCACTTTTAAAAAAAAATGGTTTCGTGGGGTTTTTTTTGGAGGGGGGGGGGGGGGCATGGCCCCCGTTGGCCCCCCTGGATCCGCCCTTGATTAAGAATCTGGAACATTGAGAAGAAACACATCGAACTCTTTGTGAAACAGTCTTTCTCTTTATGTTTTTCGCCTTCAACATTCTGCGCTACAAAGGAATCCTTTTGATGCATTGCACGCTTGGAGTTCGTTGGCATTTTTAAAGGGGTGTGTTCTCCCCCAACAACTATGTTATTATAAGGTGCACAGTAACATTTGTTTTAAAAGAGGACGTGCGTAGTTAAACATTTTCATTTCACTTTTCTGTTCTTTTTGTTTTCTTTGCAGGCCTACCGATCGATAGAGCAAATTACTGGCGTTAAAATTGGTTTGTGGTGTTTTCTGACGATGCGATCTGTGAACGGTTAATAGGAATCTCTTCAAATGGCTTTGGATATTCGAGGCAAAACCATCTAGTTCGCTGATCAAATGACAAGAAATTTTTTATGAAAAAATTCATCCACATGAGCTTGCAGGACAAATAAATTACCAAACAAACACTATTTATAGATTTTTTTTTTTTAATTCGTGAATCGAATGTCGACTACTGACGAGAACTCGAAATCTCGGCGAGTCACAAGCGCAATGTGGTACGGTGAATATGACACAGTCAACCGTCAAGACCCGGACACGAAACGCGCTCAGTACGGAACCCTCGCAAGACATCTGAGCCAACGAGGACCCGAGCATTTATACAAGAGATTGGAAGATGCCAAGAAAGACATGGCAACCGTGAAGGATGCAGTTACCATGGTGACAAATGATGCAGTTCCTTCCTCTAATGATTCTAGACCCAACGGCACAAGAGGAGCAGATGACACGGGCGATGCGGGAGGAACGCCGCTGGTTCGTTTTGGTAGGAAATCGAATCACGGAGATGGGATGAGCGATGTCTTCAAGACGGTAAATCTTACCGAGAAATTACAAAGACCAAACTGCAAAACTTCCCAAGTTCGAAAATCGTCGGTAGACAAAGTAAACATGAATTCGAATAAAGTAAGGATGAAACTTCCCATTGTCAAGCATAAAGAAGAAAGGGTTGATCTTCCTAAATCCGAGTCCGAGTCATCACTTCGTAATAAGATGTCATCTCGAACGCCGCCCTCATTTGACTCAAAACCAGCTTCGTGTCTTCTCCCCTCCTTGCGGGCTAAGCATCAAGAACAACAGCGCGAACCGGTGACGAAACCCTGGCGCAAGAGGGTGACAATATCTTGGTCAGAAGGGTGCACAAGCACCGTGAGGATTGAGGAAATGTACAGGACTAAGAGTGAATTTTGTCTGAGAGAAACGAAAGCTGATCTCACGAGGGAACATTTGCGTCGATTTATTATCAAAGACCGAAAATGATTGTTGAGTCGGAAGACACATTGACTTAGACTAGAGCTACAGACTTTGACTAAAAAAATATGTGGAACAGAAAAAAATATAAAGGTTGCGTCTACGATGAATACATATGGAAGCCTTTGATAGTAGCAAGAAGTTTCTACTGAACTAATGTTTACATCGAAAATTTCAACCAAGAATTAAAAACAATGCTTTCAATTATTAAACAAACTGGTATTTGTGGTCATTGAAAATAGTTTTAGATTTTGGATCATGATTTATGTGTTCCTCTCATCACTGACTGAAGCCTTTACTAATTGTACAATTTTAACGGTGCAGTTGACATTAATAAATAGTGTTCGTCATTATTATGGTCTCACTAAATTGCTTGTAGAATTTTTTTGGGGGGGGGGGGGGGGGGGGGAGGCCCTGGGTACTACCCGGTACCGTTTACATGCTGTATTGGTTGTTTTTTTTTCAATCCATCGATTGAGGGCGCTCTCTTATCAACATTTGCTGGTTCGCGCTCGATTGGCGTTTACTGAAGTTTGAAATTAACGTAAGTCTCGTAAATTTTAAACTTACGAATTTTCCTCAATTTAATTATGTCTGCGAAAATAGCTGAGCCGTATAGTTGTTATTATTCTTCTTAGTTATGGATGTTTTGAGTTTGATCGGTTTAGAAAGAGTTAAACTATGAAATATTGATCAAAGAACAAATTACCAGGAACTAAGTTTTACAGCCTTTCTTTTCCATGGAAGTCAACGCAAATGCTGTCTATTTCCGACACGCTTGAATTGTAAGTCGTGAAGAATTAGATCCAACTGACGTCACTTCAGTTACTTTAAATTAAGGTAAAACTTCAGGAAAATCCTAAAACTTATAGTTTTGTTTATCTAATAGTAATACTAATAATATAATAATAATTAATAGAGTAAAATTCTAGTCTAAGATTTATACTTATATAGAACGCAGTGGCTATTGTTACGGCAGCCGTAACGCATTTCCCATTTTCTATCGTTACGGTAGACTGCAACCTGGCAACTTTTATAAAAAAAACATGACAAGAAAATATAAAATTAGAAGGAAAAAAGTGAATTTGAACTTTATGAAATTCGGACTTTATTTCCCTTTTAAAAAAAATCCTCCAAAGCCTCAGGTTAGAAAAGGAAAAAAATTCGAGTGCAAAACTGAGATTCGAACCCGCAACCTCGCGGTGCAAAATCCTACCCTCTATCGGCTGAGCTGGCGCACTGCTCGATAAAACGTGGAGAAACAAATAATTATATACCCGCGTGCGTATCAAAAAAATATCGTAGAGGGCGCTAAACAACGAGTGCCGTAACGATAGCCACTTCGTATATAGAAAGAAAACAAGAAGGAAATAATGTTGCAACCTGACGCCACTTCGGCGGTTGTGTACAAAGTCTATGGAGCAGTGCTATGGAGAGTCAAGAACATTTTCCAAGTATTTCCTAACAAAATTGGAAATATTTCTCAGTCCCAGGTTCATGTTTTGTCATCATTTTTGCAATGACTGACCTTCATTGAGATGATAGGGCCTATATATAAAAAAAAGTGGCGTCAGGTTGCAACATTTTTTTCCGAAAACAAAAGTTCACAATTGTCGGCGATCTTGTAGTTACGGGCCCGGTTCCCTATAACTTTTTAAGAGAACAAAATCCACTTTTAATTTATTTGACTTACCATTACAAACTAGTTGGCTACATACATTAAAGAACGTGCAGGCATATCAATTATCATGTACGTCATTGATAGAGGGCAGGGTTTTGAAATTTTGAGTGAAATTTGGGGGCAAAATGACGATGACAATGACAAAACGCAACACACTAAATCGCGCACACGCGCCAACAGTAAGCCACATACGAAAATTGTTATTTGTACCCCAAGAAACTGTTCAAAATTCCAAAAATGTGTCATCAAATTTGAGAGATGTCTGTTTTAGGTTGAAAAGGTTCTTTTTGAATGATAAAAAAACACCACTGACTTGCTTGCGTTCGGGTGGCAATTAAATATCTATTTGGTGTTAGCCTACTTGCATACGTGCCCATGAGGGCGCTATACATAGGCTGGCTTAAGAACGAAAGTCAAAAGCAGGACCGGTTTATGCTTTTTAAACGCTTCGTCTCAGTATTTAATGTTGTGATTTGTTAACTCTTTGTCTAATATTAGGTAATAACTGTTGTAGCCATGGCAACACCTGTTGTAAGAAGGAAATCTCCGAGTAGACAGAGCTCAGTCGGTAAAACGAAACCAGCTGAGAAATCTGGGAGTTACTCCATCAAAGAGGCCGTCAGGTTCTTCACGAGTGGTAAATAAAGCCAGAGTGGGAGTGTTCATGTTCAGTAAATCTTCTTGTTAAAGAACTGTTTCATTGACAATTAACACAAATTGCATTGTTGTCACTTTACTTTATTTGGAAAGATTTCCATATACGAAGTTCACTCAACACCCTGTGTACAAACCCTATGAGATTGGACTAAAAAAATTTAAGTGTTTTCTAAGAAAATGCTTGTATTTTCTCACTGCTCAAATTGATTTTGATGACATGAAATTGCTATCTGGGGGCTTGCTAGTCAATACAGAGGAAAATTAGTGAACTTCGTATATGGAAATCTTTCCCTTTATTTCTCAACTGTGCAATTTCCAGTCATCTTTAAGTATTAAATTTAAGTAAAATATATTCTCTCATGCATGCAGTTACATTACAGGGTGAGTCAAAGAGAAAGAGACCTGGATTAATGATGTTTTTTTCTGAAAAATTTTGATACACTAATGAAGTACGTCTTAACCAGTTCGCGTCGGAGGACATGACAACACGCACTGGCTGTTTTTATACACAGGCACAGCTGACGGGTTAAGACGTCAAGATTGTCTCAAATCGCCTCCGGGTGACATCTAAACGCGCTAATCCCTCGTGCCTTTTCTACACACACACAAAGTCCGTGAAGTTTGTGGAGGCGGACCGTGTGTTGATCTTAAATTGGCCGTTGTGCACGGCCTATTGTTGCACAATACGTTCCAGTGCACACGCCGAAGTATTGAAACATGAGGTTTCGGCAAGAAATATTGTACAAATACTGTTGATATGACTCTTGCAAATCAGTATTTGTGGAAAAGTTGGCTGGAAAATTTTGCCTTTTACAAAATAATCTCAGCTTTAAGCGGTTACAAGAGCACGTTCTTCTACTCACCTGAAAAAAAGAAGAAGAATTACCGCAATTGTTCCATGCTATCATGTTAACCAAAAAGAACCTATTTTTATAGCTGTCCATGGAATGCCATTGGTAGCTTTTGAGCTGAGTGAAAATTACAAATTACAGGCTGCCATTCAAAATACAAATGAGATTTTAATCATTTGAGTCAAGACTGAAACATTGTATTTATTGTCAGATTTTGTATTTTGAATACGAGGGACAAGTCAACTTTTTTTCCTGAAATATTTATTGCGATTTTTGTCTGTTTTCCTTTCAAAGTATTAGTTTATTCATGGAGGCGGGAAAACGTCCATGTTTAATTGAATTTAGTGGGTATTCGTCAGTTCGTAGAACGGTGAATGATCAGTGGTGGACAGCAGAATTTTGTGATCTTTTTATTAAAATAGACGTAACTTGGGAATAGAGTATGCAAATTACCTGAAATTTTCACAGTTAATAGTCAATAACATGTACTGTATGTTGTTTTTATGAAATGGAGCAAGCCACATACATGTATTTTAAAAAAATTTTCTCTTCTAATTACTTCACTTTCTTTTTGACCCACCGTGTATTATACTGTATATTTTATAGGAAAATAGTATCACCCATAAATCGTGTGACTTGACTTTCTTTGTCAGCATTCAGTTTTCAGAAGTTTCTAAACCACTTCAATTTTCTTTTCACAACAAAGATTCTAGTAATAGGAAGGTTCGTGGCAACCCTGCGTTGACTTTGGCCATTCAGGAGGTGGAGGTAACGGCCAAGAGGGAGGGATTATCTCAAAAGGTCATAGGTCAACTTGTTGACGTTGCTGCATCTGCCAAGTTTCGTAAGTACATTTGTACGCAAAGTTATAAATCTTTTTATATCAATAGAACCATAGAGCACTAGGGCGGTTTGGGGCGGTATGAGGAGTAACAGGCAGAGCGGTTTGGGGCGGTACAAGGGCTTAAGTGTTAAAGGTAGAGTCCATCATTTGCAGCTATCCAATAAGTAACTGACAAAATTATTGTTGAAAAGCTCACTTGGTTTAAAGATAGTAATGGCACTAAACTCCCTGTGAAATTACTCTTTCTGGCATGCTGTCATTTTGAAGAAAACAATAAAAGAACTGCCATTTCCAATGATGCGTTTAAAGACACACTTTTGGAAATTTCCGTTAGTAATGTCGTTTCTCATTGGGCAAAGCCGTGAATGAGTACGCGCAAGCATTGACAGGACACACACGCTCGCGGTTGCTATTATACGTCGGTTCAGCACGTGACATGGCGCAGCTGTTTCGATTGAATGAGAATGTGTCCCGGACGTTGATATCTGGGCGCAATTCAAAACACGACTCGGCAACTTTTGAATTGAAATTCGGATCCTAGAATATTGTTTTCTTGGAATATACAGCATTCACTTCTTCGGATCTTAAACGAAAAAAATGCACAAATGACAAATGACAAGTGACGTTCTCTACCTTTAAAGAGCATCAGAGCAAATCTAACTGTAAAAAAAAATCCGGTACCCCTAGCACCCGATTCCTTCAAATTCACAATGTGTAAGAAACCCACCACTTGAATTTAATACATTCCATTTTTTTTCCCTCCTTTTTTCAATCAGCTGATTCCATCAGTTCTCGTCTCATCAAGAGTCTACTTCCATCGGATAAGATCCCTCAGGATGCGATCGTCAAGGCCATCTCCTGGATGTGCACCAATAACCCCTCCAATGAAATACAGGTAGCTCTACCAACTTCCGTTTAGAACTTTGTTTCTTTGTAAGTTCGCAAAGTGACTTTGAAAACTGTATCCGGGGAGTTATTTTTGTAAAGATATAAGATTTACCAAAAAAAACTGGGTGTTCTCCGAAAATCCGCAAAGTACTGACAGATGACAACAAAATGTAACTACATGTACTTGTTCTGAAATAAAGCGGTGATTTTGCACTTATGTTGAAAAGTAAAACAAATTATTGGCAGTGAAAATTCATGGCATAAATATTGATGTATTAATTGATAACGATGTTGATTATATCTACCGCAGAGCCTGTTGGTGCGATGGGTGATTTTAACCTACGACCTCTTAGATGACCTCGATGACCTCCATGCTCTGTACGGCGTTCTCTTCCATTTCATTGAGAATGACGCTTTGGTAAGCTATGAACCCAAGACAGCATTATCCAACATTGCGGACTCTCAAGAACCAATACCGCATAATCCTATTTGTGACAGACTTGTGAGGACTGTTATGCACTCGACTAGAAACATTTTTCTCAAACCCTTTCTTAAAACCTTCTCTGTTAGAGACAGCCACTTCACTTAACCTGAAGTTGATATGTACACGCAGTGGCCGCGCTTCGCGGCAATGAATTGCAGCCAGGCAAGATGGCGTCGGTCGGTCACCCCCAACTGTACTTGCTTTGCCGGTGAGGGGGTACTTGTGAACGGAGCGGATAACACTAGAAGTGACCAATAACACTTCTTCTTTTTCTCAAACCCTTTCTTGAAACCCTCTCCTTTAGGGATGGCCACTTCACATAATAGACTCACATTTTTTTCCCCGAAGTTGATTTGCCAGTGATTTGAATTCTGTCCCTGTTTGTCACCCCTAGTGTCCTCACGTCTGTCACCTCCTCTACCTCCTGACAAGGAAGGAGGACGTCTTGGCGTTCAGAGTTCAGCGACTTCTCAGTCTTCAGAAAAGAGTGGTCAGTACCCACTTTTACATTCCTCAGTTTTTGTTCGACGATGATTCTTCCGTTTATTCATGCTAAAGTAAGGCTTTGCATTATCAAGATTTTGAGTTCAAGAAAATAAGGTCTTTTTTGTTTACAAAAATGCTTAGAAATTTTCATATCAACACACAGTGTCAGATTATTATCATTATATTTAGAAACATTTGTTCTCAGGGAAGATCTCTCAAATTTTCCCTGCAGAGATTTTATACTTCTAGTCGGGAAATGAAAATATGATTGTGATAAACTCTGATTGAATTTCCATCTTCCCAAAAATGTCTTCAAGATTTGTAGAAAAGTCACCAAAGTTTTCCCAATTCTTATACCCAGGGTGTTCAGCCCTACATCATCGGTCTGCTGTCGGTGTATAAGATGTACCGCCCCCATCTGGTCTCCTTAGTGACTCCGCCCACTCAGAGGGTGTTCTTCCGTCAGACCGACCGGTTGTGGTCGGCTGAGGTCCACAAGGCGAAGGAGAGAATCCAACGACGGTTGGATGGTCCGGACTCCGCCATGGAACGATTGCAGAGCTCAGTCACTGATGGCAGATCGGTAAGAAAGGTTATCGATCTTTTCCCAAACCAGGCTTTCTCCCCAGGATTTTTCAAACCTGTGGGAGAAATTATGTCGTTGTTTAACAACTTGCGAAGCCGTGGCGTGGGGTTTCAGGGCTGCTTAAGGGCCCTGGAAAAATTTAGACATTCGAAGCTCCTTCTCTGGTGCATTTAAGAACAAATCTGGGGGTCTTTAAGGTAGATTTTTCCCTAAAATTCAGAGGAAATTTGAACTATTTTTTTAATCAAAAAGAATCAACGTTTTATAAACTTTTTGAACTGGAAAAGTAGGGATTGAAAGTAAGTTTCAAATTAAGAAATTTGAAAAACAACGAAACCCAAATGTCGGGACTATTGTTTTAGTGAAGTTCTACATGTAGCACTTTCAAAATGTAGGATATGAAAGCCCAATTCGTAAGCTTTCATTTAGTACTAGAATCATTCAAATCACTCATGTACTTTTCGAGTTGCGGAATTTTAAATACAACTGCCGTTTTAAGGTTCTGTCCACGGATCACAAAAAAGTTCAGTGTTCTTTCAGCAAAACGAAAACAAATTACATAAGGATGTGTGTGAATTGTTTTTGTTTGGCTGAAAGAACGCCCACCTTGTTTTGTGATCCGTGGACAGAACCTCAAAACGGTGGTTGTGTTTAAAACTCCGTAACTTGAAAAGTACATAAATGATTTGAATGATTCTTGTACTAAAAGAAAGCTTATGAATTGGGCTTTCATATCCTAGATTTTGAAAGTGCTACATGCAGACCTTCACTAAAACAATGGTCTCGACATTTAGGTTTCGGTTTTTTTTAATTCACCCTGTAGATCCTTTGCATATCTACTTATGCAAAGCCCTGTAGAACAAAAGCATGAACTCAAAGATGGCCGCCATTGTTTTTTTGTTTTGTTTTGTTTGGTCCCTTAGAGAGCGAAGAAGAAGAAGCTGGATGTGATACCGACAGTCAGCACATCACTCCTGTCACTGGATGGCTCGGGGGATGCAGGTTACCAGTTAACCGGTGCCCATCACGGCAGAGTACCAGTGCAGCACATCAAGTCGTTTGACGATCTCCTGAAGAACATGGACAGACTGGAGGTAGGGTGACGTAACCGAAGTTGAATTGAGTTTGTTTTACAAATTGTCACCGTTTTTAGAAACTGTCACGCACATGCTGTTTGCTTGAAGTTCGTGAAAATTGCGTAATCAATAATTTCGGTTTCACGAACTGACACGCAGGTGCACGCGCGCACTTTACACAATGACACGTAATAGAATAATTTTGGTTTTCACAAACTGAAGCGCAAGCATGTGACAGAAATACAATTCAAGGAAAAACAATTTGAAAGGTTTGACACGAACTGACTCCATCAGTATACTTGCGGGGTTACAGAAACATTTAATTCAAAACCTTTTAACTGGTGAAGTTAAGACAGGTTTGAGTTTGTGAAAACGAAGATGTACGGAGCGCGCGCATGTAGTACTTGGATGTAAGTTCGTCAAAATCAAAATTACGCGGTTCTGTAAGTTACACGCGTGTGCCGGGCACTCGCGCCCCACTGAGTACTCACGTACCACCGAGTGTCAGTTCGTGGTGTCGGTGACAAAATGATATCACTGTTCGTCTAGTTTTGAAGGAAATATTGAATGTAAATCAAGTAAATGTTTAGCACCGTAGTATGTGTGGATGGGCTAGTTGCTGTGCTTTTGTAACTTGAGACTTGTTGTTCTGTTATAGATAAGGCAAAAAAAAAAATAAGTCGGTCTCTGGTCAGCGCGCGCGTCGATTTTAATCATGCGCGTCGATCTTTTTTTTTTTCCAAAATGTTCCGCGGTAGCTCCAACAGCGCCCTCTATTTCCACACCTCCTCAATTTGTTTTACCAAAGAGCACCAAGGAATGGGAAATTGCACCAAGGCAAAATGATCGAAAGCACCAAGGCAAATTATGGAGGACACCAATGTACATGAGGACACCAAAAAAGCAAAATAGTACCCACCTTGTCTGTACAATCCAAGCTTGAAGAAAAAAAACAAAAAACAAAAAACAAAACAAAGCCGTGTGGCTGCGTCAATTCCGGAACTTTGGTCTGACCAGAGACCGAATATTTTTTTTTTTTGGCCTAACATTTTTTGTTTCGGCTGGCTTCTAGTTTGATCTTCATGATTTTGTTTGGATTTTAGCTTCCTAGTCAGATAGCTGCAGTCTTAGATTCACCCTACCTCCAGCATGCCCTATGCTGTCACACAGAGCAGCACGTCGTTCAGAGACTCAGCTTCTGGTTGTATCAAGTACTTCATCAAGGTAAGCATAAAAGTGTACTCTTTGATCTTGATGTTATCTGCTGGATACCCATAGTTAACGATAATTTTTACTTGAGAGCAGTTCTGTAAGTTCGGACGTACATGTCAGACTCTTTAAAGGGAATGCACCCCAGTTGACCATCGCACTTGTTTGCAATCGATTACACACCTATGAACGGGTACAAGCCAGCTAGACTGGTTCCCTGACCTTACAATTCCCCAATATATGTAAACTGCTCTGTTTCTTTTTAAATGGAGTCAGGGAACCAGACTACAGGAAAATGATTGTTTTTCTTGGTTTTTATAGCATTTTCGAACCCAAAACCTCAAAAAAGTCAGTGTAACTGGGTCATTCTATAAATTTGGGGTCCACTTTTTTCCCGTCCCTGTTACATCTGACATCTATGATTGTATAATTCTGATGCACTTCTTAATGCAGTCATCCTCCAAGAGTGATTATGAATAGCAAAGTACCTACCCAACAAATAAACAATCATTTGAAGTCATTCTTAATGATGCTTGAATGGCAAATTACAAAGTACCAAGGTAACAGGGACGGGAAAAATGTCACACTTTGGACCCCAAATTTATAGAATGACCCAACTATATTTGCTATATATTTCCAACCCCCCAATTCCATCCATTTCTGAATATGACAGCAAAAGCAAATGATGTATATTCCCTTTAATGACATTGTGCATGTACATCGTGTTGTCGGACGTACGTTGGATTTTATGGAATTGTCCTTGAAGATATCGATGCACTGTCTGAAGGTGTATTACATAGCTGAGGTTTAATTCTTATCTGATTGAAAGAGGTAAGGAAGAATTATATTTCTTCATTGAGTTGTCAGTTTTTCTCAAAATTAGAAAATGGGCATCAATGTCATTATAAGACGACACCTGTAGATTTCGGGACGCTTTGAACGATTCTCTAAACTTTCTTTTGGTCGTAGAGCTGCTTGACTACTCATCCGAGGGGCCCAACTGCAGAGCTGAATGGTTGCTTCAGATGCTCATTAACTTCACCGACTTCCTACACGTTAGTGCATTCAGTTTTTATTTTGTCAGATTTGCAAAAGAGTCGCAATTTATAATAATAATAATTTGGGAGGCTAATCATCCTTACTCGCAGCTGGTATGCTGAATTGCGAAGGACGCGGCTACAACGTGGTCGGGCCGCTGGCACGTAAAGGCGCCTATGGCTGCCGGCCACATCGACCCATATATGACCACGGAGCACAGCCTGAGATTGAAAGTGTTTGATTTTTCCGGAGGGAGGAAAACCGGAGGGCCCGGAGAAAAAACCTCGTGGCACAGGAGAGAACCAACGCACAACTCTACTCACAACTTGTCCTAGCTTTTTTTTTCTCTTGTGAAGAAGTTGGAAAAAAAAAACAACCAAGCTGACATAATAAAATGACAAACCGGCACGGTGTCATTGTTTTAATGTGAATGAGACAGTTGAGTGAAAACCTGATTAGAAAACTCGGTCTGAAAAAAAATGGCCGTTTTGACTTGCATTACAGCTCCTGTTGAGTCGCTAAGTCTTCAAGGGGAACCTTTTCTCAATTCCATCATTATCACAGTTGACTGAACATTTCCATTTCTTTCATTCAGGAGGACGTTCCAGTGTGCGAGAACTTCTTAGTGAAATATCTGCACACGTGGAACGGCTCCGATTATCGACCCTACATCCTGAGACTCATCACACGATTCAGAATCTATCCCTTCCAGAGTAAGTCGAAATTTTCATAAAATAAAAACCAAATATAATCGGGCAACAGATTCCTATGATACGAACTCGAAACTCAACATCGATAGCATGCATCTCAAAAAAAAATATGCGCACATGTTATTGTTGTTATTATTTATTTGACTTCAACAAACAAATACAGACAGTAAAACAAAATGAATTTAAATTTTTTTTTCTTAATTTTTTTTTTTTATTTTTAATTTTTTTTAAATTATCTTTTGGCCTACAGTACATAATTATTCACAACAAGAAAGGTATGCACATGTATGTGTACATGTAAACCATGTACCTGTACTCGATGTTGAAAAGTTGAAAATGACCGCGCAGGTTGATTACTAATTGGGATTTTGAAAAGTTGGCAGCTATGCACTGCGCACCACAAAAGGGCTCCCCAGTGAAGTTGCACATGCGTCTTGCTGTGCGTCTTGTATGCTACTGGAAGAAATTTAAGAGTTTGGTTCGGAACTACAGTGACATTTTTTTAATGCGCGCTGCATATTTATTAGGCCAAATAGGTGCGCTCGCATTACACAACCGATATGAATGTCCCTAGACGTTGTTCCTGACAGGTTCGTTGGTGATATTGGTTGGTTGTGATAGCGCCCTCTTGCAGTGGTGGGTTATTCCGGTGGCGGGTTATTCCGGTGGTGGGTTACTGCGTTGGCGGGTTATCGCGTATCAAACAATCACAACGTCTAACCCATAGACTATACCTCCTTAGGATATCTCTCATTTATCCAAGAATTTCATTTTGTTGTCATAATATTTCCAGGATCATTTTAATGATTACTGAATATTAACGTCTGTCCCCACTTTTTTCCATGTTTTCCGTTTTTTTTCCCAGAGTTGAACGACCTTCTCCTTGAGCCGCTCCGATCTCTCTTCTTCTGCTCTTCCGTCTTCTTCAAGTGCCAAGTCATCTACACTCTGACGGAGCTTCTGAGGAACTATGTCTCCATTGAGCTACCACGCCATGCAGACATGGTCTGCTTTCAAGCCGTTAAAGAAGCCTCAGCCATACAAGCTGGTGATACTGTACTACCTCAGAATCAGTGAGTAAAGAAGCGCCGCTGGTAATACCTCTAGTTATAGGCTTGCAACTTGCAACATTAATTTTGTCAGTTAGAGTTGGATAGCTGCAATTGATATATTCTACCTTTAAAGGGTAAATTTGTCCACTTCTTCTCTGATTTTAGGTTGTCGGTCTTCGATGTCCATGTGGATAATTTCCAAGCACTACACACGATCCAGGAGCTGACAGAGTACGTGGACAGGATCAGCACATTGGCGCTACTCATTGAGAAAGATCACGTGCTGCTCATGCATTATGTACTGGAGTTCTTTGAACTGGTAAGTTTGAAAGTGGTAAACACCGCAAACTAAAGAAAGACCACACTCATTGAAGGGGTCATAATTTTGAATCTGATCATCTTATGATAACGTCATTTGCATAGACCTTTGGGAAATGTTATTAGCTACATTTTGATAGCCTGTTTGCTAACAAAGACTGTAAATTGTCCAAGATTCACAATGGTTTATAAGAAATGATGCACTTGGACTCGCCCTATATATATTGAAGATAATTTGTTGATTTTTGTTTTGCAGGTATCATTGGAGGGGTCGTAATTTTGAATCTGATCGTCTTATGATAATGTCATTTGCATAGACCTTTGAGAAATGTTGTTACCTACATTTTGATACCCCGTTTGCTACCAAAGACTGTAAATTGTCCAAGATTCACAACGGTTTATAAGAAATGATGCACTTGGACTCGCCCTATATATTGAAGATAATTTGTTGATTTTTGTTTTGCAGGTATCATTCGAGGGGTCGTAATTTTGAATCTGATCGTCCTATGAGAATGACATTCGCATAGACCTTTGGGAAATGTTGTTAGCTACATTTTGACACCCGTTTGCTACCAAAGACTTTAAATTGTCCAAGATTCACAACGGTTTATAAGAAATGATGCACTTTGACTCGCCCTATATATTGAAGATAATTTGTTTATTTTTGTTTTGCAGGTATCATGTTTGCATCTTCGTTACGGAGTTCCGTTTGTCTACGTCCCGTCCTCCGGTTCCTTCTACAGAGCCTTGTTCTCCAGCAACGCCATGGTCTGCTCAAGACTCTGTAAAATCATCTGCAAGTAAGTTCCTCTTGTCGCTCTTGAAAAAATGATCTTGGCCTCTTGGTGATGTTCAAGGCATGTTTCGCATGCAGGAACGGTAGGTGCATATGTGATGCGATCAAGCTACATGAGTCGTTTGTCGGGAATTTTAATTTGGAGATACAGGCCAAAATAGGGCCACTACATCACATCTCTTCATGACATCTCTTGGTTTTCCAACTTTCAAAATTTTTGAACTAAAGATGGTATCAGCATGCGGTTTTCACAGCAGTAATGCTGAGATTGTGCTCTTTTCAAATCTGTAATAAAACATTTTTTGACCAGGGTCAAGAAACGATTCATGTAGCTTGATCGCATCACATATGTTCCATCTTGTGTGATGTACTACTGAAGGTGTAACAGTTGCAGTTGACCAATTCTTTAAAGGGTCCATGAAATGCATTTTTCTTAGGAACACATTTTGTGCCACTTTCTACTCCTCTTAAATGTATGAAAACTATTTGACGTGTCTTTTTGGTTGATTTTATTGAAAAGTGAACTTCTTTAAACGTTTGAAAAATGTCCATGCTTGATTTGTAAAGTCTTGAGCAAAATTTAACCATAAAATGATGTTTTTATTGGTTGCTTTGTTTTTCGATTAGCTACAAGGATGAGTTCCAAGCCTTGAAGAAGATGGTTTCCATTGAGGATTCCGACAGCTTGTTCACGGTGAGTTTTGTATCGGGAATAAAAAAATTATGAAAATTTCAGTAATTCAGTGAATGACCAAAAACACTTGTAGATGTTATTTGGGAAAACAGCACATGAATTATCACATCAGAAAACTAGATTATAAATTATGATCACTTTATTTTTTCATCGCATTTTTTCGTTTAAAGCATTAAAAATGCTCAAAATCTAAAGACAGGTGCTTTAGATTTTAGACTAACCTGAAGAATAACCTGACGTATATTCCAAGAAAACAATATTCCAGGATCTTGATTTCAGTTCATAAGTTGCCTAGTCACGTTTAGAATTGCGGCCGAAATCAGCATCTGGGACATGTTCTCATTCAGCCGATCGCAGCTACGCGATGTCACACACGGAACCAAGGTGTCGTGTGTGTGTGTCATCGTGTCATCGCTTGCGCGCACCCGTCCACGAATTTGCCAGAATTCCAGCCAAATACAACCGGAAATTTCCAAAAATGCGTCACTTGACGCATCTTCGGAAATCACCTTCTTTCAATTATTTTCTTCAAAATGATAGCATGCCAGAAGGAATAATATTACAGGGAGTTTAGTGCCATTACTATCTTTAAACCAAGTAAGCTTTCAACAATAATTTGGTCAGTTACTTTTTGGATGGCTGCAAATGATGGACTCTGCCTTTAATAGTAGCCATCGAATGCCTTGTTTTTCCCACTTTTAATGATGAGAGTTTTTGTGTGGAATAATTATTTTGCAGAGTAACATGAGAGACGGTATCCAGCTACTGAACCAGTACATCTTGGATCTCAGCAACGCTCTGTGGCGTAACAAGGCCTTCCTGAGTGGCAACAAGACCAAAGTGTTTGACATTCCGGTCACGGCGCTCCAAACGACAGGTGTCAAGCATATTAACGAGGCATTCTCCATCCATCTACATATGGCCATGCTGCCGTTTGCCAACAGCTTCCTGGAACAGGTGAGTGATGGGAGGGGCTTGGGCGTGGAAGGGGCGGGGCTTGGGCTCGGTAGGGTGGGGCTTGTAAGGAGTGGGGCTTGTCTCGTTCAACAACAGGTGTCAGGCATACTAATGAGGCATTCTCAATCCATATACGTACGGCCATGCTGCCGTTTACTCACAGGTTAGTAATGGGAGGGCTTTGGCTTGGAAGGGGCGGGGCTTAGGCATGGTAGGGTTGGGCTTGTGAGAAGGAGGCTGGGCTTATCTTTGCACACGGGTGTCAGACGTATTAACCCTCCTATGCAAACATGCATTCTGTGCGAAGTTGTTGTTTCAGTCAAAATCAGTCAAGTGACTGTTTTTAGCTGTTGAGTTGTCCCTGACAACATAAAGCAGGATTGACTGGCTGTGGCTGTTTATGTAACTTGATACAGCTATGCTTCGACTCTAGGTGATTGATAAGACAGCTGTGCCTACCAGTTGCCTGCTTTTGTCTGTTGCCTGAATTAGACTAGTCAAAGTGCTTGCTGGAAATATGGTCTGACTGTTGGTGACTAGCCTGTGTGTAAAAGGCATGGCAGGGGAAGAGGATTAATATTTTGACTCTCTGTGACTGTTCAGACAGCAGAAGGGTTAACATGGCATTCTCAAGCAATCTATGTACGGTATTATGTCCCTGTACGCTACACGTTTGAGGGGGGAAGGCTCTTAGAAGAGGTGGAGCTTATGAGGGGTGGAGCAGTTGTTAAGGCGGGGCTTGTAACTAATATACGCTCTCCTCTGCTTGGTTCCAGACTCAACCAGAAGGCAAGAAAGTTCACCCCAGTCTGATCCGATCCTCGGAGCGAGACGCTTACCTGGAGTTTCTGAAGAGGGAACGTTTGGATGGAGTCGTGGCCTTCATCAACACGTTCATCAAACGCAACCAGACGACGCCACATAAATCACAAGCGGCCAGCTAAGCGCATCGCAACGTTCGTCAAACCCAAACTCTAAGATTCCATGAAACTATCTACAAATAATTCTGAACTTTTCAACGTTTTGACAGCAGAAACCTTTTATGGAAAGAGTGTAGTATCCCAACGCCACTTCTTTGGTTGTGTGCAAAGTCTATGGAGAGTTGAGTGCATTTTAATTTTTTAATTTTCAAGTGTGAAATTTCATTTTGAAATATTTTAATTGGAAATGTTTCTCAGTCCCAGAGTCGTGTCTTTCCAACATATTCTGCAATGACTGACCTTATTTTATTGGAAATGTTTCTCAGTCCCAGATTCATGTCTTTTCAAGATTTTCTGCAATGACTGACCTTCATTGAGATAATATAGTATAAAAAAGTGGTGTCAGGATGCAAGGATTTTTCTGCTTTTATATTCAGCTACATACAAGCAGGTGTAATATTTATAATATACTGGCAACGTTTTAGGGTACGTCCAAGAAAAGGTCCCATTTTTGTCCCGTACGTAACACCATGTTTCTTTTAATTACATAATCATCGCAACGACTAATGAATTAACAATTCTTGTGGATATTCTCCTTGCGGATGCCCAACAGTAGAATAAGAAACGCTAAAATCCATGAATATCTTAGAGGGTTAAACTTTGGTTACGTATTTGACATAGTGCGTGAATTCTTGAACTTGCTATTTAATAATCTAGAGTTATATGCCTTTGTTGTGCCGTGAACGAAACATTTGCGTTATCTCTGGCTACATGGCCTATTATCTTCAAGCAAACTTGAATCCTCGATTCTGATTGGTCGATCCATGGCAACAAGCCGTGCTACATATAACCATACCGCATGGCCACGGCCCATACCGCACTCCGCGTATTGCGCTATTCTAAGCCCAAGTGACGCGATTAGTGCTGCACAATTCACTGTGAATTCAAAAGTTACGCGTAGGTTACAGCATGCGTGTTCCAACTTTACTGTGCGTCAAGTTTGCTTGAAGATAAATTTATCGCGCTCGCGGAACACTGAAAATGTAGTGCGTTTGTGCCCCATATACCTCTCGGCCTTCAGCCTCGTGGTATGTGGGACACAGATGCACTACATTATTCCGTGTTCCACTCGCGCTCGCAAGATAACTAATATAACCATATCCGCTGTACAGGTTTCTGACTAGACCCCCCCTCCCCCCCCCCCCCACCCCAACAAAGACATGGACAAAGTTGGGAGTTGCCGACATAGAGCTGGATAGCTCAGTTGGTAGAGCACCGGAACGGCAATCCGGAGGTCACAGGTTCAAACCCCGCTCCAGTCACTTTCTTCGTTCTTGCAAATTTCTTCTTCAACTTGCATATTATTTTAACAACAATAATAATAATAACTTTGAAATGTGTATGTATTTGTCCAATGCTCCTCTAGCTATGTAATATAAGAAATATGTACAGATTTGTAAATACCGCTAATGATCACCTGTGTGTTAATCAGACAGAGGCAATTTTCATTTTGCTTTTCGAATGGTTTAAATTTTTCAATTTTTGCCTTTTAACCATGCATTTTGTTAATAAGAATGGAAGTTTTGCGGTAACACCAAGTCAATAATATCTCTTTTGAGTTGTGTAGTTCTGAGAAGTTGTTGAACTCAGTTAAAGTTAAAAACGACAGTTCTTCTCAAAACCGCACAACTAAAAAAAAGAGATTCTTCACATGGTGTTACCGCAAACCTCCCATTCATTGTTCATATCCACCATGCAAACCTTAAGTCTCATATTTTGTTACTAATAAAAAGAATGTAATTTGGCCTACTTCTTGTGTCAAATTATTTTGCAAACAGATATATCCACACATTTTAAGTCTATTGGAAATCTTCCAAAAGACATCTTGAGTGGTTTAAAACAATTTTTTTTTTCAAACCCCCGAAACGTCTTTTCCATTGTTGGCAAATTAAATTTTTCATTAAATTTTCAGAATTGAAGTGAATATTACTGGAAAGTTTATATTGACTGGAAGTGTGGTCACTAGTTCACATCTATGCCCCCTCAAACTGTAAGTGGCCACAAGAGGGCCATATTTCCAGAGGATGTTTTTTTTTTATTTTGAAGACTGACAACTTGAAACTTTGTTGTGGAAATAAAAACCATGTCATCTATTGTCACTTTAATTTTTGCATTCTCAAGAGTTTTATCTTATGAATTATGTCACTTGTCTTTCTTAAGCCCTACTTATGAAATAAATCTTTGTCAAGCTTGGAAAATGTTGGTATTTCTTTCACACCCCCCACCCACCCGACTTTTTACCCCCCAAAAATATGTTGGGGTGTATTTCAGCCTTAAAAGAATGTTCCCGTATATTTTCTTTTCTATTCTTACTCTGTTGGCAAAATAACCAATAAAGAAGCTTGCTAATCCTCATTTTGCAAGGCTTATGAATGTCAAACTTTACCTAAGAATCCGAACCATTCCTCATCCTTTTCAAAAAGAAAAAGGTTTTTTTTCAGCCATCAACCCATACCCCCATACTTCGCGCAGTACAGAGGATAATAAAGCGCACGGGAAAATCACATTTTTGAACGCAAAATATTGACCAATGAGCAAAGAGAAATTAACCCACTGATTTGCATAATAAAACAACTGGCAACTGCACATTCAAGTCGCTACACCCTATACTTTGTAAAGTGTTTTATTTCAATCCCATTCCGTTGACAAGGACACTATTGGAGGAACCGCATGGTTAGTAGGCGGAGCTCCCCCGCGGAATTTCTGTCCACACGTGGTGTCGTTTCACATTCATTTCTTCGCGCGGGCACGAATGGAACACGGACAAAATGGAGGACAACAGGGTAAGAACTCAAACTCAAAATTCAAAGTAAGTTTTCCCTTATTTTCAGGTTAAAAACCTGACAGTTTTGGGCTTTGAAGTGGAAGCCTAAGTACATAGAATGCGCTGGGGTACTTTTAAAACAGTTTCGGTTGAAAATAGTACTGGAAATTGAAAGAAATGAGAATTTGAGAAAATTCAGCTTTGCTCGCAGGGTGGGCGTGGTTAAAAAAAAGGAAAGAATGTAGTATCCAGACGCCACTTCAGCGGTTGTGTACAATCCTATATCATCATAATCATATGGCGTCGTTTTTTTTTTTTTTTTACTTCAGTGTATGTATTTAATAGCTACTTATGTGGCTCCATCAGGGTTTGCTCTCAAAAGTCTTCCACATTGTCAGTGGTATTCTTCTTTAATTAGTCTTTCCAAATGGTACTTGATTTAACTTGGCCCAGACGATGAAAATCCCACGAAACGTGAACGTTATTTTTGTTCCGAAATGTCGCAATCAAAGGTTATTTTTCGGAGGTGTTTTCTAATCAAATATTTTGCCCAAAATTTCACAGTTGGATAAAAAATGATTGTCCTTTTTCTGTGGATTTATTGTTAATCTCTACTATCAAAAACTTATTTGTAATATGAAAAAGTGATCGAAAAGACGTTCTCTGGTGAGCTGTTTTTACGCAGACGGGACTGGATACAATCTCGCATCTTACATCTCAAATCTCGCATCTTGCATCTCACTGTTAAAATCTCGCATCTTACTTATCGCTATAAATATCTTGCATCTTACATCTTCCCTCTCGCATCTCGCTATAGAAATCTTGCATCTCCATCTTGCATCTTGCTATAAAATCTTGCATCTCCATCTCGCTATAAAAATCTCGCATCTCGCTATTGAAATATCGCATTTTGCATCTCGCATCTCGCAACTCACTGTCTTGAATTTTGCATCTCGCTATAAAACTTCATCTTTATCTTCATCTTCAAGCATCACGCTAAAAAAATTACCCATCTCACATCTTCCATCTCGCATCTCGCTAAAGAAATCTTGCATCTCCATCTCGCATCTCGCTATAGAAATCTCGCATCACCATCTCGCTATACAAATCTCGCATCTTCCATCTCTCATCTCGCATCTCGCTATTGAAATATCGCATTTTGCATCTCGCATCTCGCATCTCGCAACTCACTGTCTTGAATCTCGCATCTCGCTATAAAAAAATTACGCATCTCACATCCTCCATCTTGCCTCTCACTAAATAAATCTCGCATCTTCATCTCGCATCTTGCTATACAAATCTCACATCTCGCATCTCGCATATTCCATCTCGCATCTCTCATCTCGCTATTGAAAATCGCATTTTGCATCTCGCAACTCACTGTCTTGAAGATCGCATCTCGCTATAAATCTTCTTCTTCATTTTTTTAGCGTGATGCAACATCACGCTAAAAAAATCACGCATCTCACATCTTCCATCTCGTATCTCGCTATAGAAATCTCGCATCACCATCTCGCTATTGAAATATCGCATTTTGCATCTCGCAACTCACTGTCTTGAAGATGGCATCTCGCTATAAAACTTCATCTTCATTTTTTAGCGTGATGCAAGAATCACGCTAAAAAAATCACGCATCTCACATCTTCCATCTCGCATCTCGCTATGGAAATCTCGCATCTCCATCTCGCAACTCGAAAACTACGCATCTCGCATCTTCCATCTCGCATCTCGCTATAGATATCTTGCATCACCATCTCGCATCTCGCTATACAAATCTCGCATCTTCCATCTCTCATCTCGCATCTCGCTATTGAAATATCGCATTTTGCATCTCACAACTCACTGTCTTGAAGATCGCATCTCGCTATAAATCTCTTCATTTTTTTTAGCGTGATGCAACATCACGCTAAAAAAAATCACGCATCTTACATCTTCCATCTCGTATCTCGCTATAGAAATCTCGCATCACCATCTCGCTATTGAAATATCGCATTTTGCATCTCGCAACTCACTGTCTTGAAGATCGCATCTCGCTATAAAACTTCATCTTCATTTTTAAGCGTGATGCAAGAATCACGCTAAAAAAATTACGCATCTCGCATCTTCCAACTCGCATCTCGCTATAGATATCTTGCATCACCATCTCGCATCTCGCTATACAAATCTCGCATCTTCCATCTCTCATCTCGCATCTCGCTATTGAAATATTGCATTTTGCATCTCACAACTCACTGTCTTGAAGATCGCATCTCGCTATAAATCTCTTCATTTTTTTTAGCGTGATGCAACATCACGCTAAAAAAAATCACGCATCTTACATCTTCCATCTCGTATCTCGCTATAGAAATCTCGCATCACCATCTCGCTATTGAAATATCGCATTTTGCATCTCGCAACTCACTGTCTTGAAGATCGCATCTCGCTATAAAACTTCATCTTCATTTTTTAGCGTGATGCAAGAATCACGCTAAAAAAATCACGCATCTCACATCTTCCATCTCGCATCTCGCTATGGAAATCTCGCATCTCCATCTCGCAACTCGAAAACTACGCATCTCGCATCTTCCATCTCGCATCTCGCTATAGATATCTTGCATCACCATCTCGCATCTCGCTATACAAATCTCGCATCTTCCATCTCTCATCTCGCATCTCGCTATTGAAATATCACATTTTGCATCTCACAACTCACTGTCTTGAAGATCGCATCTCGCTATAAATCTCTTCATTTTTTTTAGCGTGATGCAACATCACGCTAAAAAAAAATCACGCATCTTACATCTTCCATCTCGTATCTCGCTATAGAAATCTCGCATCACCATCTCGCTATTGAAATATCGCATTTTGCATCTCGCAACTCACTGTCTTGAAGATCGCATCTCGCTATAAAACTTCATCTTCATTTTTTAGCGTGATGCAAGAATCACGCTAAAAAAATCACGCATCTCACATCTTCCATCTCGCATCTCGCTATGGAAATCTCGCATCTCCATCTCGCAACTCGAAAACTACGCATCTCGCATCTTCCATCTCGCATCTCGCTATAGATATCTTGCATCACCATCTCGCATCTCGCTATACAAATCTCGCATCTTCCATCTCTCATCTCGCATCTCGCTATTGAAATATCACATTTTGCATCTCGCAACTCACTGTCTTGAAGATCGTTTCTCGCTATAAATCTTCATCTTCATTTTTTTTTAGCGTGATGCAACATCAAACTAAAAAAATCACGCATCTCACATCTTCCATCTCGTATCTAGCTATAGAAATCTCGCTATAAAAATCTCGAAATCTCCATCTCGCATCTCCATCTCGCATCTCGTTTTTAAAATCTCGCATCTTCCATCTCGCATCTCACTATTGAAATATCGCATTTTGCATCTCGCAACTCACTGTCTTGAAGCCCACATCTCGCTATAAAACTTCATCTTTATTTTTTTAGCGTGATGCAAAGCATCACGCTAAAAAATCACGCATCTCACATCTTCCATCTCGCATCTCGCTATGGAAATCTCGCATCTCCATCTCGCATCTCGCTATACAAATCTCGCATCTTTCATCTCGCATCTCGCTATTGAAATATCGCTTTTTGCATCTCGCAACTCACTGTCTTGAAGATCGCATCTCGCTATCAACTTCATCTTCATTTTTTTAGCGTGATGCAACATCACGCTGAAGAAATCACGCATCTCACTTCTTCCATCTCGCATCTCGCTATGGAAATCTCGCATCTCCATCTCGCAACTCGAAAATTACACATCTCACATCTTCCATCTCGCATCTCGCTATAGATATCTTGCATCACCATCTCGCATCTAGCTATACAAATCTCGCATCTTCCATCTCTCATCTCGCATCTCGCTATTGAAATATCGCATTTTGCATCTCACAACTCACTGTCTTGAAGATCGCATTTCGCTGTAAATCTTCATCTTCATTTTTTTAGCGTGATGCAACATCACGCTAAAAAAATCACGCATCTCACATCTTCCATCTCGTATCTCGCTATAGAAATCTCGCATCACCATCTCGCTATTGAAATATCGCATTTTGCATCTCGCAACTCACTGTCTTGAAGATCGCATCTCGCTATAAAACTTCATCTTCATTTTTTAGCGTGATGCAAGAATCACGCTAAAAAAATCACGCATCTCACATCTTCCATCTCGCATCTCGCTATGGAAATCTCGCATCTCCATCTCGCAACTCCAAAATTACGCATCTCGCATCTTCCATCTCGCATCTCGCTATAGATATCTTGCATCACCATCTCGCATCTCGCTATACAAATCTCGCATCTTCCATCTCTCATCTGGCATCTCGCTATTGAAATATCGCATTCTGCATCTCGCAACTCACTGTCTTGAAGATCACATCTCGCTATTAATCTTCATCTTCATTTTTTTTAGCGTGATGCAACATCACGCTAAAAAAAATCACGCATCTCACATCTTCCATCTCGTATCTCGCTATAGAAATCTCGCATCACCATCTCGCTATTGAAATATCGCATTTTGCATCTCGCAACTCACTGTCTTGAAGATCGCATCTCGCTATAAAACTTCATCTTCATTTTTTAGCGTGATGCAAGAATCACGCTAAAAAAATCACGCATCTCACATCTTCCATCTCGCATCTCGCTATGGAAATCTCGCATCTCCATCTCGCAACTCGAAAATTACGCATCTCGCATCTTCCATCTCGCATCTCGCTATAGATATCTTGCATCACCATCTCGCATCTCGCTATACAAATCTCGCATCTTCCATCTCTCATCTCGCATCTCGCTATTGAAATATCGCATTTTGCATCTCGCAACTCACTGTCTTGAAGATCTCATCTCGCTATAAATCTTCATCTTCATTTTTTTTAGCATGATGCAACATCACGCTAAAAAAAATCACGCATCTCACATCTTCCATCTTGTATCTCGCTATAGAAATCTCGCATCACCATCTCGCTATTGAAATATCGCATTTTGCATCTCGCAACTCACTGTCTTGAAGATCGCATCTCGCTATAAAACTTCATCTTCATTTTTTAGCGTGATGCAAGAATCACGCTAAAAAAATCACGCATCTCACATCTTCCATCTCGCATCTCGCTATGGAAATCTCGCATCTCCATCTCGCGACTCGAAAATTACGCATCTCACATCTTCCATCTCGCATCTCGCTATAGATATCTTGCATCACCATCTCGCATCTCGCTATACAAATCTCGCATCTTCCATCTCTCATCTCGCATCTCGCTATTGAAATATCGCATTTTGCATCTCGCAACTCACTGTCTTGAAGCCCACATCTCGCTATAAAACTTCATCTTTATTTTTTTAGCGTGATGCAAAGCATCAAGCTAAAAAATCACGCATCTCACTTCTTCCATCTCGCATCTCGCTATGGAAATCTCGCATCTCCATCTCGCGACTCGAAAATTACGCATCTCACATCTTCCATCTCGCATCTCGCTATAGATATCTTGCATCACCATCTCGCATCTCGCTATACAAATCTCGCATCTGCCATCTCTCATCTCGCATCTCGCTATTGAAATATCGCATTTTGCATCTCGCAACTCACTGTCTTGAAGATCACATCTCGCTATAAATCTTCATCTTCATTTTTTTTAGCGTGATGCAACATCAAGCTAAAAAATCACGCATCTCACATCTTCCATCTCGTATCTAGCTATAGAAATCTCGCTAAAAAAATCTCGAAATCTCCATCTCGCATCTCCATCTCGCATCTCGTTTTTAAAATCTCGCATCTTCCATCTCGCATCTCGCTATTGAAATATCGCATTTTGCATCTCGCAACTCACTGTCTTGAAGCCCACATCTCGCTATAAAACTTCATCTTTATTTTTTTAGCGTGATGCAAAGCATCACGCTAAAAAATCACGCATCTCACATCTTCCATCTCGCATCTCGCTATGGAAATCTCGCATCTCCATCTCGCAACTCGAAAATTACGCATCTCACATCTTCCATCTCGCATCTCGCTAAAGAAATCTCGCATCTCCATCTCGCATCTCGCTATACAAATCTCGCATCTTCAATCTTTCATCTCGCATCTCGCTATTGAAATATCGCATTTTGCATCTCGCAACTCACTGTCTTGAAGATCGCATCTCGCTATAAACTTCATCTTCATTTTTTTAGCGTGATGCAACATCACGCTAAAGAAATCTCGTATTTCCATCTTGTATCTGGCTATAGAAATCACGCATCACCATCTCGCTATTGAAATATCGCATTTTGCATCTGGCAACTCACTGTCTTGAAGATCACATCTCGCTATAAAACTTCATCTTCATTTTTAAGCGTGAAAAAAATCACGCATCTCACATCTTCCATCTAGCATCTCGCTATTGAAATATCGCATTTTGCATCTCGCATCTCGCAACTCACTGTCTCAAAGCTCACATCTCGCTATAAAATTTCATCTTGATTTTTTTAGCATGATGCAATGCATCACGCTAAAAAAATCACGCATCTCACATCTTCCATCTCCCATCTCTCTATGGAAATCTCGCTATAGAAATCTCGCATCTCCATTTCGCATCTTGCTCTAGAAATCTCGCATCTCCATCTCGCAACTCGAAAATTACGCATCTCACTTCTTCCATCTCGCATCTCGCTACAGAAATCTCGCATCTCCATCTCGCATCTCGCTATAGAAATCTCGCATCACCATCACACATCTCGCTATTGAAATATCGCATTTGGCATCTCGCAAATCACCGTCTTGAATCTGGCATCTCGCTATAAAAGAATTACGCATTTCACATCTTCCATCTCGCATTTCGCTAAAGACATCTCGAAATCTCCATCTCGCATCTCCATCTCGCATCTCGTTTTTAAAATCTAGCATCTTCCATCTCACATCTCGCTATTGAAATATCGCATTTTGCATCTCGCATCTCGCAACTCACTGTCTTGAAGCTCACATCTCGCTATAAAACTCCATCTTCATTTTTTTAGCGTGATGCAAAGCATCACGCTAAAAAATCACGCATCTCACATCTTCCATCTCGCATTTCGCTATAGAAATCTCGCATCTCCATCTCGCATCTTGCTCTAGAAATCTCGCATCTCCATCTCGCAACTCGAAAATTACGCATCTCACATCTTCAATATTGCATCTCGATAAAGAAATCTCGCATCTCCATCTCGCTATAGAAATCTCGCATCACCATCACACATCGCGCTATTGAAATATCGCATTTTGCATCTCGCAACTCACCGTCTTGAATCTCGCATCTTGCTATAAAAAAATCATGCATCTCACATCTTCCATCTCGCATTTCCATCTCCATCTCGAAATCTCCATCTCGCATCTCCATCTCGCATCTCGTTTTTAAAATCTAGCATCTTCCATCTCGCATCTCGCTATTAAAATATCGCATTTTGCATCTCGCATCTCGCAACTCACTGTCTTTAAGCTCACATCTCGCTATAAAACTTCATCTTCATTTTTTTAGCGTGATGCAAAGCATCACGCTAAAAAATAACGCATCTCACATCTTCCATCTCGCATCTCGCTATGGAAATCTCGCTATAGAAATCTCGCATCTCCAACTCGCATCTTGCTCTAGAAATCTCGCATCTCCATCTCGCAACTCGAAAATTACGCATCTCACATCTTCCATCTCGCATCTCGCTAAAGAAATCTCGCATCTCCATCTCGCATCTCGCTATAGAAATCTCGCATCACCATCACACATCTCGCTATTGAAATCTCGCATTTTGTATCTCGCAACTCACCGTCTTGAATCTCGCATCTCGCTATAAAAAAATCACGCATCTCGCATCTTCCATCTCGCATCTCCACCTCGCATCTCGCTCTAGAAATCTCGCATCTCCATCTCGCATATCATCTCGCCATCTCAATTCTCACCTTCTATACTCAAAGCGAGTGGGGCTGGTATCCTGGGACCTTCACGTGGTGGCCCTGTTTACACTAACCTTACCAGGATTTTCAAAAGCTTTCGGAAGGTATACACCTAAACAACTAAAAAACACCTAAAAAGCAAGATTTTGAAACAAATAATGACTAATCAAATTGATGGATTGAAGGAAAAAAAATTCTCAACAACATTAAGAATCAAGCCTTAATTTTAATTTAAGGCAAAAATATTTTTTTGTTTCTATAATTAGTTGTTCCTATCATGCAAACTGAAATATTCTTTAAAAAATTTGGAAAGATTTCACAAAGTGGATTTTTGTTTTATTTTATTGATCCACAATACCAAAATGCAGAGTTTAAAAGGGGCCTTTTTTGTTCTAATTGATTCCACCTCTCAACAAATCTTACTCCAGTTTTAACTCTGTGTTCTGAAACTGGCATTTTAAAAAATCTGGACTTGCTTAATAAGAGAGAAAAACAGTCAAACACAACAGAAAAAAAACTGCTTTTGTGTTTTTAGTCCACAAAACGACATTCAAAATACAAAATTTGTGGACTCAGATTTGAGTGCAAACTGTATTTTGATAACTTGAGTGCTTATAAATGATTGTTTTGTTTTATTTATGATTACATTGCTGTCAAGGAACAAGCTACCATGGATGAGAAGCTTATACTGAAGGGGAGAAAGTAGCGATTAACGAATGACTTCAGAGGAATGCGATCCCGCTGGCAGTGAAGCGTCAAATCCAAGGTGAGCATCTGATTAAAAACGATCAAGTATAGACAGCAGGATGAACAGATAAACATCCTAACAAAGGCTGAAATTATTATGGGACTTGCCTGTCGAAACAACAAAAGTGCTCAAGTCAAATTTTGTATTTTGAAGTGTATTGTAAGTGAATGGAGTGTCGTGGCCGAGCGGTTAAGAGCACTGGGCTTGAGTTCTGGTGTGATTGTGATCAGCAGAGTGTGGGTTCGAGTACTGGTCTTGGCACTTGTGTCCTTAAGCAAGTCACTTAACCGTTATTGCTTCGTCCTTCAGATGGGACGTTAAGCCATAGGTCCCGTGCGTTGTGTAATGCACATTTAAGAACCCAGTAACACTTTCGATAAGAGAAGGGGTTTGCCCCTGGTGTTTCTGGCCTCCTGTTAAACCTCCCCTGCGGAGTATTTAGGAGAAGAACCAATTAAGTATCTAAACGTGCTTGTAACGACATCCAACAACTCATCATTCTCAGCCCTGATTGAGCAGTGGCGTAGCCAGGAATTTTTCAGGGGGGGGGGGGCTACGCCACTGTGATTGAGCAATCAGTTTAGCATGCCGTCTAGCATTTTATAGGCCCCCTATATACACCTGCATTTTGGGTATCTCAAAAAAACAAAGCAAACCCCCAAAAAACAAAAACAATGGCTGTTGAATTCAGACTTTTTGAATCTGAAAGAAGAAAATCAGTATAGAAAGAAAGACCTTTTGTCCAATTTTCAGATTTTTGAAAAAAAATGGACAATCTCACCCCTGAAAAGTTTAGTTCTACAAAAAGGGATCTTGCTGCTGTATTGTTGCAAATTGTTTTGGTCCAACTCTCCCCCTCCCCCCCCCCCCCCCCAAAAAAATCTAAGTTTATATTAACCAATTTTAAAAGGGCTTTCCAAAATTGGTAGCTAGATGAATTTTATCATTTGGTATTTTTTTCGTTACAGTTACCTGCGACTGGAGGCGAGGGGCTACACTGGACTGAAGAAAGGATGGAATACTGATAAGCCGACGGCCATAGGGGAATCCATGGTGTGACAGCAAGACAGTCTCCTAATCAAATGTGAGTAAACATTCCTAAGGCACAACCAAACAGTTTACCCAAAACTCCTCTGGTTCCTTTGTAGGGTCTCCTCTAGGGTTACAGACCAGTAAATAAACTTCCATTGACCCCAATGATAAATGCTCCCACTTCAGAAATTCGGGGAAAAAACTCACAACTCTCCAAGGTGTTCGAGACACACATCAAATTAAAGCTTATTTCATCATCTTTCATTTTCTTTTCAATTTACGGGGGGTCAACTGATGACTTTTAGGAGAAATTTCCATCTGAAGATGATCACCCCTTATCGCCATTTTGAAAAACGATGCCTACACTCCATTGCAAAATAGAGCGCTTTAAGGGCCCCAATTTCATCCAAATTGAACGGAACTACAAGCTCACAGTCCTGTGCACGGCTTCCACCCATATTTTTTACAAATCCTCAAGTTCATGGCCCACAGTATGCTCAAATACTGAAGATTTTGAGGGCATGCAAATCGTGATTTGGCCGGCGTAGGCAATTTCGGACCGATTTACTGGTCTGCAACCCTAGAGTCCCCCATCAACCTCCATTATGCTGGATACAAACAGTGCATTCATCGCACTTGACTCTTCAATAAGTATCACGGCTCCAGTGACGTTATATCAGACTACCTAATTCCTAAGTCCTACAAAATCCTACATCTGCTAATGAATCCTTTCAGCATCTTGATAGATTCTCCCATCATTTGTTGGATATCATGCGTTAGAGATTCAAAAATCAAAGATTTAGCCAGCCTCCTTTCTTAAACAGTTGTCAGCCCCAACTAGCAAAAAAAAAAACCCCAATATGCCCAAGTTGTGCAAAATTGTATAATAAGTGGAGGATTCAGGACTGTTAGGTTCAAATTGCGAATTTCAAATTGTCCACCTAAGAACTAGAACTTTGAAAAACTATTTTGCAAAAGTATATTTTTATTCCCAAATTTGTTCTGGATCACTTGTCCCAACATTGAGTTTGAAAATATTTACTTGATTTTTTTTTCAATTTCTCCTTTCTTTTAGGTTTTTGCTCTTGATGAGGGTGAAAGGAACTTCCAGGAAACTGTTCAAGGAGGATGTACTCTGCTGAGCTCACCAAGATGATGAGGTATCGTCATGGTAACCCCTGACCGGTCGTTGATACTAATACAGAGCGTGAGTTGATGTACAGAAACCACACCAAACAAATATTGCTAAATGTTTCAACAGTCTCGTCGCACAACAAACATTAAACACATTTGCAAGGTCTTTCATCAAAATCTTATGTCGGTCTGCAAATGGATAATTTATTTTCCGGAGAAAATCTGACATCTTCACTCTTGTGTTACATTTGCGAATCGTTTACCATTTCATCTTTTTATTATCAGCCAGTTCAAAAAGCAAGGTTAACGCCTTACAATTTGTAATTTTAAAGAAACTTAAGATTTTGGCCAATTTTGACTTAAAAGCAAGGCTAATCCATTATAATTTGTAAATTTCAAGAAAAGTCAGATTTTGGCCAATTTTCATTAAAAAGCAAGGTTAACCCCTTACAATTTGTAAATTTCAAGAAATGTGAGATTTTAGCCAATTTTGACTAAAAAGCAAGGTTAACCCCTTACAATTTGTAATTTTCAAGAAAAGTCAGGTTTTGGCCAATTTTGATCAAAAAGCAAGGTTAACCCCTTACAATTTGTAATTTTCCAGAAAGGTCAGAATTCGGCCTATTTAGAATAAATATGCAAGGTTAACCCCTTACAATTTTAATTTTTCAAGAAAAGTGAGATTTTGGCCTATTTTGATCAAAAAGCAAGGTTAACCCCTTACAATTTGTAATTTTCAAGAAAAGTGGGATTTTTGCCAATTTTTTATTAAAAAGCAAGGTTAACCCCTTACAATTTGTAAATTTCAAGAAATGTGAGATTTTAGCCAATTTTGACTAAAAAGCAAGGCTAACCCCTTACAATTTGTAAATTTCAAGAAATGTGAGATTTTAGCCAATTTTGACTAAAAAGCAAGGCTAACAACCCCTTACAATTTGTAATTTTCAAGAAACTTCAGATTTTGCCCAATTTTTAACTTAAAAGCAAGGCTAATCCCTTATTATTTGTAAATTTCAAGAAAAGTCAGGTTTTGGCCAATTTTCATTAAAAAGCAAGGCTAACCCCTTACAATTTGTAATTTTCAAGAAACTTCAGATTTTGGCAAATTTTGACTTAAAAGCAAGGTTAACCCCTTGCAATTTGTAATTTTCAAGAAACTTCAGATTTTGGCAAATTTTGACTTAAAAGCAAGGCTAACCCCTTACAATTTGTAATTTTCAAGAAACTTCAGATTTTGGCAAATTTTGACTTAAAAGCAAGGTTAACCCCTTACAATTTGTAATTTTCCAGAAAGGTCAGAATTCGGCCTATTTAGAATAAATATGCAAGGTTAACCCCTTACAATTTTAATTTTTCAAGAAAAGTGAGATTTTGGCCTATTTTGATCAAAAAGCAAGGTTAACCCCTTACAATTTGTAATTTTCAAGAAAAGTGGGATTTTTGCCAATTTTTTATTAAAAAGCAAGGTTAACCCCTTACAATTTTTAAATTTCAAGAAATGTGAGATTTTGGTCAAATTTCATTAAAAAGCAAGGCTAACCCCTTACAATTTGTAAATTTCAAGAAATGAGATTTTAGCCAATTTTGACTAAAAAGCAAGGTTAACCCCTTACAATTTGTAATTTTCCAGAAAAGTGAGATTTTGGCCAATTTTCATTAAAAAGCAAGGCAAACCCCTTACAATTTGTAATTTTCAAGAAACTTCAGATTTTAGCCAATTTTGACTAAAAAGCAAGGTTAACCCCTTACAATTTGTAATTTTCCAGAAAAGTCAGATTTTGGCCAATTTTCATTAAAAAGCAAGGCAAACCCCTTACAATTTGTAATTTTCAAGAAACTTCAGATTTTGGCCAATTTTGACTTAAAAGCAAGGCTAACCCCTTACAATTTGTGATTTTCCAGAAAAGTCAGATTTTGGCATATTTTCATTAAAAAGCAAGGCTAACCCCTTACAATTTGTAATTTTTCAGAAAAGTCAGAGTTTGGCCAATTTTGAATAAAAAGCAAGGCTTACCCCTTGCAATTTGTAAATTTCAAGAAATGTGAGATTTTAGCCAATTTTGACTTAAAAGCAAGGCTAATCCCTTATAATTTGTAAATTTCAAGAAATGTGAGATTTTAGCCAATTTTCATTAAAAAGCAAGGCTAACCCCTTACAATTTGTAATTTTCCAGAAAAATCTGATTTTGGCTTATTTTGAATAAAAAGCAAGGTTAACCCCTTGCTATTTGTAAATTTCAAGAAATGTGAGATTTTAGCCAATTTTCACTAAAAAGCAAGGCTAACCCCTTACAATTTGTAAATTTCAAGAAATGTGACATTTGAGCCAATTTTGACTAAAAAGCAAGGTTAACCCCTTACAATTTGTAATTTTCAAGAAACTTCAGATTTTGGCCAATTTTGACTTAAAAGCAAGGCTAACCCCTTATAATTTGTAATTTTCAAGAAATGTGAGATTTTAGCCAATTTTGACTTAAAAGCAAGGCTAATCCCTTATAATTTGTAAATTTCAAGAAAAGTCAGATTTTGGCCAATTTTCATTAAAAAGCAAGGCTAACCCCTTACAATTTGTAATTTTCCAGAAAAGTCAGATTTTGGCTTATTTTGATTAAAAAGCAAGTTTAACCCCTTACAATTTGTTATTTTCTAGAAAAGTAAGAGTTTGGCTTATTTTGAATAAAAAGCAAGGTTAACCCCTTGCAATTTGTAATTTTCAAGTAAAGTTAGATTTTGACCAATTTTGATCAAAAAGCAAGGTTAACCCCTTACAATTTGTAATTTTTAAGAAACTTCAGATTTTGGCCTATTTTGATCAAAAAGCAAGGTTAACCCCTTACAATTTGTAATTTTCAAGAAACTTCAGATTTTGGCCAATTTTGATCAAAAAGCAAGGCTAACCCCTTACAATTTGTAATTTCAAAAAACTTCAGATTTTGGCCAATTTTGATCAAAAAGCAAGGCTTACCCCTTACAATTTGTAATTTTCAAGAAATTTCAGATTTTGGCCAATTTTGATTAAAAAGCAAGGTTAACCCCTTACAATTTGTAATTTTCCAGAAAAGTAAGAGTTTGGCTCATTTTGAATAACAAGCAAGGCTAACCCCTTACAATTTGTAATTTTCAAGTAAAGTAAGATTTGACCAATTTTGATCAAAAAGCAAGGTTAACCCCTAACAATTTGTAATTTTCAAGCAACTTCAGATTTTGGCCAATTTTGATCAAAAAGCAAGGTTAACCCCTTACAATTTGTAATTTTCAAGTAAAGTAAGATTTTGACCAATTTTGATCAAAAAGCAAGGTTTACCCCTTACAATTTGTAATTTTTAAGAAACTTCAGATTTTGGCCTATTTTGATCAAAAAGCAAGGTTAACCCCTTACAATTTGTAATTTTCAAGAAACTTCAGATTTTGGCCAATTTTGATCAAAAAGCAAGGCTAACCCCTTACAATTTGTAATTTCAAAAAACTTCAGATTTTGGCCAATTTTGATCAAAAAGCAAGGCTTACCCCTTACAATTTGTAATTTTCAAGAAATTTCAGATTTTGGCCAATTTTGATTAAAAAGCAAGGTTAACCCCTTACAATTTGTAATTTTCCAGAAAAGTAACAGTTTGGCTCATTTTGAATAACAAGCAAGGCTAACCCCTTACAATTTGTAATTTTCAAGTAAAGTAAGATTTGACCAATTTTGATCAAAAAGCAAGGTTTACCCCTTACAATTTGTAATTTTTAAGAAACTTCAGATTTTGGCCTATTTTGATCAAAAAGCAAGGTTAACCCCTTACAATTTGTAATTTTCAAGAAACTTCAGATTTTGGCCAATTTTGATCAAAAAGCAAGGCTAACCCCTTACAATTTGTAATTTCAAAAAACTTCAGATTTTGGCCAATTTTGATCAAAAAGCAAGGCTTACCCCTTACAATTTGTAATTTTCAAGAAATTTCAGATTTTGGCCAATTTTGATTAAAAAGCAAGGTTAACCCCTTACAATTTGTAATTTTCCAGAAAAGTAAGAGTTTGGCTTATTTTGAATAAAAAGCAAGGCTAACCCCTTACAATTTGTAATTTTCAAGAAACTTCAGATTTTGGTCAATTTTGATTAAAAAGCAAGGTTAACCCCTTACATTTTGTAATTTTCCAGAAAAGTAAGAGTTTGGCTTATTTTGATCAAAAAGCAAGGCTAACCCCTTACAATTTGTAATTTTCAAGTAAAGTAAGATTTGACCAATTTTGATCAAAAAGCAAGGTTAACCCCTTACAATTTGTAATTTTCAAGAAACTTCAGATTTTGGCCAAATTTGATCAAAAAGCAGGGCTAACCCCTTACAATTTGTAATTTTCAAGAAACTTCAGATTTTGGCCAATTTTGACTTAAAAGCAAAGCTAACCCCTTACAATTTGTAATTTTCCAGAAAAGTAAGAGTTTGGCTTATTTTGAATAAAAAGCAAGGTTAACCCCTTGCAATTTGTAAATTTCAAGAAATTTCAGATTTGAGCCAATTTTGACTAAAAAGCAAGGCTAACCCCTTACAATTTGTAATTTTCCTGAAACGTCAGATTTTTACCAATTTTGATTAAAACGCAAGGTTAACCCCTTGCAATTTGTAATTTTCAAGAAATGTGAGATTTTAGCCAATTTTGACTAAAAAGCAAGGCTAACCCCTTACAATTTGTAATTTTCCTGAAACGTCAGATTTTTACCAATTTTGATTAAAACGCAAGGTTAACCCCTTGCAATTTGTAATTTTCAAGAAATGTGAGATTTTGGCCAATTTTGACTAAAAAGCAAGGCTAACCCCTTACAATTGGTAATTTTCCTGAAACGTCAGATTTTTACCAATTTTGATTAAAACGCAAGGTTAACCCCTTGCAATTTGTAATTTTCAAGAAATGTGAGATTTTGGCCAATTTTGACTAAAAAGCAAGGCTAACCCCTTACAATTTGTAATTTTCAAGATAAGTCAGATTTTTACCAATTTTGATTAAAACGCAAGGTTAACCCCTTGCAATTTGTAATTTTCAAGAAATGTGAGATTTTGGCCAATTTTGACTAAAAAGCAAGGTTAACCCCTTACAATTTGTAATTTTCAAGATAAGTCAGATTTTTACCAATTTCGATTAAAACGCAAGGTTAACCCCTTGCAATTGGTAATTTTCAAGAAATGTGAGATTTTAGCCAATTTTGACTAAAAAGCAAGGCTAACCCCTTACAATTTGTAATTTTCCTGAAACGTCAGATTTTTACCAATTTTGATTAAAACGCAAGGTTAACCCCTTGCAATTTGTAATTTTCAAGAAAAGTCAGATTTTGGCCAATTTTGATCAAAAAGCAAGGTTAACCCCTTACAATTTGTAATTTTCAAGAAAAGTAAGAATTTGGCCAATTTTGAACAAATACACAAGGTTAACCCCTTACAAATTCTACTTTTCCAGAAAGGTTATATTTTGGCCAATGTTGATCAAAAAACAAGGTTAACCCCCTTACAATTTGTAATTTTCAAGAAAAGTTAGAGTTTAGCCAATTTTGAATAAATGCGCGAGGTTAACCCCTTACAATTTTAACTTTTCCAGAAAAGTCGGATTTTGGCTAATTTTGAATAAAAAAAGCCAGGTTAACTTGGCCAAATGTGATTTTGGCCAAATTTGATTCAAAAAAGGCCTTTTTACAACACCATGTGACTGAACACACAATTAAAATGCTTCTCAACAGAAACAATGATCAGTCTTGTGTAGCGTATATTTAGCAATAGTTATATACAATATCTACACTTAACTGAAATGAAAATAATGCCAGCAAACAATATCAAAGTTGCTGCATGGAGCTGTATAGACCATTATCATGTTGCGGCCATCTTGATTTTTTTTCCCATTCAAATCAACGTAACCAAAACGAGGCTGGAAGGAAAAAATAGTCTGGTTCCTTTTTGCACAAAAACATTATCATTCATGACTGTTATTAGATACAGGGAACATGACTGAAATGGCAGCAGCATGATAAACGAAGCTGACATGACATTAGGAATGTTTCACGGGCCTATGACCAGAGAATGTCAAATGCTTAGCTTCATTAACACTTCTTACCAAGTGGAACAAATTAAAATTGAAAGATTCAGGAACTGTTAAGCTTAACCCTAACTCCCTTGGCATTCTTGCTAGGATGCAACCTCAATCCAGCAAAATCCTCCAACTGCCTCCATGTAAAAATTGCATACAGCCTCAATCCTGCAAAAATCCTCTGTTGTTTCTTGAATGTGGTCCTTGGAGGGGTGACCACTGCCTCAATCCTGCAAAATCCTCCAGCAATCACTGTCAACATGTTGAGGCAGAGCCAGTGACGTCCTGGAGCAGTGCAAGTATAATGTAGGTCTAAATTTATGCACAGCTGAGCATAAACAACACAAGGTCCGGCCCAAGACCTTAACACAGTGCATCCTCCGAAATCAGCCACACATTTTTGCCATGCAGTCTCCATCCTGCAAAATCTTCCATATTCCAAAGAGCATTTTGGAGGATTTGGGAAGGTTAGCATTGACGTCCAATTTCAACATTTGGCAGAACTGAAGTTCAAGCAATGCTGTGGAAATTCTTCTGCATCGTGTCTCCTTTCGCAAACAGTAAAAAAAGATCTACAATATATAAATACGTGATGAAACACGGCGACCGTTCGATAAATTCAGCCGACAGGAGAACCTCCCTTGTTTCTTGAATGTGGTCCTTGGAGGGGTGACCACTGCCTCAATCCTGCAAAATCCTCCGGCAATATGTTGAGGCAGAGCCAGTGACATCCTGGAGCAGTGCGGAAGATTTTAAGTATAATGTAGGTCTAAATTTACGCACAAATGTTGATGTACGGTTGCTGGACAACTGTCCTTAGCATGTAGGATAAACCGACAGACATCCGCCGTTTCTCCTAAAAAATAAGCTCGCCATTTCCCATCATGCATCAGTTTGTGGTGGTTGTGCGGTTGCTAGGCGACTGTCCCATGCACGTATTATAGCCGATGAACTTCCAGCGTTTCTCCAGCGTGGCGCCGACTCCAAACAGTTCTTGTTGGAACATCTTGGGGAACTTGCTTAATAAACCTATAGACACACACACCAAAAAAAAAACAATAAAAGGAAAAAGGAAAAGCGTCATTTACTGGATGTCGACAAAATCTGTTTTTTCACTACACTGTGGTTTGGATCGTCCGAGCGTCCCTACCCAAGAGCTTTATTATACAGGGTGGATCCAAAAACCCCCGAATCTGAGATATTATTGCTAATTGGAACAGAAGTAGGGCACATGTGAATCAAAGGGAGATATCCTCTGTTAGGGTTGAATCTCCTCTTTAAAATGACACCCTGATCATGTCCTTACATTCTCGTTTGACTGAGCAGTGACCAATTTTATGAAAGGGTCTATTTAGAGAATTGCGCCACTTTTCAATTGTGGTTTTTGTGGTGTAATTTTTCACAGAGTGAAAGGCTATGGTTGCCAATCAAGGCAGTGGGAAAAAAAAGAAGAGATTTCACCATGAAAACCGGCGCAATTCTCTAAATAGACCCTTTCATAAAATTGGTCACTGCTCAGTCAGCCGTGAATGTAAGGACATGATCAGGGTGTCATTTTCGAGAGGAGATTCAACCCTAACAGAGGATATCTCCCTTTGATTCACATGTGCCCTACTTCTGTTCCAAGTAGCAATAATATCTGGGTTTCGTTTTTTTTTTATCCACCCTGTATTAGGCAGTGGGGACGAGTCATAGAGCTATATTAAACTACTAGAGCGCTAGCCCCTCATTGCCCCGCACGGATTACTTCGAGATCCAGGACGCAGTCATTTTGAATTCATGTGCCTGTTTGCGGAGCATAATAGAATAACTCGAAATGGATATCGGATAATGTACTCTAAATGCAACGCGCAAGTACAACATACGCAAACAACGTAGGCGCGTTTTCTGCGAGTACGACGGTTAAAAACTTCAAGGCAAACATTACCTGCAGCGCCTTCGCAGTGTATTTGGGCGTATCGGCTTCGATAACGCACCCGCATACAATACAAACGCAGATACGCAAATAGCCATACTAAAGCTGTACTAAATTTTGAGTTTTCCATTTGTGCACAAACATGGATGTGCCCAGCTGGCATCATTAGTGCAGCGAGATAGCGCTCTAGTAATTTGATACAACTTTACGGGAAGAGCAAACATTGATGTGTTGTGTTGTAAATTGAGACATCTTGATATTTTTCTTGAAATCACCGGCTTCTTACCTTCAATTTGTTGTGGAGAGACGTTAAAGCTGAGCCGTTGCAGATAGGACCAGAGATACTCAACGGACGCGCCAAAGGGATGAACATGTAGGAATGTGCTGATGATGCCTGCAAGATGTACAAAAAAGGTTTGATAAAACGTAAATACCAAACTGTTCATCATGGCTTGCTGGTTACAATGGATTGCCTATTACTTCTAGTTGAGTCGGCAAACGGAATGAACATGCAGGAACAATCTTATCGGCTCTGGGTACAAGTACCCCCTCAACGGTAAGAAAGGGAGAGTTGGGGAAGACCACTGGGAGAGACATTCGAATACTGGCCGACGACGCCTGAGCTCAAGCGAAGATGCTGCAGTTCAGAATTCAATTTTGTCAAGCATGCATTGCACTTTACGCGCGTGAACCAGTATGAGCACATGGTGGAGCGCTGTGGTCCAATGGTTACAGTGTTCGACTCACATGCCGCGGCACGTGGGTTCGAACCCGGACAGGGAACATGGTGCTTGTGTTCTTGGGCAAGACACTTTACTACAATTGCCTCTCCCCACCCAGGAGTATAAATGGGTACCTGTGAAGGTAGAGACCAGATTGCGCTGATCTTGAGCTGCTGCAGACTTACCCACAAGCATTGCGTCATTCTCCGCGAGTTCTGTGCCCTCCGTTGACGTGATGTCAGCCTTGCTGCTACTTGCCTCTTTAGCCTCCGATTCAGAATCCGATTTCTAGGGAGACGAAAAAAACAACAATCAGAACTCAATTTGGGTCTTCAGCTGATGTGGGAATGTAAAACCAGTCGTGTCAAAAGAAAGCTACAATATTATTGAAGTTTTAACGGTTGACTGATGAGGGAAATTCTTCACCGACACAAGTAGGACAAATTGGTTCGTCGATGCAGAATTCACAACAGAAACCAGGGACTATTCATGAGGAATAATGGGAAAAAATGATCTTTTTGACCGTTCTTACCTCAGCTTTCTTCGTTTCATCTTCCTTCTTCAACTTGTTCTTGGCTTCCATCAATTGCTGTTTAAAAAAAACAATCACATTAGGCCACAAAAAAAAAGTCTCCGGTTTCTGGTATGCGCGCGCGTCGCCGTAGCCATGCGCGTCGGCAAAATGAAAAAGTTTGTTTTTTCAATAAAAGATGATGTCTCAAAACCGCCAAACTCACTGGTTTGACTGGAATCCTGCTGCTGCACAATTTTAACGTGTTTTTAGATGGGGTTATGCTCGAGAATAAGCTTTATGTGGCCTCTCTGGACTCCCATATATTTGCACTAAGTTTAGTCGGGCACCATTTGCAGTCATCAGCCGACATTTGAAGAAAAAAAACAGGTAAAAAAAAAAAAAAAGCCGCGTCGCCGCACCACTTTTTGGGGCAAGCTCCATACCAGAAACCGGAGACTTTTTTTTGTTGTAAATTGATCAACAAACTGATCAGAAAAACCAATACTTAATATCTAAATTGGATGTTTCGTTAAAATGGAGAAGAGAGGAATTTCTCAAGGAATGAAAAGGGTTTCGAGGGAGAGTTACAAATTTATAAAAAGGATGGGATTTACTAAAAGTTGATGGGAGGGATTGAGTGCATGGTTAGATCGGGGGTGGTTAAGATTGGAGAGGGGCGAAGTCAGGGAGGAGCTAAGATCGGGGAGGGGCTAAGATTGGGGTGGGCTAAGATTGGGGAGGGCTAAGGTTTGGGTGGGGCTTTTGAGGGGAGGGATTGAGTGTATGGTTAGATCGGGGGCGGTTAAGATTGGAGAGGGGCAAAGATCAGGGAGGGGCTAAGGTCGGGGAGGGGCTAAGATTGGGGTGGGCTAAGATTGGGGAGGGCTAAGGTTTGGGTGGGGCTTTAAGGGGAGGGATTGAGTGTATGGTTAGATCAGGGGCGGTTAAGATTGGAGAGGGGCGAAGTCAGGGAGGAGCTAAGATCGGGGAGGGGCTAAGATTGGGGTGGGCTAAGATTGGGGAGGGCTAAGATTTGGGTGGGGCTTAGAGGGGAGGGATTGAGTGTATGGTTAGATCGGGGGCAGTTAAGATTGGAGAGGGGCAAAGATCAGGAAGGGGCTAAGGTCGGGGAGGAGCTAAGATCGGGGAGGGGCTAAGATTGGGGAGGGGCGAAGATTTGGGTGGGCTAAGATTGGGGAGGGGCGAAGATTTGGGTGGGGCTTTGAGGGGAGGGATTGAGTGTATGGTTAGATCGGGGGCAGTTAAGATTGGAGAGGGGCGAAGTCAGGGAGGAGCTAAAATCGGGGAGGGGCTAAGATTGGGGTGGGCTAAGATTGGGGAGGGCTAAGATTGGGGTGGGCTAAGATTGGGGAGGGCTAAGGTTTGGGTGGGGCTTTGAGGGGAGGGATTGAGTGTATGGTTAGATCGGGGGCAGTTAAGATTGGAGAGGGGCACAGATCAGGGAGGGGCTAAGGTCGGGGAGGAGCTAAGATCGGGGAGGGGCTAAGATTGGGGAGGGGCGAAGATTTGGGAGGGGCTTTGAGGGGAGGGATTGAGTGTATGGTTAGATCGGGGGCAGTTAAGATTGGAGAGGGGCGAAGTCAGGGAGGAGCTAAGATCGGGGAGGGGCTAAGATTGGGGAGGAGCTTAGATTTGGGAGGGGCTTTGATATGACCAGACAGGGATTTCCTGACCAACCTGTTGCATCCCAAGCAGTGCATGCTGCAGGGCCTTGATCTGTGTCTCCTTCTCATCGGCATATTGCAACTTCTCCATCTTCAAGAGGTCCACCTCGTTACGGAACGCCTCTAGTTGACATCTGAGGGCGTCGGCTTCATCTTTACTGATGCTGCTGGGGGGTGCTGAAGCAACTAGGGGCCGAAAGAGAAAATAAATTGGTGAAAAATTGCCAAAAAATAGGAGGGAATGATGGTAACATCAGTTTGATTATTTAAAGAAATCACTGGATGTATTGAGGGAGAAAAAAAAAGGACAGGTGACCAAAGCAAAACTACAGGGCGAGTCAAAAAATGCGGAACCAAACCTCAACAAATATATTTCGTATTTAAAAACATTTGTAGCACCAACAATAATAATGACTGGAAAGTCCATTTCATAAGCTACTTTTTGTTGAAAAAATTACTAAAATTGCTCAAGCCGTTCAAAGTATATTACCATTTGAACACAATGACCCTACAACCTCTTTGCCCAAAAATGTGATTTCAAGAATCATCACAATTGTCTTCAAACATCACCAGTGAAAAAAAATCTCAGTTTAAAAGTTTATTCAACAAAGTCCTTTTGAAGGCCAGTCTTTTGAAAAAAAAAAGGGATTTTATAAATCACATTGTTTGCCTTAGCAGGGTTGTTAATAAAGCTATTGTGTTCTACAGTTAATGACAGTTGTTGAAACAAGTATTCTGTGTCATTTGTTCTTCTAAACACACAATAAATTGCTTATATTTGGATATAAACATTTTAATAAATGGTGATATTCTTTGAACGGATTGAGCAATTGCAGTAAATTTTTCATTTAAAAGTAGCTTATGAAACTGGCTTTCCAGTCATTATTATTTTTGGTCCTACATATTTTTTTTTTTTTAAATAAGAAATATATTTTTGGGGGTTTGGGTTCTGCTTTTTTTAACTCATCCTGTAGATGTTTCTAACGAAAGCTGAAAGGCTGCAGACTGCTAACAGGCAACACAAACACCTTGGTCAAGGAAATCAGGAATTAATCTGGCAGCTGGAGGCCGTGACTTTGTGTGACTTACCGGCAAGTTCCAGTGGCGGCGGCGGTGGCTCCAGGGCGAGATCGCGCCGGATTCTCTTGGCTTCTTCATCCCCTGTGGGTCCTCTCTTAACTCCTTGTTCTTCCTTGATGCTAACCACCGTTTCCTCTTCGTCGGATACATCCATATCGGCCTCTCCTTTGTCGGTCATACCGAGCTCCTCCTGCATGGGGCTGCACTGCTCCTGTAGATGGCAAGATGGAATAGCAATCAATCATAGCAGGTGGATTCTTCCTATTAACAGGTGTCATACACAATGGCACTGTATAGACCTCTGAAGCAAAGTATTTTTGTAGTAAAGCCATTTGTTCCATAGTTCGTAACTTACACAATTTAAAGGTAATTTACAACATTTGCTTTTGCTGTCATTTTCAGAAGTGGATGGATTTGGGGGTTAGTATTTTGTAGCAAATATTGTGACACTGGCCTGTTTAAAGTTTTGTGCTCACAGATGCTGGAAAAACCAAGGGAAAAAAATGTTCCTATAGTCTGGTTCGAAGCAATTTATAGATGCCGGGGAATTGTCAGGTCAGGGAACCAGACTAGCTGGCTTGCAGCCGATCACGGATGTTTAACCGATTGCAAACAAACTGTGGAATAACTAAATTTGGTAAATTGGGGACACTATTCGGCTGACCATCATTGGAAATTGATACGAAAATTCACAGGATGCTTGAAATGATGCAAGTTTTTATGAACGTACTTAAGCTAAACATTGGAAAGTAGGACACCATGTTGTTCAATGTGTCTGATATTTGTTCTTCAAGCAATCCTTTAATATTGTCCACAGCTTCACCATGCAAAATGATCTTGATATCTCAAATATCTTGGCACGGCCCTCAAAATTCAAGAATAAAAAAACTGCACTTACCTGAAGTTCTGAACACCTATAGTAACTAGAAACATTATGTATTCAAACCATTACCGAGTTTGTAGCAACATCAGGTCTCCCAACGCATTTTTGGTTCAAGACAATACACATGTGGCTCACCATTGATTGCAGTTTCCTTGGTATGTTACAAAATGGCTGCACCACGAAGTGACGTGTCGTGTGTGGACTTTGTGCACACGATACGTCATTTCGTGGTGCGACCGACGAAATAAAGAGCCTTTCTATTTCCCCTGGATGGGTAGTCTTTAGTATATGTGAGCTGATTCAGCGATTAATTATGCAAAAAAAGACTGAGTTTTGACCTTGACATTCTGACCATTCAACGGGCGCTTTCTATATCGGGTCTCGTCATGGATATCTATAAATAAAGCCTAGATGCGACATGTATTATTCTTTCTATACGCTGCGAGTTGAGTAATTAAGTCTGCGGTCACGCACTCTGTAACGATACGTTACGCGATACGCCAAGCAATATTAGAGCCGGCCAAGCATGGTTGCATCTACGTTTTGTAGATCTATGTGCGCCCGGCAGCTGTTGTATTACAAAAGCACTGCATCCCAATCGACCAATTAAAACTCAGTCCTGATTTCGGAATGAAATGACGTCACGATTTAGTAAAGTCGACTCCGATTGGCTGCGGGGTCGCATAAATCTGCATGCTTAGATATATCAGACGTTGGACTGGAGATAGGGCTCCATGGACAACAGGGGATACTCAGACTACTGGATGGGATGCTAGTCCATCTCATTTCTTCTGGACGGAGAGATGTAATTAGGGTAAAGAGGCTTGCCTAGGGACACAACATACGACCAGCGGCTGGATTCGAACCCTTGACCCTCTAATCATGAGTCCAAGTTCCCACTGTTTTGCTACACTCCAAATCACTCTTAGCTTTTTGTTTCACTGAAAGACGTCAAATACCAAATCTTCTAGACTCCGCCTACTGGCCCTACCCACTGGCACCGCCCATCGTGCATATTCATAGCCACACCCCTTTTCTCTAGTTCTACCACTCCCCCCCCCAACTTACCTGGACAGTTTTCTTCCAGCTATCAATGTGCTTCCGTTGTGCTTTGCTGAACTGATCTCTAGACGGTTGCTTGGTGGCACGGACAAACACTTGGTTGATCAAGGATACTTTGTAACGACGATTCGCAAAAGAGTGTTGAACAAAACAAATAAGAAAAACACTGAGTAGGGGGTGAGGGGAACCTGACACTTTCCTCTGGTTGACTAGGTTCTGCATCCTGACTACGTCTTGCCGGGCTTGGGTTCGATTCCCCCTGCGATGACCTTCTGTTCTGGCTTATTTCCCCCGCGAGAAAGTCTCAGAAGACTTGTTAAAATGATTAGGTACGGAAATCACAAGAATTAATCGTTTCGGATTTCATACTTACAAGTTCTGTTTTCTCTGGCCAATTTTTGTCAGCTGAATCACGGATCCTCTAAACAAGGATAAATGACTTCCCCAAATTTCTGGTTAGATGCGTGACACGGCACGTGCGCGTCGTGCGTGCGCGATGTGCGCGCGCGACTCAGTGCACGCCTGCAGTCTTTCAGTGGTCAAATTTCTGTTAGGATGCCAGCTGTCGGCGATCATAGCGTGCACACTGTTCTACCTGTAATATTCTATGGGTTGTTCTATGCATGCACGCGGCATATCACACATGTGGACAATCCGTTCCGTATTTTTTGTACACAAGCCCAGATGAGTCATCCATCCTTGTGTGGAGAATCCGTGGCTGAATGCAACAGTTTTATTGTACCTTGTGGATTGGGACCCTTGATGAGCATTCGCCATCCATTTCATGAGCAACAACTGATTTTCTTTAATAGCAAGCTCATACTTGACCATAGATCAAAATGCCCGATCTGTAAGGTTGCCGACCAGTAAATAGACTTCCATAGTTCCTCAGTAACAATTACGCTCGCTTCCAAAATATTATTTAAAATACTCACAACTCTCCAAGGTGTTTGAGACACACATCAAATTAAAGCTTATTTCATCATCTTTCATTTTCAGTTCAATTTTTTTGAGTTAATCAATGACTTTTGGGAGAAAATTCCATCCAAAGATGATCATCCCTAACAGCAGTCCTGAAACCCATCGCCATTTTTGAAAAAAAAAAACCGGATGCCTGTGCTCCATTGCGAAATAGAGAAATTTACGGGCCTTAATTTCACATAAACACTGAGCTTGCAGTCCTCTGCACAGCTTCCATCCTTCTTTTTTACAAATCCTCAAGTTTATGGCCCTCAAAATGCTCTAAACCGGAGAATTTGAGGGCATGCAAATTATGATACGGCCAGGGTAGGCACTTCAGCCTTCAGGGCCTATTTATTGGCTTGCACCCACAGGTAGCGTTCGAGTAGCCCACCCAAACCGACATGGGTAAGGCAGGCAGGTCAGCCACGATCGCTCGGCTAATCGAAGGCTAAACCGCGGGCCATCATGATCCTCGTGTGATGCCCATAGCCGTGGCCATAGCCACTGACAAAACGCCCGTTTCGGATTGAGTCTTAGTTTACGAGATATTACGAGATATACTGCTTTTCAGTCAATTGCAAAACTCAAAAAAAGTTGGGCTGGAATTATAGCCTCAAAAGTCGCAATGAACTCAATAAATGATTACCTTTAGACTTCACATACAATTAATTTCTAAGTCCACTTGAGATTTTCGCTGTCCGGCCGCCATATTTGTCCGTTTCTTGGAATGAACAATGCATGCGTGTGACGTATTTCCACCACTGACTCTGCTCCACGAGCAGGGTCTGTGGTGGCTGACCCGGGTGAGCCCCGAGAATGACGTCAGAGCTAATCAAACCGCACGGGGCTGACCCATGTCGACTCGGGTGAGCTAAACAAAAAACACCCATGGAGTACAGTGATGCCTTCAATGCTCAACCAAAACACAACAGACAGTGACTGTGGCTTCTAAGTTCCGGCTTGTAATATGCACGCAGCAGAGACTGGGAACCAGACCTAGCCATAGGCTCAATGCAGCAAAGGGCTTTCCACTACAAAGCTGGTACACTAAGCTTGGGCCTACTTTTAAAATGGTAAAAGAGTCTTAATATGGAAGATGTGAGCTTGGAATTTTTAGTACCGATTCAAATGTAGGAATACTTACATTGTGAGTAGATGTCCCCGGTCTGTTTGCGAGCCATTTCCGTCATTGCTCGGATTTGTTCGTCTAGACGTTGTTTTTCTGACGATAATCGTCTCGTTTGACTGTGTGAAGGAGCAAATATTGACATGCGTACAACGACTCAAGCATAGAGTGTCCCAGTCATACCATCGCATACTTGCCTCTTGGATGAAATAGCTTCAAACAAATTAGGGTTCCGGGAAATGACAAACACTACGAATTCTTCTTGACTAAATGTGCTTACCTGACATCTTACATAAGTTTTCATTCATTAAATTTTACATTCCACCTTGGATTAGCATCCTCCTAAATAATAATAATAATTTGGGGGGCTAATCATCCTTAATCGCAGCTGAGAAGCTGAATTGCGAAGGACGCGGCTACAACGTGGTCAAGCCGAAGGCATGTAAAGGCGCCTTAGGCTGCCGCCGTACGACCCATGTCTGATCACGGAGCACAGCCAGAGATCAAAAGTGTTCGATTTTTGTGGAGGGAGGAAAACCAGAGAACCCCGAGAAAAACCCTTGTGGCGCAGGAGAGAACCAACGCTCAACTCTACTCACATATAAAAAATACTCCATATAGAGTTCGAACTGGAGGCGTACATTAAATGTTTATGAATTCAATTGCATTGTTGCCTTCACAAAAATACTTCTACACACTCTGGATACTTCCAAATAAAACCAATTTGTTTTTTTTAATCAAACAGCAGTTTGGCACAATGACCGAGTCCAGGGTGAAATAAAAAGAAAGTGACCGAATTAGAAAAACTATTTTTTTAAAACATGTGGCTCGCTCCGTTTCATAAAAAAAATAACATGTGAATAAAGAACATGTTATTGACTAGTAACTGTGAACATTTCACGTAATTTGCATACTCTATTCCCAAATTTGTCAATTTGAATGGAAAAAAAATATCACAAAATTCAGCTGTCCACCACTGATCATTTACCGTTCTAGTCTACGAACTGATGAATATAGACCCTAATCTCCCCAACTCCATCAAAATCCATCCCCCCATTTTGGTGGATTTTGGGGGACTTGGCCCTGCAGGCCTGGTTTGACTAAATATTGATGGAGTATGATGGACTTGGGCCTGGAGGCCTAAAGCAAAGCGTGCATTGGAAGCAGTGTGATTGATGGATTTTGGGGGACTTGGTCCAGTACTTAAGTAAAAGACAGTAGGGAGATAGGGTTTATACAACGAAACATGGACGTTTTCCCACCTCAATGAATGAACCAAAACTTGCAAAGGAAAACCGACAAAAATTGCCATTAATATTTCTGGAAAAAAAGAGTGGATTTGTTCCTCATATTCAAAACACAAAAGCTGAATCTTTCAGAGTCTTGACTCAAATGATTAAAATCTCATTTGTTTTTGAATGCTTGTGTGTAATCTGTAATTCTCACACAGCTCAATAGCTTCCAATGACATTCTATGTACAGCTGTAAAAATAGGTTCTTAAACATGCATAACTTCTGATAGCATCGATCTATTGCTCTAATTCTTTCTTTTTTTCCAGATGAGTGGAAGACCATGCTCTTTTAAGACAATCTTAATTGGTTTATCAAATTTGATTGCTTTTTAAGAATAAAAAATCATTGATCCAGGTCACTTTCTTTTTGACTCACCCTGTACAGAGAAAAGACAAACAATAATAGGGAAGACCGTACCCGAAAGCAGCTTGGACCAGTGAGAAGAAACTGTTGGCCGTTTGTTTCTTGCAATCGCCTCGATCTAACCAACTGATTAACACCGATACAGCACTGGGGAAGGTGTCTTCAGCTAGGGGAGAAATCAAGGAGTAATAGGTGTATATCAAGACGACAGGTGTAATCAATCAATTAAAGGTACAAGTTACTACAGGGTATTTTGTTTCAGTAACAGATGAGTCTGGCCGCTCAGTCTAAAGATTTATTAACCCTTTAAATCTTGTATTAACCTTAACCTTCCCAAATCCTACAAAAAACTCTTTGCAAAATGGAAGATTTTGGAGGATTGAGGTTGTATGGCAAAAATGTGTGGCTGATTTTAGAGGATACACTGTGTCAAGGTCTTAGGCTGAACCTTGTGTTGTTTATGCTCAGGCGTGCATCAATTTAGGCCTAGATTATGCTTGAAATCCTCCGCACTGCTCAGGGTGTCACTGGCTCTGCCTCGACATATGATTGCTGGAGGATTTTGCAGGATTGAGGCAGTGGTCGCCCTTCCAAAGAACACATTCAAGTACCTTTGAGTTTCTCTGTGAGTCTCTGAGCCTCCGATTCCGAGTGTCTGGACATCTGTCTGAGCTTCTCTTCTTCTCGCCTCGCTATCCTCGCTTCTTCCCGCCGCTTCCTTTCCTCGTCTTCTTGCTTCCTCATGTATTCCGCCTCGTCGTCTCTAGACTCGGAGTAGTCGACTCTCAAGACTCCCGAATGCTCAGGATCGTTGCTGTTATCCACTTTGATTCTATAACCTATCGCGTAGAACAATTATTATAAAAACTTGAGAATTACTGCCGGTCTTATGATTTTCGTAAAGAATTTGATTAAACAAGGAGGATTTTGGGCAGTCACGTTTGAGCAGCCGTACTTTCTTCGCCTTCCACCTGTGTGTCCCTCAAATCACAATGTGGATTGTATTTTCACAGCCTACCTAGATGGCGTTTCCGTAGTCTGAGAATTTGGGACTCTCAATACTGTGTATAAAAGTCCCAAAACTTAAGGTATTGAAAGCATGCAGCACAAGAAAAAAGACTAGCACATGAAACAACCATTCCAACACCCATTTAGTACTGCATCAATCCACTGTGTCAAAAAAAAATCTGGTACCCAGTCTCTATTTCTAAACATCTCTCCATGGTCTGCCACCAGACCACTGAAGGGTCAATCTTTTCAAACAGTTGGACATTGCAAGTCTAGTCTTAGGCTTCAAATTGAAATCACTTGGCTTCACTCTCAGGTGCAAAATGTTGAAGAAAAGTCTCCTTTAAAAATTGAAGTGAGACTTCAAAACTTGGCTGGTGAAATACTGAGGACCTTGTCTTTGCCTCGTGAAAATTTTGGAGAATTTTGTCGGCTAAAGAGCGAGTAAAGTTAACCTAAATTTGTTTTGCATGTTTTTTTCTGGACTCAAGTTCCCAGTCTCGAGTTCCCTAAATATAACCTGGGAATTTCTCCAAAATTTTATAACGGAACGTTTCTTCTCTGCCTTTTATTCACAAGACTTCAGGAATCACTTGAGGACTTTTGAGAATTCTTGTAACGGATGTTCTTACCCGAGACTTCAAACGCCTTGTCCACGGATTCCTCGTCCAGGAACCGGATGTGGCAGTAGAAACGAGTCCCGATCCGCAGCAGCTTGCGAATGGTGCCGAAGTTTTCAAATATCTCGTGCAGCATTTCATTGGTGCAGAGGGCGGGCACACCCCCAACGAAGATGGTGCAGCAGCCAATGGGCTTCTCTCGTGTGGGTCGAGCAAGTTGCCTTCCTGTAAAAAAACAAAACAAGAATGCAGAATATTTTGAGTTCAACTTTGCTGTTGATTTACCAGAGGGGCAATGTGAATTTAGGGTCACTTCCTCCGACTCGTACTCACTGAAGCTGGGTACAGAATGAAACCATGTTTTTTTAAAATGTACTCCACAAAATTTCTTGAACTTGAAAACCAGCGTAAAACATCCGATTTATATGCAGCAAAAAGGTTGAGATTTGGATGGTTGGTGGAAAACAGGGCCAAGTTCGGGCAAGGACCATTAGTCGACTAGTGGTTGATTTGTGACGTACCTTACGCCTGCGCACTGATAGCAACGTGCGAACATCTCTAGTCAAACGCTGGTCAAAGTGTCATCGCAAAACTTCTGGATCCTGGCTCTCTGCTAGCGTTATGAATGCGCGCGGCTATTGCTTACCAGCGAAGCAACCAACCCCAGTAGGCTGGTTCCAAATAGTCGACTAGCGTAGTCAACCACCGTCGACTAGACAGAGTTCGGGCAAACGTTAGTTAACCATTGGTCAACTATAGTCCTTGCGCGAACTTGGCCCAGGCTTAAAGGTAGAGTAGATCATTTGCAGCTATCCAAATAGTAACTGACCAAATTATTGTTGAAAATCTTACTTGGTTTAAAGATAGTAATGGCAAAAACTCCCTGTGAAATTGTTCCCTCTGACATGCTGTCATTTCGAAGAAACCAACAAAACAAAGTCATTTCCAAAGACGAGTCAAGGGACGCAATTTTGGAAATATTCGTTAGTAGTTGGTTTGAAATTGGGCGAATCCGTGAGTGGATGTGCGCAAGCGTTTGCATTATTCGTCAGCTCAGTACGTGACATCGTGTAGCTGCAATCGGCTGAATGAGAATGTGTTGCGGATGCTGATTCAAAATATAACTCGGCAACTTTTAAATTGAAATCGAGATCCTAGAATATTTGTTTTCTCAGAATATACAGCTAAAACTTCATCAGGTCAGTTGTTCAGCACCCGGCTTTTATAGATTTTGATTACATATGTTGCTTCAAATGAAACAAATGCACCAATGACAAATTATCTACTCTACATTTAGAGGAACATTATCACTCACGAGATTTGAAGGTTTGCATGGTGGAAAGATACTAAGACAAGATAAGTTTGCGGTAGCACCATGTGAATAAATGTCTTTTGTGAGCATGTGTGGTTCTTTTCAGAACCACACATACTCACAAAAGAGATTTATTCACATGGTGCTACCGCAAACTTATCTTGTCTTAGTATCACTCACATGTGACAATCCCCATTGGTCAAGGGAGCATCGACTACAAGATATGAATTAGACATTTGCTGTTGAATTACCTGGGGGCGGTGATGTGAGAGTGAATCCAGCTCCACTCAGTACTCTCTGCAAGCCCTGTCTACCCCCTGGAATGCCAACGTCTGATTGGTACTGTCCCATAGCCATGACATCCCCGGTCATATAGTCTGGTGCCATGGGATAGTTGGCCATGACTTGGTCCATTCCCCACTGACTCCCCTGTATACTCTGATGCATGTCACTTGGAATATCACCAAATCCTGTCGGAAATCAAAACAATTTATGTCATTTCAGCTTTGCAGGGAAGAATTCCGTATCTAGCCACCACATGTTCCCCGTCAAACACAACAATTTTCACCTCACCTTGTGTTTTCATGAAGACAAATCTGAAAACATCTAAGGAAAAAAAAAGAAGGTTTTTTGGGGCACATTTTGGGTGCACACATCGTTCGGACAGCCGATCGTGAAGGGTCTGGAAGTACGGGGTGCACATGACAACACCATGTGATACCTCGTCATGAATATTTAATTTGTCATGAATAACTAACTTATTAAATATTCATTAGTCTTACTTCAACGGCCACCTTAAATATATGAAAGGGACTCTGAACGGCAACAAGCATTCGTAGTCGAGCGGATAAAACTGGCGTGTTTAATCATGACAGTTTCTCTCCTCTCCAGGTTCGATTCCCGTGGATATTCTTTAAGTAACTAACTGATTTACAAGAGGCCAGAAGAGGGAACAAGAGGGGCTAGAGTTGACCCTAACCCCCTAGGCCCTCTGGCTAGGATTGCAACCTCAATCCTGCAAAATCCTCCATTATTTTCTTGAATTTAGTCTGTGGAGGGTGACCACTGCCTCAATCCTCCAAAATCCTCTGCCAATTACTGCTGTGGTTTGAAGCAGTGCGAACGGCGTTTAGAAGCGGTGCGGATGAAATACGAGGAAAACACAGGGCTGATTTATGCATGGCTGAACATAACCGATGCAGGATATGGCCTACTGGCTTGACGTAATGCATCCTCCACAAAAAAGCGATACATCTTTGCCTTTCATCCTCAATCCTCTAAAATCATCCAAAACCGGCAGGAGGATTTTGGAGGATTGAGGAGGGAGTTAAGGAAGGAAAGTAGAGAAAATAATGATATAGAACAAAGCTTTTTTGACGCTTCCAAATTTATTTTAAAAAAAAGTGGTGGTCAGATACTGAACTCTTTCCAATTTGCAGATCATGTTTTAAACAAAAAATGGTTCTGAAACACTGCATGAAGTTCTTATGTAACTATCCTCAAACTTGCTTAAGTTGTAATGTTTCAATTTTTTGTGTGTGATGACTTTATAATAACTTGATCACAACTTCATCTGACAAAAAAGAAACTTATTACAGAGTTCTTATTACAGACTTATTGGTTCTTGGAGAACAGACTAAAGACTTACCGTCATCTTCATGTCTGGGGAGGTTACTGTCTCCGTCGATAACGCGTGGTTCGTTCCTCAAGGATCCTGAAAATTCTAACGGTTGGTCATTGTAAGCTGGCTCCATAAATCCCACTGCAATGAAGGAACAAAGTCAGAACTTGAACAAAACTACAAGTCAATCAGTTCTGGGGAGGGGGGGGGGGGAGAGGGGGGAAAACGGACATTTTGTTTGGGTTTTTTTTCCAGCCACTGTACCTTACATGGGAATTGACATTCAGAGAAACTTTGGTAAATTGTTTGTTGCTACTTTCCTTTGGAAATGTACACGAAAATTTGACGTCTTCGTCAAAGAATGTGTATATTAGTTTTACTCCTCTAGTAACCAGGTAAGTGTGCTTCAAAAAAAAAAAAATCCAGGTTGCCGGGTTCACAATATTTCACAGCAAAAGAGAACAGGCAAGATGGATACCTGCGCCAGTTAACAGTCAACTCGACCGTTTGCCAACTCGACTTGAACCAACTCTACCGTTTGTACCAACTCGTCCGTTGACCAACTCGACCGTCAAGTCAACTCGACCATTTGCCAACTTGAGTCAACTCGACCGTTTGCCAACTCGTCCGCTGTACAACTCAATTTAAGACTTGGAGAACGGGCAAGATAGATACCTGAGCCAGTTTACAGTCAACTCGACCATTTGCCAACTCGACCATTTGCCAACTCGACCGTTGTACCAACTCGACCATTGAACCAACTCGTCCGTAGCACCTACTTGTCCGTTGACCAACTCGAATTCAACAGGTGCGCGGGACAAGGGACGAGTTGGGAAAAGAACTAGTTGGACAATGGACGACGTGACTTTTCCAGTTGAACACACAACGGTCGAGTTGGTACAATGGTCGAGTTGGCAAACGGTCGAGTTGGTTCGAGTCGAGTTGGCAAACGGTCAAGTTGACCACCCATGAGCCCATATAAGGGCTATTCTTCGTTTACCTCTGTGCACATCCGCATACTTACTTTGTTGGTTCATAACGTTCATGCCCATCCCAGACACGCCCATATTTCCACTTTGGTTTCCTCGTCCCTGCATATATCGCTGGTTCTGAAAGTTACCAGCCATGCTGGATTAAAAGATCTCAGATCAGGGACGTCAAGCCGTGTTTCTCTTTCAACAGGATACCTAACTCACGATTCTGTTGAGAAATGATGAAAGACAAAATGTTACTGGAAAATAATGTGTTATTAATGTTTTGTTTACAGACTACTACTTTAAAAGTACTAACTCCGCTCTTCAGATTAGTAAGTGCAACTGTCTTATGGGTGAAAAAATATAGTGCTTGGCAAGATCGCCCCTTTGAGTTTATCAAGTTTTTGATTTATAAACATGATAGGCCTAAAGTTAAATGTGATTTATAAAACAAAAATATTTGACTGTAATTTGAATGTTGATGACGATGTAGCTTGAGAAACTCCAGCTCCAATGCTCATCGGGAATTCGACATGTAGAGCTGGAGGTCAATGTACGTTGTAGCCAGCGGTCTAAAGTAAAAATGGCGAAGTAAACACAGCCGCCGAAATCATCATTTTTTTGGGTCAGTTTGGTTCTGTTCCAAGACCAAGTTGATCCTTTGCTTCGTGAAATGAAATATGAAAAAAAAGGATGATTTGGACGGCTGTGTTGAGGCTGAATTTCATGGCCTCCGCCATTTTTAGACTGCTGGCTACCACGTACATTGACCTCCAGCTCTACTTGTCGAATTCCCATGAGCATTTGGACTAGCTAGTACTAGCTGGAGTTCTCAAGCTAATGGCGATCACGATGCAGAAGTGTCTTCTGATTCCTGTGGTTGTACTGCTGCAAAATGTTATAGGCCTAGCATTATTATGGTAAAAACATCGAAGTGGCTATCGTTACGGCAGCCGTTGTTTAGCGCCCTCTACGATACTTTTTGATACGCACGCAGGTATATAATTATTTGTTTCCCCACGTATTAGCGAGCAGTGCGACAGCTCAGTCGATAGAGGGTCATGAGGGTAGGATTTTGCACCGCGAGGTTGCGGGTTCGCATCTCATTTTTGCACTCGAATTTTTTTCCTTTTCTATCCCGAGGCTTTGGAGGTTTTTTTTAAAAGGGAATAAAGTCCGAATTTCATAACGTTCAAATTCACTTTTTTTCCTTCTAATTTTATATTTTCTTCTCATGTTTTTATAAAAAAATGCAGTACTACCGTAACGATAGAAAATGGGAAATGCGTTACGGCTGCCGTAACGATAGCCACTGCATAAAAACATAGCTTGAGTAACTCCAAGTCTTATCGCATTAGAGCTGGAGTTACTCAAGCTAGTAAAATCATTAATATGAGAAAATTAGAGAAAGCCTCCGTGAAAATAACGTTTACTCAAAGGAAACCCATGCCGGCCAAATATCCACTAACAAAGTCAATTACCGGTCGCAATAACAAGTTAAAATGTTGAAAACGAACTTAGCATGCTTAGATAATCATTTATCATTTAGGCAGTGTATATTTTGCCGGAGACGGCAAACCTTTAGTAAACGTTAGTTTGCCGGATATGCACTGAACATGCGCAGTTACTGTTTTTTTGTACTTAAACATTTTCCGGTGACAAGTTTTAGTCTGGCTCCATGCCAAAATTATCGTTGTTACCTCATATTCACAAGATGGGATTCAGACCATTTTATAATTTCGAACTTTATTTCCCTTTTAAAAAAAATCCTCCAGAGCCACAAATCTGAAAAAGAAAATGTAATACTCTGCAAAAAAATGTTTGAGACATGTTAAAATAATAAAAGAAGAATATTCTTATTTATTTGGGGATGAGAAAAAAAAACTTGAAAATGTGCTGCGGTCGGGATCGAACGCGAGTCATCCCGCTTGCTAGAGCCTTTGCTTAACCACTACACCAAACGTGCTACACAACTTTTGGAGGGAATTTAATACATGTACATCTTATAATTCAGCCCTATTTTAAAGAGTACAGCGCCCTCTGTTGATATGGATTGCCGCCGGCAAACCTTTAGTAATCGTTAGTTTGCCGTCATTACCTCCGGCAAAATATCCACTACCTATGTGATTTAGCCTAGTATAAGTACCAAAAAACGGTGCACAACCAATACTTGTTAAATGTAAGTTAATAACACACACCTAAATACACATGCCTTGATAATAATGGAATTTTTTTACACGTATCCCCCTGCTTTTAGTGGCAAATAAAAAAACTGAACCTGCTGCGTTCACGTTCACTGACGTTCGTAAATAGTATCGTTTCCACACTTTTCATAGAAAATAGTCTGTCAATATTGAACGAGTTATAATGAATGCCGTCGTGTCAGGGTACTAGATATATCAACACAATCAATGAAGTACCGAGTGAGGGCGCTGTTTAATCACCGTCTTCGGCCGGCCGGCTGTCAAAGAACCCCCCCCCCCCCCAAAAAAAAAATCCATGGGAAAAAAAGGAAACATCACCTTAGAATTCGATATTTTAAAAAAATGGTAAACATGTAGCTAACTTACCAATTTGACAGGTCAAACTTTGATAACGATCGATGTATGCGCTAAAACTTAGGACCCAGACGTCCAGGGGCGCGCGGATCCGAGTTTTGGCTGGAGGGAAGAGGGGAGGGGGCGGGGGTGGGGGGGGGGTTGTGTTCCTGCATGATTTTCGTCCTTTTTTGAGGGGGTGCAGTGGAGAAATTATAACAAACAAATTGTACAAACAATAACGACTTGAGTCAAGTCTAGGAATTTGGGTGATGTTGGTCGTGGGCCAAGGGGAGCTGTTTGGGGTGGGATGTGTTCGGGGGGGATAAGGGGGGTTAAAAAAGAGTCGGGTCTGTCACGAGCCAATGAGGCCCATCATGCCAGCGTTCATCTCAGGTTTCAGTAGCATGAATCGACTGGGAATATTTCTACTCCCCCTGGATGGGATGCTAGTCCATCACAGTTATTCACCAGCTAATACCGGTACCCATTTATGCTGGGACACACAACATTTGACCAGCAGCTGGATTCAAAACCCAAACCCTCTGATCACGAGACACAAACCCTATAAACCTCAACACCATTATCCTGCTGCCACCATTGCAGTCATGTTCCCTGCATCCAATAACTACTGAATGATGCTAAAGTGCGAAAAGGAACCAGGGTATATTCATCCCAGCCTCGCTTTGGTTGCATTGATTTGAATTGGGAAAAATCAATATTTTCTTGATTCAGGCCTTAGTTATGAACATTCTCTTTAAGATAAGATAAGATCACAAACGATTATCAATTTAAAAACCTTTCTAAAAATCGTTTTTATATGATGGCTACATTGAACACGTTAACTAATTTGTTTAATTATTAAAATATATGACCATAGCAAGCATATTACCATGGCTTCTTTCTCTGTGAATTTTGTTTAATTTAATTGGTGTTCATGAACAGGGTTTCTTCCGTAATGCAATATAAAAAAGCTGTAGTTCCCGCTAGATTAGCCTACAGCTAGATGACGTCATCCGTTGTTTGCACAAGTTCCTGTTATGAATTGTGATTCATAGTGGGGAATAATTTCCTGACTTTGACAGGGCATAATCCGTTACTATGGTGACCATATCACTATTGATGATGTGTCGTTTCCGTTAGGTAAGACTGGTCGGTTCATCTGGCAAATAATCAGGGATATCAGTCAAGCACACTATCACAAACATCAAATTTGTTTTTTTCTCTCCCAAGGATAGAAAACCGGAAAACTAGGGACTTTCAAACCCAACCCGAGTCAATAACCAGTCAAGAGCAGGGAATTCCGGTGATGTTGGTCGTGGGCCAAGGGGAGCTGTTTGGGGTGGGATGTGTTCGGGGGAAGGGGGGTTAAAAAAGAGTCGGGTCTGTCTCGAGCCAATGAGGCCCATCATGCCAGCGTTCATCTCAGGTTTCAGTAGCATGAACCGACTGGGAATATTTCTACTCCCCCTGGATGGGATGCTAGTCCATCACAGTTATTCACCAGCTAATACCGGTACCCATTTATGCTGGGTTGAGAGAGATAAGTTGGGGTGAAGTGCCTTGCCCAAGGACACACAGCATATGACCAGCAGCTGGATTCAAACCCAAACCCTCTGATCATGAGACACAAACCCTGTAAACCTCAAGACCTATATCCTGCTGCCACCATTGCAGTCATGTTCCCTGCATCCAATAACTACTGAATGATGCTCAAGTGCGAAGAGGAACCAGGGTATATTCATCCCAGCCTCGCTTTGGTTGCATTGATTTGAATGGGAAAAATCAAGATGGCCGCAACATGATAATGGTCTATAGGTAGCAGACCAGTAAATAAACTTCCATAGACCCCAATGGTAAATGCTCCCACTTCAAAAATTCGGGAAAAATACTCACAACTCTCCAAGGTGTTCGAGACACACATCAAATTAAAGCTTATTTCATCATCTTTCATTTTCTTTTCAATTTTCGGGGGGTCAACTAATGACTTTTAGGAGAAATTTCCATCTGAAGATGATCACCCCTGAAAATAGTCCTGAAGCCCATCGCCATTTTGAAAAACGATGCCTACACTCCATTGCAAAATAGAGCACTTTTAGGGTCCAAATTACATCCAAATTACACAGAATTGCAAGCTTCCAGTCCTGTGCACGGCTTCCACCCATATTTTTTTACAAACCCTCAAGTTCATGGCCCACAGCATGCTCAAATACTGAAGATTTTCAGGGCATGCAAATCGTGATTGGGCCGGCGTAGGCAATTTCGGACCGATTTACTGGTCTGCACCCCTATATGCCTATAACATGCTGCACCACATTGGGAATGATGAATGAGGCTCTCCTTGTTTAGTTTCCTGTTTATCGGTACTTTCTCTTCTAGAAACAATTTCCCCACACGACCAACAAAATCCTGCACACTGAGAAAAACCCTTGGTAATTCCAGAATGTATTTCAACAGCGCGTAGATTGACCAACCATTCACAGTGAATTTCTCTTACGGAATTTCCTCATTTAAAATCACTTTCCTTCTGTATCAATCGACGCTTTCCCTGGAAAAGCCATTAAAAATGAAAGTAAAAACAGCGACACATACGAAAGTACTCCATAAAAGGGGTCAATCTTTTAAAGGTGTGATTTTATTCCATACACACAATGCAGGGTTTTTAACATTGACTGCTTGCTAAAGGGACAGCTATATTCAATAATTTCACATCTATTTCAAAATCTCCAGCGTGAATTAAAAGACTAAAAAAAAAAAACAATTACATTTATTTGTGATATACATTGTAAAATGGCATCAAATATAACATGATTTGAGGATGAATAGAGTATTAATTAATCCCTTTTGAAAGTTTTTAGTTCTATTTTCCAGAAAACGAGTTTGACCAAAAGCGGTTGTTTACAAATGCAACCGACAAATTAAAGAACTATTTTAAAAAAAAATGTATTTTACTTCAAATTCAACAATTCATATTGCAACTGCTGCCCTTGAATGCAGCGCGACAACGACCAGCTGACATTAATTTGTTAATGGTCTCCAGGAAAAATGGAAAAATAAATAGATTTAAGTTCAAATAGGGTTACTATTCACTCCATGTTATCATTTAAATTCAAGCCAATTGACTTGCGGTTAGAGTTCCACTTATAAAATACATGTACAACAATTTACTTGCAATTTTCTGGGATCTATTGATTTACAACTGGTAAAAATTCTCTTCTTAGCGTAGACAATTCCATCTGAAGTGAATTCTCGTTCAACGCACAGGCAAATGCAGTTAACAATTCTGCATCTTGTGAGTTATAATACTTGTATGGTATTACAGCTACTCAATACTATATCACTATACAATTTTATTTATTTTCTGAAATCTCAAAAAAAAATTATAAAAAAATCCAGAAGCAATGACACAGTATTAACAATCTAGTCGGGACCTCTTGGAGAGAGAACATTGAAGTTTAGGGACTGATAAAAGAAAACTCTTTGATGAACCCAAACTGAAGCCAAAATAAACATATCTGTATTGGAGATGGCCACATTATGCACCTGTGGCATCACCCAATCAATTAGGATAATTTTGTCAGGTGTACCACAAAGTAGCTAATTGTACACAGACTGTGTGCATACAATTCACGGCGCCTCACCTTGTAATGTGATTAACATGTAGTGAATGTCTATGAGCGCAAAGGTAAGAATAATTTCATGAGGTTGGAATGGAATATTCCATCTGTCCCCTGTTTGAAATTATTCTTTCTATTGCACGAATGTGAAACATTCATCAGTTTATTTATACAACGCCTGAATGTACCGCAATGGAAGTTAAAGGGAATGTACAACATTGGCTTTTGCTGCAATTTTCAGAAGTAAGTGCATTTGAAGGATTTATATGTTTTAGCATTATTGTAAAACTGACTGGTTTCACGTTTTTGGCTTGTAGATCCTGGGAAAACCAAGAAAACCAATTATATTCTTGTAGTCTGGTTCCCTGACCCCACTGAAGATGAAACGGAGCAATTTATAGACTTCGGGGAATTGTATGGCCAGAGTATCAATTTAGCTGGCTTGTACCCATTCACAGGTGTGTAATCAATTGCAAAGAAAATGTGGAACAACTAAATATAGGAAATATGGAGTAGTTTTTGAAAATAGCCAGTTTTCTCCAGCGCTGGTCGGCCGACCAGCATTGGAAAAATACAATTTTTCTTGAAAATGTCAGCACACCACGAGCCACAATGCTACAGGATGCTTTAGACTGTCGTTCCCTAACAATCCAGTAAAGTATTTCATGATAATTGGATCATTTCTTTTTTTGAGGTTTGCAAATGTTGTATCTTCCCTTTAATAAGCAATGGAAGTTATACAACTTCTATTTTTGGGGTGTGGCCGCGCTGTGCGTTGGGACAAAAGTTCAGTGACACATGATCAACAACCACCACTCAGTTGACGAAGATTTGTTTCCAGCGTTGTATAACATTCAATACTGTACTTGGATAAACAATATCAATGGAACTACCAGAACCAAATATAATGTAAACAAACACGGCTTTTTCATGCATCTACTTAATACAATAACATTATTTGTTTTCAAAACCAAAAAAAGGAGTTATAACACCAAATTAATGTTAAAAGTGAAACAAAACTTATGCTAGGAACATACCCTCAATTTAAAAATCACACGATTGTTTTAGCATCAAGGGGAAAAAAATCCCTGTGCAGGTATGTACATGTACATGTACACTCATTTCATAGCTGGTTTGGATTTATTTACATGTACGGTGTATTGTATGTGATTGTACTTTGCTTCAGCGCACACACACTGAAATTTGTATCCTTGTGTGAATTTGTTAACATGAAAAGTAAACCATGCATACATTTAATTCTCTTCGGAGACGTTTTTGGATGCACCATGTGAAGTAACTAAAAAATTAGAGGTGGTTTCTTTCTAACCCTAACCGTCCTCAATCCTCAAAAATCCTCCAGACGGTTTTGGACGATTGCAAGCAAAAAGTGGAATAACTGAATTTGGAAAATTGGGTGCAGTATTTTGAAGAAAAAAAAAGTCACTTTTTTTTTCTTCCAACGATGGTTGGCTGACCATTGTTGGAAATTGATACAAAAAGTCCACTTTTCTTGAAAACGACAGCACACCAGGTGCCACGACTTCACAGGATGTTGGAGACCATCATTCACTTACAGTCAAGTAAGGTCTTTCATAATAATTTGGTAGTTTTCTTGTTTACAAATGTTGTATATATTACCGGTACCTTTATGCCTCATTTTTTGGATAGGGCTCACAAATACTAACATTGTAAAAAAAAAAAAAAAAAAGCCAGTTAATTGGGGTCACAGTATCAATCATGTAAATTCCCTCTTTTCCTTAAAGTTATCCTCAAAATTTGAATGTCAATGAAGCCGATATAAAGCACACACTAAGTTCCAACAATGGCATGCAATGCATATTATGTGTCATCATCATATACATATAGGTTAACACTTGGAGTATATATATATTATTTATTTATACAAAGTTGTTAACAGTTACACAAATGCTGGAGTCTACATATCAGGAAGTTCTGCCCATTCCGAGCACGTTATCACTGTACACATAGGGACTTCTCCAACGGCGACAGCGTTGCGCCAGTGATTGCAAAAAGCAACTGCCCGTGAAGGATTATCTGAACAATGGCAGGCAAAGCTATTTAACGGAGCCCCGGTGATGTAGCATGCTCGGACAGGGTGATTGCAAACGTCACAGTGAAACTACAGCTGTGTTATGAAATCTGCTTTAATTGGCTTTTGTTTTCATATGTGTGAGGCATGAAATACCGTGAAATGTAACCGGGTCACATGTGGTCAATCATGTGATAAAAAAACTGCGCCTAATGAATATCGTCCGACTTTGTATACCCATGCTGTCACAGAATGCAAATGGGCAGAGTCGGTCCCAAGTATTGAGTTTGATCATGACATTTTGTATTTATAAACTTGAAGGAATTTAGTCGAGACATTCAAAAGTCAATCACATGTCAAAGTAGTGGTGGGATTTACATCCGGTGTTTGTTTGTTTTTTCAATTCGGTTTGAATTTCACTATTCCGTTTGGATTTTTCGAAACTGGATATTCAAACCGTCTGTAAAAAAATCAGGCCCTTTTTCTTGGTGACTTAGGCTAAAGATAACAACTGGAGCATCTCCCAATTTGCTCCATGGTCTCTGATTGTAACTGCATTCACTTGCTGGTGGTCTTCTTGGTTCACAAATAGCCTACCCATTTGTCTGATCAGAGAAGTTCCCACCTATTTTTTTTTTCAACATAACAGCTCTGGAGTGTTTTTTTTTTTTTATAAAGGCCCGGCGGTCTTTCGATCCTGCAAACTATACCAAATAATTGTGAGCGGCATTCAATGTGCATGTGGGACCTCACTCGTCACTTTTTGTCGGCGTGAATGTGAGCTGAATGGGAAGTTCCAGTGAAATCCGATAACCATTTTTCGGTTTGAAAAAAAAAATTTGGATAACCGAATTTTTAAATCTCCGATTTCTCCCACCACTACCAGTATGTCAAATCACTTGGCAAGTTGTAAGCCATTGACATGTATTGGCTGGGCATTTTCAGTAGAATGTGACTTGATGAACCCTAACTCCCTAGCATCTTTTACTAGGAACCGGACCAAGTCCATCAAAATCCATCAATCACTGTGCGTCCAATACAAAACTGTACATGACATAATGGAATCCCACCACTGACGTACTGGTTGACATTCATGGACTTGCTACACATGGCTTTTTACACAATAGCAGTACAGGAAGCTAGGCAAAATCATTTGGATACCCCTAGCACTGCTTCAGGCCATTATGCCCAAGTCCATCATACTCCATCAATATGTAGTCACGCCAGGCCTTCTGGACCAAGTCCCCCAAAATCCACCCAAATGGCGGGATGGATTTTGATGGAGTTGGGTGGTTAGGGCTACAGACTGAGTGACATATGGTTGACATGTGACTGACTTGATTGCAATTCTCTGACAAAACTACGCATTTGTCCTCATTCCCTCTGTTTCCCAGAACACTGAAGTACGACAACAGGTGCGTTGAGAGTTTAGAATGAATTTGGCAGGTAAACCCAGGGCGAGTCAGAAAGAAAGTGACCTGACTGTTTTTTTCCCCTTAAAAACAATTAAATTTGATACACCAATGAAGTATGTCTTAAAAAAGAGAGCATGTTCTTCCACTCATCTGCAAAACAGGATTATTGAACTTGCTCCATTCTATCAGAAACTATGCATGTTTTACTGAAAGAACCTATTTTTATAGCAGTCAATGGAATAGATGTAGTATTGAAAGCTATTGAGCCGAGTGAGAATTACAGATTACACGCAGGCATTCAAATACAAAATCACATTTTCAATCATTTGAGTCAATACTGAAACATTATCGTTACTGTCAGATTTTGTGTTTTGAATGTGAAGAACAAGTCAACTTTTTTTTTTCACGGAAATATTGATGGTGATTTTTGTCTGTTTTCGTTCATTCATGGAGGTGGGAAAACATTTGGTTTAATTGTATTTGATGGGTATTCATCAGTTCATAGCACGGTACATGATGAGTGGTGGACAGCTGAATTTTAAGATTTCTTTTTATTTAAATAGACATAACTTGGGAATTGAGTGAAATGACGAGAAATTGTCCACAGTTACTAGTCAATAACATGTGCTTCATCCCTATGTTATTTTTAATGAAATGCAGAGAGCCACATATTTTTAAAAATAGTTTTTCTAATTCGGTCACTTTCTTTTTGACTTACCCTGTAGACCTACTATTGGTTGCAAACATGAAGCCATCCCCATTTCAGGAATGGGAACAACCCTGGAACGATATGTGAGGAGAATTGATTTAAATTCTTAATGAGCCGACTATTTTAATCAATATCTCACTAAATGTCTTCATCTCCAAGTTCTTCCAAATCTTACGGTGGGTACAGAGCCGCTCCGTTATTGCAGACCTCCTTGTAAGGTTTGGTGAGGTAAAGCTTAAAGTTCGTCTTGCTACAACTGAAGATCGGGGCTTTCTTGTAGTGCTCTATCAAGGCCTCCAAGCTCTCGAAGCGTTTGGAACCGATGCAGTATTGGTCCTCCAGACGCTGGACTTTGAAATGCTTGATTTTGTCCGGAGCCTTGACGGATACCGAGTAGCCACCAAGCTGTCAAGAGAAGACATCAATGGACAGGTTAATACTAACAAGTACATGTATAACCCTGAAGTACATGTACATATACATGTACATGTACACACAGGAACCTTAAAGGGGTATTATGGCCTGAAAATGCCCGCAAATTTCATGTTGGGGATTGTTAAATTGCTTATCCTATTTCAAAGGTCTAGCTGAAGGGAAACAAACCTAATGTCTTACCGTTCCCGAGAAAAGATGGAAAAACCCAGTTGTGTACATCAGACACGGTGGACTTTTTGTGGCATACGCATACATGTACATGTATACCGTACTCCTACACATCGTGCGTGTGACACATACATGTACATAATACAAACAGCACCAATACAAAAATGTTGTTTCTCACACGACCGCAGAATGCGAACAGCTGTGCGGCTGGATTCAATCACAACTAGCACTCAACAGCTCGATTTTTGAAAGTCAAAATGTTGACCCCATAAAGTCGTTCCTGCATCGTTCTTGCAAGAATTAACATACAAACACCCATTTTTTAAAGGATGGTTGTGTGGATCTTGATATCTCTTTCCCATTAATATCATTTCGTTTAAAACGCCTTTTGTATGGCCCAATTTGGTGAATTCCAGGCTGCAATATCCCTGGTCTACACAACCACTAGGTAAGGATAACCCAACATGGAACAATCTCCCATGCAAAGGTCACTCTCTTAAATAAACACTTTACACTGCTCGTTTGCGGTTCCTTCCTGCCATAAAAAGTGGCTATAAAACAAACAAACTGAACACTGGCATCTTTCATTTCCCAAAAAAAAAGGGTCACACTTAAAGGGAATGTACAACATTTGCTTTTGCTGCAATTTTCAGAAATAAATGGGTTTGGAGGATAAGTATGTTATAGCAAATATTGTTAAAATGACTTGTTTCATGTTTTGGGCTTGCAGATGTTGGAGAAACCAAGAAAACCAATCTCACATACAAATATACACCCGAGATTGACCTGTTAAAACAGCCATCAATTTCACTACAGTAAATAACATGACATTAAATTGGACCTTCACTTTTGTTGAATGTTAGCACGACGGACGTGAACACTGATCCAGTCTTTATGAATAATTGATTTGTAATTAGCTTGCATTGCCCAACCCACCCTGTGTGAAACAAGACAGATGGTGGCATTAAGTAAATATTATGAACAAGCGGAATAGTGTATGTATGCATTCAAATACAGTATACGGAACGAAATATGAAGCTATTTTTGAAGAGGAATCACGCTCCTGTCCTGAGTTCCCATCCATTTTCCCCCCAACATTACAGCTCTTGAGTGTTTGTTTAGTAAAGGCCCAGTGGTCACTGAATCCTGCAAACTATACCCAGTCGTTGGGAGGGCATTTCATGCAGCACCTCACCCGTCACCTTTTGCTGGCATGACAGTGAGCTGGATGGGAACTCAGTGTGAATGTTTTTTTTAGGATAACCGGATTTTGAAATCTCCGATTTCTCCCACCACTCATTTCAATGCAAACTGACAAATACTGAAAGTCCTACCGACTGCCTGACCCTCGTAGTGGTGTATACTCACCGTTGTTTCGCTTTCTCTGATCAGGAACACTCCATCTTCACAGTTCAGCTCCATCAAAGTTCTCTCACTTTCCTCCCGTTTCAGGGTTCCACAGAACCAGATTTTGTGAGTCAACGAGTTTCCGTTCTCCGCCCGAGCTGAGCCCACGTTATTGGAGATAACCGGGTACGGGACCGGCGCCGGTTGCGTATTCGCCGTAATCTCCTCCACATAGTTTTTGGGCACCAGGCCGATCTCCCCCTTTGTGTTCCGCGCCTTCCACCACTCGGGATCGTCTTCCGGTCTCTGCAAGATCTCCAGCCGCTCTCCTTGTTCAAAGTTGAGTTCCTCGTCGTTGCGTCCCTGGAATTTATACAGCGCGACGACGCTGTGTATAAAATCTTCCCCGAAGACGTTCTCGTCGCCTTTGGAGCTCACGCTGGACTTTTGGCTGGCCGGAAGGCTGTCGCCGTCTACGTTGACATAGTTTGACGGGAACCACCCGCTTTCTCCGTTGAACTCCCCCCGCCACCACCCGTCCCCAGATTTCTCCAGGACAGTCAGGTTTTCGCCTTTGATCAACGAAAGCTCGTCCGGTCGACACGCCGTGTAGTTGAATATGACCGTGGCAGGTAGAGAGAGCTGGTGGGACTCGGCCGACTCGGCCATATCGCGCGAGGCGTGCTCCGAGGTGTGGGGCAACGGCGAAGGTGACGGAGCCATTCCGGGCTGCTTCGGGTCTCGCGACGGCACGATCTTGTCCCGCAGCTTGTTCATGAAACTCTTTTTTTCCTTCTTGACAAAGTTTGAGGGAACATAGCCCGCCTCGCCGGAGGCTTTGCGCACCTTCCACCAGGACTTGGTGTCGTCGATGAGGGTGAGACGCTCATTTTTCCGGATGTTGAGTTCCTCTTGCTGGTTAGCGGTGTAATCCCACTTGGCTAAGACGAAGACTATCTCCTCATCACTCATGACTGCAATAACAACAACAAAAATAGTTGGATTCAGAAATTAAATTAAATGTTTAAAAAAACAGGGTTACACTGAGTGGCGTCCAGTGTGCGCTCTGTCCACCCCACTCTGATGCAAGCATGGGAAATGTTCCACCTGATATAGCGGCACAGCATCCTGCAAAACAGGGTTTTCCCTGGTTCCTCTTCCCAGAAAGATTAATCAATTTACAACACACCATTTTTGCAAGGGGTCCAAGTTCACCTGTATTCTTACAACACACATACAGTCACACACACGTCCTGTTTTATTGTGGCCACACACTATCACATCATGGAGTCATGGAGCTATATAGCTCCATGATCACATCAAATGACTAAAGAAAACATACAAAGAACGCATATCACAAAAGTGTATTGACCTTACACTGTCTGCAGTGTGATAATTTATGTACATGTACAGTTTACGTGAACATGTGCACAAGCAGTACACACGGGTACATGTAACGGTACTATACATACATCCCTTGTTAAAAGGGAATGTACATCACTGGCTTTTGCTGTAATTTTCAGAAATGAACTATTTGAGGGGTTAGTATAATAGACAAAATATTGTTACACTGACATGTTTGAAGTTTTGTGTTGAAAATGCTGGAAAAACCCAGAAAAACAAAAACAATTAAGTAGTCTGGTTCCCTGACTCCACTAAAGATAAAATGGATCCATTTATAGATGCCGGAAAATTGTAAGGTAAGGGAACCAGTCTTGCTGGCCTGCACCCGTTTCATGAACATGTACCCAATAGCAAACAAAATTTGGACTGAAAAAATGGTAAATTTTGAGCAGTAGTTGCTAAATAGTTAGGTTTTTCCAATGGTGGTTGGCCGACCACCGTTGGAAATGTATACAAAAATACCATTTTCTTGAAAATGACTTCACACCAGGTGCCATAATTTTACAGGATGCTTTAGACTGTCATTTACCAACATCCTAGTAAGGTATTTCGTAAAAACTTGATACTTTTATTTGTCGATGTTTGCAAATGTTGTATATTCCCTTTAACGATGCTATATTGTGCATATACTGCAGTACAACCGGGCCAATTTTTGGCTCTGCTTAATATAAAAAAATTGGTTTTTATATCTGGCTATGGGTGGAATGAAAGGTAAAACAATGTCACTTCTGTGTTGCAGAGTGCAGACTACAGTTTGAGGAGACTTTAACAACAAAATTAAAGGAACATTTTCTAAATGTCTTTTTTTAGCATTAAACATAAGTGACGACCATCAAAACGCATGTCGTCAAAAGATCAGTGAGTGAATGGGTTGCAATGACCTGACAATTCCCTGAAGTCTATAAGTTGCTCCATTTCATATGAAGTAGGGTCAGGGAACCAGACTACAAGCACAGCAACTTTTTCTTGGTTTTTCCAGCACCTATGAACACAAAACTTAAAACAGCTCAGTGTAACGATATTTGCTATAAAATACTAACCCTCAAATCCATCCATTTCTGAAAATAACAGCATAAGCAAATTTTGTATATTACCTTTAACCCTAACCTTCTCAAATCCTCCAAAATCCTCTTTGCAAAATGGAGGATTTTGCAGGATTTAGGCTATATGGCAAAAGCGTGTGGCTGATTTTGGAGGATGCACTGTGTCAAGGTCTTAGGTCAGACTTTGTTTATGCTCAGGCAAGCATACATTTAGGCCTAGATTATACTTGAAATCATCCGCACTGCTCCAGGATGTCGCTGGCTCTGCTACAACATATAGACAGTGATTGCTGGAGGATTTCGCAGGATTGAGCCAGTGGTCACCCCTCCAAGGACCACAAACAAGAAATAACGGAAGATTTTGCAAGATTGAGGCTGTATGCAATATTTACATGGAAGCAGTTGGAGGATTTTGCAGGATTGAGGTCGCATCCTAGCACAATTCCTTGGGAGTTAAAGTTAAAGCAGTGAGAGGTCCAAGTAGCCTCATGGTACATAAATGTAACGCGAGTGACGGTGGAATTGCCCTAATCCAACCAGAGTGCAACAAAAAAAAAAACCTGTGTAACACCACACACTAGATTTGACTAGGCTACAGATATTAATTACCCTGACCTGAGAAGGTGTAGATGCCTGGCTACCCAGACAGGTGTGGGTTTGCAGGGATCTTTATTGGTCTCTGGTATGATGACAATGATGTCACTGCATACCATAAATACCTCGTCTTGTCTCTTCATGAATTTAAACTCAACGCTTGACACCATTTGTTACATGTATGTCATGATAAGGGCCCTTCAAAGTAAAGGTTAGGGGTAGAAGATAATGAAGTTGTAGCTTATCACCTTCTGTCATGTTAAATTAATTGATGGAGCGTGCAACTGTGTAAAACTGCCTATACAGACCCCTCTCATAGACAGCCATCTTGGTAAGCAATTACGACTGCGTACCAGAGTTGTAATGACTCGAGTCAATGACTCAACTCGAGTCCGACTCGAGTCACAATTTTTGGTGACTTGACTCGACTCGAGTCCCTATTAAAGGGTAAATGACTCGACTCGACTCGAGTCCCTCATCAGAAGACTCGACTCGACTCGAGCAAAGGCTAATAAGACTCGAGTCCCAACTTTGCGAAAAGTATTTGCAATGACTTACGGTGCAAAATTATGCTCACTTCGCTTTGCGAATAGCAGTCATGTATAAATATACAACGTGTCACAGACTCCCACCTCATGGTTCTAGAACGCACAAAATACTATCCAGGAACCAGATTGTTAAACACATTTTCTAATTCGCTGTTTCATCATTGGCTTTGGGCAATTTCTTATAAAGCGCTTGGATTCGAACGCTGGCTAAACTTATGGCCTCCTTTTATAAATTTTGGTATATGTTCAAATATTCATGACTCGAATTGACTCGAGCTAAATATTTGACTCGACTCGGCTCGACTCGACCTTTTGACTCGACTCGACTCGAGTCACTTCTTTAAAATGACTCGACTCGACTCAAGTCACTTCTTAAATATGAATCGACTCGACTCGAGTCACAAAAATCAGTGACTCGTTACAACTCTGCTGCGTACAAATGTATTCAATGCCATCAGGTACGTGTGAGCGCAGTGTGCAAAATGTTCTATCTGATGTCATTTGAGAGAGATCTATATGGATTAGAAACACACAAAACCTGATTTTGGAAAAAGTAAATAAAAAATTTAAATACTGATGTGAAATAACAGTTCAAAAAGTCATCAAATCTATTAGCAGCGCTTGTTTCTTTTTTTTCCGATTTCGGGTCTGTCATAAAATCAAGCTGCGTCCATATCTACAACTACATGTACACTGTAAGATATGTGCCACTAGAAATATTATTCAACAAACATAATCTACCAGGGTAAAAATTAATTACGAGAAATCATACAGCCAACAAAAGTGTTGACTGGTATGTTGTCTGTGTTATCTCAGTGACACCTCTTGATCCCAAGGTATTGGAGATCCAGGAACGATATGTCATCGGGCTTGTCAATTTTATTGTCTCTTTAAACGCTGGGTTTTCTATATATGAGGAACCGAAGTGATCCTTTTCATCATCGAAGTATCTATCAAACACCTGGAGATTCTCAGAAACTGGGGACTTCCGCTGGAGTTTAATGACACCACATGTATTATTGTAAGTTGTAAAATATAAAACTCAAGGAGGTGAATTTAAATCCTTGCACAAACATTCAGTTGTGTATAGAAATTACGGTCACACTCATAGTACAGTCATAATTTTACAATATTCACTTTAAGGGTGAGGATATTTTTGCACAAATGCAATCTAAATTTTGACATCATGATACATTCGTGCTAATATTCATGAGTTCGCATTGATCAAAGGTTTATACTTAAAAACATGTGATTTAAATAACACAACAAATCAGACAATGAGGCTTCAAAGATAAATGAAGTGAACAGTTCAACAAATCCGACACCAAATCTGAAACTATTTTGTAATCTAACCAAACAGGAAGTCAGTCAATACTTGGCCAACAATATCACCGCCCAACATTGTTGTCTGAAGTAGGTGAGGGAGGCTGAAGATCATTTGTTTCTATGGAGAACATGAGCTTGTATGAATTGCCTAACCATTATTTGTGCCACACTCTGTAAACCATTAGCATAAATTTGTACTACATTGTATTACATTGTGTTTAATCACTGAAGAATCAATAAAACCATAAGAGTGCTGGGGCAGTTTCGGATGCTACAGTGAGTAATAAATAGGCAGATCGGTTTCGGGCACTACAGTGACTAAGGGTTAGTGTAGGCATTCGGAATCGAGGGTCACTCGACTCCGACACCTCTGTGAGCCGTGTCTTGGCCATTATGCGTCTTGCAATGCCATGGTACGGACAATTCGTGCGATTCACAATGCAGTGCGCCACCAAGAGTTTGCCACAGAGAGTTTATTTTTCCCAGTGCATTGTGGAGATGGTCGACAAATTCGCAGCGCGGGACATTTGAAATTGTTCATTTTTCCGGTCAGTAGTTTCGTTAGCATACGATTCAAAGTATCTGTTTGCCCTTTTCTTTTCTTTTTATCAATATGATGTTTTTTTGTAAGGTGGCAGAACGCTATGCCCCAATCTACAACAAGTTTACTCAAGTTGTCTACCGACACTCATTCAAATGGGCCATGTTTTGTCAACCGGGCTAAACTTGAACTCTCCATGGCAAACTCTTGGTGGCGCACTGCACTGCGAATCGCCCGAATTGGCACAACGGACACCCTTGGTTTTTCCAGACAGAAGATTTGGACACATTATTGTTAACCAACTTTACGCAAGCTACACATTTCTGATTTGTATGTACATACATATTCGAGTGACTTCCCAATCGGCCTCATTGTCACTGAAATCTGCCATAGTTTCCTGGTTTAAATAGCCACCTCACTTCCTGCTGTCGGTGCGCTTTGCTGGACTCCGGGATGATGACAACTTGAAAATTACTCAGCCATTAGCCAACACCCTTGAAACTATCCAACTATTTTAACTCATCGGGTGTGCCTGATGGGAATGACTGTGCATTTAACGAAGATGACAAGAACGTAGATTCGTTGAACGCAGCAAACGGCGCAAGAGGACAAAGTTGTAGATCCAATCGCGAGCTGGTGAAACAGAGAGAACTGGCTAGTGCCGATGACGATCAGTTGCACTGTCACATATGAATGTTCTTGTACATGTACTGGACAACGGAGACGATTGTTGAAATAAAAACAGCCAAATTGCAGTCTTGCCCAGGGATTTGGGAAAATAAAACATTCAGGAAATGTAAGGAAACCGAGCTGTACACGTGTGTTCCCCTGTTGGGTCACAGATAAAATGTCCTCTATTTCGTTCCGAATCCAAGGTTTAGTAATAAACACTTTGTACTACTTCCTCTTGGGCTGTCACCTTCGATCGTAATCTGATCAAAACATTTGCATAAGATTTCTTCTTTATGGTGTGACGATCCACGCAAGGTGCCCCATGATTCCTATTATGGTAATTGTACTCACACACAAAAAGATTGAAGCATTGTGTTTGTGATGTTGTGTACAAAAGCTGTGCTATCCAGACTCGGTGAGCTCAATTACAATGTTCACCTGCTGAAGACTTCCTTGAAGGATTCAATAAGACATTTCATGCATGATAGGACCACAAACCAGACAAAAGATTGGAGGTTAAAGACCTTTTCGTCACTAGACAAATCTCGGGGTTGACGCAGGGTTGAAAACATGCAGCGTTTCACACTTTGAAAATTTTCAACCCTGCGCCAATCCTAAAAAAATGATTTCGCCGCTGGTTGAACTCAACCCTGCTCCAGAGTCCAGGGTTGAGATTTGCAACCCGGGTTGAAACTCTCACCAGGGTTAAAAAAAAAAAGCAGTGACCAAGCGAAATTAGCTCAGTTTGGAAGAAACAAGTGTGAAACGATGCGGGTTTGATTGTGGGGTTGCAAAATAAAAAAACTCAACCTGAGGCGGCACTGGGTTCACCCAGGGTCGAGTTCAACCCGGGTTAAGAGGCTCTAGTGTGAAAAGGCCTTATTATTATTAACACCTCCTGCACCTTTCCACAGCAGACAGGTCAAGCAATGACAATAATTATTAGTCTGCGTCAGTGTTGTCCCACACACTGCTTTTGGGCAATTCCATCGTTACAGATGTTACATTCAGAGCCTAAGACCAATTTGAAACAATCAAGTCAAGTACTTGCAGTGAAAGCAAGTTTTATACATTTGGAACAAACCCTAGCTTAGGCCATAATGTACAACTAGCAGAATTAATTAATGAAATACACGTATTAAGCACTGTAAACGACCGTTACGACGTTACGCTTTAAGTCATAGGTTTTTGACTTTCAATATGCATTGATATAAGTCTCTGAAGTTTCCTGCTAGAATTTAATGAAATAATGTTGTGGTGGATATAGGTTCACTCCATAAAAACACCAATATTTTACAGAAAGGTACTTCGATGTTATGGAAACATCATGCTTTTGTTGTTACGGACGTTACATTATTAATGTTATAATGTTAAATTTGTCGCTTTTCAGCTATGTCCACTTTTGCGTGGAATTGCCCCTTTATTTAATTTCAGAAATTCAGGTTCATATGGAAATGTGAAAACATAGTAACTGTGAATAGTGTGAAATAAAAGGGTATTATTATCAGCTGGAGGATTCATGAAACATAAATTAAAAATTGCAGTAATGTAAACTGGACAAACTTGCATCAATGTAAAGTTACACCAGTAAATGAAGCTCGTGTTATCAAAATATAGGATAGTGTTGCAAGATATCACAACATGAATGACTTCTTAAGTACCACTGACATGACTGAATAAACAGTGCTTCCAACTGTACCTAACCACAGCTTTCATTTTTAGACATACATGTTATTCCTTCAAGACCTTTATTAATTTCACCCTGAAGCTCGGTTCATACTTCACGCGAAAGCGAAAGCAAAGCGAAATTTGTGACGTCAATAATACATTCGAAGCGCGTCCACCATTGTTGATGACATGAATTTCGCTTCGCACTTGCTTTCGCGTGAAGTATGAACCCGGCTTAACCCTGCTCATTCCAACAGGATCCAACAATTGTACATATATCTGCTGGGTCCTGTTGGATTGAGCAGTAAACCAAAATGTGGACACTCAAAATGCGAGCTGTTGGGTGCTAGTCATGAATCCTGCTGCACATGTTCCATCAGCGCATCACACTTTGCAGACGTGCGAGAAATAATTTGTGTATTGGTGCTGTGTATTATTATGTGTCACACATACGAGTAGATCGTAAAATTGAATGGGCACAGCTGGAAAAAAGTATGCACATGAACAAAATGTCTGCCGCGTCTGATGTTAACTGCTAGGGCTTTTTTCATCTTTTCTAGGGAAGGATAAGACATTAGGTTAGTTTCCTTTCAACCAATCCTTTGGAACAGGATAAGTAAACAATCTAAAACATAATTTTCAGGGATTTCAGGTCGTAACGTCCCTTTAAATTTTTTTTAAGTTGAAGAAGCAGATGACAACACAGCGTTCCATACTGCTTGAGGAATACCTGTACACGTATATCTAACCTTTCTATTGATCACGTGAGCGATGGAGAGTTGGAGACCGAACAAAACAGGAAATGACAGGTCTTCGGGGGAAAAGAACCGCAAAAAAGGTAGCGTTAGAGAGGAATTGATTGCGCGGGGTAGCTACGTCGAACAGCACCTGCGGGTATTATCATGCAACGCTACTGGGGACATTACACGGTAGCGACTCGATTCAATAGGGATGAGTTCATTGTCACTCTCACACTACTGATTCAACACAGATGGTAGGACAGTGAACCTACATTGTGCATATATAGGCATGCATGGGATTTGCGACTGTTGTACTGCGCAAGACTCAAATAGAAAAAGTCTTGTCTAAAATATCAAGATCAGTTTATTAATTCCCATCTCTTGTATTTGGTGACTGACACTCTAATGTACAAGTTGCCAAATGAGATAATTTTCAAGTTCTCAATTTCTATAAAAAGTAGAGTAGATCATTTGCAGCTATCCAAAAAGTAACTGACAAAATTATTGTTGAAAAGTTTGCTTGATTAAGATAGTAATGACAATAAACTCCCCATGAAATTATTCTTTCTGGCATGCTGTCATTTAAAAATTCATTTAAAAAAATAAATAAACGACGGCCATTTCCAAAATACGTCAAGCGACGCTTTTTAAAAAAATGTCCGTAGCTGGTTTGTAACTTGGCGAAGCCGTGAATGGGTGTGCACAAGCGTTATCACAATTGCTATTACTCGTCGGTTCAGTACATGACACAGCGTAGCTGCAATCGGCTAAGTGAGAACGTGTCTCGGACGCTGATTTCGGGTGCAACTCAAAACATGACTCGGCAACTTGTGAATTGAAATCGAGATCCTAGAACATTGTTTTCTCGGAATATACAGCATTCCCAAAACTAAAACGTCATCGGGTTAGTTGTTAAGCACCCTTCTTTAAATTTTGAGCACTTTTATTGCTTCAAACAAACAACAATGCATGACTGACAAATGATCTCCCCTACCTTTAAAACAGTGTAAATAAGTTCTACCTTTTAAAACTAGAATTCAACATTCAGGTACTTACCAACCACCATTAGTCTATTCCTTGATAGAAAGCCGAGTAAACTATGCAGGCCTTAGAATGATATTAACAAATTGTGTGTACCTGTACATAGACATGAATATCTACATTAAGTTGTTTCAGCATCACAGGATTAACATTTAGTGTAACGGAAATGATTTCCGCGTTTGTTTTTAAGGAACAAAATTGTGTCAATTTGTCAGCATGATGTAAGCGTACACCCAAACCAAACCAACCCCTAGTATGAGATGGCCATGATATGTTTGAAGAATGAGTCATTGGACCAAACAAGGGGCAAAAGTTAAGTAGGATTTCCTTTGACTGGATGGCAAGGCATGAGTCAGCACATGAATTCGTTGAGGAATCCACATTATTCATGGCAGGTTATGGAAGCCTTGTTCCTTGGCTGGATGCTCGTACAGAGACCTTGATTCCATGCATTCACGGACCACATGGCCTTGATATTATGTAGGCCTGCTTCGGTGGGGTTTAAATCCGGATTTTTCAAAAAATTTGGTTTGAATTCCACTAATCAGTTTCGTTTTCGGAAACCGGATATTCGAAACCAACCTTAAAAAAAATATTAAGCCTTTCATTTTTTTGTGACACAGGCTAATGAAAACAACTGGAACATCTCCCAATTTGCTTCATGGTCTCTGATTGTAACTGCAATCACTCGCTAGTGGTCTTCTTGGTGTAGGAATAGCCTGCCCATTCGACTACATAGAGTTCCCATCCATTTTTTTTCCCAACATTACAGCTCTGGAGTGTTTTTGTAAAGGTCCTGTGGTCACTGAATCCTGCAAACTATACCCAGTCATTAGGAGGGCATTTCATGCAGTACCTCCCTTGCCACTTTTCTTGGCATGACTGTGAGCAGGATGGGAACTTCTGGTGAAATCAAAAACCGTCATTCAGTTTGAATTTTTGGGGGATAACCGGATTTTTAAAATCTCCAATTTCTCCAACCACTATCCGTTTCCTTACAAAAAAAATATACCGACTCGGTCTACAATTTGCAAATGTTGAGGACTTGGAAGTGGGGAGGTGTTGGGTGTGGCGTGGGGAAGGTGTAGCAAATGCACGCTATTTTTTTTCCATTCTCATAAACAAGTTAAATACTATTTTTGAAATGTCATCGTTGTAAACCAACCCCAGTTTGGAAATATCCTGTTTTGTGTGTCACTTTCCTTTTGACTATAAAACATAAAAAAAAGAAAATACTTGCTAAATGTATAATCATTAACCCTAACTCCCTATTGAGTTTGACTAAGAACAGTACCAAGTCAGCCAAAATCCATCACTGACTCTGCTTCACATAATGCTTCAGGACCAAATCCGCCGAAATCCAGGGCAAATCCACCAGGTATAGGTGGATTTTGATGGACTTGGTGCTCATGGCTTGCCTACCAAATTCCCTCCCAAACGGGGGAC